TGAAGAGTCGCAAACTAGGCTGACGAAACAGCTGTCCAGTACTCCATGGTGGTTTTCCAATGGTTCTCTAACCAATATCAGCTCATGATGAAATCCTGGAACCAATCAATCAAATCCCTACAAAACCAATACTTGAAAAAAATGGAGATGGATTGTATACACACAGACGATACTGTTAAGTTACATCTCGTGCCAGGAATAACTTTGAGTGGGACGACAAGAAGGATGTCAGAGGGTGACATGGAAGAGATGACAATCGAAAACTGAGACCACTCTGTAGTTTATCTTAAAATAACATCTTTGTACAAATATGTAGACATCAAGAGACACGCCACATAAAATAATGTAGAAATAATATGCGCAGGAGAGAAATAAAATAAACTGGGGAACAACAGAATGGAAAAAGATAAGCTTCTTTGCAAGAACATTCGAAGGAATTTTCCTCTTTACTTTGAATTACTTTCAGAAAGAAACTGTTGTGAGTGGAATATAGGGCTGCAAGGTTGAGCTTCGGAATTTCGGAATCAGAGTTTTGATTTCTACGGGGTGGGGCATTCTACCTCAAGCCCAGTCATTCCTTTTTGTACCGGCTTTACTGTCGGCTTAGAGAGATTAAGGAGTTCGTCGGCCGGAAATCCGGCTCCAGACCACGTACGGCGTGGTAGGCGAGTGTTCTACCTGTCATCAGCAACTAACCGTTCTCTTACCTGACTTGGTGAACACCGCTGGTCACGAATTCTCACTAAAACTTCAGGAAATGTACTGTATCCAGCAAGTTGACTGTGAGCATCAGATTAATTTTGAATTGTTGGTGTGCACGTCTTTTATACAAAGCCTGACGAACACGATGACACCCAGGGATTCCCCCATGCAAACCATACTAATAGGGCATTCTCAATTCCCTATACAACTTAGTCCTCAGATGCCTAAATATAACCACACCAACACTTTTCAAAGGAGCTTGGAAAAATTTGTCTGTATCGGTTGCTTTATGGAGCTTGGCTGCTTCGAGTTTTTTTCAAACCTCATTTTTTTTGTCTTAAATGGACCATAGTACCCCGTTATAAGGAATATTGAACATCGTCAATGTGAACTAAATAAACTGTTTTTCAGAAACCTCTCTACTCTGCGTTCCAAATATCCTTGTAAACCGTTAATAAACTTATAATCTGATTGATGTATCTCACAGAGAAACACTTCATCCAAAGAAACTTCCGTGACTGTTGGTCAGTGAGTACTGATTGATATCGTGTTGTTTAGTTGGGAGTTTTGAAAAAGATAAAATCAAAAAGGTTTCGTAATATGAACGCGATGGTAAATAAAGACATTAAGACACCATGTATCAGAAATTACTTGGTAAAGGGTTATCTGTAGAAAGTCATCTATGCTTGCTAAATACCACCAGTGGCTACAATCAGCAGGAAAAATAGCCGATCAGCTAGCAGCTATTACCATCACTGTTTCTTCCATCCTCTGCGTTTCGAATGGAATATTAGGCTTTAGGTATTAAAGTTTTTGTAGTGGTGGTATGATCTGCTCAAAATAGTGGAGTTGCACGTGTTCCGCCTATTCCAGACTTACTATTGGCTAGGAAGTGAAATCAAAACATTTGTGTGGCTGGTGAACATTTTACCATAAATAACGCAATCGATTAAAGATATGTACTAAAATCGATTACTAATTAAATATGACTCAATTCACAAATAGGTCTCAGTGGCTGAATGGTATCCAAGCTCATCTTGTAACCGGAAGATCCTGGCTTCGAACTTCCCCCCTCTGAGTACACACTGCTGAAGAGTCTCAAAACCAGAACGAAACAGCTGGCTGTCCAGTACTCCCTGGTTCATGCTTCGATGGTTCAGCGGTGGAATACTCACCAACCACGCCACATGTGATCCGGAGTTCGATCCCCGGCCGATGCATTCCTAGACCAGTAGCAAGCGTGGTAAAGAGGGAAGGTTTGGTGTGAGGCTAGTGACCTCATCACTCCGGAAAATAAAAGCACCAATCACTGTTATTGAAACTTCCAAGCTCAATCTTGAACAATTTAATTTTTGAAATAATTATCTTCCATTCTTCCCTGCAGACAGACTAACATATTTTCTAGATTTTTGTTAGCTTGCATAAACCATACACCTAACTGAAAATCCACGCCGAATAAAATGCTGAACTTCGTAAAATCTCGAATTTTGCAATCAATAGTGTTTTCTGAGCTGGTTGATTTATTTGTGGAGCTTTCGTCGTCCCCATTCTGGACAACATCTTCAGTGCAAGTTTTGGCCTAAAGTGAACTGATTTAAATTTTCCATGGATGATATAATTGCGTCTCCTGGTAACCATCTTTACATATATATTGATCATTTTCTATTGACTTGGATTTTAAACTTTCTCGTCACATGGTTTACTTTTTATTAGTTAGTATATTTGGTCTATATTAACGTGTTTGTTAATTGCATATTCTTTTGAGTACCAGGCTTCTAGGAATTCCCTGACTGCACTTTTGGTGTTTCCTCTGTATAAGATTTCAACATTATCTCAATCAAACTGATGTCCATAATTGTCTACATGCATTGATATGAAAGAATATATATCTCGTGTCTTTTCACGGCTAATTTGTGTTCCTGGATTCTGATTCGAAGGGGACGCCCACTTTGGCCGATGTAATGCCTGTTACAGTTCATACAATTAATTTTGTAAATGGTATTAATTTTATCTCCTTTTTCTGTTGGATCTTTCGGTTTGCACAATATCGAATTAAGTGATTTGACTTGCTTGTGTGCTATATCTATATCAGCCGTAAAAAGATACGATATATATTCTTTAGTATCAATGTATATAGACAATTATGGACATCAATTTGATTGGGATAATGTCAAAATCTTAGACAGAGGAAACACCAAAAATGCAGTCAGGGAATTCCTAGAAGCCTGGTACTCAAACGAATATGCAATTAACAAACACGTTAATAAAGACCAAATATACTAACTAATAAAAAGTAAACCATGTGACGAGAAAGTTTAAAATCCAAGTCAATAGAAAATGATCAATATATATGTAAAGATGGTTACCAGGAGACGCAATTATATCACTCATGAAGAAATTTAAATCATTTCACTTTGTGTTAAATATTGCGCTGAAGATGTTGTCCAGAAGGACGACGAAAGCTTTTCACCTAAACCAACCAGCTCAGAGAACACTATTAATTGCAAATCATCCACCTGAGCTACAAATCTTCCATGTCATTTCAAAATCTCGAATTTTTTCGGGGACTTTACGCAGAAGGTATACACATCCCCCCACCCACCCCCATCTTTTTTGACTTACACCAAAAGTCATCAAGAACACGAGAACTGATCACTTCACTCATCAGAAAACAAGATCATATAATAGCATATTATAATAAGTTTATTTGTTTATAAACATTTATATTACTCACTAATGATGCCTCTGTTTTATTCTCTCAGAAGAAGAGCCAATGACAAGAGAATGTATGTATGTATATATAGAGTAATTATAGGCGTATATATGTATAGATATAGATATATATACACATGTATAAATATTACCTGGAGAGAAGGAGAGTACTCAGAGGCACACACACTGAGAGAGAAAGGAATCCTCGACATTCATAGTAAAAAAAGAGAGAGGAATGTTGTGAAGAATTGAATGAAGGAACAGGGGAACAGAGTGGCTCGTCAAGTGGATTTTCTGTCAACATTCAAAAGTCATGGGGATAATAATAGTAATAACAATAGTAGTAATAAGAAGAACAATAAGACAATGATAATAACCAGATCGCAATATGACCAATATGTCTCTGTAACAGTGAGAAAAGGTAGACGTTCAGAAACGCCCGAAACTATTCAACAAGTATTAATATGTGTGTATGTGGAAGGAAATAAGTAGAGATGAATATTAGTGATGGTTGAATCACAGATGTGCTACATACTACATAATCATAATGATAATAGCAATAACAACAATGATCATAGCAATAGTAATAATAGTATTAATTATCACCTTATAACACCCAATCAATAAGGTATAACAACTCAGGGTAAAAAATGAGTTGGCGAATAAATAGAAGGAAAAATCATTAGATCATGTATATGAAAGTCCATCAAATCACAGAAGGACTACTGTCTACATACATATCACCACTGTAAATATACGTATATATATCAAGGAATTCTAAATGTACAAGTTCTGTAAGGAATTAAATGAAACAATCGAATAAATAAAATAGTAATATTGTTCAAAAGAAAAAATTCGACTCATTCCCATTTATACCATTTTTTATTTTTTTCAAAAGAAAAAATATACTACTAACAAAATGTTAGTTAGTAGTAAGAAAAGAAAGCAGAAAAAACGTAACTAGGGTGAATAAATAAATTATATTCCTCTACTCGGTTGAGAAATTTTAGAAAGGAATTACGTTGTGAAATGCGATAGAAAGATAGATAACAGTAGTAACGTAAAAATTCTTCAAGATTAACTGACCGACTAATCTTCACTTATAAATAAACACATAGAGAGCATAAACAAAGGCAACAAGTAGGTGTAGAGTACTAGCAGTTATAAATTAATAAATATATAGAATTTGTGAAATTAGTGTGATAATATGGACAAACAATCGTGTTGGAGTTGTTTTGTTTTGTTTTAAATGTTGTATTGATGATTAAACCAGGCATTAATGATCACAGGAATGTATGAAGATGTCTGCCTCTATCTACTGTTAGTCTGCCTGTTCATTTCTGTTGAAACTCTTTTTCAATAAATCAATAAATATTATAAATAACAATAGTAAGAACAACGTTGAAAATACCATAAGGAAACAAAACAGTGAGTGTGTATCGGGGAATAAGAGGCAAGGGGAGGGGCGGGAGAGAGACAGAGAGGAATGTGTAAACCGAAAGAAAAAGAAAAATGTAAACAAATATTTATTGTTTACTCTTTTCTTTTTTTTCAAAAAAGTTAACTTCTGTGAATCAAACAATTCATTATAATGCAACACGTCGTTTAATTCCAGTATTTGTAATCAAATGCAATACACGAGATTCTGGCCAATCAATCCATACTTGTAAACGATCTAAGGTAGATGAGCTTTGATGCTGTTGTTGCTGCTGTTGATTATCAACAGATTCTTTGTGTGATGATGCTGTGGATAACTTCGGGGTAGGCGGCGGAGGAGGAACTAACGGTGGAACAGGATGAAGAGATAAGGCTTTCACTTGTTGTCCACCCATGCCAAAAAATCCTGTAGTATGAAGCTAAATATATAGATGGGGGAAATGAAAAGTGGGAATTAAATTAAACATATAGTAGACACTGGTCATCATCATATCTTCATGAAAAGGAGAGTTAGTTAATGAGGGCAAGTCAATCGATAAACTTGTGTAGCTGCATATGTTGAGATGGCCAGGACACATGTTATAAATGTCCAACCATCCGTCTTCTCATGACGAGTAATGTTCACCAATATAGGATTAGGTTAGAAAAGAGTTAGCTGTGATCAAATCTATACATAGCATCCATCCATGAAGTCTTCGACAGTTAATTTGAGTCAGAGGACAGACTGACTGGAATCTGTGGGATGCGAGACTATCGTTCTCACAAGCGCGGATCCATTAACTTTTGGCGATCTACCATTATAGCCAATAAACTGTCATTGGTTACAGGATTTCATCATGAACTGACATTCGTTAGAGAAACATTGGAAAACCTGGGAGCACTGGACAGGCGGCTGTTTCGTCCTATTTTGAAACTCTTCATCAGTACGCACCCACCGGGGCTCGAACCCAGGACCTTCTCGTTACAAGGCTAGCGAGATCGTAGACCATTCATCAGTCACTGGGACCCGATCCAATGGCCAGCCCATGAATTCTAACTTCTGCCAATTCACGATATAGCGCAACCGCTAGCCAATGTCTTTGGCGACTATTTGTCCTTACACCCGACCTTCTTCACCCTACTGGTCACAACTTCCCACTGGAACCCCAGGTACCTACCTACCTGAATAGGGTGGACAGTTGCCAGTGAGCATTTCATTGATATTCAAGTATTGGTTTGTAGGGATTTGGTTGATTGGTTACTTTATTGGTTATTTTATTCCTTCACATTCCCAGTGGAACATAGGGTTTCAAGCTAGGGGCTTGAAGTTCCTGTTGTTGTTCTCTAACTAATGTCAGTTCATGATGAAATCCTGTAACCAATCAACCAAATCCCTACAAACCAATACTTGAATAATAAACTGTCATGTTTTTCTATGTTGTTATTCTTCTCCTCATCACATTTCTGTTTATTATTGTTCTTTTGTCCACCTTCGTATGCTTTATATGGAGTGTCGTGTCTTGAGCTGGTGCAATTCTATGCACCATGTGTTCTAAGTAGTAGATACTCAGAAAGTCTGTCAGTCAATGGTCTTGACAACCTCTTCGTTGTCTAGGTGAAAAAAAGTTGCTTGCTTAAATCATTGCGTAACCACACTTTTCTCTTCTCTTTTACTGAAGCTTTAGGGCATAGGTTTGTTCAACCATCTCTTCTCTCATGATTTTCCTCCTAATCCCTCTAAGTACTTTGAATAAAGCAAGAATATGCTCTGCAGTGAAACTAGAGGAAGGAAGAATTTACGATTCTCGAAAAGGTGTTGAAAAATAACGGTTATCCTCAAAGATTCATTAACAAATATGGAAGATGTGAAGGCACAAATACCAAACAAATCACAGTCTTCATTCAACTAGATTTTAGAGGTGAAAACATTGCAGAAATCGTAAACAGAAGACTGAGAACATCACTAGCAGCCAGAGCCTATCCTTCAGCTAAGTTGGTTCCCGTCCATCGAACAACATGCTATTTGGTGCAATCAAAAGTCGATAGATACCCTTCTCATCTTAACTCCAACTGCGTATACAAATTTACGTGTATCGGCGGGAGCAGTTACATTGGGAGAACAAAAAGAAGGGCATACTTCCGATTTTCTGAACATGTCCCGAAAAGCCTATGTCTCAAGGGAACAAAATCGTATTATAGTGCTATTACCAAACATCTCGATACTGTTCATGACGTGGAAATAGCGAAACCCTTTAAAATTATCAATAGACAAAGGAGCTCAATTCTCCTCAAGTTTGTCGAAGTAATTTCTATCAAACGCTTGAAATCAGATTTATGTGTTCAGAAAGAAGCAGTGATTAGTCTTCCTTTGCCCACCTGGTAACTGGATGTCTCTATTCTCTCATTTGATTACGTAGTCTTTGTCTTTAACCTCACCCTCCTTTTATAATCTGTAATTTTGCTTGTCTCTTGTTTCTATGATTTGAGTTGAACTCAGTACATTGTTACCTAATTTGTTAGTCACTCTGAATCTAACGCATATCTCGTCTTCATTACGTAACCCCTGTAACATTGTATGCATACATTCATTTCTGTTTAAACTTGAACTGCCTATGTAAACACTAAATAAGTGCAATTTTCTCAGCACTGTTCATCACCAATTGCGGAACTTACTGTCAACTGACATCATGAAAAAATTTGCAAGTTTGTTAAAATTTTTCTGTACGTAAACCTCACAATATATTTAGGCTGTAAGCAGCTGATGAGAAGCCTACGAAATAAATGATGGTACCATATTATTCTGCACAAACCACTGTTGTTCTTGCTTTATTCAAATTCATCAAAGGGAATAAATCCATGAAGACCATCTAAGTACCATGCCGCCGCTTCTTTGTTTATTCGTTCTGTATATCCTATCAGTTGTTATTTCAATTGGTATTATTATTATTATTATTACTACTGCTATCACGTTTACTTTGAATAATTTCCGGTATTATCCCCCCCCCCCGCTTGTCACTGGCTTTATTTATTTGAACTATATACTATCTGTGTATCTTAGAATGTCATCTTAATTTAACGTTTTAATTGCTTAATGATCTCATTTATCATCCGTACATTCTCTTTCTGTGATCTATACATTCTATAAACTGTATATATGTTCAAACCAAGTTCACTTTTAACAGTTTGAAAAAATTTCGGCATTGGGTATATGTGATATTCATCCATTATATAATAAAGGTTGCTTTTGTATTTCTCAATGATTGAAAAACAAACCGATATTGTCGTTTTTACTGACATTTCGCTATTCATTAATGCTGCTGCTAATAGCTTTATCAAAGCAGTGCTATTAATTTGCTATAGTTTGGTTTATAAGGGTTAGTTAGTTATGTTTTTACGAGTTGATCACGGATTGATATCAGTTAGAGAACTCGTAAAAACATAACTAACTAACCCTTATAAACCAAACTATAGAAAAAAATTAATATGATGCTCGCTAGTGACTGACTTGCTACAGGATGGAGTTTCCTGGAGTCAGTTCTAGTGAGAAGTCGTGACCAGTGAGGTCCATTCAGATGGCACGTGTGAGGATGGATGTCCCACCAACGACAATAGTTGGGGTCGCGCTAAATCACGAATTGGTAGAAGTTAGAATTCATGTGTTGGCCAATGAAGCGGGTCCCAGTGGGTGGCTGAATGGTATAAGAGCCACCTTGCCTTGTAACCGGAGGGTCCTGGGTTCGAATCCCAGTGGGTGCGTACTGCCGATGATTCCCAAACTAGGATGAAACAGCTGTCCAATACTCCCTGGTTTTCAGTGGTTCTCAAACTGATATCAATACGTGATCAACACGTGAAAACAGTATTATTAAACTAGAATTTACAAAATCCATTCAGCTTATTATATACAACAACTTAATCATCGTTCCTCAGCATGGAGTCATTTTTGCGTTGTCAAATGGGCCAATTGGTAAAGATAACAAAACCAGGTGTAGATTATTGTTGGATTTGATAAGTGTGTAAAATTATGCAAAAGCAGCGTGTGTTTACATAATGAAATTGCTTATCACATTCGTGTTGATTTTGTCATTTTACGGGGGAGGTGTTGTAACCAGGTCAAATTCTGTTTTAGTCCATCATTCCTATTCACCAGACAATTCTATAACCTATTTTATAAATTATGTTTTATCGGTAGAACACAAGCATATGTGGTAGCAGAACTGCTTATCGGCCACTTGATGCATAGATATGCCAAAATAAATCTATCTTATCATTAGAATCAGTTAGCCTAGACGAAATGAAGGACTACAACCACAAGAAGTTAATGATTACGCCTAGTGTTCAATCAAATTGTATCTATTAAAGTCCCTACATGAAGTCAGTCATGAGTCTGAATAACTCAGTGATAACAGCTCTGACTGCAGAAGTGGAGGACACGAGTTCAAATCTGAGAGTGGACAAGAATTCCTTCAATGTGATTGCAGACATGCGCGCCTTGCTGACCACCGATGAGTGCCAGCAAACACGAAACTTAGGTTCAAGCTTTCCTCTGGATTGCTTCTAATCATCTAACAACAAATCACTACCTATACTCATCATAAATATTTTTTCATCTCTTACACAAAAGAAAAAAATTAATAAGCACTTAGTCGATAAGTCTTTCCTGCTTCACATAAAGTGACAACGATCTACAAAAAACTGCAGTTTTATTGTGTCAATTTCACCACGAGCTGAGCTGATATCAGTTACTGAACTACTTAAAAGCACCAGCGAGTACTGGATAGCGATTTCGTCTTAGATTGAAACTTTCCTGAGCAGTGTTCACTAATGAGCAGTTTATTACCGACTGAATTTAGGACATTCGGGCTACTACTAGGCGAGTTCGTTGATCAGTCACAGATACTGGAATGGAATCCACTGACCCGTGAACTCTAACATCTGTCAAGTAGCAGTAATTAATCCAAGTTGTGTAATATTCCTTAGGTTTCCAACGATTTTCCAACTGACGTGTCCCTTTGTGACGAAATGTTTGTTGAAATTTAATGGAATTCCTGAATATCCGTCAGTCATTAATGGGTACAGGATGGATTTCCTGAGATTCTAGTGAGACGTGGTGGTTGGTGTAGTCTACCATCTCAGCAGTAAAACGGATAGTCATCGATGACATCTGTTGTCGGTGGTGTTATATCAGGAACTGACAGGAGTTACAAATCAGCGGTCATTGGACTTTAACCTACTGGCTGAATATAAGTCCATCTGCTCGACTTGTAACTTGGAGGTCCTGTATCCTACCCCCCGTGGGGTGATGAGTGCGCAATGCTGAAGAGGACACCAAATTAGGACCAGTACAGTATCATGGTTTATAATGATTCTCTAACGGATGGCGGTTAGTGACATAATCCCTATAAAACCAAAAATTGGAATATATACATACATTACCAACACTATACACAGCGTCGGTGGCATGGCCGCAGAATGCTCGCCGACCAGGCATGTCGTCCGAGGTTCAATCCCCGGCCATATGAGGCTAGCAATCCCATCCCATAACAAATAAACACCACTACTACCGAAACTTCAAGCCTCTAGCTTGAATGCACCCTATGTTCCACTGGCAACGTGAAGGAATAAAAAAATACACAGCTCAGTATTATTGAACATATTCTCATCCAAAATATAGTGTAAATAAGAAAAGTGGAAAACAGGAAGTGAAAACCAATTAATTACCTGCCATATACGCAATGTGCTTTCAGTTAATGAATATGTGGCCACTTGTCGACCATCCGAATGAAAGCAGACAGCAGTTACAGGACCTTTGTGAGCCATAGTCACCTAAAAGAATAAATTATAAGTAATAATTAACTAACTCTGTATTGAATATAAAATGAAGAAAAAAAGATAAAATATAGAGAATAATGAGCCAATCAAACGAGCACACGAATGACCTTGATGAAGCAGCCAATCAGAGCAAGGTATTACTGGTACGCCCAAGTAGATAGACAGAAAGAAATCAAGTGGCTTGAACTTATCTAGCTGTCTGAGCTAAGTTAATCAAACCGGCCACTTTGCTAATGAGCTTGACCACCCAAACAAGTAAAATGGCCGTCTGGTGTTTGGCTCACTTCAATCTGGTTGGCTAACAAGCACTACCGGTTGATGTGAGTAGTATACAACTACTCAGTCAGTAGTATATAGTTTCATGTTGTAAAAATGACTTCCAATTTCATATGGTAGTGCAGGTAATTTTCATTTACATAATTATTGTTTGGGGGGTGGGGTGGTAAAAGCTAGGCGGTTAAGATTTAGGTTAAGAATTGGCTTAAGCCAGCCACATTTTCAAATTCAATGAATACATTAGAAGTGAATTGGTGGATGGTTACTAGCAGTGGAATCCAGGATGCGCATTTCGTCCGAACCTCGGTGGGGACATTATCACTCAGTGTGGAATGCAAGTACACCCAGATGACGAGTCCCAAACAGGACGAAATGCGCGTTATCCTGGATTCCACTGCTAGTCACTATCCACCAATTCACCTCTAATTACATGCCCAGACATCGTCGAAGCATATGAACAAGAAGCCAACAGACATGTCAACCTGAGACCGAGCACTTCGGTCCACTCAATCGACGGGAAAATCTGAAATCGAATTAAATAAAGGAATGCATTGTGTAATAAATAAGATTATTTCGTTATGAACTCTATTATTACCCAAAAGAATTCTGATTGGCTGCTTCAAGATAATCTGTGTGTCTATATATCACCATGGCTCCATATTCTCTAGCTGATTTTAGAAAAAAAATGTCAATGATGACAAGTAAAGGTCACAAGAATGTTCTAGAAGAGTGAACAGCAACCTAACACTTTGTCATGAATGAAAAGAGAGATACAAAGGTTCATAAGAGTCATAAGCAAGGAAATAAGTAGTGTACAATCTGATACAAAATGCATGTTTCGTGACTGTAACGAAATGGGATAGAGTTGTGCCGCCAAATCATTTTTAAACATCTCAGGCGTAACTTGGATTTTGATGTTAGAGATTACGAAAACTGTGGTCAGGCCACAATGTGGTGTTTATGTATATTTAGTACTCATTCCAACTAGTGCGTCGGTGGTACAGCGGTAGAATGCTCGCCAACCCCCCCCCCTTAATGTGGTTTGGGGTTCGATCCCCGGCCGACACACTCCTCCTTTACCTCGAAGGTTAGGAATAAAACTGGTTAATATGGAAGGGTGGGCATCAGGCTAGCAACCCCACCCAGTAAAAATATATACCACTGCTACTGAAACTTAATAGCTCTAGACTGGAGTCCTATATTCCACTAGGAGAGTAAAGGAATAAACAAAAACTTGTTTCAACTGGCCGAAATATGTAGTTACAGTTAAGTTTAAGAATGCTCAAAACAGATAATCCCTCTGATTTTAATCGCATAAATAATCTTCTTTATAACGTGTTAAACTTAACAGATTATTTATGTGTTAGGCTATAAGGGTTGGTGGTGACTAAAATCTTATAGCTGAAAAAGACACCCTCCGTTTTCTTCATAGCCTAGAAATCACTCAAGGTCCATGTTAAATGTGCTGTAAAGACTATGTATTACAACGTTCAGGTGACGAGTTTAGGTTGTTTTTTTCTTTATTCCTGACATTCCAAATGAAACATAAGGCACCAAGGTTTGAAGTTTCGGTGGCGGTGGAGTTGTTTAAACAGGGTGAGACCTTTTTTCTGACCTTCCTACTAGTAACTAGGTGAGGTAGGAGTCGAACTCAGACCACATGAATGATTAATTTAACTATTGAAGCACAATGAGTTTAGGTAGTACTGTAACGACAGCAGACAAGGGCTAGGCAACAGATTGTTTATTAAGAAAATCAAGAGATATGTTTAGATTTTGATATGCATTATTGTCCGCGGAGAAGCAACGTCTTCTGATTCGTCGCTTTCTTGCTGACTGTTATTCTGTATTGCTCAGCACCGTTTCTTAGAAAGTTAAGCCATATATGTACGAATCGTATTTACACACGTGATTGGTTGGTGATTTTCTCAAGATTAAGCTTTGTTGTTGTTTTTTCTGATGATCCCAACTCGGGACGTAGACAGTGACGAAAATTGTTGTCTACAATCGTTGGCTTGCAGACAGCTCTCACCACACTACTACTACAAAACGCTCAATGAATGACACAGTTTCCACCATTAGTACTTTATCAAGAAATACCTTTTCAACTGAGAGATACTGAATATAAAATTTACGAGATAAACAAACACTGAACACCAGCAGAATAAGAAAAAATACACCAAAAAAACACATTAAAACTCACAAAATAACGTCCAATTTTGAAGTCATAAAATGTTAACGAACCATTCACACCACCTGTACACACTTTCTGTAAACGTGTATGACTAGAATATGAATGGAATCTGAAAAAAGGTGAACAATTAAAATAAATTTTAAAAAAAAGATAGTTGAGAGAAAAAGATGATGACTATGTGTGCTTTGTAAAAGATTTTTTAACACTACAGCCTACTAACCCGATAGGCTATAACGAATCAAAATTATTGGAGGATTGTATAAAATAAATATCGATTACCTGTGTAATAGGCGTATTTAATCAACCAATCAGATTACAGCATATATCAGATAAGCGTCAGTGTCAATGCTATTAGTGTCTATGATACTATTTTGATTATTATTATTATTATTATTATTATTATTGTGTGAGTCCTCTGAAATACTAGTTAAGGGCAAGACAAATAAATCTACTGAGGAAACTGTCAACTCTGCACTGCACATAATTCTATTGCGGGAATATTACAGCCAGATTTGTAAGGATTTTCATTTGCGCCATCTGATCTTGCATCCGTAGTGAAGGCAGTCGTTGATGAAGGTCTATAGTAAGTAGCCGGTTAGAAATGCTTTTCAGTGGTGCACCGCACTGTGAATGGCGGTGTGACATTGGTGTTGAAAATGCGAATCGTGTTTCTGATGCTGAGTGTGAAACAAACTGGCAGCAAATTGATTTCAAAGTAATATTGTAACAACAGAAGACAAGGGCCAGCCAGGCAACACAGATCGTTTATTAAGGAAATCAACACACACATATTTATAGATTTTCATGTACATTATTATAGATTATTGTTAGCAGACAAACACAGTCTTCTGATTGGTGGTTGTTTCTCACTGAAAGTTAATCTTTCATCTCTTTGTGACTGTTTCTTGAAGGTCAGATCATCTGCTATCTGCTAATTGTATCCGCCTACGCAAAATGTGCTGTGATTGGTTGTTGAGTCAGTCTTTGTTCTTATTTTTCTCATGACCAATATTAGGGACGTCGTCATCAATCACTGTGGGTGTAGGTACAGTCAGAAAACGAGTCCCAAATAGGATGAAACGCATATCCTTGATTTCATCCCTGACTACCACCAATCAGGTGACAGTATAGTTTATGAACTAATTATATATCTAATAGAATCTCTAATAGGATGGGATAATAATTCAAGTTTATTCCTTCCTTCGCATTCCTCGTCGGGCAATGTTAGCTGATATAGGGTCGGGCAGTAAAACAGTTCGCTAGCGGTGGTCAAACCAAAACATGGCACCAGGCAATGAAATTCACAAAAGTTAGTTTAAGCCACGTAGGAAGGTGTATACTTCCTGACCGGTTGGAGTCCTCGGGACAGTAAAACCCAATGACGGCGGTTGGAGACAATTGGTGCTATAGCTCAAGATCGTTCTCAATGGATAGTGCAGATGCATCCACTCCTTGTGACTTATAATACCCAATGAAACTGTTTTGCTTTTCCATATTACTATTCTTCTTGCCTCATATCTCTGTCTACTGTCTCTATTTTGTATTTCTTCTACTTTCTTCTCTTGCTTTGTGTGCTACATGAAGGGAGTGTGGCGACTTGGACTGCTGCACATCGGTGCAAAGTTCTATGTCGAAAGCAGACAGACAGGCCTTCTAATAAGCAATTTGGAAACTATGTCATTTTGCAAACCCTTATAAACTTCTTTCAACAGCTATGCGATGGCAACAACTGATGTCAAATGATTCACAACGGAAAGCTCAGTGAAGCCTTTTGAAGTGAAGATAGAAGACAAGTGCCTATGGGGAGCGAGATGTGTATACTATTGGACCGACAAAAAGACACTGGGAGATCTGGACTTCGTGGAGGACTTATGTATGAATATGACGTACTCGAAAAGATACAGACGAAAACCAACAAGTTGGAAGAAGAAGAAGAAGGGGCTGACAGCGAAGAGACGGATTCAAGTAAACATAGTGAAGAAAGGGGTGATGAAGACGCCTAACCAATGAAAACAAACATCAACAGGGGAAATCTAAAGGAGATCACCTCTCCCAGCGTTCGGAAAAGCGAAATAGACCTATATAACTCTAAAATCAGTGTAGGGGAACAAGATCTTAATTTTAAACACTTATATTAAGTTTGTGCTGTTTCTATGTGGTTAAGAGATTAGGGGAGTCACGAAAAGGCACTTTCCAACAGGTTATTGCAGATTTTTATCAATATCTATCTTTAGATGCATCTGCATCCCCAGGTAGCATCGCCTCCGGCTAACAGAACTGACATCTAGGCTCGATATAATTAATTAACAGTAACTGTAACAAACAATAACAACCCCGTTGCACAGGAGGTGGTTATAGAGTGGCCCAGTAACCTAATGGATAACTTTATGGCGTTTGAAATAATGCCTAATGGACTCAAATCTCAGGAGGAACATCATCCACCATCTATTGAGGATGTAGGGATAGGCAGTTCCAAATATGACGAAGTGTTCATCTTTGATTCCAATGTTAGTTATCACCAACTAGATAATATCATATCTGTACCAAGGTATCATGGCAGCATCCATCCATCTTCTGAACACCTTGAGCTGCAATCTACGAATGTTTGGCATGCGATTCGCTCCCGCCAAATGCAAGATGAAGTTACAGGATTGGACTACACCGACTCCTAGATTAGAAATAGGGAGTGAAGTGGTAGAGCACGTTGACCGCTTCACTTATTTGGGAAGTACCATCAGCCCCAACGGGTTGATCTCTGACGAAATCTCAGCACGGATACAGAGGGCTAGTTTCGCATATGCCAGTTTACTCCGTCTCTGGCGTAGACGGGATAACTGACTATGGACCAAAGGGCGGGTGTACTGCTCATCAGTCCGCTCTGTCCTCCTTTATGTCTGTGAGACCTGGCCATTGAGAGCAGAAGACATGAAAAGATTAGCTGTCTTTGATCATAGGTGTCTGCGTTCTATCTCCCGCGTGAAGTGGTATAATAAGGTGAGCAATATTGAGGTTAGGCGTCGAGTGCTAGGTAAGGCGGGGAAATCAATCGACGAGACGGTGAAATTACATCGACTGAGATGGTTAGGACATGTGTTACGTATGCCTAGTCATCGCCTTCCTCGACAACAGGCAATGTTAGCTGATATAGGGTCAGGCTGGAAAAGAGCTAGTGACGGTCAAACCAAAACATGGCACCAGGTAATGAAATCCGCAACAAATAGTTTAAGCCACGTAGGAAGGTGTAGACTTCCTGACTAGTTGGGGTCCTCGGGACGGTAAAAACCAATGAAGGCTGGAAACAATTGGTGATATGGCTCAAAATCGTTCTCAATGCCTAGCACAGATGCACCCACTCCTTGTAACTTATGATTTCCAATGAAACTATATTGTTCTTCGTTATTACTATTCCTTTGTCTCACACCTCTTTTTACTGTCTTTAATATGCATTTCTCCTACTTTCTTCTCTTGCTTTGTGTGCTACATGGAGGGAGTGTGGCGACTTGAACTGCCGCACATATGTGCAAAGTTCTATGTCAAAAACAGACAGACATCCGGACCAACTGAAAGACAACCGTGTCAACAGAGGTGAAACACATTCAGACTTCAATATAAATAAAATGAATCAACGCAAAACACACAATAACTTTAACAAATAGAACACATATATAAGAAGGGGTATTTTTAAAAAAAATGCTGTGTATATTAATATATATATATTTTCAACTCACGGTGTCAACGCTGGGAATACATAGTCTAATCCACGTTCTTTCAGACGTGTACGATCAGAGCAGGCTAGAATAACTTCAACAACTTCAGGTAGAACATCTTTAATATCAGATGGTCGACGAATACACAATTGTTCAAATAAACGTAACACTTCTTCACGAGCTTTAAACATTGGTGGACAATTTGAATTATGCATAGCTGACATATCTCCACCTGTTTAATTTTTAAAAAAAGCGCTGATATAGTTTAAATTTTATTCTAAAATGACTATCATTGTGATAGCTAACATTAAGATGATTTGAATTGACAAGAAAATTGGTAAATGGATACGATCTCAATCAGAGGCAAATATGTTATGGTAGACCCAACGATGATTGAGAAACAGGGGAATTAAGTGAGCTGAATCTGGTACAAATCCTACTAACTCATCATTTCACTGTAATCACCATGAGTAATAACCAGCTGTCTGTCCAAAATTGCCTGAGTAATTCTAGCTACTGATTAACAACCTGCTGGTCGACTTGTTCTAATTCAGTATGATTAGACTTGATAGGAAAAGACATTGCTGGACAGCTAGTGTGATGATTTTGTACAGACAGTAAGAGGTATCACTCATTCATTCAGATGACGGCTAGGAACTACCCATTGCAGCTGCGTCAAATGATCACCTCATTAACAAGTGGATCGCGTAGATCATTTAGTAGAGAGACGTAGTAGTAATCTAGAGGCTGCTTGTTATGAATGCCAACCCATTACATCAATAAACGTCTACCAGGCAAGTAAAGGTTATCTCTCAGATAATCTCTCCATCAGTTAATATATAACTGCGCGTTGAACATCACCGCGAATACAGTATACAACTACTTGAATCGCAGGCAGGCCACTCCAAAGAAGACATGCACAAATCATTGAATTATGAATACAAAATATACGGAGTCAATATTCACACCGACCTATATTACACTAATTATTATACTCGTGATATCCGGCTGTCGACCAAAGGTGTGTACTGCTCAGCAGTTCGCTCTGTCTTCCGTGATGGCTAGCTGTGATACATGGTCATTGAAATTGATCATAGGTGTCTGCGTTCTATCTCCCCTGTTAAGTGGTATAATAGAGTGAGCAATATGGAGGTTAGGCGTCTAGTGTTAGGTAAGAAGGAGAAATCAATCGATGGGATCGTGAAGTTATATAGATTGACAGAGATGGTTAGGACATGTGGCTACGCATGCCTAGACATCCATCGCCTTCCTCGACAATGGACAATGTTAGTCGCTAACATAGGATCAGGTTGGAAAATAACTAGCGGTGGTGGTCAAACGAAAACATGGCTCTACCAGTCAAAGAAATCCACAACAGTTAGTTCAGACCGGCCGACCGGCCAGCCACGTGGGAAGGTGTACATTTCCTGACTCGTTAGGGGTCCTCGGGATGCTAGGAACCGATGACGGCTGGCTAGCGCAGATGCAATCACTCTTAGTGATTTTTCATATCCAATAAAATTCTATCGTTTCTTCATATTACTACTATTCTTTTTCCCTCACATTTCTGTTTATTATCTCTCCTTACTCATACAATGAGAAATATCTGTCCAACTCAAATAGTTTTGAACGATATTTCCATACAATATAAAAAGATAGCTTATGAGAATATCCGAAAACGTCTTTATCAAGTAATAATATACCTTAGATATAATGAGTGACGATTGAAGATGAAATGAAAATCTGAGCTGAGATATGATACCATTCTAACCAGACGCCTCTGATTAGATACACAAATTGCACCGATTTTATTCTAAAAGCCCATTTAATTAATGTAATCCTAAAGCTTCTATATCCCTATTGTCCGAATATCAGAAATGCAACCATATCAGCAAAAAGAGCATTATCAACCACCAATGAACTCAACACTGTATGTCAGGGAATGTCGTCCACTTCATTGCCTACCGAGGCTGGCGTCCCTCAACGCACCTTTCTTTCTCCTTTTCTGTTTTCTTTCTTCTTGCATGACTTGCCTCACACTGATGACGAAATGAACTTTGTTAAGTATGCCAACGATCTAACTATTTCAATGTCTGTTAACACCCAGCTAGAACTGTACTAAGATGAACAGCTTTCTATCAGCAGTCAGCAAATGGTCTTAAACTAAATCCTTCCAAATGTCAGTTTCCAATGTAAAAGAAAGTTAAACGAAGCTGTTGGTTCCTATGACCCTTGCAAAATTGGTGATAGTGATATAGAAATCAAGTCAGAAGTTAAGTATCTTGCATTAATTCTTTCTTCTGACCTATCCTGGTCTTCCCATGTCTCAACGATTTCTAAAAGAATATTTCGTCTGACTTTTTACACTAAGAAGTTAAGGCACTCAGGCATTACCCAACCCCTCCTCTTACAGTTTGTCAACTCGTGCATCTTACCTACTCTTCTTTACTGTTCACCCTTATTCTTTCATAAATTACTTGAAAAAGATTATGTCATACTTCATAGAACTCTGAAGACTGTCGGTCAGTAGGACGAGTGGTATCCTATTGGGCCATATCGTTGACATTGTCATTGATAGACACTTGATCTCATGCAACAAATTTTGCTAAAGGAGTTTTGTCAGATTCTGAGCACCCAATCTACCCGCCGCTCCAACCTTGTGTCTCCTCAGGTAAAACAAGAAGTCTTTTCAGAAGAATTTGTGCACGTACGTCTAAGTATAAAACTTCCACTATACCATAATTGGCACGTACTTTATGTGATGAAAATAGTGTTAGGCATGAACTAACTAACTAACCTTCTTTGCACTACTAAATAAACCATCTCCTCCACCCTTACAACATCAACCTTTATTGTTATTGTACTTCTTATATTCATAATCCTCTCGATTTTTTGTTCTTATTTGTTTGTGTGAACATCATTTAAGCTGTGTTATAACTGTTAATTTTGTATTTCCCCTCACTATACTATATCAAAAGAACATTAGATTCAATAATCTATAACATGCTAAAATTTCCAAACTGAATCGACAATACTGTTTGAAACAAACTCACTGTTATTATTATTATATTTAATATTCTCATGCCGTACTTCGAATATTTTTGACCTTATATCGTAAATGTGGACAAATTCCTCTGGTTAATTTTGTTTTAATTTTTAATTTTATTTATATTTTGAGTAAGCCAGATGCGAGATATTGTGACAAATGCTGAGAATTTCATTCTGTATTATAAGTACTGTCTGTTTTGGAATGAAATAGATTATTATTATTATATCTAGTGGTAACTGGTACTATTTATCCAGAGAAAAAATGCAATCATTCGTAACTGATACACCTTTATAATGTGAAGATTTGAAATTTAGAACTAATGACTATGAAAACACTCAAGGAGTCGATGAACAGAAGCAACAGACACACACTATTTAAGAACAAAACTGTGACTATAAGTCAGACAGTAGAATTTACCTCCATGTCCAGTAGTTGTACGATTAACAGCATTATTAGGAGAAAACACAGGCGTAGCAACTGTTGGACCAGACATCATCACTACCATATTTGATGATGACAGTGATGATGAGTGTAATTCATTTCCAGCAGTCACTGAATCACGACGTGTAGTATTATTATTCGCCAAGTGATCAAGATCCCGTGAAAGTGAATTTGATCTATTCCACATTTGATTGGTTAAATTTGATTGAGATGGAACTGACACTCGATTGATGCTAGACGATGATGTTGATGATGATGCCGACGCGGCTGCATAAATCTGTGCACCATAACGTCGTACTTCAAGGGATAAAGCCAAAGTAATTACTTTTGGTCGAGCGAATGCAATCGCCCATAAAGCTTCACGTGCTGTACGCGCTAGATCGACTCGATCAGAGAGAAGTAGACGTGATGCATCACTAATAGGAAAAAAAGATAAACAAAAAGACAAAAGGAAACATAACAATAATACAGATAATGCGAAATAAGTGTATAAAGTAAACTCTAATAAGATACTATACAACAATCCATTTGAAATTATTCCGTATAATTATGACTGACAGAAGACCTAAGAGAGAAGATTTGTAACTCAGCTGGAGGATTTTGATTTGATTGTGCTCTCTAAGCTGGTCGGTTTGATTCCGAAGCTTTCGCTGTCATTCTAGACAATATCTTCAGTGCAGGTTTTAATATAAAATGAACTTATTTGAAATCTCTGTGAATGATCTAATTGTGTCTCCCGGCCAGCATTGTTGTGATTGGTTGTTGATTTACGTGTCTATTGATCATTTTTTATTGACTTGGATTTTGAACTTTCTCATCATGTTATTTACGTTTTATTAGCTGATGGTAAATTCGGTCTAAAGCAATGTGTTTGTTAACTGCTAATTCACTCGAGTTCCAGGCTTATAGGAATTCCCTGGCATCAATTTCACATTATCCCAATCATTAAATCGGTGTCCATAATTATCCGCATGCATTGATATGAAAGAATATAAATTATGTCTTTTTACAGTCAGTTTGTGTTCTTGCATTAGGATTCGAAGGGGACGCCCAATCTGTTGACCGATGTAATGTCCGTTACAGTTCATACATGCAATTTATTTTGTAAATGATATTAATTTTATCTTCTTTTTCTGTTGGATCTTTTGGTTTCCACAATATCGAATGCAGTGATTGTGTTGGCTGGTTGTCTAGCTTGTGTGCTATACGTATTTCAGATGGTTTCAATATTCTAGCTGTTATTTCAGAGATATTTTTTATATATGGTAGGATGAATTTTCTTGTAGTCTTTGATGATGGTTTCTTGTTGGTGTTCTGACTCGATTTTAAACACTTTTTGATGAAATGGTGAGGATATCCATTCTTGTTGAGTATGGTTAATAAGTATTTTTCCTCCATTCTCAATTCAACTTTAGAGGGCTACAGTGTGTTTGAATTCTTTTAAACAATGTCTGCACACAGTTTCTTTTGTGGTTAATTGGGTTGGGTTATTACTACTATATTTAATTGAATTTTAGATTTTCCCGTCGATTGATTTGACCGAAGTGCTCGGTCTCGGGTTGAAACTACGAGCACTGGGTTCGAGCTTCGGTGGGAACATCATTGCTCACTGAGAAATGCAGGTACATCCAGCTGATGAGTCCCAAGCAGGACAAAATGCGCATCCTGGATTCCACTGCTAGTCACCATCCACCAATTAAATATTACTACTATAGTTTAGTATTTGGTCTGTGTGCATTGATTTTCTACATACTTATGTTTCAAAAATTTTCTGTGTTAGTTCTCTTGATTCAGTAAGACATCCAAGAATGGAATTTTTTATCTGATTCTTCTTCTCTCGTGGTATACCGTTGACTAATTTATGGGTGTGTTCTAAAACACTTCTAATTATAACAAAGCTGTCATGAACATAACGGACTTAGATTTTCAGTTTGATTATGGGTAGAGCTATCAATTCTAGTCTTTGCATAACCGCTTCAGCAATTCGCCCTGATTGATTTTTTTTTTTTTTTTATTTACAGCTTGATTCCACACCGTATTTTCAGTACAAGTATGGAATTTTCAGCATGGATATCGGTAGCCCAAATTCAGGCCGACCATAGATATCGGGTGTGCGCCGGCAGGGGATCGAACCCCGGACCATGTGCATGGTCGGCGGGAGTCCTAACCACTGTGCCACCGATGATCCCGTTGGTGGTCCTTTTATTTGTTCGTATATCTGGTTATTGAAATGGAACTATGTTATAAGGCATAATTCTATGAGTTCTTACCAGGTTGGAAATTGTGTTTTTGTGTTGGATACTTTCTTTGCAGCCTGCTTGAAACCTGGGCTAACAAAAAACTCCCACCTCTCTCTCTCTCTCTGTTGCATTTATTTTCTCTCCTTCGGTTTGTTTTAATTGATTAACACATGACATCTATTGGTATTATCTACTCTTGTGTGTATTTAAAATGTTGACAAGCTTCTGATTCGCAAGTTGAGGAAAGGCTTAACTGTGAGTGGCAACGTATTCCAATACATGAGATAACTATTCTTCAGCTATGTCCTTCGGTCTCAAAATGTACTTCTGAATATCTTACAATTCGCTTTCAACTAGATTTCGCGGATTTCTTCAAGGAGAGAGACAAAGCAGATATATCACATAATGGAGTGGTTTATGCTTCAGATCAGGGACCATTGTGTCACAGGATATACTGTCAGCGAAGATATTGTACGAAGGGAAGATATCATGCAACAAACTCCTCTGAAAATTTTGTACATTTTTATAAATGCTGTCCAGAATAAAGACGTCATTATTACTACGACATAAACAATTCACAGTGCATTTTGGCCAATTCCTTTCAGATAAACTAGAAAATAGATCTCTGAACAACTTTATCAGAAAATTCTCATTTTATTGCCGGTATATCTATAGATGACACCTTTATTCTTTGTGATGAAGATTCGGATAGGGACACAATAATAATTGAATTCAATGAATTTGAAGTGTGAAGAGGAATCCCAAAGTAGAATTGCATTCCTGGATGTCCTACTTACAAGAAAACCACATGGTAGTATCAAGATAAATTTGCATAGAAAAAGTACATGGACAGGATAATATACGCATTTTCACAGCTTCGTTCCTCTCCAGTACAAAAGAAATTTAGCAAGGACACACTCAGCCACAGGGTTAGAGCTATATGCTTAGAAGAGGCAACTGAAGATGTATATGACACCCTTATTGAAAATAGCTATCCAGCAAAGTTCATCAAGAAACACATGACCAGGAAAGCAGAAAAAGACTATTCTCCATCTGTGAACAAGAAGCCTTTACACACACGACTGCAATTTAAGCGTGACGTACCTAGTGAAATAATTGCCAACAAGTTAAGAAAATCTATTCAAAGAACTTTTAATACTGGCAAACTACAAGTCATATTTTCTATACAACCGAGGTTGCGAATGTCTTAAAATATTTCCGATTTGTTTGCTTAAATGCTTAATAATTAATTCTTTATCGTCACTCTTACGTGTTCAGTGGCACTCAACTACGTTGCTTCTCATCAAGTTTCAAACCATCACTTTCATTGTGTCATTAATGAATATGCCAATTATTTCCCCATCTTTAGAAACCATCTCTGGTTAACTGCATCACATATGTCACACACACACACACTCCATACTACTCAACTATAGACTTGTGTATGTTTAAGTAGTACATCAGTGGCCTAGAGTTCAATGCTAGGTAACCACGCCACATGCGGTCCAGGGTTAAATTCCCGGTCGAAACACTACCAAACCTCTATTAGCCAGCAGTACGTCAGGTAAAGACAGAAGGTTGGATGTAAGGCCGGTAACTCCACTATTATTATTATTATTCCCTTGGGTTCCGAGTGAAACATAACATTTCAACAACACATCTCCACTTTCTTCCGTTTCTGCTGTCCTATTCGCCTGGGTCCACGATTGATCGTAATCTCTCATCTCCTCCATGTCACCCTTGACCCACGACCCACTCATCGCTTCCCATTGGGGTTCCGCTCCAGCAATAGCCTGTTTTGAGCACGATGTCATTCGACGCCCTCTTCAACGTTTTTCCGATCCATCTCCATTTTCTCCTACATATTTGTTGAGCAATCGGTTCTTGGTTGGTTTGTTCCACTACAGAATTTCTTCTTGCTAACTCTTTCTGGCCGGTCAGCTGGACATTTGATCTTCTGTATGGAGCCAGCGAAGGTGGCAGCTGTTGATAAAAGTCTGCAGTAGTCTGTTGGAAATCTCTTTCACCAACTTGATATTTGTGTTGAACAGAATCCGAATCTTGTTCTTCATGTTGGCTGAGTCAGCGCAGATTTCCAAACTGGTTTCAGTTTGATGAAGGCGTGTCATGCCTCTCCGATTCTGACTGGCTGATTGGATGACTTTGACATCTTCATCCATTTCGACTGCCTGTTGTTGAAACGATACTTCCTAGATGAGTGAAGGGAAGAAGTAACCTCTGACTAATCTCTCCCGTTGATAGTCGTTAGTGTACTGGTTGTTGATGTTGTTGCTCTTGGTTGGTTGGTTATCTTCATCACCTTCGTCTTCTCTCTCTATGTTCACCTGGAGTCCTGGCTTCGCTACACTGCTTCTTCAGCCAGTTTGTTGGTTTTCACCAAACAACTACTAGTACTACTGAAACATGAAAGCTAAAGTTTGAAGATATATTATTTGATTTTATTATTATTGTTTCCTTTAATTCCTAGAGGAACATAGGGCTTCAGCCCCACGTCTCCATTGCGTTCGGTTCTCTGCTAGAATCTTCACCTGGCTCCATGTCTGCCCATACGTTTTCATCTCCTCTTCACATGACCTCCTCCCAGTCACCCTTGCACTGACGACCAACTCGCCGCTTCCCTTTCGGGTTCCGCTCGAGCAATGGCTTGTCTAGTGATGTCACTTGGTGGTTTCCTCAGAGTATGGCCAATCCACCTCCATTTCTTCCTGGTTGGTTCGCTCCCAAAGATCCCTGTTGCTGATCTTTTCTGGCTGGCCATCTGATCTTGAGTATTGAGCGAAGACAACTGTTAATGAAGGTCTGTAGTTTGTTTGAGATGCTCTTTATGACGCGCAGTGCAAGTCTCTGATCCATATAGTAGCACTGACTGACTTCACATTGGAGTTGAAAATCCGGATCTTATTTTTGATGCTGAGTGTTGTTGACCTCCACACAGACTTGAGAGTAGTGAAAGCTTGTCTTGCTTTCCCGATCCTCGCTGATTTGATATCCTCGTCAGTTCCGCCTGTAGTTGAAACGATGCTTCCCGGGTAGGTAAAAGAGGTTGTTTCTTTCAGGTTCCTTCCATTTATGCTGATTGTTGTCTGTTGTTGTTGTTGCTGTTGGTGGTGTTGGCCAGGAATCTTCATCACCTCTGTTTTCTCAATGTTCACCTGAAGTCCTATCTTCTCTGGATGTTTCATCTGCCAACTTGTTGCTTTTCACTTGCATATCTTCCAGTTTGTGGGAAATCAGACATATATCATCGACGAAGTCCAGATCCTCCAAGTTTTTGTGTGAGTCCATTTCATGCCTGTTTCCTCATTGCCCACCGCTGTTTGTCGCATTATCCAATCTACTGCAATCAGGAAAATCATTGGCGATAGTAGGCAGTCTTGTTTTACTCCTGTCCTCAGGAGTTCCACTCAAAATGCACAGAAATGATTAAATAAAGTCAGATTTTAGTCAATATCAATACGACAGGATAGCCATTTTGAAAATACACTCTAATACAATACAATAAGTATAGGCAACAACACAACAACGACAAAAAACACAACTACCTTGACATTAATAATTCTGCATCAGCAGCTAGCAGTAGCAGAGCATTAATCACTTGACCAACATCAACATACGGTTCCCAAACAGGAAATCCTCGACCTAATAAATCAATTGCAGCCCGTCTTAGTGTACTATTCACATTTGATGTTAACAATGTAATCAAGGCGTTTGCAGCATACACAGGCAATGGTTCAACATGACTGCCAACAATCTGTTCATTCAACTTTCGCCAATTCACTTCAGGATAACTACCATCTGTAGGCAGTAGTGTTGGATAACCTGACAAAGAACAGAAATTAAAATAATCAATAAACTATACAGAAAAATAATATGTTTTATTATTATTATTTATTTAAACACAAAAACACTTGGTACCATATGGCACCAAGAAAATGCGCCACACAATAATAATAAAACAATATGGACTAAAAGTAAAAATATAGTTGTAGAACGGATAAATTACTTCATCTGGAAGGGAAACAGTCATACTTAACAAGTTCAAACAGCATTCATCAATTATCGTGGAGAAGATAAGAAAGAAGGAAATAGCAAATCGTTCGCCATCGGTGACTGAAATTCTTGACCATTTCGAGCTATCTCTCGAACTCCAACCAGGGAGTCGCGACGCACCGACCGATGCTAACATAGTACAAATATTCTTTATCCCACGACACCACTTCGTGGGCTGACAACCTCTACGCTTTTCTTCCATCCCCTCCAGGGGCTGGCTAGCTAACACAGACCTGTACAGAAGCCTCTGGGATGACATTTGCAGCACATGTCCAAGCAACAACCGAAGCCGGTGTTTTCACATGACGACACTCAACAAATGGTGATCTTCACTGTTTCCAAACAGATGCCGTCGAATCTCAGAAATACTCTCGCGATGATGCCATCAAACGCAAGCAATCCTGTGGAAACGGCGATGGTCGAATACGCAGAGGCGCCGTACATCCTTAGCTTGGAAAGGTCAGGTTTCGCAGGCGTAGAGTAAGACAGTCTGCACCGAAGCATCGTATACCCGACCTTTGACAGCTAGGCTAACGTCGCAACGGCGCCATAAAAAAATAAACACTTACGCGTAAACATATATACTGAAGATCAAATTACCAACTGGGAAGGATTAACAGCAAGAAACTCTGAAAACGAATCAACCGAGAAGCTATTGCCCAACAAATGTATAGAAGAAAATGGAGATGGAGTTGACATACTTGCTGAGGAGACCGTTGAGTGACTAATATCAAGCGCCAGGCATAATCTCGAGTGGAACCCGACTGGGAAACCACGAGATAGGCATCTGAGTGTGACATGGAGCAGATCGTATGAACAGGAAATGAAAGTTTATGAGCAATCGTGCGGCTAGCTAAGAAGGACTGAAAAGAAGATGGGATGAAATAGAGATAGCTCTATGTTCCGCTCGAAACTGAAAGGATTAATAATTGCGACCCCGTTTTTTTATCTCAGTTACCAGAAACAGGTTTTTGGCATACCAGACAATTATTTACACTTAATGCTTTAGAGCTAATGATACAACTCAGCTGTCTTAGTTAGAGTGGATGGAGCAGGATTGCTACCTGGCACCTTCCGGCTGATTCTTGAATACCTTATACAATAAGCCAAGTTGTCACTAGAAGCACCTTCACACCTTATCACTTTAAGGTCACCAGAGTAATTGTCAAATAAAACTACAGATTCTAATCTCTAAACAGTGTTTGTCTTTCCTTTTAAATTCAATCACTTTCAAATTATTCGGCTCTCTGAAGTCAGCTAACGGATAAGTTCGATCCCGATTCAGTGTGATGACTGTCAAGTAGACTTCGACCTTTCTCACAGAATGCTCTTATGTCACCGTGCGTTCATAGCCTATTCCACGTAGGTCTTATTCACTGCCTTCAAGCAACTGGGGGAGGGTTCCGCAAAAAAGTGAAATAGTGAATAATAAAATCTGGGTCTTACAACCAAACTGGTATTGTCATTCAGGTCTACCTAGGAGAGCTCGGAAACCCTGATTCCAAACCTAGGTTGCACATGAGCTGCACAATCTGGAACGACTAAACAGCTTATAAACCTGTTTTGCTCACCTTCAACCAACAGAACGCATATCCTGATGCTGCTCCACTCCTTTATCGACTACCAGAAACCAAGTCAAAGGCTCAGTGGTTGTCCCTGAAGACAATCACCTGCTTCAGTCTGGACACCTCGACAGTATCACAGCACAACTTATACGATTTTGTGTGGCGCGTCTCTTGGTGCCCATAATGTACTAAGTTTGTTTTTAATAGTAATAATAATAGTGACAGACCTCACTTACCACCATTGAACAGTAAAGCTGTTAAACACTGACATGTAGATCTAGCTAAATAATAATTATCTAATCCAAAACCATCTTGTATTTCATACGATTGTTGATGCGTAGTAGCAGTAGTGGTAGACGACTCTGTAAAGTTTTCTAAGGATAAACAAGATGCATTCAATGATGATGACGCCGACAGCGACGACGACGACGTAAAACGTGGAAGCGTTAGTCCATAATTTAAATTATCCGCCATCATTTCAGTCGTTTTATCTTGATGATTTGGAATTAATGGGGAAGTGATTAAATCACGTGCAACAACTGCAGGATGATATTGTCTATTATTGTTATCATCATTGTTGTTACTGCTATTATCCGTGTTACGAGTACTATTACCACTTGACCCGAAACGCATACCAATCACTCCCATTAAAACAATTGCCATCGCCTAAAAAATCAATTAAATAATATGCAAAAAGGCATTCTGCATATACTAGCACACCACATGAGAAAAAAGAAATATAATACATACAGTTATAAAAGGCAGTTAATCACAATACTGAAATATAATTAGTAGTATATCCCTCCAATGTATTCAAGATCTCTATTTCTGTACAAAAGTCTTGCTGAAGTGCCTCTTTAGTAGGATTCAACAAATATGCACAGAAGACAAACTTGAAGATGAGGAAAGAAAACTGACAGAAGCTCTAGTTAATAATAATTATCCAGAGAAGTGCGAACCAGGACCTAATCTCCGACTGGCTGCTAAGAAAAAAGTATATATCAAGTTACCCCACGCATGGGTGATCACAGAGTCTTGACAACTAAACAAAGATTGAACACTGCGGTTAAAAAGAATTTTTATGCAGCTAATATCATAATAATTGAGAATGTGAAGCCGATATATCCATTTAAGCACTTGGAAAATGCGAAAAATGATTTCACACCTCATTCTAAATATTTATTTGAATATATATGTGGTCACATATAAATAGGGAGGACTTATCGATCTTTGCAAGTAAGGGTTTTCAAAAGAAGATTGCATCCCATGAACCCATTAATGGTGGAAACAGACGAACTAGCTCCTCTACTGCCAAACATATTATAGAGACAGGAAATAAAATTGACGTTTACACTTCTTCTAAACCTATCATCCATCTATAAAACGTGTTTGGGATGTATCCTAGCGTTTGTAGAAGCCCCCCTAGTAAGTAGGAAGTTTAAACCACCTTTATGTTTGCCAAAAACAATTCGTCAGCACACTAAACCTCCTTGATAAATTTTATTTCCATACCAGGGCAGATGTGTTATTGCCTCCCAATTTCCGGCTTATTGATCTCCATTGTTGTTTTGTCCTATAGTATGACCTTTTAATTTGACCTGTGTCCATCCTCTCACCCCTTGACATTTTATTATTTTCATCTATATTTCTATGACAAGTACGTGTAGGTGACCAGATTGTTCGAAATGTGTTACGCAAACATATTACATGACGTCTTCTTGTAGTTTTGTCGAAATTCATAAGGGGAACTAAATGTTTGAAATTATTATTATTATTATTGTTACTTTGGAATTCCCTGATGATCGATTTTTTCGACAGAAACGTTAAGTCTATATTGATATGTCGGTTTTTTTTCTAGTACGAACGTTTCAACGGTACCTCAAAGTTAGTACGATATTATCTCGATCAAGGCCATCTCTGATAAAAGCCGACATGTCACCCCCCTTCCTTATTGAAATCAACCAACGGGAAGTTTAAGCAATAAATTACAGCTAGTACGTCGCTGCCCAAGAGATGACTCTTGTGAGCCAGTCAGTGGATAAAGCTTTGGCAATTGTAACGATGGATGCTTGATTCGAGTTCCAGGGGGGAATATATTTTCATCCGATGAGTCACAAATATCAAGGAAGCGCATACCTTGGATTTTACCAGCCAAATTGACAGTAAAAAGTCAAAAGAACAGTCCGCTCTAGAGACAATTAACATGTTAATAGCTAGTCACTAGACTTCTTGTGTTTTATTAAACGAAGCTGGAAAATCCTATCACAATACAAAGTTATAAGATAATGAATAGCTCTCAGTAGTAACCTCTCTCTGTGACTAGAACACTAGATGGTAAACACTGAAACACTCTCGAGGGAATCAATTCATCCGAGGTTGTATACGTTGGGCCGACAGGAAGACTGTAAAAGATATGAACTTCGCAGATTATTTATGTCTAATGTTACACGGACTCCAAGGCTTACAGACGGAAAAAAACAAGCCAGTGAAAGAGGCTGGCAGTGAAGACAACATTTCAAGTAAACATAGAGAAAACAGAGGTGATGAATACACCTACCTACCCAACAACAACAATAACATCATCGTTTCAGTTGCAGGTGTGGCACAGATAAAGATGTCAAGTCCAGGATAGGAAAATCAAGACAGACCTTCATTAATCTGAAATCAGTGTAGATCTCTCTGCTGCAGTCAACATTGAGAAGGCGATTTAGATTTCTAATAGTAAGTTCGAATCAGTTCTTTAACAAAATACAGAGATATGAAGTGTGACAAAAAGCATTTTTCAAACAGGCTTCAAATTTCCATCAACAGCTGTCTTCACTAGCTCGATGTTGAAGACCAGATGGCCGACCAGGAGGTAAATGTTTGTCCAGAACAGATTTATCAATACGCCAGGCTAAGAGCCACGTTTATCATATGAAGGCTGGAGAAACTACCCAGTTACCCAGGTTGAAATAGGTGGAGAGGTATTCGAACCCCGAGATCCATCGACCGAAAACCGAGTGCTTAAGCTATTAAGTCACATCTACACATCAGCGAGGGTAAGTAACAAGGAACCCTGATAATAAATCAATCAAGAACCCATTGTCCAACAAATGTATCGAAGATAATGGAGATGGATTGGACATTCACTGAGCAACAGTCTCGTGCTACGAATAACCTCGAGTGGAAGATGAATAGGAAAATACGACTACGGTGTCGGAAGGTGATATGGAGAAGATCGTGTGAGGAGGATGTGCTGATAGCTTTAGAGCAACTGTGGAGCCAGTTAAAGAGGACTGTGCAGAGGAACCCAAGGGAATAATAATACCCCCCCCCACCGCCGCCCACAAACCATCTAAAAACGCCTTACTTCTCCTTCCTGTAGAACAATATTCGACAAGACAAGACAAGACAAACACCAAAACACATTGAAAGAGCGTAAAAGCATATACACACGGAAAGAATTTTTTCATTTATTCATTCATTTATTTGAAACATAAAAGTATTGACATTGAAAAAATAACAAGTAAAACTGGATAACAAAAATAGCCAATAACTTTTTTTTCTAAAATAACCAAGCATCAGTATAAGCAAGGCAGTAAGTTAAAAGGTTAAAAGGTTCACACACACACACACACACACAATATACAAATAAATACATAAAACCAATGAATAGTTAATACATCTTAAGATTATGTATTTGGTTTCTTTTCATTGATTTTGCGCCAAAATTCTCGGTCCCTATCGACATTTAGTACGGACGTTTCAACAATGCCGTAAGGTCCAGTACTCCAAAGTCTTATAATGAATGGCTCTCTAACTGATGTCAACTCCAGATGGAACCAGTAAAAGCAAGCACTCGAATCCCTGCAGATTAACACTTGACAATTAGTCGGATGCTTACTAGCGACTGTCGTTATACAGGAAGTTTCCTGGAGTTCTCTAGCGAGAAATCGCAGTCAGCAAGGTTCACCGAGTCAGGTAAGAGGAGAGCTACTCGACTATGGACATTGGTTGGCAGTTGCCGTCTATATCATGAATTGGTAGAGGCCGGAATTCATGGGCCTTAGACCGGTTTACAGTGGCGAAATGGTCCACGAACTCACCTTGTAAGCGGAAGGTTCGAGGTTCGAGATTCAGAAGAGCGTGCTTACGACTTAAGAGTCCTAAAACAGGACGAAACAGCTGTCCAGTATCCCGTGGTCTTCCAGTAGTACACTGACTGACGTTATCCCGTGATTAAAACAATGCTATAAGGTTAGTACATAGTTATACTTGGTTGGTGGTGGCTAACAGTGGAATACATGATGCACGTTTCCTCCCTTTTGGGACTCCTCAGATGGATACACTTGCGTTTTTCATAATCCACTAGGGTCCTGGGTCCTTGGAGCCAGCTCATTGTGTAACAAGTACTAGTTGTTATTTGGTGAAGTTATTTTAGCATTTTTCGGAGAACAACTACTTCAAACTGGGCTCTATAGTATCCAAACAGTCTACATTACAACACAGTTTCTATTATAAAACAAATTCATCAAATCAAACTACTGAAGAGTGCAGGATGACAGCGAAACTTTTGTTTTCCAGTTATATTATGAAGTGACATCAGTTAGATGACCATTGAAAATCAGGGAGTATTAAACATTTGTTTCGTCCACGTTTGTAACTCTTCAATCAGTGGTACGCAACTATGACTCCTCTAGGGATATCGCTTGTAGCGGAGCTGATGATACTACCCTGTTAAGCCGGACAAACTTATTTGTTAGCTGAGAAGTTGGGATGTATACCTACACTGACACGATAACTTTATTGGACAGTTTTGACTCGTATATTTATGGCTAAATTTTCTGAGGTTATATAAATATAATAATGTACCACAGGCATTTTGTTTAATAAAGGTTGCTGTTGTTTCAGTCATCGCTTTTTCCCCCCAGTTCAACTTTAGTCTCTACCTCTCAATCTGTGGGAGATAGATCCAAGTGAACAGTTGGTTACAGAATCGAGTATTGGAGGCGCACATTCTAGTCAACTTGGTTGGACGAAGAACCCACGACATACTAACACTCCATCACATAAATTAAATAGATCGGAATTTTCAGGGTTATATACCGAATTCCGATGTCATTATCACGTGCAGTTCACTTATGTCTTCTACACATAGCTTAAGCTGTTGCAATAAGATCGACTAAACCGGAACTTTGTATCCACAAAAAGAACACGTCCAGACGCTGTTCCTACCGTGGCCAAACTTGGATTGATGATTCTTCTTCTCAACAAGAGTGCTCCTTCCCCTTAACCCTCTTGGCTTTTTTTCCTTTGCTTATTATTATTATTATTCGTCATAATTTATGCCCTTCATGCAAACACTCTCTCAATACTATCGAATTTTTCGTTTATACTATCCGGACTTATTATTAGTGATATTATCTCTTTTCTCAATATATGCCTCCACCTGTTTCATTTCACATATTCGTTATTTCATTTTGAATCTCTCATTGCAGTCTCACTATCTCCTGTTTAACACTGACCACTTTGTACTAGCCACTCACCTGACACGTTTTATAACCTTGAACTGACTTGTCAATTTTCCTGCCCCATACTCTACAAATCTATTATGATTAATCACCACCATTGTCTCCCGTTTTACAATATTTTGTAATCGAATTCAGTCTAGCACGATGTTTGTCACACAAATACGACTATTTATTTTGACACCCCATAACTACTAATCTGTTATTCTACGTTAAAAATGTATCTGCCGCATAACTGGCTATTGTTGTAACGACAACAAATATTATATTATATTTTATAATTGTAAGAACCTGAAGACGAGAAATTATTGAAAAGAATATTCTTCGTTCAGATTGACTTTTAATTCATGGGATATGGGAATATTCCACACTATCAGATCGGAATTTAAACCAGACGCCGATTGGTTGGAAGTCACATTCAAAAAGAGCGGCTTTTTAAACTTAAATATCCGCCAAGTATAAATAATGTTTAATAAACTAAAAATTGAGCAAACGACAACTAATTTTTGAGAGTTCCCTAACCATTTAGTGAAAATTGAAAGATGTATTTACGATTGATTTTCAAAAGGCAAACGTGAACTAAATGGAAAAAACACGCCCACGCACACGCACACAGTATAAAACAAAAGCCAGCTAGCTGAATCAAGCCAGAAGTGCACAAAGCATACATCATTTTAGAGAAAAAAAACGGAAACAGAGTAAAGCAAGCTTCATTTGCAGCAGCAATTGACACAAACACACCCATACATATACACACGCACGCACGCAGGCACGCACGCACACACACACACCAACAGACAAACAACAAATGAAATTAACGCCAAAAAACCTCATTTGTGTGTGTGGATGTATGTGTGGATTTGTGTGTATGTACGCATGTGGGATACATATCATAAAGGCATACCTGACATCTTTGTATATCTCTCTGTAAAAGATAAGTCTGACAAAATTAAATTTCTTAAAAGGCATACATCCTATCAATATAAACCAAAAATAAATTTTTTTTCAAATTGTTAAATAAAGAAAATGTTTTCTTTTGTTCTTCAGAGACTTGGTCCACACTTTACCAAAGGCAGATGGTACCTTCGCTTAATAATGACAATTAGGCGGCCGGTCAGAAAATGATAAGTGAGCTAAAAGTGTGGTGACAGTTGTCTGCTAGCCTAAAATTGGTAGACAGTAATTTACGTCAATGTTTATGTCCCAAATATTGGTCATAAGACAAATAAGACCAAAGACTGATTCAACAACCAATCACAGCAGACTTTGTTTGCGTAGGCGGATATACAATTTGCAGATAGCAGATGATCTGACCTTCAAGGAACAGTCACAAAGAGATGAAAGATTCACTTTCAGTGAAAATAACCACCAATCAGAAGACGCTGTTTGTCTGCTGACAATAATCCATAATAATGTACATGAAAATCTATAAATATGTGTGTGTTGATATCCTTAATAAACGATCTGTGTTGACTGGCTATTGTCTTCTGTTGTTACACGAGGGACTGTAACCGTGTAGAGAAAATTAGTCAAAAATCTGTTGCCCAACAACAAATATCCAGAAGAAAATACACATAGGTTGAAAATAAACGCCGAAGAGACCCTTTATCAAGCGGTATCACACCCTAGAAGAATAAGTGAAACCCAAATGAAAACTGACAAGTTGGAGAGCTGAGGATGACATGCAGAGGAAGAAGATGAAAGCTTCTGGGCAGTCGTGGAGACAGATGAAGATGATACAAAGAACCAAGTACTATAGAAGTATATTGTGAATAAATTTGCTAAAGGGATTTTGTCATACTTTGAGCATCCACTTTACTCTCAGCTTTCACCTTGCATCTCCTCAGGTAGAACAAGAAGTAACTTCAGAAAACTGTATGCTCGCACGTCAAAGTATAAAAATTCTATGATACCATACTTGGCACGTATTTTATGTGGCGAAAATAGTGTCAGGCAAGAGTTGACTAACCTTTTTTCATCTAGTAAATAAACAATCTCCTCCATCCATCCATCCTTATATACCTTCAAGTTTAACTTTTATTATTTCTATTATATCTGTGGTCTTGTTGCTTGTTTGTTTTCACTTTCATAACTGCAAACACCAACTTATCTCTATGACTGCTGTAATCTTTGTTTTTTCCCTCACCATATCATGTAAAGAGAACATTATATTCAATAATTTTAATCATGCAAGGATTTGTATACCGCATCGACAATACTGTGTGAAACAAGCCCACGGCAATTTCCACTTGTATTATTATCATTACCTTAGCTGCTATCATTATTATGATTTCCATTTTATATGCTGCATGTTTTTGACATTACCCCTATTGTAAATGTGGAAAGATTTTCTGTGTGATTAATTTTGTTTATAATTTGAGGAAATTAGATGCAAGATATTGTGATTAATGCAGAAAATTCCATTCTGTATCACAAGTACTGTTTTTGGAATAAAGTAAATCATTAGTGTTATTAAGTACTAAATCTTCCACTCTGAATGAACGGAATGAATAACAGTAATAATACTACTAATAAATGTCCTGATGGAACACCGATGTAGGCCTCACATGGTCAATGTCAACCAGAATACCTCAACTACATATTAACCCTATTTGAATAAAGTAAAAATAAAGATTTCGTAGAGATACGTACAGTACAACAGCTTAACACCATTAATTGGCATAATAAGGTGAGCAATATTGAGATTAGGCATCGGTCGACTGCTAGGTGAGGAAGGGAAATCAATCGACGAGGTTGTGCAGTTACATCGATTGAGAGAGATGGTTAGGACACGTGTTACGCATGCATGCCTCGATCGCCTTCCTCGACAACCGGCAATGTTAGGTGACATAGGGTCAGGTTGGAAAAGAGCTAGTGCTGGTGGTTGAACCGAAATATGGCTTCATCAGTTAATGAAATTCACAACAGTTAGTTTAAACCAGCCAGCCAGCAATGTAGGAAGTTGCTAAGAGCCGGCGATGGCCGGAGACTATTGGTGGTATGGCTCAAAATCCTCTTTTCCAATAGCTGGCGCAGATGCATACGGTCGATCAGTCGGTTTTCGACATAGAACTTTGCACATATGTGCGGCAGTTCAAGTCGCCACACTCCCTCCATGTAGCACACAAAGCAAGAGAAGAAAGTAGGAGAAATGCATAATATAGTCAGTAAAGAGAGGTGTGAAACGAAGGTATAGTAATAACGAATAACAGAACAGTTTCATTGGAAACCATAAGTCACAAGGAGTGGATGTATCTGCGCCACTGAGAACGATTTTGAGCCATATCACCAATTGTTTCCAGCCTTCATTGGTTTTTACCCTCCCGAGGACCCCAACCAGTCAGGAAGTCTACACCTTCCTACGTGGCTTAAACTATTTGTTGCGGATTTCATTACCTGGTGCCATGTTTTGGTTTGACCGTCACTAGCTCTTTTCCAGCCTGACCCTATATCAGCTAACATTGCCTGTTGTCGAGGAAGGCGATGACTAGGCATACGTAACACATGTCCTAACCATCTCAGTCGATGTAATTTCACCGTCTCGTCGATTGATTTCCCCGCCTTACCTAGCACTCGACGCCTAACCTCAATATTGCTCACCTTATTATACCACTTCACGCGGGAGATAGAACGAAGACACCTATGATCAAAGACAGCTAATCTTTTCATGTCTTCTGCTCTCAATGGCCAGGTCTCACAGACATAAAGGAGGACAGAGCGGACTGATGAGCAGTACACACGCCCTTTGGTCGATAGTCAGATATCACGTCTACGCCAGAGACGGCGTAAACTGGCATATGCGAAACTAGCCCTCTGTATTCGTGCTGATATTTCGTCAGAGATCAACCCGTTGGGGCTGATGATGCTTCCCAATTACTTTGTGATTTATTTGTCATATCCAAAAGAACTCTAATCTTCTGCCATATTACTATCCTTCCCCCCCCCCAGACTTCTGTTGATTATCTCTCTTTTGAATCCCTCTTTGATCTCTTCTCTTGCTTCGTGTGCTACAAAAAGAGTGTGTGACAACACGAACTGGTGCACATCTGTGCAAAGTAGTTCTATGTTGAAACCAGTCGGTCAATCAGTTCACTAGGCTGTAGCTCTATACGGTGTACAGACCAATCAGAAAGTTTCACGCATTCATACTAGAACAATTAATCATTCAAGTCAAAAGACTTACTAGTACTTCATGCCTGATAATGAAGGATGAGACTAGTGAAACAATCAATCGACAAGGCTGTGAAATTACATCTACTGAGATGGTTAGGGCATGTGTTACGCATGCATTCCTAGTCATCGCCTTCCACGATGGGCAGTATTAGCTGACATACGGTCAGGCTGGAAAAGAGCTATCAGTAGTCAAACCAAAACATGACACCAGTCAATGAAATCCACAACAGTTAGTTTAAGCTAGCCACGTAGGGAGGTATAGACTGGCTTCCTAGTTGGGGTCATGGAGTGGTAAAAACCAATGACGGCGACTGGAGACAATTGGTGATATGGCTCAAAATCGTTCTCAATGGCTAACACAGATGCATCCACTCCTTTTGACTTATAATTTCCAATTAAACGATATTGTTCTTCATTATTTCTATTCCTTTGTCTCACACCTCTGTTTACTGTCTCTATTTTGCATTTCTTTTAACTTTCTTCTCTTGCTTTGTGTGCTACATGGAGGGAGTGTGGCGATTTGAGCTACTGCACATCGGTGCAAAGTTCTATGTCGAAAACAGACGGTCAGACAGACAGTGAAACAAGTGACTATAAAATGATGAATTATGCTAATGACGTGATAATATGTAAGACAGCTGATCACATCACATCAATACAATGGTGTGTGTGCGTTGTCGAAAAATTCCTCTAATATATACATGGCACTAACGAATTGAAAGATGCTACTAGGATAGTGAGTCAAAGGAACAAGTAGATGGATCACCACTGGTTGTGGCTGGTCTGATCAAAATAAACCGACGAGCAATTTAGATGAAAAAAAAAACAACAAAATAACAAAGCGTCTGAAGAATTGTAAGAATGTTAAACAAAACACCTTTTTTCCACACATATTTATTGCAAGAATAACAGTCAATTTGTTACTGAATTTAGCGATATTCGTTCAGAGTCGGTGGCTGAAGTTACCCAGCAGGATTTAAAGCTAAGGGTAGAAACGAACGTTAGGCTTTTGCCTTAGGCATTTTTTTTACGAAATAAACCTACTCTATAAATTTAATTGGTGGATGGAGACTAGCAGTGGAATCTAGAATGTGCATTTCATCCTATTTAGGACTCATCATCTGGATGTACCTGCATTTCCCAGTGAGTGATGATGTTCCCACTGAATTCCATCGAACTTTTGCTAATTCATGACTTATAGCACGACCACTAACCGATGTCAGTTCATGATGAAATCGTGTCACCAACCAATCAAAACTAGTCTATAAATGATGGACAACAGTCGTTACCTAGTATTGAACTTGATTTCATTGTACTAAGTGTCATCTCTGAATGCACACTTGAAAGGCAATGAATGACTCGGTCAGTTGTAAGAGACGTGTATTAATTTTTAAAACTTTTATGACTTGATTACCTTGCCTATTTCTTCTGATATTTCCATAGCTAGGTAGAAAGGATGAGTAATCGTCAGTCAGCTGTATTCGATATCCTTGTACCTCCCTCTTATTTTACTCAGTCAAATTGTAGCGTGTGCTACTGACAAGATTTATAAGTAGTATATCAATGTGGATTGATAGGAAGCAGTGGAAGATTGAAATCAAGTCAATGACTGGCTACACAGAGGTAGAAGTGTTTATTCCTCAAATCTATATCTAATTTTGCGATGCGAACATGAAATAACCTCATTGAACGACTTCTTATCGCATTGATATTCAAGTATCGGTTTGTAGGAGGATTTGTATGTTTGGTTACAGGATTTCATTATGAGCTGACATCGGTGAGACAAACATTGGAAAACCTGCAGGGAATACTGGACAGCTGTTTCGTCAGCCTAGTTTGGGACTCTTGACAGTACGCGACCACCGCTGGGGTTCGAACACAGGACCTTCCGGTTACAAGGCGAGCTAGCTCGTAGACCATTCATCATCCACTGGCACTCGATCCAATGGCCAAAACATGAATTCTAACTTCTGCTAATTCATGACTTAGCGCGACCACTAACCGATGTCAGCTCATGATGAAATCCTGCAACCAATCAATCAAATTCCCACAAACCACTACTTGGATATCAATGAGATGCTCACTAGCGACTGGCCCTAGGGTTATAGTGGAAAGTCATGACCAGTAGGGTACGGCAGATCAGGCGTAGAGAAAAATACTCACCAGCGATGACATTCGCTAGTGCTCGTGCTATGTTATGAATCGACAGAAGTTGGGATTCATGGGCTGGCCATTGGATCAGGTGTCAGTGGCTTAATGGTCAACGAACTAGCTCGCCTTGCAACCGGAAGGTCCTGGGTTCGAACTCCCTCCGGTGGGTGGGTACTGCTACGACGAAACAGCTGGCTTTCCAATGGTTCACCTCATTGTCTAATTTTGGGCCGATTTCTAACCCATCCGAACAATGTACTGTCCCCTAACCGTTACCCAACATAGATTTGGGAAAACTTCAAATACACACACATAAACATACAACATAATACCAAACAATGCAGTAGAATTATAATCCAATCTTACCTGTAGACGTGCATTTTCTCTAGGTGATACCCGATAGCCATTCAATGTCATCCACCAGGAACTATCCAATACAAGAGACAGATTAAGATTAGAATTCAGGCTAGTCATACTGACTGATTCAGTCATTGCCGGTAAAGTATCTAATTGAATTGGCGCTGATGATGCTGCTGATTTATTAACACTAGATTGTCTACCAATTGACAGCAGAGTAGAATTATCCACTGGTAACTGATTCAATTCATCAACAATACCATTATTATTACTACTATTAATTTGTTTTTTCATATCACCATTTGGCGCGGCGGGAAAATGATTTGGTTCTGTATTGATTAGTCCGTTCATCACCTGTGGTAAACTTTGTTTACGTGTTGTTGTTGTAGACTTTAATTCTGTATGATTGGCCAGTATGTCTGTAATATAGCCAACAGTATTATTGCTATTAATATTTGTACGATCCAGTGAAACTTGTTGATGAATCATCTGGCGTGAAGGCAGAGGTTGTTGTTGTTGTTGCTGCTGCTGCTGCTGTTGTGGATAGTCTTTAGTAGTAGTAAGCGAAAACGGTGGAAGTAAAGCTGACCAATATGCAACTAACAGTTTACGATCCTCTGATGACAGTCGATCCAAGCATGTAAGCAACAGTGTACGAGCAGCATACCGTATCTATTGAGAAGAATCAGAAAGAAAATGAACAAGAACAAGAATACGGTTGGAAATTAACTTGTCTTATTAAAACAGAAAATCCAGTAGTTTGTACGGGGCCTGGGCTATTGCTCAGATGCCTAGACTGAAACGGTTGGTTGACTTGACTTATGAGGTTGTAACGAAAAGAGACAAGGGCCAAGTAACAGATCGTTTGTTGAGGAAATTTTTTTTTTTATTTTGATTACAGCTTGATTCCACACAGTTTTTCAGTACAAGTATGGAATTTTCAGCTTGCGATATCGGTAGCCCAAATTTACAGGCCGACCATAGATATGGGGTGTACGCCGGCAGGGGATCGAACCCCGGACCATGTACATGGTCGGCGAGAGTCCTAACCACTGTGCCACAGACGAACAAGAGATATTTATAGATTTTTACGTGCATTATTGTCAGCGAAGAAGCAACCTCTTCTGATTGGTTGTTTTCTTCCTCAAGGTTATTCTGTCATCTATTAGTGGCCGTTTCTCAGAAAGTTAAGCCATATATCTACGAATCCTATTTGCACACGTTAAGTCTCACGTGATTGGTTGGTGAGTTCCTCAAGATTAAGCCTTGTTATTGTTATTTTCGTGACCCCGATTCGGGACGTAACATTGACGTAAATTGCTGTCTGCAATTTCGGCTTGCAGCCAGATCTCATCACCACAAGGAAAATGCTCACACACAGACACAAACGATCGCCTTACTACTAAGTATATCAAAACATCAACACAAAAGATTACACGCATGACAACTAATATATTCGTCACTGTCCTACACCAGTAGGTCAATCATGAGTCTGAAATGCCTCAGTGATTGCAGGACTGAGAGATTCAGCTTCGAATCTCTGAGGGCAGGAGGGAGGCATCAGTCGCTTTGAGATTCCTGACTGGTGCTAGTAAAAAAACATGAAACTAAAAGCCAGAGTTTCTAACGATTGCCTTCTACCAAGATACCGGGCCAAATAGTTTGGTGACTGATAGGATTCAATCAGCGTAAAAATTATGCAGTCAACAGATAACCCTAGTTACTCCCCAGCTTTTTTCATCTCTTTGCATTCCGAAGGGAAAACATAAGGCTTCAAGCTCGAACTTTGAAGTTTCAATAACGCTGGTGTTACTAGCCTCACTAGCCCCAACCTCCTCTGTTTAGAGGGCTTTCTACCAATTAAGCGAGGAGTAGCAGTGAATCGGCAGGGGGATCGAACGTTAGACCACGTGTGGCGTGGTTGACAAGCATTCTACCAATTCCCTAAGTAAACCAATCAATATATCATCAAGACGATTAAATCGATAAATTATGCTTGTTATTGTAGAAACAGAAGAAAAATAGCCCACATTGATGATTTATCACTTACCGGTAGACAACGATCTTGCCATTTACGTATAAATAAATTTAAATCAATTGAAGGTAAAGCATTTTCACCATGAGATGTACTCTCAGTGTTATTGATTACAGAGCGATTAGATAATATTAAATTAATAAAATGATCTAATAGGAATGCACAAAACTGTAGCCAATTTTTACGCCAATCATTATGAAGAGTTTTAGGTAAATTCCCACCGTTAGGTAAAGATGAGGAGGAGGACAAAAACGACGGCAGTAGTGATGTCGAGGTTGGCGATATCAAAGATCCTGACGATGATGGTGATGTTGTTGTTAAGCATATAGTATGTGATAAGCGTTGAAGATATTTGTAATTCAATGATGTCATTAACTCGGTTAGTGTAACACCACAGAGGAGTAGATTCGTCGAAATGATTGAAGAAAGACAATATGCATTTGGTATGCTAGAAATTGATTTCGACTTGAGATGTTGAGATTTACTTGCTATACAACCTATCAACAAAGAGGTTGGGGAGGGGAGAGGGGCGGGGCAGAAAAGGGGAAAAAACAGAAGTCAGTATACTTCTAAAAAGAAAGTAACAATAATTTCAATCGAGGAAAATTGCCGATATCTGATATTTCCATACGGTGGTGATTCAACAAGCTAGACTAGCTTTAATGAATAATATTCTTGCAGATCCTACTAGGCCATAAAAGTAATTGAATTGAATTTTAGATTTCCCCGTCGACTGATTGGACCAAAGTGCTCGGTCTCAGGTCGACATGTTGGCTTCTTGTGCAGATGCTTCGATGATGTCTAGACATGTAGTTAGAATTTCACTGGTAGATGGTGACTAGCAACGGAATCCAGGATAACGCGCATTTCGTCCTATTTGGGACTCGTCACTGGATGGCCACTGGGTTCGAGCCTCGGTGGGAACATCATCATTCACCGAGAAATACAGGTACATCCAGCTGACGAGTCCCAAATAGGGCGAAATGCGTATCCTGGATTCCACTGCTACTCACCATCCACCAATTAAATACATAAAAGCAGTTTATATGATTTCGCAGGTTTTAAAGGAAAGCTATACCTTCTATGGCTGAATAAGAGTGTAACAGCGGTAAGGTGTTTCCCTCGGATGATCAGCAAGGCAGCTGGGCTGTCTTCTCCCTGTGGGGAAGGAGAGTATGAGCTAGAAACGGTCGGTCACGAAAGCTGTACCTCCTGACATCCGGTAGCATTCCTTATTCGGAGGTAACTTCTTCGTACGAACTACGAATTCAAAATCTAGAGTTGAAGCAAGCCATGTGTGACCCATATAAAACAGTTGCTAGGCAACAACAATTCAGCTTGCAATTCACTTTTAAACCAGATTGTCGACTGTCTCTAACTATCGGTTTTATTATTGTTTTTTTGTTTTTTTTCACAAATTACTAGTTCGAAATGGTTTATGCCTAGAATCCAATTAGAGCATGTCTTGGTTTTCTCTCGCTATTTTATAGTAACATTTTCTGCACTAAAAATGTGCCTATGTAAAATGCAACTGTATAGATTAAAATACTACTGTAACGACAGAAGACAAGGGCCAGGCAACAGATCGTTTATTGAGAAAATCAACAGATATGTATTGATAGATTTTTATGTACATTGTTATTCGTTATTATTAGCAGAGAAGCAGAAAAGTCTTCTGATTGGTTGTTTTCTGACTGGAAGTTATTCTGTCATCTCTTTGTTACCGTTTCTTAAAAAGTCAGGCCATATATCTGCTAATCGTATTTGCACACGTTAAGTCTACTGTGATTGATTGTTGAGTTTTTTAAGGTTAAGCAAGGCAGTCTGCACCAAAGAAAGGACTAGACACGTCACACTAGTTACTAGTGTCCAATCAAACTACCCACAACAGTCCTACAGGAGGTCAATCGCGAGTCCGAATAGCTCAGTGGTAACGTCTCTAACTGACTGAAGCACTCGGTGACGCGAGTTCAGATCTCAGAAGGGACATGAGTTCCTTCAAGGTTGCAGATACGCCTTGCTAACTGGTGAGTGCCAACTAGCACGAAACCTAGGTCAAGCAAGGCTTCCTGAGGCCGATTGCCTCCAACTATCTAATATCACCAAAAGGTTAAGCTTTGTTACTGTTTTTTTCTCATGACCCTGAATCGGGACGTAAACACTGACGAAGATTGTTGCCTACCAATTTTGGCTAGCAGACAGCCCTCCTCACCACACTACGATATGTCGATATTTATTTAAAACAGTGTTTCTGTTCGACTATCTGACTACCAGTGTTCGAATACGTCTATTTCCTTATTCAAAATCTTCAGTAATAAAACTACATACTATTGATTGATTGACATGAATGGTTGTATACTACTTACATCAGATAGTAGAACTTACAAGCCAGCCAGATTATCAAAGTGACCGAAACACTGAGCGGTCGTCGTTCTGCTCATTTGGGGGAGGTCGGTGATCTCATCAACAGTGTAATCGATATGATTAACTCACAGTTCATTAAGCTGAGTCAGTGTTTAAGGCACTCAATTTCTGACTAGCTAGCTAACTGACTTCGGCTAATTGGTGATGTCATAATTCAAATTCGCGAATTTTTAAAATTCACCACAGTTTCCATTGGAAAGCTGAATCGGGGGGGGGGGGGTGATTTGAACTGATTCTGCTCTCAGCCCACAGTCAAATCGAGCACACCACTTACTGATGACCTCAGATCCAAACCAGCGGAATGGACTTCCGGTGGCTCCAGAACACTTCGAACTGACTGGCTAGCAAACACTACTGATCGATGTGAGTAGTATACAACTACTCATTTTTCGGTCAATCCATAGTACATAGTTTCATGCAGTTATGTTTTGCCGTCTTGATTACCATTTACAGGCGTGGTGAGAGCTGGCTGTTAGCCAAAATTGGTAGACAGTAGTAATTTACGTCAATGTTTATGTCCCAAATATTGGTGGTGAGAAAAATAAGAACAAAGACACTGACTCAACAACCAATCACAGCAGACTTTGCGTGGGCGGGTACAATTTGCAGATAGGTAATCTGAACTTCAAGAAACGGCCACAAAGAGATGAACGATTAGCCTTCAGCGCGAAACAACCTAATCAGAAGACTGTGTTTATCTGCTGAGAATAATCTATAATAATGTACACGGAAATCTATAAATATCTGTTGATTTCCTAAATAAACGATCTGTTGCCTGGCCCTTGTCTTCTGTTGTTACACAAGTACCAAGCATATCATCCATGACACGTTTGTCTTTCTCATTACTGCTGAAGGCTGAATTCGCATTGGGGTTGCTAACTCTATTCAGCGAATTTAGGGCCCACAAAGATCATTTGAGAAAAAAAGCATATCCAACATCACTGTCAGGTGTTGTGAACATTGTTGTTTCAGTTGTCTGTCTTCTCATCTCATCATCTTATTCTTCATAATAGAGTATATATATATATATATATATCGTTAACACAGCAACGGAAATTAAAACTATAAGTAGATAATCAATAAATATCTGATTGATTATTTGACTCTGAAGATCCTCTTAAACAAAATCCATCAGAAATTGTCCAATCAGGCGTATGCACCAGTCATAACTGATAAAAATAGTTAATCCCCTTCCTAACATTCATTAGCTTCTTATTGCTCTTAGTCAAAAAAGGTTGTATTACCGGTCACAGTAACTCACACACACCTTGACGGAATGGATCATGGGTGCTCTAGTCAGTCCCAAGATAAGGATGCAACAGCTATTCAGTGTTCCCTGATCTCAATAGCTATCTAACTGACGCTCACTGTTAGCGAAATTCACATTGTTTCCACTGAGAGAGAGAGAGACAGAGAAACAGCTTTTCTTACAGGTTTGAATACCATTCAAGCTATCAATAGAAATATGAACAAGTAACACATAACAACTTACCCGGCATACTTAAACTCATACAACCACATTTTGATATTAAACCAATACATAAAGATTCTTGTATATGTAACAGCGGTGACTGATAATGATGAACACTGGATGAATTCAATTCCGGCATCATTTTTATAAACTGATTATTACAGAGTTTTTCAACAATTTTATCAACTGAAGAATCTATACCCCATGGATGAATTAATGATAGAATAAGCTGGATGAAATTAGCTTGAGTTACATCAATTGTAAATATGTCATCATGATATAATGAGGCTGCTGATGATGATGATGATGCCGATGATGACGGTGCACTGTTATGATTTACCTACGAAGAAGAAGAAGAAAAACAACAACAACAGAAAAATACATGCACCAATGTTATCATGATATGTGATAGGGGCATGTAGAGATGCTGACTTTCTAGAAAGATGAATGAAATACACTCATCCTGCACCTGAAAAGCCTTCTTTTACCCTTTGAAGGTGTAATTTTTAGGATACCTACTTAGAGGCTGTAGAACTGGTATCCAGAAGTTATAATAATATGTCATAACCAGTTGGATCCACTATGTAAAGTAATGATATACTGCGAATCGATAGAAGTTAGAATTTAGCTGTGTAAAGATGCGAAACATCAAGCGATTCACAACGGAAAACTCAGTGAGGTCTTTTGAATAAAGACGCGGGTAAAACAAGTCTACCAATTATGATTGATGATATTCCTGATTATAGCCGACTCGATCATGAAGTAGATCATAGGGAGGTCTCAGGATGGTGAGAAACAACGACGGCAACTGGAGACAATCCGTGATATGGCTCAAAATTTTCGTTGTCAATGCCTAGTGCAGATGCAATCACTCTTTGTGATTTATCATATCTAATAAAATCCTATTGTTCTTCCATATTACTATTTTTTTTCTCTCGCTCACACTTCTCTTTATTATCTACCTTTTGAATCTCTTTTTACTCTCTTCTCTTGTAATGGGTGATGGTTCACTGAGAGATCCCAACCAGCAGGTTCCAAATTACTGATCCACGTAGCTCCATCAGCTGAACTACAAGACAGTTGAGTAACTAACTGCCAGCCAGGTGTCATCATCAATTCACTGCAATCAACATCATGTGTAATATGCAGTTTTGTGTCAATGAATGACAATGTTTTACTGCCCATTGATGATCACGTTGGCTGTGTAGTTAAGGAATTTCCTGTCAATCATAATCATATTTGATTTGATTGGTTAAAGGTTTGATCGAATCCCAGCAAACCAAAGGTCGATAATTATTCTGATGCTCACTAGCAACTGGCTCTGTACAGTAGGTTACCCGCAGAAGTCCTGACCAGCCAGTCAAGTAAAAGAACAGTTACTCACCGATGGCACCGGCTGGTGATTGCAACCTATCTCCCAAAGTGGCAGAACTTGCAACTCATGGGCCATTGGAAAAGGTCCGACTGGCCGAGTGCGAACCCCGATGGACGCATACCGTTGAAAAGTCCCAAACCAGGACGAAACATCACTTTCCAGTACTCCCTGGTTTTTCAATGGCTTTCCAAATGATCAAAACTAGAATTACACGTGCGTTAGAAGGAGGAAGGCAGACGAGATTATCTTGGATAGCCTTGATTTGGCAGATTTCTGTTAGAGTTCAAATCTTGCTGCAACTCAGATTCTCATTTCACTAACAATTACACTTTTATTTAGTACTAATAAAAAACCACAAACAGTTGTGATTTTCAAAGAGAGAAAAGCAAAAAACGAAAAACTAACATACCGATTCATCGTTGTCCTTTAGAACGGCATTATTCTGAGATAGAATTTCAACTGGATAAAAAAAAGCAAATTGGTAAAGAAAAACGAGGAGATTGTTTAAAAAAAATGAAAGGGGCTAAATGAGTTATAGCGAAGAGAGGAAACGTCGAATCAAATTCGTTATTCATGCAAACTATGCAGAGTACGTGGTGAAGATTATCATCACAGTTTCATTTCTCCTTGATATCATAAATGGTGATTAAGCTAAATAAATTAATATATGAGTAAAACATGAACACTGTGGTTGTTAATTCCTTTCATATTTCCCCAATGTCATTCCTTCTTTTGTGTTAAAAATTTATACTACTTACCTCTAGTAAGTAGTGCAAGTTGTATTAGCCAATTTTTAACAATGTCTTTACTTACTAGTGAAGTTTATCTGACTCGATGCATCAATAACCTATTAGATCTACAATAATTACTTTCTTATAATCAAACATTATTAGCTGTATATACCTTATTCATGTACCCTTTACGGTTGAACATTGTTTATCCGTGTCCCTTTATATTCTGTGTCCGCGCGCTGTTTGAAAAACACGAGGATCATCGTTGACACAGCTCTGCTGTTTTTTTATTTATTAACGCAAATTGACTGTGCTTTTTGACGGCATTCAGCCGCAGGCACCTCACAATTGAGGTTTTTATATTATCTTTCATATTTTATGTTTATTATAGTAGCGTATTTTAGACAAATCCTGTGTTTCCGGATTCAGTCAGTAATCTGTCCTTCCACCCTGTTATATATTAGATTCTAAGACTGCCACCCTATTACACGGTTGTGTGTAACTGCATGTAGTGCCACAGTTAAGCTTGTTTCTAGATTTCTTATCTTATTAGGTTCAACCTGTCTACGTTTCAGTAAGTTTTTGTACTATGTTAATCTAATGGACTCCGGTCTACGTCAGTCACACGCACAAGCACATACACACAAGTACGATGATTGGAAATGGAACCTGACGCACACTTCTATTCAAGTTCAGATGTTAATCATTTTTAGTGTACCCAATAAATTAAACTTGAACCTGTGTCACATACACATACCCATCCACATACTCTTCTCAATGATCCACCGTCTCCCTTGTTCTCACCTACACCAGGAAAATACAGTCGCCATATCACTTGCTTTCCTGTTCTGAAGCACTGCATCCACTGTCATAACCCAATGTGATCGTCAGCCATATAGCCAGCCAGCCAGCCATTTAACAAGGTCTTAACTGCATGATTTGGCAAGGACACCTCAAAAATAGACACCTAGGCTTCTCCCTAGTTGCTTGTGTTCTATCTCCCGTGTGAAGTGGTATAATAAGGTGAGCAACATTGAGGTTAGGCATCGGTCGAGATAAGCAAGGGAAGTCAATAGACGAGGCTGTGAAACTACATCGACTGAGATGGTTAGGACATGTGTTACGTATGCCTAGTCATCGCCATCCTCGACAACAGGCAATGTTAGCTGACGTAGGGTCAGGCTGGAAAAGAGCTAGCGGCGGTCAAACCAAAACTGTATATATATATATATATATATATATATATAAACTGTAAGATTGAATGGTCAGCCAGCGTGAATTTTAGAATTAGCAAAAAATCGAATAAGCATAATCTATATAAATTCCGAAATGATTTTAACACTACCTCATTATCTCAGGTGTACTCTGTTGAAGAGATTCAAAGTTGTGCCAAACACACACACACACCTAAACACACAGCTTTTTGGTGCCGGTTATTCTTCTGAAATGATTTTCGACCGATTGTGATTCCTCGACTGCAAGGTGAAGTACCTAAACTACCTAGCCACTTCCGATTGTATCTACCAATTCAACTGTGCTTGTAGTGGAGCGAGTTATATCAGCCGTGACTCTAGTAACTTGATTTTTCATGCTCGCTCAGGAACATCTCCCAGTATGGCTAACTAAAGGTGTAGTGAAAACCATCAACAGTTCAATGTTAGACTATCTGGTCCAAACCGGTCACAAAGCAAGCCAGCACTGAAAAATCCTTCTCTATCATCTACCGGGTGCCTAATAAATTGCCAAAAACATCGAAGTACCGCATGCTTCAAACAGTAGAGGCTATTGCAATTCGCCTCAAACAACCAGTTCTTTGTGTGTACAAATGAAGCAAGTTCAGCTAGCCACTACTACTGCCCTGGTTGGCCTTCAGTAGAGACTATAAATTCATGAATTTGTAATATTATCTTTCCTAACTTTTCTGACATTCAGTTTATTGTTATGTTGATGTTATTGAACTGTAATCTATTGATATTATTGATTCGCAGTTATTTAAACAACATTAATGTTGTTCATAACACTAATTCATTCATTCACTATAATGTGTATATATAACTGTAGAGTGCTAAGCCGAACTCGGGAGGAACAAACGAGGGAAAATCAAGCGGGCTTTAGGCCAGGTAGAGGGTGCATAGATCATATCTTCACTCTCCGACAAATCCTAGAACATAGACACACTTTTAGGCGTCCAACAATTGCTATATATCTTGACTTGAAGGCGGCCTTCGACTCCGTGGATCGAGAGGTTCTATGGCAATGTTTGACTATGAAGGGAGTACCAAGAAAGTACATTGCACTAATCAAGGCACTCTACTCAAACTCACGTAGCCATGTAAGGGCTTATGGGGAATTGTCATCTGAATTGATAACAACCAGTGGTGTCCGTCATTGATGTCCACTTTCCCCTTTTCTGTTTAACTTCATCATAGATATGCTAATGGAAGTATCCTTAACTGAACTTAATGACTTAGGAATCGACTTGTCACCAGGGAATAGTCTTATAGACTTAGAATACGCAGACGACATAGTCCTGTTAGGGGAGGACGCTGACAAAATGCAGAGTCTTCTGAACACCTTGAGCAGCAATCTTCGTATTTTTGGCATGCGATTCGCCCCTGTGAAATGTAAGATGCTGCTACAGGACTGACTGGACTACGTCAACTCCTAGCTTAGTGATAGGGAGTGAAGTGATAGAACATGTTGACCACTTCACCTATTTGGGAAGTTGTATCACCACCAACGGATTGATTGGTGACGAAATCACAGCACGGATCCAGAAAGCTCGGGCTGCTTTCGCTAACTTACACCATCTCTGGCGTAGGCGTGACATCCGGCTGTCAACCAAGGGACGTGTATACTGCTCATCAGTTCGCTCCGTCCTTCTCTATGGCGGTGAGACGTGGCCATTGAGAGCGGAAGACATGAAGAGATTGTCTGTTTTTGACCACAGATGTTTACGATCTCTCTCTCGCGTCAGGTGGTATAATAAGGTAAGTAATGTTGACATTAGGCGTAGAGTGTTGGGCAAAGAGGGAAAATCAATCGAAGAGGCTATTAAGTTACATAGATTGAGATGGTTAGGCCACGTGCTGCGCATGCCTGACCATCGTCTCCCCCGACGGGCATTACTAGCTGATATAGGTGCAGGCTGGAAAAGAGTAAGCGGTGGCCAAACAAAAACATGGCATCAATCCATGAAATCCCTGACAGTTAAACTGGGTCAGGTAGGGAGGTGCAGACTTCCGGGTTGGGGCCCTCGGGACTCTAAGAATCAATGGCTGGAGACAATAGGTGACATGGCTCAAAATCGTTGTCAATGGCTTACGCAGATGTATTCAGTCTCTTTAACCTTCATATTCCTTTCTACCATTACTCATTCTGTTTCAGTCTTATACTTATCTAAATTCTATTTATTCTCTTCTCTCCTTTTCCTGTCTACCTTTGTGTGCTATTTGGAACGTGGCAACTCGAACTGCTGCACTTCGGTGCCAAGTTCTATGTTGAATCCAGACAGACAGACAGAGAACTGTAGAGTGAGTGAGTGAGTGAGTGAGTGAGTGAGTGAGTGAGTGAGTGAGTGAGTGAGTGAGTGAGTGAGTGAGTGAGTGAGTGAGTGAGTGAGTGAGTGAGTGAGTGAGTGAGTGAGTGAGTGAGTGAGTGAGTGAGTGAGTGAGTGAGTGAGTGAGTGAGACATCAAATTCCCCTGTCAACATTGTAATTATTTAAACTGACAGACAACTGCTTGCTAAGACCTCGTTTTCCTAGAAAGCATTTCTCATGTATTGAACAGCCATGAGCCAGACACACTCACTGTTTATGAGGGTTGATAGTACTATCCATGCTAAATAGACAGGACAGGGCAGGACTCGAACCCTGGGACCCATCTGGGTGAGCTAACGCAAATGTGTGTAACACAACACAACGCAACGCAACACAAAAGGAAAAGGAAAAGACTGTCTACTTACCTATAAGTGATTCAATATCCCAATGAAAAACAAATGCAGCTGGACCACTGTTCAGCAACCTTTTCTCCGATGTTGTACAGCCATCATCATCACCGTTGTGAGTTGATCCAATTAAATGCAATTGTATAGGTGGTAAACAATTCATGCATAACTTGTGTATATTATCTATACTAGAATATTTTAAGCGGCTTGGCGCAGTAAATGCAACACAACCAGATGAATAGGCTGAGTTTACACCACCACAGAATGGTACAGCAAGTGATGTATATATTGAATTATGACTAGGTAGACAAGCTAACGAACGAGATTTATACGTGGATATTGTTACTGATGGGAGAGTTGAAAATGAAAATGCTAAATACCTTGATGGATGATAGACTTCTGTAATGAATTGAGCTTGTTCAAATAGATCTCTAGCTGATTGGTCTGTTTCCGTACTACATATGTATATAAAAAGGATGCATATTAAAATGAGGAAGTATTTTAGTAAAAATTAATAATATTAATATTAGTAACTTTATCACTTGTCACAGTAAAGAAAGACCACATCTCGAAAAGACAGTCTCTGTAACCAAAGAAAGCTATCTTTATTAACCTACCCCATTCAAGGGTGATCAGATTATGCAGTTGACAGCTAGCTCAAAGACTTCGGTCAGCCATCAAACGCACATTCTACGCCGCCACATCTCTTTTTCTCACTTGCCGAACATTTTCGATCCCTGTACCTACCTACGAATAAAGGACGAAATTCTATGGACTCTACTTCAAATTGTATCTACAAGTTCACCTGCAGTTGTGGTGACACTTAAATACGTAGAAGCATTAGAATGTTCCAATGTGGTCGTCGAAAAGAACATGTTCCAAAACGGCTACTAAATCATATCGAAAATCCCACTGCAATTATTAATCTGAATAGAAATGCAGCATTATCATCCATTGCAAAACGCTTATTAATGTGTCAGGTCACAAAATCAATATTATTAATGACTGTTTCACAATTATTTCACATAACTCTAATTCAAGGTTGGTTATTGAAGGTGATGGAAGCACCTATGTAGATTAATCACATACAGCCTAAACTGTGACCTATTTAAAAATATGATTGGTCATTAGTATGTACTTTTGTTTTTTTTTATTTAATTGAGTAATTGTCATGACCTTTATTTTATTATTGTTAACCATGTTAGTTGTGTAAAGCGGTTGTAAAGAAACTACGAAATGACGATATCATCTGACGAAATTTGTCTTCTAAATGCCTTATTCAAATAGTAATAACAATTACGGAATGATAAAACAAATCAAGTTCTTGCTTGATGAACTCACTTCTTAACAGGTAAAATCCATTTGTAGTCTTAATAGTATACTCAATTAACTGTTATAACCTGATTGGATAGAACAGTGGATAAATTAAAACAGTCAACAACCATTAGGATCCCAAGGTTATAAATGGAGTGCGGGAAATACGACTAGTTATGTAAAAGTACATGTAGTATTTTAGGAAAATTAAATCTATAAATGTAGAAGCTTGAACTACGGCAAAAAGCGTGTTTTCCCATTCGATGAACCAAAAATCTTTTTTTAAATAATACCAATTTTTGATGCATCAAATAAAGAAAGCACACGAGTACAACATACCGTTCTAAACATCCCATTGTTATATCCCAAATTGTTACACTACCGTCTAAATAAGCAATAAATAAAAGATCCTCAGCAACTCTCCAACCAATAGCTACAACTGGACATAGAGCTACACTACTTGTATTTCGTGCATATAATATAGGCCGTTGTTCTTTTAAATTAATCAGCCAAACAGAACCATCTAAACTGAATGAACAGATGCACGCCTAAGGAGAGACAGCGAAAAAAAAGAAAAAAGAAACAATGTAAACATTTTTTTCTTCTTTGTATAAGTATTACTAAAAAGCAGAAAAAGCAAGTAGTATAATGCAGGGCAAAATATTACTTCATCACTTGAGATATGTGTGATTCTATGAAAAGCAAGCTTTCAACTGAAACTAAGATGCTAACATAAAGTAAAACCCACAAAACAAAGAAATAATCTTCAACACTGATCCCTTTACATTTCATTATGTGTCCTAATCGTTTATCAGGTAGGTACGACACACACCCACACAAGTCGGGAGTGAAAACATATGCTCACCGATGACATTGGCTGGTGTCAGTCGGTTTAAAATCACAAAATGATAGAAGTTAGAATTCATGGGCTGACCAATGAGTTGAGTTCCAGTAGCTGAATGGTCTACGAGCTTGACTGGTAATCGGAAAGTCCCGGGTCTGAACCCCAATGGGTGAGTACTGATGATGGGTCCCAAACTAGGATGAAACAGGTTTTCAGTACTCCCTCACTTTTAATGGTTCTCTAATTGATATCAATCCGTGATAAAACTTGAAATACTTCTTCACAATGAAAACTTGAACATTCGAAGTACGATTGTGCTTGCATCATTGAATATCTGCCAAAAACAACCTGACGGGCAACAGACAGTGTAATCGCTCACTATCTAATGTGAGTACTAGTCATATATTGTGAATAATTTGAAGGTGTTCAAAATTATGAACAGGTAGCTTGATACACTTTTCTGAAGCAATCACTATCAAACGGTTAAAGATGGTCAATGATGAGCCTTGCACACTACCCCTTAATGATCATACTTACAAGACAAAGGGTATATAAATTCTCAAGTGTTGGTTTCCAGGGTCCGGGTTGGTTAAAAGTTTGACTATGAGCTGACATCTGTCAGAGAACTATTAGGAAACCAGCGAGTACTAGACAACTGTTACGTCCTGATTTGAGACTCTTCACAGCACGTACCCATAATCGAGATTCGAACCCAGGACCTTTCGGGCACAAGGTGAGCTCGTGGACTATTCAGCCACTGAGACCCGATGGTAAAGTCCAAGAATCGGAATTAGCTGGTTGGAACTCAGTTACCCGGTGTGCTACAGTGGTCCAATGGTAGAATGGTCGTCCACCACTCCAAATGTGGTCCAGGGTTCAACTTCCAAACGACGAACTCCTAAACCTCACTTAGCCAGTAGTATACCCAGTAAAGAGGGAAGGTTTAAGGTAAGACCAGCAATATCACCCAGCGAGGAAACAACACGACCACTACCGACACTTCAAAGCTCAAACCTGTAGTCCTATGTTCTACTAGGGATGTAAGTGAATGAGAGACAGTTTTCGGGCAGCACTTTGTGAGTCATTCTTAATTTGAGAGCAAATAACCCTACATAGTTTCACGGGCTAAAGTAGGTGGTGGTGGACTTGAACCTGGAAAGCTAGTGAGCCACATCTTCACAATAATCACAGACAAAAAACCAATGAATATATCAATAAATAAATAATTAAATAAACAAATAATAACAATAAGCAACTCAAATAACTAACCGATAGTCTTGGATTCCCAGCGACCATATTAATTACAGATGTTATAGGCGGAGCAATTGTTAAACCAATACACGGTGATGCATGACATCGATAAACAGCTAAACACAAAGATTTGTTACTACGACTAGCATTAGTATTATTACTATTATTAGCATTGTAGCTGTTATTACTGCTTGAAAACTTTCTACTATTCATAGATTCATGCCATGGATTTAAATCCCATAGACGAACGGTACAATCCACTCCACCGGATAATAAATGATCAGGATTAAAATGATAATTTGTAGTAGAATTCATAATACTACTATTAACATTATTAGTAGTAGAAGTAGAAGTAGTAGAAGAATTACCGACGTCATTACTAGTAGTAGTAGGCATAGTATTTTCATTCATATTCCCCGAATTCGCATAGAACTGCCGTTCATAACTAGCTGGATGCAATAAACTTGTCACTGGACCGATATGACCTGTCAAGCAAAACTTAGACAATAATCGATTATGTTGATTCAACAACAGCAATGGTGATTCTTCGCATGAAGGCTTATTATTTTCATCTGTTGTATGACTTTTTTCCCAATACAGTGTTTTTAAAAAATCAACCATACGTACAATAATAATACGTCCATTCGATAAACCGAAAGCTAATCGATATGGATGAATTGTCGGTCTACGATCGGGGAGACGATGATGACAGATTATCTGTGTCAGCTGAATGCATACAGTTACAGAGATTTTCTCTTCACTGGTATCAGGCAATGCCGGTGATGGTGTCATCTGAGTGGACGAATCAGGTGGTAATAATGATGCTGGTGATGATGATGACAATGTGGGATTATTCATGAGATTGGTATGGTATTTAGGACCTGTAATAGAACTCTGTAAAAGAATAATAGTAAAATAGAAAAAAATATATTTACAGAAGTGAATAGATATACAGGCGGCGAAGAAATGAGATGTTATATACATTTGCTGGATGGTAACTAGCAGTGGAGACTAGGATGAGCATTTCGTCCTGTCTGAGACTCGCTATCTGGATATACTACCTCCATCCTCCGTGAGTAATTGTGTTCCTACGGAGAGTTGAACCCACTGACCATCGTCTCAAACGACAAGGTCACTCGCCTAGAAGAGCCACATTTTGTGCAAAAAACCTCCATTATTGTTTATGATTGATTGAATCAACCGAAAGGTTTCACTTCACAGGAGAATACAGGTACGTACATCCAGGTGATGGGTCGTCCCAAATAGGATAAAATGCGCATCCTGGATCCTGATGTTAGTCATCATCTCTCCAGACATCGTCGGAGCACCCATAACTAGGAGCTGACATGTCAAAAAAGGCTGAACATCTTTCCGTGCAATCAATCAGACAACATGCAAATAATAATTAAATTAAAAACAAATAATGTTATACGCCCGGCTATCAACCAGAGGGCGGGTGTTCTGCTCAGCAGTCCGCTCCGCCTCCGTTATATGACCTGGCCATTCAGAGTGGAAGACATGAAAAGATTAGCTGTCTTCGATCATAGGCGCCTGCGTTCTATCTCCCGGGTGAAGTGGTATAATAAGGTGAGCAATATTGAGGTTAGGCATCGGTCGAGTGAGTGCTAGCTAAAGAGGAGAAATAAATCAACGAGGCTGTGAAATTACGTCGACTGAGATGGTTTGGACATGTGTTACGTAAGCCTAGTCATCGCCTTCCTCGACTACGGGCAATGTTAGCTGACATAGGATGGATCAGGTTGGAAAAGAGCTAGCGGCGGTCAAACCAAAACATGGCACCAGTCAATGAAATCCACAACAGTTAGTTTAAACCAGCCAACCACGTCGGAAGGTGTAGACTGGCCTCCTTGTTGGGGTCCTCGGGACGGTAAAAACCAATGACTGAAAACAATCCGTGATATGGCTCAAAATCGTTCTCGATAATGGCGCAGATGAATCTACTCTTTGTGACGTATAATATCCAATAAGGCTATATTATCCTTCGACATAACTATTCTTTTTGCCTCATATCTCTGTTTACTGTCTCTATTATGCATTTCTTCTACTTTCTTCTCTTGCTTTGTGTGCTAATTGGAGGGAGTGTGGCGACTTGAACTACTGAACATTGGTGCAAAGTTTTATGTCAAAAACAGACAGACAGACAGAATTGTTAATAATGAGAAGTGAAACTTTGGGTATGTGTTTTGTCTCATTTAAGGTGTAGTTGCCAAAATTTATAAATGACCTTTAGTCTTTTGTTGATTCCTTGTGTCTCAAATGGGACACATAGGGCTTCAAGCTTTGAAATCTCAGTAGTAATACCTGTTGTTTTAACGCTCGAACCTCCCTCTTCTTCTCCAGCCTTACTACTACCGGTTCGCTAAAGAAGGCGACGTTTAGGAATGCATCAACCAGGAATCCAACCCGGATCTCCTGTGTGACTGATGACCATTCCGTCATTGAACAACTTACAATCTTTCTTAAATCAATGTTAGCAAGATATTACCTGACTGGTGGTGGCTAGCAGTGGAATTTAGGTGACGCCTTTCGTCCCATTTTGAACTCGTCATCTATGTACATTTGTAGCCCACCCACCCCACTTCACCATGTTGCTGAGACTGAAATAGAACGAGACAAGTATCCTGGATTCCATTGTTCGTCGCCAGTAATCAAGTAAAATACATTAATATAGTAAAAACCATCTGCAACGCTCATTGATTTGAAAAAACTTCATGTATATGTATATATATATATATTGGTTGGAGGGTTTCATGATGAGTTGACATCAATTAGAGAACCATTGGAACCATTGCAGCAAGTTAATAAAGATGAGGCAGTAACCCATCGAAGAAAGCATTGTGAAGTGGTTGCGCTATGTCCTGCGTGAATTGGCAGAAGTTAGAACTTTTTAGCTAGTCATTGGATCGGGTCCCAGTGGCTCAATGGTCTTTGAGTTAGCTCGCTTTGTAACCAGAAGGTCCTGGTTACAAAGAACCTCGGTGGGTGAGTACTGATGAAGAGTCTCAAACTAGGTTGACAAGACAGCTGTCCAATACTTCAGCACTGGATTTCCAATGGTCCCCTAACTGATGTTAGCTCATGATGAAATCCTCCAACCAATCAAACAGCAATTTTAACATAATACTTCCTTCCTGATGAGGATAAAAGCGAACCACTTACTGTCAAAAACGTTGCTATATCGGGTGGTGTATATCGTTTCCATACACTGTGAAGATCACTAGACATCCACGGTGGAATAGTTGAAATGCCTACAAAAAATAAGAATAAGAATAATAGTAATAAATCACAATGATACCAAAGATTAAAATTTAAGCATCAATAATAATAATAATCTTACTGACACCTATTCAACTCAACCTAACGACGACTTGCATTTCAATGAAATTGACAATGAACCAATATCTATTTTTTTTTTCTATTTTTTGATTACAGCTTGACTCCACACGGTATTTTTGGTACAAGTATGGAATTTTCAGCTTGCGATATCGGTAGCCCAAATTTTGCAGACTGACCATAGATATCGGGTGTGCGTCGGCAGGGGATCGAACCCCGGACCATGTGCATGGTCGGTGAGAGTCCTAACCACTGTGCCACCGACGCCATTGTGTCAGGACTAGTGATACCACATGGTTGACTAGAGCTCAATAAATAGACGAGGCTTCAAATACGTCATCTAGTGGTTGAATATTAGGAGACTAGATTAATGAGTTACAGCTCCAGCCATTGACACCTAATAGTTAACGAACACAATGTTGGTTTATCGCACTAGCACAAAGTTATTATCAATGATTTAGTAAATTCAGGCAGCTTTCAGCTACATATATATTACATGAGGGCTGATGATACTGTGGTGAGAGCTGCCTGCTAGCCAAAATTGGTAGACAGCAATTTACGTCAATGCTTACGGCCCAAATCTTTATCACAAGAAAAAGACAGGAACAAAGACATTGACTCAACAACCAATCACAGCAGACTTAACGTGTGCAAATACGATTCGCAGATATATGGCTTAACTCTCTAAGAAACGGCCACAAAGAGATAACAGAATAACCCTCAGAAGGAAAACAACCAATCAGAAGACGTTGCTTCTCTGATAACAATAACGAATAATAATAATGTACATAAAAATATATAAATATCTGTTGATTTTCTCAATAAACGATCTGTTGCCTGGCCCTTGTCTTCTGTCATTACAACACTACCTAGTTGCTAGGGCTAGAGTAGTGGCAGAAGGACTCGAACCCGGAAACTTAACAGCTGAAAGTCGGATACCTAATAAACAATCAACCACCATCCCATATCAACACGGATTAGTTCAATATTCACAGACCCAAATACTAACTGCAGAAAAATACCTACCGACTTTGACCATGTCCTGATAAAGTTACTCACAGAAGCCGCCGAAGTAATTGACTTTATATTACAAAAGGGTTAGTGAATCTACTTATTCAACTAACTTGATTGCAAAACTACTTTAAAAAATCCCATACAATATCATTTTCTTTTTTTGATTGTAAGGCACAGCATCTCAAACACAGACAATTTCACAGACAACTGGTAAACTCGAACGCATATTTCAATTATCCAAATTCTAACTCTTCTGAATGGTTGAATTCCACTCAAGTAATAGTAGTTTTGTTAGGTCACGTTATGTAAAATAACTACCTTAAAACAATTAGTTCCCTTTATGGATTTAATCAGACAAAGTAATAAGAAGACGTAATTGTTTGAATAGTGTAGTATGTATTCGCGCACAACACATTTCGAACAATCTGGTCACATACACGTACTTGTCATTGGAATATCTATATGAAATCAATCAAGAGTTAAGAGGTGAGAAAATAGACTTAGATCAAGTTAAAAGGCCATATTGAAGGTCAAAATAGTGATGGAGATCAATAAACCGAACACAGGACAATGAAAATATTTTAAATCTAAGATCCGCTTCAAATTATTTTTCAAGTGTTGTTGTATTCACGTACGCACACACACATTTGGCTTGTTTATGAAACTGCATAGCTGTTTCGTCTAAGTTTCGCAAACTGGCAGATTTTGGAATACACACGCAATTAGATTCGGTCCCAGTTGCTGAATGGTCTAGGAGTTCACGTCACACCCGGAAGCTCCTGTTTTTCAAACCCAAGTGGGTGTGTACTACTGAAGAGTCCCAGACTATGGTCAAAAAGAAGATGTCAAGTACTCCCTGGTTTTTCAATGCGATTGATCTAACATATATCAACTAATTACATTGTGGGTTTATATACCGCCTACCTGTCTGGTAGATGTGCGAATATCTATTATTTTGATAATGCAAACTCATCACTGCAGTCTTCATCATTCTTGTATGATTCCGTGTACAAGGTCCAGTTAGTACTTGGTGACGAAAATTACTTCTAAATTTCATTACACAGCAACAGTACAAACGTCTTCCGAATGGAGGTTCGCTTATTTGAAACTTACATTACATCATGACATTCTTTTTACGCATGACACAGATGAGAAATTGAACAACATTTAAATCGTAGTCAAGATAATAACTAGGCATGAGACTCATCAGCAGTACGCACCCACTGGGTTTCAAACGCAGGGGCTTCCAGTTACAAGACAAGCTCGTAGACCATTTAGCCACTGGGACCCAATTGAAGGGCCAGCCCGTGAATTCTAACCTCTACCAATTCGTGATTTTAGCGCAACCACCAACCAAAGTCATCGGCGGGAATTCCAACCTCAGTGGGTGCATACTACCGATGAGTCCCAGAAAAACTAGGACGAAACAGCTTTCCAGTACTCCCTGGTGGTCTTCAATGGTTCTCTAACTGATATCGATCTGTTGTCTAACCAACCTGAAACAAATAGAACCCCTACAAACTAGTTCTTGATAATAACTAAGTGTTTTGTTGAAATCGTCTACGGTAAAGAATATCATTGTGGGAGACATCTCAATCACAGCGCACAAATTCATAGGGGAGGTACGTTAGCTGGGTGCAATTCCGTGCTGATTGAGCGATTCAAACTTAACAGCTACCTTCTTGAATACCAGGGCTGTATCTACTGGGTCAAGAGAGCCAGCCACCTTTTGTTTAACGAGTAATAATAGCTGTTATATGTTCACAGATAGCTGTTTGCACAATTCCCCAATGGTTGATTTGCTACTGGTCTCTGCTGACACGTCGGCGCCTAGTACACACGCCTCAATAATATTTGCATGTTAACATGATTTTATTTGGTTGAACTGTGCATCCTGAACTGCACTACTATTCAACAGAATTAATATTCAAAAGGAATGATAGTCGGTTTTTGTCAAGGTATTCAAAATCATTTGGAAAAACACCTTGTCTACTTATAAGTAGTTAGATAATTTTATTAGAAATTATAATTTTGTTTGTCAGGATTAGATTTGTTTATACAAGTTTCACCATGGACTGATATCAGTTGGAGAACCATTGAAAACCACCACCAGAGAGTACTGGATAGCCTGCTTTTTCGTCCTAGTATTCTGGGATTCATTAACAGTAAGCACCCGCCGAGTTTCAAACCCAATGGTTTCAAATGGGTGTTCCTAACTAATATCAATCCATGGTCAACCCGATGACATTGGCTTGCGGTCACGCTAAAAAACGCCACGAATTGATAGAAGTCGGAATTCATGAGGCTGCCCAGTGGCTGATTGATCTAAGAGCTTGACTTGCAACCACAAGATCTTGGGTTCGAACTCCGAAGGTGGGTTGGGTACGCGTACTGCCAAAGAGTCTCAAACTAGAGTGAAACATTTGCCCAGTATTCCCTCCTAGTTTTCAATGGTTCATTAACTGATTACAAACTTGAAGAAAAGAAATATATTAAATTATGAATCTTACTTCTTCTAGAAGATACCTCATTTGATCCGATTTGATGATCAATATTGGACAGATAGGCATCAAGTTGTATACGCCATGCTAACAGCTGGCCATGAATAGTCCCTGCTATCATATACTGGAAGTCATCACTAGGATGAATAAATGCTGGAGTGAAACAACTAAAATTCTGTACAGTATTAGTTGGATTCCGATCGACGGTTTCTTCGCCATTGCTGCTTCTGTTGTTATTATTATTATGAATGTTATTAGCATGATGAGGCTGAAATGATAAGATAGGCATGAAAAACAGGGAAAGTGGTAAAATATACAGACAATAATTTCATTTATTTCAGAAAGGAGATGATTAGAGCAAGATGATACCCAGGAGGATGTTACAAACTGCTTACTCATTTAACTAACATGAGAAGTTGTAAACCAGCCACGCCAAATAGTAGTGCTTGTTACAAACTGATGGAACTGATCGACATATCAGACGGTAGTCTGGATCTTTCAGAGCCGCGAGCTCATCAGTGATGCTGTACTCAGTTTGGACACTTGTCAGTCCTATCTTCGGCGTAGAATGAATTCTATCAATCGAGTTTGAATTCGATCTGCACTAAACAAAAAACTAGACATACATTACACTAGTTACTGACTAGTGTCTAGTCAAAATTAGCTGCCCACCCCACCCCCCGAACGATTGCCCATAAGCTCTCATCTCCTCTTCATATGATCTCCTTCATGTCATGTTCAAAGTGAAGCCCTACTGAACGGCTCCCATTCAGGTTCAACTTGATGTCATTCAACGGACTCCTCAACGTATGCCCAATCCATCCATCTGGATTTTCTCCGACATATATATTTGTTGAGCAATCGGCTTTTTCAACCTTATCCAACAGCTGTTCGACAACGCCACATGTCAAGTGATCCACAACGGAAAACTCAGCGAGGCGTTTGGAGTAAACACAGGAGTCAGACAAGGGTGCTTATTATCACCAATGATATTCCTAATTGTGGTGGACTGGATTATGCGTCAGACAGTGGAAAAAGAGAAGACAGGGATATCCTGGACCGACGTGAAGAACCTAGAAGACCTGGATTTCGCGCGTGGATGATTTATGTTTGATGTCATACAAAATCGAAGACTTACAAGCGAAAACCGATAAACTGGTCGAAGAAGCAGCAAAGACAGGACTCCAGGTGAACATAGACAAGACGGAGATTATGAAAATAACCAACCAACCAACAACAACAGCAGCAACATCCAACGCCAATCACCATCAACGGGAGGGATTCGAAAGAGGTTACATCATTCACTTATCTAGGGAGCATTGTCTCAACTACAGGCACACGGAACCGACGAGGATGTCAAATCGAGAATCGGGAAGGCGAGAAACACATTCATCAACCTGAAACCAATCTGGAAATCTTCGTCACTCAGCCTGCATCAACAACAAAATTCGGATTTTCAATACAAACGTCAAGTCAGTCAGTTCTTCTATACGGATCAGAAACTTGGAGGGTCACAAAGAATATTTCCAACAGCCTGTTGCAGACCTTTATCTGTCTTCGTTCTATACTGAAGATCAGATGGCCGGAAAGAATCACCAACAAGAAACTATGGAAACAAACAAAACAAGGACCAATCGCCCAACAAATATGCAGGAGAAAGTGGAGATGGATTGGTTGGGCACTCGCTGAGGAGGCCGCTGGGTGACATCGCGCGTCAGGCCAACGCTCGAGTGGAACCCGAAAGGGAAGCGGCGAGTGGGATGTCTAAGGGTGACATGGAGGAGATCATGTGAAGAGGAGTTGAAACAGTATGGACTAACATGGATGTAGGTGAAAAGTACAGCAGAAGACAGAAGCAAGTGGAGACGTGCAGTTGAAGCCCTATGTTCCACTAGGAACCCAAGAGAACAATATTCATAATAATAATCGGCTTTTGGTTGAATCGTTCATCACCAGAGTTGTTGTTGCTAATTCTTACTGGCCTGCTAGCTATTTGAGCTTCAGTATGCAGCCAGTCAGCAAAGGTGGCAGTTGTTGTTAAAAGTCTGCAGCAGGCTGTTGGAAATCCTCTTCGTGTCACGTAGTGCAAGTTTCTGACCCGTGCAGAAGAACTGGCGGACTTCATATTTGTAATGAAGATCTGAATCATGACAACAGATTTCCAAACTGGTTTCAGGTTGATAAAGGCGTGTGCATCTTGCCTTTCCGATTCTGCCTGGCTGGTTTTGACATCTTCATCCGTTCCTTCCGCGAGCCTGATGTTGAGACTGTGCTTCCTAGACTGAAAAGTGAAGGAATTAACTTCTGTCAGACCTTTCCAGTTGATGGTGATTGGTACTGGTTGTTGTTGCTGTTGGTTGGTTGGGCGATGCATATATGATATTCATTATTATAGAAGTTTTTCCTATATCACAATGAATGAGGGGGGAGGGCGTATATCACTTTGTCTTTGTCATTCATTTATTGGGAAACACAAAATCTTTCATAATAATAAGCATTTAATTATATGTCTCTGAATTGCAGTCTGTAATAACACCTAATTTCTGAAAATAGGTTTCTACCCACTGCTGTGTACTTCTTTTCTTTTTAGACCGAAATAGGAGATAAGCAGCATTGTGAGGTATTCAAGTGTGCATTTGGTAGAACAATACTAATTCAAATGTTTTATTATTATTATCGATTATTATCTTAACAACGATCAAAGGAGTTTAATACTTTGATTGGATACTAGTCAGTAACTAGTGTGACGTGTCTAGTCCTTTCGCTGTTTGGTGCAGACTGAATTCTATCAGTCAGTCAGCTTTGCAATGTGGCCACCATGCCACTAGGTGGCTCGCCATCACGGTGCACATTGATTTGATGATATTAGATAGTTGGAGGCAATCGGCAGGCAGGAAGCCTTGCCTAACGCAGGTTTTGTGCTAGTTGGCACTCAACAGTCAGAAAGGCGTATTATCTGCAACTACCTTGAAGGAACTCATGTCCCTTATCAGATTCGAACCCGCGGCACCCGCGTTTAATACTTTGTAATGCACCACATCTATACAAGCGATGAGGATATCTAACCAACGAAAACAGCAACAACAGCAAGTGTGATTCACTGTCAGTGGGAGAAATTTGAAGGAAGTCACCGCTTTCACCTGCCTAGAATTCAAACACAGACACGACGGATGAAGATGTCAAAGGCAGTTAGGACTGTAAAGACAAGTCAGACGTTCATTGATCGTTCTAAGCGTATCCCGCATGGCTTTAGAAAGGTGGTAATGGTTCTATAGGCGGAACTGACGAGGATATCAAAGCAGCGAGGATCGGGAAAGCAAAACAAGCTTTCACTACTCTCAAGTCTGTGTGGAGGTCAACAGCACTACTCAGCATCAAAAATAAGATCCCGATTTTAAACTCCAATGTGAAGTCAGTGCTACTATATGGATCAGAAACTTGGCCAGTACGTCATAAAGAGCATCTCAAACAAACTATAGACCTTCATTAACAGCTGTCTTCGCTCAATACTCAAGATCAGATGGCCAGAAAAGATCAGCAACAGAGATCTCTGAGAGCGAAACAAATAGGCAAGAAGAAATGGAGATGGATTGGCTGGCCATACTCTGAGGAAACCATCAGTTGACATCACTAGACAAGCCCTTGAGTGGAACCCGAAAGGGAAGCGGCGAGTTGATTGTTGATGGGTGACTTGGAAGAGGTCATGTGAAGAGGAGATGAAATCATGTGGGCAGACTTGGAGCCAGGTGAAGACTCTAGCAGAGAACCGAACGCAATGGAGACGCACGGCTGAAGCCCTATGTTCCTCTAGGAATTAAAGGAAACAATGATAATGATAATAATATAGTATCTCATGACGGCAGAGCCTAGGGGACAACTGTTTAAGGCCGGTCTCATACAATCTGTTCTTTGAGTTGTGTCCATACAAATAGCTTACCACCAGCTTACAGACCACTACAGTTTAGCCAGGATGTATAATCTTTTGGGATGAACTCTTCTGACTCCCCCCTATCCAATATCGGAGAGGCTAGTGGTCCAACAGAAACACTTCTTTTCCAATAGTACGACGTCGCCCCCAAGTCATCAACATACTACAAACGATTTTCACTACAATCGAAACTGGTTTTGGACTAACCGTCAGTGCGAGGGTGACTTGAAGGAGGTCATTTGAAGAGGAGATGAAAACGTGTGGGCAGACTTGGAGCCAGGTGAAGACTCTAGCAGAGAACCGAACGCAATGGAGACGCACGGCTGAAGCCCTATGTTCCTGTAGGAATTAAAGGAAACAATAATAATAATAACAATAAATAATCGAACACCTCGTCAACACACTGATTGCATTCCATCTCAACAAACGCCTCCTGCAAAACAATATTCTACAAACTTTGAAGAAAAATCTATCAAAGGCTGACTTGATTTTTGTATGCTTTTCTCTTCTAACCCCATATACCTCTTGCATTTCTTTAGAACTCTTTTTAGAATTTCATATTTTCCCTCGTTTCTGTGTGCATTCTGATCACAAATCAGTCATCAAATTATCCATGTTATAACGTCACTAAAGTACACACTTTTATTCAACTTTTTTTCTATGCATTGACAACTCATCACTACAACCCTTTTACTAATCTTCAACCCCCTCCTCCACTCCCCCACCCTAGTTACAATCTGATTATTTATCACATTTTTCTGAAATATTTTGATAATGAAAACAATAACCTTGAATAATTATCATTCTTGTCTGACAGAAGTAATGTACACACACACACACATACAAAAATAATTATAAATACCTACATGAATGAATTCACCGCAAAAAACGACGCTTCACTGAACTACGTGTTTTGTTTCGAATAAAATGTCAAGATGAGGATTATTCACCGATTGTGAAAAGACTCTGAAATCAGTTTAAAAAGTCTACTGCACTGAGAAAAAAATAACAAAATTTTTGATTTTCAACACTAATGTCAAGCTATTTGGAGGATCTAGATTTCGATGATGATATATATGCTTCTTATTTCCCACAAACTGGAAGATATGCAAGTGAAAGGGCAACAAGTTGGTGATAGTGGAAGCATCAAAGATAGACCTTCAGCGAACAGCAACAAGAACAGACAAAAATCAGCATAAATGGGAGAAATGTGAAAGAAGCAAGCTCCTTTGCCTACCTACCTGAGAACCATTGTTTCAACTACATGCGGACGGAATTGATGACGATATGAAAGCGAGGATTGAGAATTCCATAATGGATAAGATTTTATTTTGATAAATCACACAGTGTAGTACAGTTATATTAACTGATGACGTTTCGAGCACAAACTATTGCTCATAATCATATCAAGTTGCCCAAGTTTTATACTTATATCGAGGATTGAGAAGGCAAGGAAAGGCTTTATTACTCTCAAGTCTGTGTGGAGATCAACAGCATTCCTCAGCATGAAAATGAAAATAAGATGCGGATTGGCAACTCCAATGTGAATTCAGAGACTTGATGCCACGTCACGAAGGGCAATTCGGACAAACTACAAACCTTCATCAACAGCTGTCTTCGCTCAATACTACTCAAGATCAGATGGTCGGCCAGAAAAGACCAGCAACAGGCAGGGATCTCTGGCAATGAGCGAACCAACCCAGCAGAAGTCAGTTGTGCAACAAATATGCAGGAAGAAGTGAAGGTGGATTGGATTGGCCATACTCTGAGAAAACAAACCATCATCAAGTGACGTCCATCACACGCCAGGCCATCGCTCGAGTGGAAGCCCAATGGGAGGTGGCGAGTTAGTTGGTCGTCAGTGGGAGGGTGACATTGAGGCGGAGGAGGTGATGCAAAGATGAGATGAAAGCATGTAGGCAGACGTGGAGCCAGACGATGAAAACATTGGCGGAGAACCGAACGCAATGGAGACGTGGGGCTGAAACCCTATGTTTCTCTAGGAACTAAAGGTAACAATAAAAATAATAATAATGTCAAGCTACTCAGTGCTTCTATATGATTCAGAGGCTTAGCAAGCGCGTCATTAAAAGCATTTCGAATTGGCTTCAGAGGTTTCTTTAACAGCTAGTTGTCTTTGATCTATACTGAAGATTAAACGGCCAAAAAAAGAATTAACAACAAGGAACACCCTAGTAACGTACCAACCGAGAACCTACTGCTCAATAAATATTCAGAAAAATATCGAGACGAATCACGCACACACGGTGAGGATGAAATCACACGCTAGGCATAATCTCGAGTGGAACAAGAATGGGAGACGACGACGACGAGTTCGGCTTGGTGTTGAAAGTTATATGCCGCAGATCGTGTGTGAGATGATAGTGCATACGGCAGTTTAATCAATAAAAATGTAGGTAATAATATTTTTTTCTGCAATCTACATGATACATATACATTCTTTCATTCCTTTGTGTTTCGAGTGAAACACCTTTGAATTTTCAGTAGCAGTGGTGATATTTCTTTTTAAGGGGCAAAGTTACTAGCGTCACGCCCGCTCTCAATTTTCCCTCTTTACCGGGCTTAGGTGCCGGGCTAGGTGAGGTTTAAGAGTTTGTCGGCTGGGAATCGACCACCCTGACCCACGTGAGTATTTCACCAATGAACCATTTGACGTACAATAGATAATATACAGAGCACAGACAGATAGATACCAGAAAAAGTATATACACACACTTACAGATAAGGTGGCTATATGTACTGGGACATCTGAGCACACGGATTCACCTGATTGAACAATAAGACTACAGGAGAGAGAGAAAATAGAGAAGAAAACACCGAGAAACCATGAGGAGCAGTACAGAAATGTAGGTCAATAAATAAAATGAAACATAATGTTACTTAGTTGAAGGCGGGGGAGGACACCAGTAGGAGATCCAGGATCTATAAATCATCATATTTGAAACGGATTCCTCCTCAACTGGATGCACCTGTATCCCCCTTCGCCTCCTATGTGAGTGGTGGTGTTCTCACTGAGACACAAACTCAATAATCACCGTTTTAAAGTGTCGATATCAATCAATAAAATAATACCGGCTGAGCAAATTTTGATACAGTAACAATTCTGAAATAGTGGATAAGATTTGTAGCTCAGGTGGATATTTTTTAAAGTGTTGTTTCGACCTCTAAAACTAGATGGCGTAACCGAGAAGTTTCCGTTGTCCATTCTAACAATATAATCAGTGCCAAGATTTAAGAATTTCTACTGGATGAAGTATTTGTCTCTCCTGGTGAACACTGACTGTAGTAACTGGTTATTTCCATGAATGTTTTCTTTATAACTGCACACATCCATAGTGATAGAGATCGTCCCGTTAACCTGATGATAATGAACCTTCCAGTTCTGAGAATTGTCTTTTTTCTATTGATTGACTAATTTGATCTATGTCTGTCTGTCTGTCTGTCTGTTTTCGACATAGAACTTCGCACCGATGTGCGGCAGTTCAAGTCGCCACACTCCCTCCTTGTAGCACACAAAGCAAGAGAAGAAAGTAGGAGAAATGCATAATACAGACAGTAAACAGAGGTGTGAGACAAAGGAATAGTAATAACGAAGAACAAAACAGTTTAATTGGAAATCATAAGTCACAAGGAGTGGATGCATCTGCGACAGCCATTGAGAACGAACACTTTGAGCCATTTTATCTAACTCACACCACCCTCTTCACTCACAACTCTCCCCCTGCATCTCATCAGGTAAAACCAGAAGCCAATATAGAAAACTATATGCTCGCACCAGCAAGTACAAAAACTCAACCATACCCTACTTAGCTCGTGGTCTGTGTGATAAAGAAAGCATTAGGCGTGACACCTATAATTCTTTAAATAGTCAGTAGTACAACTGGATCTCGTCTTTCCAACCCACATCATCAATAGGTACAACATTTTCTTTCTTTCTGTTTCTTTTCTCTCTCTTCTTTTTCCGTTATGTGCTGCTTTTTCTCTTTCTCTCGTTTACACCAGTTAATAGGACAGCTCCCACTTTTCTAACACCTTCAAACACTGTTTCAGCTTTACCTTTGCTACTGACATGCCAATGTATTGTTGTAATAATGAACGGTTGGTTTCCTCAATCTATGTAGAATTCTATTTATTGATAATGTACTAACTGGATGCAATACTGTAGTAAAAATGCTGAGAATTCCATTCTGTATCACAAGTACTGTTTTGGAATAAAGCAAATTATTATTATTATTATTGTTATTATGATTATTATTATTATTATTATGTCACCAATTGTTTCCAACCAATGATTCTTACCGTCCCGAGGACCCCAACCAGGAGGCCAGTCTACACCTTCCTACGTGGCTTATACTAAATGTTGTGGATTTCATTGACTGGTGCCATGTTTTCGTTTGACCGCCGCTAGCTCCTTTCCAGCCTGACGCTATGTCAGCTAACATTGCCCATTGTCGAGGAAGGCGATGGCTGTCTAGATATGCGCAACACATGTCGTAACCATCTCAGTCGATGTAGTTTCACAGCCTCGTCGATTGATTTCCTCTCCCACCTATCTAGCACTCGACCGAAGCCTAACCTCAATATTTCTCACCTTATTATGCGACTTCACAAGGGAGGCAGAACGCAGACACCTATGATCGAAGACAGCTAATATTTTCATGTCTTCCACTCTCGATGGCCAGGTCTCACAGCCATAAAGGAGGACGGAGCGGACTGATGAGCAGTACACACGCCCTTTGGTCGATTGTAGCAACGACCCTTACCTTACCCTTCTTATCTAAGACTCGATTATGATTTTATTTTATTTTATTCCTTTACGTTCCCCGTGGAACACAGGGCTTTATTCTAGAGCTTGGAAGTTTCGGTGTTTATTTTTTACAGGATGAGGTTGCTAGCCTAATGTCCAACTTTTCCTCTTTACCAGTCTTATTATCAGGTTAGAGAAGTAAAGGATTGCGTCGATAGCCGAGGATCGAACCCTGGATCGAATGGGTGGTTGGCGAGTATTCATTCTACCAGTGAGTCACCAACACCTAGTCTAAATACCACTCACCATAGTACACCACCTAACACACGGGAGACAGAACATCAACATCTGTAGAGTCAAAGACACAACTAGCCTTTCAATGGCCACATTTCACAACCAGAAAAACAAGGACAGAGAGAACTGGTGAACACTACACACATTATCACATCGACACACTGAGATATTACACGTCTACGCCGGAGATGACGAAAGTTGGCAAATACTAAATGAGCCTTTTGTATATTATAATGAGATTTTGTCAAGAATCAGTCCCCATTAGTGCTGTTACCAGGATGAAAAAGGGACCTCTGTTTTGACTAAAACAGTGGATCGAATCATTAAGTGGATCTACAAAAACAACTACTAATCATAATGAAGGTTACACAAGAAGAGAGACAAAGGTCCCGCGATCCATGAGTAATTTCCAAAGCTTACTCACCTTATATTGAAAGGTTAAAGGTGTAAGCTTTGTAATCAAAGCATCTACAGTCCAGAAAAACATAACAGCTCCAAAAAAAACAGTATTAATTGACATAACCCACCAACAATATTTTTTTAGAATACTTTGAGCCACACACACACGCACACAAAAAAACAAACAAACAGACACACTAAATAGGCGTATACATTTCTACTTCTTCTTTTTATCTTCGAACTCTGGATACATATATCTGTTTACAAGAGACGATGTTAGATTGCCTTAACCACAGCTCAGATATTCTCTCATCATAATTAATTAAAAGCTTTACAACACGATTAAATTGGACATTGATCATTGTTGCTACACACACACACACACACACACAGTGATAAATTAATGAACACTATACAAATTCCTAATAAATAACCTTTTCTTTTGAAAAAAAATAATAAAGACATTAGAGTATAACACGTATACTTAAAATATGTTAAAATACGATGAGGAGATTTGTACTACCTGCCCCACCTGACCACCACGACCATCGCCCATTGAGTGGTGCATAAACAATTATCACCTGATAAGATAAAACACCTAAATTTTAACGGATCATAAAGGTGTGTGTTAGAATACCAAGCACAGATGAAAAAAGTAACACATATCCATCGTAGTATTAATCTACCCTGATATAGTATGAAATGAATACATTGGACTGATAGATAAAACTCTAGAAGATTCACACAAACTCCAAGATCTACATGCGAAAATCAACAAGCCAGTAGAAGAATCCGGTAGTGAAGATGGCACTTCAAGTAAACATAGAGAAGGCAGAGATGATGGTGAAGATATCCACTGACCAACATCAACAACAACTACAAATCACGATTAACGGAAGAAAGGTAAAAAAAGACACATCACTTCCTGATTCACTTATCTGGCCAGGTAGCATCCTTTCAACTACAGGCAGACGCATTTCAAAACCAGAATCAGAAAGGCAAGGTACATAGTCATTATTCTAAAATCAGTCTGAACGTCTACCGCATGAAGAATAAAGAACAAGATTCTGAGTTTCAATATTAATGTCAAGCCACTCAGGGCTTCTACATGGTTAAGCGACTTCGCGAGTCATAAAAAGCATTTCGAACAGGCCGCTGCAGACTTTATCAACAGCTACCTTCACTGACTCACTACTAAGGATCAGATGGTTGGCCAGAAAGGATTAGCAACAAGTAACGCGGAACGAACCAACCAAGAACCTATTGACTAACAGATATAGAAATGAGTCAGACATATCCTCAGGAGAATATCGAGTGACAATGTGCACCAAGCCCTCCAATGGAATTCAAATGATAAACAACGAGTTGGGAGTTCAAGGGTGATATGAAAGAGACTGTGTGGAGAGGAGATTACAGCTTATAGGTGAAAGTGGCTGTGGCTGAAGAGGACTGTTGAGAACAGGACAAAATGGAAATATACTGTTAAAGCCATATGTTCCACTTGGAACCTAAGGGAACAATAATAATGGTTAGAAACACAATATATACAAAGGAAGGATGATTTTCAGAAATGACAAAACAGTTTGAAACAAATGTATTATGCACTATTGACTGATCAAATGATCGATGAAAGGGCGTCTGTAATGCTCAGCAGTTCAATCTGTCCTCCTTCATGGCTGTGAGTGAGACATGGCTATTGAAAGTGGAAGACATGAAAAGGCTAGCTACCTGTCCGTGATCATAGGTGTCTGTGTTCTATCTCCCGTGTTAAGTGGTATAGTAGGATGAGGCATAATGAGGTTGGGTATCGAGTGCTAGGTGAGGAAGCGAAATCAATAGACGAGGCTATGAAGTTACATCGATTGAGATGATTAGGACATGTGCTACGCATGCTTAGACATCCATCGCCTTCCTCGATTTCACTGTCAGCTGACTGATGTGGAATGGATCAGGTTGGAAAAGAGTTGGCTAGAGGTGGTCAAACGAAAACATGGCCCCATCAGTCAAAGAAATCCACAACAGTTAGTTTAATCCACGTAGAAAGGTGTAGACTTCCTGACTGGTTGGGGTCGTCGGGACGGAAAATACCAATGAAGGCTGGAGACAATTGGTGATATGGCTCAAAATCGTTATCAATGGCTGGCGAAGATGCATTCACTCTTTGTGATTTCTAATATCCAATACAATTCTATTCTTCCCCCAAGTTAACATTCTTTTCGCCTAACACTTATGTTTATCTCTCTCTACTCTTGCTTTGTGTGTTACATGGAGGGAGTGTGGCAACTCGGACTACTGCACATCCCTGCTAAGTTCCACGTTGAAAACAATCAGTCAGTCAGGTTCTCATTTCACAACAAAAGACCCTATGAAAAACTAACCTTTTTGGTAAACAGTATAGATAAGCAAATCCCGATCGGCCAAATACACTAATCACATTGGATGTAATAAATCCTCCACCGACCAATGTATCATTCGCAGGATTTGATATAGTACAGATTATAGAGCATGTCATTGCATTGAATAACTGTGCAATGAGGGGAAAAAAAAGTGGTAACAAAACACAACAGGATAAAATAAAACCCAAGGAAAAACGAAAATTTATGCCTTTAATAATAAGAGAAGATTCCCAAACTAGGACGAAACATCTGTCCAGTACTCCATGGCTTAACAATCGTTCTCTAGCTGATATCAGTTTGTGTACTACGGAAGTACCACTGGATAGCGACTTCGTCCTACTCTGTGACTCTTCACCAGCATGCCACCATGACTTCCCCAACGATTGAATCCAGAGGAACTTCAGTTTCAGGTCAGACGGCTGACTGTTCAGTCATTGAGATGTAATCCGATGGACCAGGATATATAGCATCATCGACAGCCAACGTCATCTACAGCTTGCATCATTTTAACAATAAAATTCATCGTAAAGAAAAGAGTTAGTCAATACGGCAATGCGCTTGAACACCCACACACACCCACGCACGCACACACAAATACAAAAAACACTTTAACAGTAGGAAAATAAGCTTACCTGCCAACCAGTAGAGCAAACTAACAGAATACACCGTGGTGTTTGAGGACAACAAACAACTTGGAGTACAGTTGATGGACAGTTAATAGATCTTGACTCATGTTCATATTTTGCTTCACCCTAAAAGAAAAGGGAAGAGGGGGGCGGGGGTGGGGTGGGAAGGAACAATGAAAAGAATTAGGTCAGCAAATAAGCCAAAAGTATCACACGAGACATCTACATGAAACATATATATAAATGATCGCTTAAACGCCTAATCTCCTCCTCTCTTCTTTTGAAAGTATAAGAATAGTTGAAGCAATTCAGTGACTTACCATTTTGTATTAAATGAAAACACACAAATTAATCGACCAAAAATACCTACTTTAGCATCTTGGTGGGGAAGTGAAGTGTGGTAGCCCGGTTACGCAATAAAGTTTGAGCCATACATGGAAAGGCAGGGTATAGATTGTCTGACATGGGTTCACGGGATACTAAGAACCAGTGGCTGTAGACTGTAGTGACATGACTGGAAGTTGTTCTCAGTGACGTATAAGCATCCATTGTTTGTAATCGCCCCGGGTTTATTAAATTCTTAACATTTCCACCCTTACTTTTCGACGGATAAGTGTTGAAACTAGCACTTTACATAGTACATTCGCCAAACTTATCTCCCCATGAAAAAAGAAGACAGGAGTACGTTGGGCCAACAAGAAAACTCTAGAAGACTAGGGACTTGGCGAGTGATTTATGTCTAATGTCACAAAAACTCGAAGACTTACAGGTGAAAACTAACAAGTTGGGAGAAAAAGCCAGCAGTGAAGACACCACTTCAAGTGAACATGGACAAGACAGAGGTCATGAAGACACCCAACGAACAACAACAACAAGAAAGTTGAACAACATCAATTCCTTCTCTTTTTTATTATAGCTTGAAACCACACAGTATTCTTGGTACAATTATGGAATTTTCAGCATGTAATATCGGTAGTCCAAATTTAGCAGGCCGACCATTGATATCAGGTGTGCGTCGGCAGGGGATCGAATCCCGGACCATATGTATGGTCGGCGAGAGTCCTAACCGCTGTGCCACCGACGCACTTCACTTATCTGGCCACGAGACATCCTTTCAACTACTTGCAGACAGGACAGATCAGGATGTCGAAACCAGATTCGTAAAAGCAAGACTGACCTTCACGACACTCTGTAATCAATTTGGAAATCTTCTGCACTCAGCGCAAAGAACAAAATTCGGACAAAATTCATTACCAATGTGTGTGGGGGGCTCAGAAACTTGACCTGTGCGTCACGAAAAACACTTTGAACAGGCTAACTTCAGAGTTTTATCAACAGTGTTGCCTTCATTGACTCCATGCTCAACATCGGATGGTTGGCTGGCTGGCCAGAAAGGATAAACGAACTAATTAAGAACGCACTAAGGATAAAATTTTATTTTGATAAAGTCTCACAATGTGCTATACAGTAATATTTACTGAGGACGACGTTTCAAGCACAATTTATTGCTGCTCATAATCATATCAAGGCAATACTCACACAACTTTCTTGCTTCGCTTATGTACATGAGTAAAAATTGATGATGATTAGACATTTGAATAAAATCAATATAACACTTGCGTGGAACAGAATAGAAGATAAAGTACATTCGAAACGAATGTTGATGTTAACAATAAATATAATAATATGATGAGAATTCAACTCATTAAGAAGATAAGAAAAGGTCAAAAGCAAAATAAAAAATAATGGTGAAACTAATAATGATATCAAAAATAGGACTGAATATAAGGCATCTACAGTTTTGCCATATAAGGAGAGGACATCTGAGACACTCCCTACGTAGGATTCTTACTAAAGCAGGAATTAGGGTGGCATTCAAATCTACAAACTCACTCAGAGACAAGCTCTGTAGACTAAAGGACCCGGTGCACCCAATTAAACAAAGTAATATAATTTACAAAATACCTTGCAATGACTATGAGTTAAGCCAACTACATAGGTCAAACTAGTAGATCGGGGATAGTCAGATTGTCCGAACATAAGAATTTAGCTTAGGTAAGAATGGTTGACCCCGAGAAGATAAGTGATTTAGAAAAAAGCTCAGCAATTTCACTGCACGCATTAACACACAACCACACAATAGGGTGGGAGAGGGTTAAAATTCTCAAAAGTAATATAGGTAGGTAGGTGGAGATAGAGAGAGAGATTGATTACTGAATCCTGCCTGGTTCATCGAGTCTACACCCAATACATGCAACAGAAATAATTCAACGTAAATACCAGAGATATGAAAGGTATTATTACTACCAGTCAGTCAAATCAGAGGAGGATAATTAATAATGTTAAAATGTATTCAATTCAATTTACATTCTAACAAGTTACTTATTTATTTTACTATAAAAACATCTTATTTCCCATCTTATTGATTGTATTTGATTGATAACACTAATATTATTATTTCCGAATGTACTTTATCTTATATTGATTTTATTCAAATGTCTAATCATCAATTTCACTCATGTATATAAATGAAGCAAGAAAGTTGTGTGAGTGACTTGATATGATTATGAGCAGTAATAGATTGTGCTTGAAACGTCATCCTCAGTAAATATAACTGTATAACACTGTGAGACTTTATCAAAATAAAATCTTATCCATAATGGAATTTTTTTTCTATGGCAATGTTTGACTATGAAGGGAGTACCAAGAAAGTACATTGCACTAATCAAGGCACTCTACTCAAACTCACGTAGCCATGTAAGGGCTTATGGGGAATTGTCATCTGAATTGATAACAACCAGTGGTGTCCGTCATTGATGTCCACTTTCCCCTTTTCTGTTTAACTTCATCATAGATATGCTAATGGAAGTATCCTTAACTGAACTTAACGACTTAGGAATCGACTTGTCACCAGGGAATAGTCTTATAGACTTAGAATACGCAGACGACATAGTCCTGTTAGGAGAGGACGCTGACAAAATGCAGAGTCTTCTGAACACCTTGAGCAGCAATCTTCGTATGTTTGGCATGCGATTCGCCCCTGTGAAATGTAAGATGCTGCTACAGGCCTGACTGGACTACGTCAACTCCTAGCTTAGTGATAGGAAGTGAAGTGATAGAACATGTTGACCACTTCACCTATTTGGGAAGTTGTATCACCACCAACGGATTGATTGGTGACGAAATCACAGCACGGATCCAGAAAGCTCGGGCTGCCTTCGCTAACTTATACCGTCTCTGGCGTAGGCGTGACATCCGGCTGTCAACCAAGGGACGTGTATACTGCTCAGCAGTTCGCTCCGTCCTTCTCTATGGCGGTGAGACGTGGCCATTGAGAGCGGAAGACATGAAGAGATTGTCTGTTTTTGACCACAGATGTTTACGATCTCTTTCTCGCGTTAGGTGGTATAATAAGGTAGGTAGGCCACGTGCTGCGCATGCCTAACCATCGTCTCCCCCGACGGGCATTACTAGCTGATATAGGTGCAGGTTGGAAAAGGGTAAGTGGTGGCCAAACAAAAACATGGCATCAATCCATGAAATCCTTGACAATTAAACTGGGTCAGGTGGGGAGATGCAGACTTCCGGGTTGGGGACCTCGGGACTCTAAGAATCAATGGCTGGAGACAATAGGTGACATGGCTCAAAATCGTTGTCAATGGCGCAGATGTATTCAGTCTCTTTAACCTTTATACTCGTTTCTACCATTACTCATTCTGTTTCACTCTTATACTTGTCGAAACTCTATTGATTCTCTTCACTCATTTTCTTGTCTACCTTTGTGTGCTATTTGGAACGTGGCAACTGTAACTGCTGCACTTCGGTGCCAAGTTCTATGTTGAATCCAGACAGACAGAGACAGATAATGGAATTTTACTCTACTACAGTGCCGAAGTCTTATTCTTATATCAATAATCAAGAAGCTATTGCCCAAAAAAATATGTCAAAGAAAATGGACATGGATCGGATACACGTTCAGGAGACTGCCGAGTGACATTGCGCGCTAGGCATAACCTCCAGTGGAACCGAAATGAGAAACGACGGGGTTGGGCGTCGGTAGGTGACATGGAAGAGATCGTGTGGGGAGGTGATGAGAGCTTACGCGGAATCGTGGGGCCAGCCTAAGGAGGACTGCAGAGAACAGGACAAAGTCGAGATATGCTGATGAAGCCCTTTATCGCACTGGGAACCCAAGGGAATTATATACATATATACATAAGGCATATCTCCGTTCTTTTAAAATGGAATAATTAGTGATTTACACCAATCCAAAACAGCTATCCTCAATACCTTAGTTTACTTAGACAACAGTTTTTCACAACCATTATTAAACACCTCTGGCGTCATTCCATTTAGCCCTGCTGTTTTGTGCATCATTTCAGATTAGAGACAGTCTTTGTAACCTCAGTCACGGTCGGAGGACTGATGTCGACACCTCATTCAGATAGGTGTTGGATAGTGAGCAGGTTTAGCTCGGCTGTAGGCCAGTCAATTTGCTCTTCAACGAGTTCTTTCCAACGTTTCAGTCGTCTATCCTGAAAGCTAATTAAGACGACGCCTTTGTTTCTTTTTTTTCCAAGATTGTCTCACTTATCATTTGCCCTTTATAAACTGTTCCTCTCGTAACTCTAAATGGCTGTCTACTATTACCACCTATGATCAATACCTTTTCCAGCTCTTTCGTTCTCGTGACTCAACACTGTTCGCAATCGCTGCGGTAACCTGTTGATTAGCTTGCGTTCACCCAGCTTTCGCTCCTCAGTTATAATATTCGTCAAAAGTCAAAATAAAGATAAATGAAAGTAGTAACTACTTCACATAATTTTTATTTTCAAGAGTTGGTTTGTAAGGATTAAATTTGATTTTACGAGTTGATCACGCGTTGATATCAGTTAGAGAAGCATTGAAAACCAGCACTGGAGGGAGTACTGGACAGCTGTTTCATCCTACTTTGAGGATTATCGGCAGTACGCATCCGCCACAGTGGGGTTCGAACCCAGGACCTGCCGGTTACAAGGCAAGCTGGCTCGTATAGCATTCAGCCACTGGGACCGCATTCAACTGCCAACCAATGAATTCTAACTTCTTCCAATTCGTGATGCAGTTAGCTCGACTGGCACCAACCAATGTCATCGGTGGAAAATCCATCCTCACACGTGACATCTGGATGGACCTCACTGGTCACAACTTCTCACTAGAACTCCATCCTGTAGCCAGTCAGTTCACTGGCGAGCATCAGATGTATACAATCATTTTTACAATCATTATTAGGATGATTAACTGATCCACGCACGTGACACAAAACATGATATACATTTTATAATTATACATGGGTGTTATACTACACAGAAACATTTTTTTTATTTTAAAAATGGCGAATATTTCACTATGATAAGTTTCTCTATCTCATCTCACATGATTAAGAATAATATCTCATAATAGGAATTCGAAAGCACCGCATATATATGTATATATATACCACGCTTAGACAGTGAATAACAAATATTATTACTGACTAGAGTTGTGATTGTGTGAGTTAAATCAAAGCATCCGTCATCACCAAAATTAACAAAGACTTATGCTATAGGCTACAAGCTCAAACACAGTGTGTGTGTGCGTGTGTGTGCGTTTGAAAAACACACACGAGAGATTGACGCCATTATGATCTCAATCATCATATGACTTAATATATCTGCAAATCAATGATCTCATCGTCAGTATTTAGTAGTAGTAATAGTAGAATTCAATTTAAAGCAGTTGTTGAAGTGATGAATTATTCATTATATTATTATTATTTCCTTTAGTTCCTAGAGGAACATAGGGCTTCAGCCACACGTCTCCATCGTCTGGCTTGCACCTCCCTTTCACATCACCTCCTCCTCAATGTCACCTTCGCACTGACGACCAACTAACTCACTGACTCTCATTCGGCTTCCACTCGACCGATGGCCTGGCGTGTGATGGATGTCACTTGATAATGGTTTGTTTTCTCAGAGTATGGCCAATCCAATTCACCTTCATCTCTTCTTGCATATTTGTGTGGTGAGAGCTGTCTACTAGCCAAATTGGTAGACAGTAATTTACGTCAATATTTACGTTCCCAAGATTTGTCGTGAGAAAATGTGAACAAAGATTGATTCAAAACCAACCACAGCAGACTTTGCGTAGGCGGATGCAGTTAACATATAGAGGATTTGACATTCAAGCAACAGTCACAAATAGATGAAAGATTAACTTTACGTGAGAAACAACCAATCGGAAGACTGTGTTTGTTTGCTTAAATATCCATAGTAATGTACATGAAAATACATAAATATGCGTTGATTTCCTTAGTAAATGATCTGTTGCCTGACTCTTGCCTTCTGTCGTTACATTTGTTGCATAATTGGTTCCTTCTGGGTTGGTTTGTTGGTTCATTGCCAGAGATTCCTCCCTGTTGCTGATCTTTTCTGGCAGACCATCTGTGCATCGGTGGCACAGCAGTTAGTACGCTCGCCAATCATGCACATGGGCCAGGGTTCGATCCCCGGCCACAGACGCACTCCTCCGTTACCTCGCTAAGCCTCTGGCTTGAAGCCCTATGTTCCACTGGGAACGTGAAGGAATTAAATTAAATAAAATAATCTGATCTTCAGTAGTATTGACCGAAGACAGCTGTTGATGAAGGTTTGTAGTTTGTTCAAAGTGACCTTCGTCACGCGCTGGCCAATTCTCTGATCCGTATAGTAAGTGGCACTGACTGACTTCACATTGGAGTTGCGAATCCGCATCTTATTTTCATTCTCATGCTGAGTGCTTTCCTTGCTTTCCCGATCCTCGCTTTGATATCCTCATCAATTCCGTCCGCCTGTAGTTGAAACAATGCTTCCTAGGTAGATAGATGAAAGAGGTTGCTTCTTTCAGATTTCTCCCATTTATGCTGAAGTGATGAATAGATTCTTGATTTGAATAAAACAAGAATAACAGTTTGTGTAGAATAAGATGGTACCATCATTGATTTCACTGACTTCTCATCAGCTGCTTATAACAGCCTAAAGATATTATTAAGTGGTTTATGTACAGATATATATATATATATATATTTGTCAATGGCTAGCTTTGTATACCATGAAACATTCATTTGATTTTACTGAAAGTGTTAACCATATGAACGTTTTAAATAAGTTCATGGCGTCATTTGATGTAACCACCATGTTCACAAGTATCCCAATCAATGAAACTATCAAGTTTCATTTGTTAGCCTTCTGATCTTCTCTTACTCACAGTGTTGGAATTCAAATACCTACCTGTTAATGTGTACTATGGATGTACAATTCCAGTTTGACAACACTCTTCACCACCGAACAGGCAGTCTACTTAGCCCTGTTTTAGCAGACATATTCATGTGCTATACTGAAAGAGCAAATTTGAAACATGTAATCGACGAAACAAATTCTTACTGTTGATATGTAGATGACATAATTGTAGCGTGTGACAATGAAAGTCATGCTTCGTACCTAATCGGATTATTCAACGATGCTCATACAAATATTGAATTCACTATGAACACGAAAATGATGAAAGATGGTAGTCTCCAGAGGTCAATTTAACGAAAGCCGACATGGAATGGGTAATACTTACATTTTAGTAGTTTTTGTCCAAATAGCTATAAACGAGCACTAGTTAAAACTCTGTTTGGAGTTAGGGGAATATCTTCTACAGACAAATTAGAGGAAGAATTTATGATTCTTGAAAAATGTTGAAAAACAACGGTTACTCTCAAAAATTCAGTAGCAAGTAGGGAAGATATGAGGGTCCAAATTCCAAACAAATCACAGAGGAAAAGAAGCCTTACTCAATTTTAAAGGTGATAACATTGTAGGAATAGTCAACAGAAGATTGAATACCTCACTAATTATTATCTATCCTGGTTCCCATTTATCGAACAATATGCTCTTTGGTCCAATCAAAGGACGATTCATACACTTCTCATGTTAACTCTAACCACGTATACGAATCTACATGTATCTGCGGCAGCAGTTACGTTGAGAGAACAGAAAGAAGGGCGGACCTTCGATTTCCTCAACATGTACCACAAACCCTAAGTCTCATACAAACAAAGGCTTTCAATAGTGTCACTACCAAGCATCTCCTCGATACACGTCATGGGGTGAACATCACAAGATGCTTTGGAACTACCAACCGACGAAGTAACTCAATTCTCCTGAAGTTTCCTGAAGTAATCTCTATCAAAACGCTTGAAACCCAATTTGTGTGTTAAGAAGCAAGCAGTGATCAGTCTTTCCTTGTAACTAGGTGCCTCTATTCTCTCCTCTATTTGTTTAAACTTGAATTCTCTGTCAACTGACACCATGTCTGACTGACTGACTGACTCAGTTTCAGCGTAGAACTACACTGTATCGATGTGAAGCAGTTCTATTCGCCCCACTCCCTTCATGTAGCACATAAAGCAAGAGAAGAAAGTAAAAAGAAATGCATAAAAGAGACCATAAACAGAGATATGAGGCAAAAAGAATAGTAATATCGAAGAATAATATAGCTTTATTGGATATTATAAGTCACAAGGTGTGGATGCATCTAAGCCATTATCGAGAACGATTTTGAGCCATATCACCAATTGCCCCCAGCCTTTATTGGTTTTCACCGTCCCGAGGACCCCAACCGGTCGGGAAGTCTACACCTCCCTACGTGGCTTAAACTAACTGTTGTGGATTCACTGACTGGTGATGAAGCGATATTTTGGTTTGGCCACCACAAGCTAACTCTTTTCCAACCTGATCCATCATACATCAGCTAACATTGCCCATTGTCGAGGAAGGCGATGAATGACTGGGCATACGTAACACAGGTCCCAACCATCTCAGTCGATGTAACTGAAAATTGAAAGTACGTTAAAATTGTTTCTGTACGTAAACTTAATAATATCTTTAGGCTGTAAGCAGCTAGTGAGAAGCCAACGAAATAAATGATGAAGGTACCATCTTATTCTGCACAAACTGCTGTTTTTGCTTCATTCAAATTCATAAAGGGGAATAAACGTATGAAGTAGGTTTCTGGTCAGATGAGAATATGTGAGAATAATATTCCGATGAAACACATTGTCTGTTTCACACCACCACGCTCAACCCCTCCCCTCGTCAAATACCCTAAACTGAAGTTGCTTCGATCTTCTTGGTGCTGACGTCTTTGTTTGCTTGTCTTGCTATATCCAGTTTGAGAGCTTGCTCACGTTCACCCGCTTCTCTTTTTTTGTCTTGCGATAACCATGTAGGGTCCTTCCCAGTTTGGAAGCGATTTGCGTGACCCTGGCGCGTATTCCCCGGTGTTTCGCCTCACACTATCATATACTGCCTTCACCCGATCTCTCAGCAGCGTTCCAGGTAACAGTCTCTTTGCTGACAGATCTTGAACGATATTCAACTGCGCAACAACCCCAAAGTCCTGCAAGAAGATCCACATATCTCCTTCTTCAAAAACTGCACGGCATAGGCTTTTCATTTGTCGGCCAGCAGCGACACCAAATGTAACAGTAGAAGGCAAGACACGGAAGCCAAGGTGTACTTTTCATTAATCAAACCACTGTTTATATATCTACAGTTTATATTCGTTAACCAATCACTGAGCGTGTGATTTTGGCTTACATTAAACGGCATGAAATAGAATGTTCAAATACATATATGTAGTATTCTGTTGCTAATGCCGAATTGAACTGTGAAAATATGTGAGAATAATATTCCGCTGGACCACACCACACATGAAAGAGTCGTATCTTTACAATTCATGATTTCAATGGTTCTCTAAATGTGATGTCATTTCGTAATTAAACTTGTAACGCGCAATCTTCACAAACAAGCCATCTACCTATCTGGCTTAGAGAACATACTCTTACAACATCTAAAACCCGAAGTCACATACCCCCATTCGTAGTACATATCTACAACACAAAAGCAGATAAGAATGATATCATCGGGTACCGAATCGACAACCACCTCCCACACACACATACACACACTAATTGTTATCGCATAACCCCTAAAGAAACAGTACATTACAAATACAATGCTTAACTTGCCTGTATTTCCTCACCATCTAACGTCCATAATGTAGCCACATTGGAGAATGAAAGACCTAAAACTATTTCACCTAAAACAGAAAAGAAAAAATAATACAGAAATAACACACACCACACACACGCACATGTACACGCAGTTTTAATATTCATGATTTAATTTGCTTTTTGAGATTAAAGATGGCATCACAAATCAGGTCATTTTTGACAAATACAAACAAACAAGAAGAAGAAGAAGAAGAAGAATGATCGATAGTGACAGTTGACAATTTAACGGTGATCACTTACGGAAAACGTTTTCTCTTTTTTTCATTAGAAAGGCATGAATACGGCTTAAAAGTGTGAATATACATGTATATGCGCCTGGATGGAGGTGGGGTGGGGTGGGGTATCAGTCAGTGTGTGTGTGTGTGTACATGCATGTATCCTTTCACAAGCGCTACTGTAGAAACTCATTAGACGAGTTAACACTTATCTAATCTACTCGAATAGAATAATATTTACATAAAATAAATCAATACAAAATAGTATAGTACATAAGTTTGAAGAGAGAAGAGAAAAACAAATTAACACTTGTTCATTTAAAAATGAATAAACGTAATGAATGCAAACTAGTAGTGTACATATATATGCATATATATATATATATATATATATATATATATATTTACGAGTTGATCACAGATTGATATCAGTTAGAGAACCATTGAAAACTAACCAGGGAGTACTGGACAGCTCTTTCATCCTAGTTTTCGGGAATCATCGGCAGTACGCACCCACCACAGTGGGGTTCGAACCCAGGACCTTCTGATTACAAGGCAAAGCTGGCTCGTATACCATTCAGCCACTGGGACCAATTCAAATGGGCAGTGCATGAATTCTAACTTCTACTAATTCGTGATTTAGCGAGACCCCAAACAGTGGGTGCGTACTACTGATGATTTCCAAACTAGGCTGATGAAACAGCTGTTCAGTACTCCCCCCAGCTGGTTTTCTATGGTTCTCTAGCTGATATCAATCCGTGATCAACTCGTAAAAACAAAACTAACCCTTGCAAACTAAACTATAGAATATATATGGAGCGAGTAGTAGTGCGTCTTCAGTGTTCCAGTTGAAGAACGCTAACCGTTGAATTCCACAAAATTCGTGTCTAATTCTATGAAAAAAGGTGAGGCGAGGAGGGGGGTTAGCAGCTTCACCTCGTGTCAAAAGACAAAACAATACCATTACTGAGACTTCAAAACTTAAAGCTATGAACGTGGAACGCGGAAGAATGAATATATGTATATAAAGTGTGTATTTTCTACAGGGTTGGGTTGCTGGCCTCATGCCCTCAGCCTTCCCCCCACCCCCTCTCGCCTCTCTACCGGGCTTACTTCCAGCTAAGCGAGGTTGAGGAGTTTGGCGGCCGGGAATTGAACTCTGGACCACATGTGGTGTGGTTAGTGAGTATCCTATAATTGAACCACCTCTATAGAATAGTATAAACTGTAAAACACTGTAGTCCTACTCATTTGAACAGATGTCCGAAGGTTTTAGCTCTATCCCTTCCCAACCGATGCTATCAATGAGCATTCATTTCACAATCGACTTGGTGAACTTCATTGGCAACTAATTCTCATTAGAATTTCAGAATGTCCATCCTATGGTGACTATGGAACTGGAGACTGATATTCACATCTGAGAAAAGGTGTATAACTCATGAATCATTGAACTGTTTGTTATCTAAAATGACTGAATGGTCAACCACCTAGACCTACGTAACCTGAAAGAGGACTTAAGTTCTGTTGTTGTGAGATGTTAGTGATTTCATCATGAGGCCTTGTAACCAGAAGGTCCTGGGTTCGAACCCCGGTGGGTGCGTAGTGCTGGAGAGCCCCAAGCTAGGCTGACGAAACAGCTGGCCAGTACTCCCAGGTTTTCCAGTGGTTCTGTAACAGATGTCAGCTCATGATAAAATCTTCCAACCAATCAAACAAAACAAAAAAATCCCTACAAAACCAATACTTGAGAATGTTAGTGATTTGTTGGTTTTTGTTAATCTTGACTAGAATTAACCCCCAGACAACTGATCACTTGAAAATATTTCCCCCACAGTGTGTGTGTACCTCGACAACAACCATTATTCCACACAATACAGAGTGTACATCATCAACACATCAACAGAAATTTTTAAACTATAAACAAACAATCAATATCTGATTGATGGTGATTGCATGAAATCATGACTTTATGGTTGACAATTATAGTTGTTAGTTCGTCCTAACAGACTCAATCCCTGGATCAGGTGATAGCTACACATCGCTGAAGAATCCCAAACTAAGACGAAACAGCTTTTCAGTGCTTTCTTTTTAATTTCTGATCATTCTCCGTACTGATTTTGATTCATGATGAAATCTACATTGAAACAATATCAGCTTTTTTTTAATGAAACCAAAAGAATAAGGTAGTAACACTAATAAGCCTACAGACTCTTTGTGAGGACAGCATCTTAATTCTCACAGTTCCTACCCTGTTCCGTAGTACATAAGAGCCTTAGTAAGATGCCTCTTCAATAGAATCCAACGAACATGCACTGAAGATACACTCGATGAGGAAGAAAGAAATTTGACACAAACTCTGGTTGATAATAATTATCCAGTATTGGTTTTGTAGGGATTCTGTTTGATTCCATGGAGGATTTCATCATGAGCTGACATCAGCTACAGAACCCACCGGGGTTCGAACCCAGAGCTCGCCTTGTAACCAGAAGGTCGTGGATTCGAACGTAGGTGGTGGGTGCGTACTGCTGAAGAGTCCCAAACTAGGCTGACGAAACAGCTGTCCAGTACTCCCTGCAGGTTTTCCAGTGGTTCTCTAACTGATGTCAGCAAATGATGAAATCCTCCAAGCAATAATTATCCAGACAAGTTCATAAGGAGAAATAAAGTAGCCGAAACACCAAAACCCACTCTTCAACTCACCGGTTACAAAGATGTATATATCAAGCTACTCTACGCATGGGCGATCATAGCAGCTTGACAACTAGACAAATATTGAACGCTGCTGTTAAAAACACTTTTTATACAGCAAAGATCATAATAATTAAGAATGTGAAGCCGATATAATCATCTGAATCCTTTGAACATGTGAAAAATGATGTCACATCCCACTATATTTACCAATTTAATTGTACACACACATAGGGAGGACTTATCGATCATTGCAAGTAAGGGTTCCAGAAGCGAATTGAAACTCTAGAACCCTTTAGTGGTGGAAACAGACGACCTAGCTGCTCTACTGAGAAACATATTACAGAGACAGGACATAAAATTGATGTGTACACCTCTTTTAAACCTATCTATCTATAAAACGTGTTTGGGGTGCATCCTTAAGTTTGTGGAATCCCTAGATGCCATTTAGGAAGTTTCAACCACCTTTATGCGTTCAAAGCAACAATTCGTCATCACACTGAACCTTCCTTGGTAAAATTCGTTTTGATACTAGCCAAAGCAGATGTACTGTTACCTCTGTTATTTAGTTTAGTGATCTTCATTGTTGTTTTGACCTTCAATTTGGCCTTTTAACTTGACCTAAATTTATTTTGTCACTTCTAAACTACCGATTGATTATATATATATATATATATATATATATATATATATATATATATATATATATATATATATATATATATATATATATATATATATAGTCCAATGATAAGTACGTGTATGTAACCAGATTGTTCGAAATGTGTTGTGCGCGAATACACATGATACGATTCAGACAAATTACGCCTTCTTATTGTTTTGTCTAAATTAATAAAGGGAACTAATTTTTTTTTAATTTTTGAGTAATAAAACAAACATCAATTTGATAATTCAGCCTTAAAAGACAGACGTTCAAAGTCCTCACAATGAAGCTTTATCGGTCAGTCAGACAGACAAACAGTACAACAATATAAGTTCAATCTAATTGAGTGTAAGCACCAGCTTTTGTCGCAGATCACATAAGAGAATCAAGGTTAAGTGGTCAGAAAAACAAAAACAAGATAAGGCAATGAGAGAAAGAAGAAACACATTGTAGCACTTGTGGCGTAAACTTCATTGTAAGATAATTAAAATTTAGATGGAGGATTTCAGCATGAGCTGACACATCAATTAGAGAACCAATGGAAAACCTGCAGGGAGTACTGGACAGCTGTTTCGTCAGCCTAGTTTGGGACTCTTCATCAGTACGCACCCACCCCACTGCCAGGATTCGAACCCAGTAACTTCTTGTTACAAGGCTAGCGAGCTGCTGGACCATTCATCAGCCACTGGGACGTGATCTAAATGGCCAGTCCATGAATTCCAACTTCCGCCAATTCATGACAGAGCGCAACCACTTCGCTATGCCTTTTTCAATGAGTTACTGCCTCAAACAAAATCCCTTCAAAACCAATACTTGAAAATTAAAATTAACTTTTAAAAAAATGATAAACAGGAGTAGAAATAATTGTGTCCATTTGAGCTTTAGTAGAAAACTGAAGTTTGGCAACTCTTTTGAAAACTATTTAGCGCTACCCTATCCCGAATTCAACTATTATTATCTTATTACTACTACTGTCTCCTTTAGTTCCTAGAGGAACATAGGGCTTCAGTCGCACGTCTCCATTGCGTTCGGTCCTTCGCCAACGTTTTCACCGTCTGGCTCCAAGTCTGCCCACATGCTTTCACCTCCTCCTCAATGTCACCCTCGCACTGACGACCAACTCGCCGATTCCCATTCGGCCTCCACTCGACCGATGGCCTGGCGTGTGATGGATGTCACTTGATGATGGTTTGTTTACTCAGAGTATGGCCAATCCAATCCACCTTCATTTCTTCTGGCATATTTGTTGCAAAATTGGTTCCTGCTGGTTTGGTTTGTTGGCTCATTGCCAGAGATCCCTGCCTGTTGCTGATCTTTTCTGGCTGACCAGCTGTTGATGAAGGTCTGTAGTTTGTTCGAAGTGCCCTACGTGAAGGGATGGTCAATTCTCTGATCCGTATAGTAAGTAGCACTGACTGACTTCACATTGGAGTTGAAAATCCGGATCTTATTTTTCACGCTGAGTGGTGTTGATCTTCACACAGACTTGAGAGTAATAAAAGCTTGTCTTGCTTTCCCGATCCTTTCTTTGGTATCCTCATCAGTTCCGTCGGCCTGTAGTTGGAACGATGCTTCCCAAGTAGGTAGGTAAGTAAAGGAGCTTGCTTCTTTCACAATTCTCCCATTTATGCTGATTGTTGTCTGTTCTTCTTGCTGTTGCTGATGGCCAGGAATCTTCATTACCTCTGTTTTCTCTATGTTCACCCGAAGGCCTATCTTTGATGCCTCTTCTATCGCCAACTTGTCGCTTTTCACTTGCATATCTTCCAGCTTGTGGGAAATCAGACACATATATCATCAGAGAAATCCAGATCCTCCAAGTTTTTGTGTAGGTCCATTTGATGCCTGTTTCCTCGTTGCCCTCCGCTATCTGTCGCATTATTCAGTTTACCGCAATCAGGAAAATCATTGGAGATAGTAGGCAACCAGCCAGCTTGTCTTACTCCCGTCTTCACTTCGAAGAATTCCCTGAGTTTCCCGTTGTGGATTACTTGACAGGCAATACTATCATTCAACTGTTGGATGAGATGTATAATTGTTGGCAGCACCCCGTACTAGCGAAGTAGTTTCCGAATCACTTATCGATCAACTCTATCGAAGGCCTTTTCAAAGTCGATGAAGTTATTATCCTATCAAACTGCATTTATTTATTGAGGCATTTTATTCCGCAAATTTAGATAATTTAATATTTTTTTAATATTTAATATTTTGATTATAGCTTGATTTCAGAAAGTACTCTTCGTACAAGTATGGAATTTTCAGTAGGTGATATCGGTAGCCCAAAATTTGCGGGCCAACCATTGATATCAGATGTGCATCGGCTGGGGATCGAACCCCGGACCCATGTGCATGGTCGGCGAGAGTCCTAACCATTGAGCCACAGACGCAACTGACATGTGTAAGAAGAATATACTGCATGACTATCTTCTGCAATGCCTTCGGCCTGTCTGGTGTATCCTGAAGCCAGACGCCCACAACGCCCTTCCCAGTCAACTCCCCGTAAACTGTCATAGACATAGGCAGCAGCGTCACTTTCTGTCTTTTTTAAAAGATCTATCAGTTCTGCAGCTGTGTCGAATTTCCTCAGGAATGCTGTCACATCTCTTCCTCTTCAAATATATCTATGACCAAGGTATCTTGATCTTTTCAACAGAGGAGGCAACACGCCAGTTATAAAGTAGAAGAAACAGGTGTAACTAACTAACTAACATTTGTTTAGTCACTAGAGTTAAAGGCTGACTGAATTCTATCAGACAAGATTGCATTTATGTGTGAACATCACAAAGCTTGGTGATGGAGAATGACGGCATATATACCTACTTTGAATTGATTTTTTGATGAATGGGTAACGAATGCTTCGGCGTTGTAGACAAGTGAGCTTGCTGACAAATTCCAACAAACACGGGAACATTTGCCTTCACAACCAGTTAAACCTCTGAAAGATGTTCAGATAGAATACAACTTAATAAATAGAAAAAAATTAAGAAAAGGACACAAACAGCGAAGAAAATTTCCTTTTCGACGATTCATTTTCATGAGCTGTACAATCGTAATTATAATTAACAAAGAAATCTTTACACTAATCAGATACTGGTAAACTTTACCCTCGAAAAATGCAGTACGTAATGCAAGGTGCAACCTAGAGGGGATCACTAATCGTAAGTTAGAAAAGAGACAGAAGTTGGCATGACGTAATAAGTGTGAGATAATGACTAATCAATAAGCTCGTGTAGAATGGACAGGAACTGGTGGAAAGGCTTTCAGGTGTTTTTTTGTATAAAATCTGTATGAAAAAACGATGTTATTAATAAATGCTCATGTGGAGCAAAGTATATCGGCCGTACGCAACGTCAAGTCCACAAACGTATTCTGGAACACTGCCCAGCTTGGTTAGCCAGAGGATAAAAGAAGAATAGCAACAGCTCAATCCTCGAACACCTTGTCATCTCCGGACATCGAGCACCCCGACATGAATTCTTCACAGTATTACACAGAGTCCCTCAATATCGTACAAAGGGACTTCGGATACGCCATCTGTACATAGCTGAAGCATTAGCTATGCGAGATCTGAAACCGGACCTCTGCATCCAAAAGCGATACATACATTCTCTTGCCCTACCATGGCCAGAGTAAAGTTCTTACCACAATTTCGCTTCTTTCCTTTATTATGTAAGTTCACTATTATTATTATTACTTTTATTATCATTATTATTCCCATCATCCACATTTTATTACCACTCTATTACTGTTTATTATTAACATTACTTTTTCATACATATTTTATACAAAAACACTTTATCGCCTTTCCACTAGTTCCTGTCCATTCTACACGAGCTTATTGATTAGTCATTATCTCACACTTATTACGTCATGCCAACTTGTCTCTTTTCTAACTTACGATTAGTGATCCCCTCTAGGTTGCACCTTGCATTACGTACTGCATTTTTCGAGGGTAAAGTTTACCAGTATCTGATTAGTGTAAAGATTTCTTTGTTAATTATAATTACGATTGTACAGCTCATGAAAATGAATCGTCGAAAAGGAAATTTTCTTCGCTGTTTGTGCCTTTTTCTTATGATTCAATATGGGAATATTTCGTCCATCGCAGAAAAAAATAACAAATACTCGCCGAAGAAATTGGCCAGCGGTTGCGCTATATCGTGAATTGGTAGAAGTTAGAATTCATGGGCCATTGGATCGGGTCCCAGTGGCTTAATGGTATACGAGCTCGACTTGTAACAAGAAGGTCCTGGGTTCGAACCCCGGTGGGTGCGTACTGCTGAAGAGTCCCAAACTATGCTGATGAAACAGCTTTCCAGTACTCCGTGGTGGTTTTCCAATGGTTCTCTAACCAATGTTAGCTCATGATGAAATCCTGTCACCAATCAACCAAATCCCTACAAACCAATAGTTGAAAAAAAATTCACTTCTGATACAATACACTACACAATATAAGAGTTAAAACTTACTTCGCTGATTCGGATTTGTAACAACAACAAATGAAGATATCCAATCGGGTTGTGAATTTGACGCCAAAGTGAAAAGTACAGTTAATGATGTAGCATGTAGCACAACAATATGTGGATATTGACCACAACAGAACAATAAACGATAATCAAGAAAACATGTTTTATGCGACTGGAATTAAAAGAGGAAAAACAAGAGAAAAGATTTAGAGGTGAAAAAAATAGAATATTGAGACAATTGAATTGAAAAATAAAAAGAAGGGCAAAGTTAGGTGAGAACGATTAGATGAATGATTGAAGCGGCCACATCGTTATATTATTATTATTACTCCCTTGGGTTCCGAGTGGAACATAGGGAGGGCTTCAACAACACATCTCCACCTTTTCCTGTCTTCTGCCGTCCTCTTCAGCTGGGTCCACGATTGTCAACAATCCTCATCTCCCTTTTCTCCTCTTCCTCCTCGCAGGAGCTCCTCCATATATCACCCTCTCACCGACGACCCACTCGTCGCTTCACAATGGGATTCCATTGGAGCGATGGCCTGCATTGCGCGCGAGGTCATTCGAGGGTTTCCTCAATGTATGCCCCATCAATCCATCTCCATTTTCGCCTACATATTTGTTGAGCTATCGGATCTTGGTTGGTTTGTTCCCAGCCAGAGTTTCATGTTGCTAATTCGTTCTGGCTGGACATTCAATCTTCAGTATGCACCCAGCGAAGACAGCTGTTGATAAAAGTCTGTAGTAGCCTGATGAAAATCCTTTTCGTGACGTGCAGTGCAAGTTTCTGAGTCGTATAGAAGGACCGATTTGACATTGGCGATGAAAATGTGAATCTTGTCCTTTATGCTGGCTGACGGAAGCAGAAGATTACCAAAATGGTTTCAGGTTGATGAGGGTGTATCTTGCCTTTCCAATCCTGACTGGCTTTAACATCTTCATCCGCCCCACCCGTAGTTGAAACGATGCTTCCTAGATAAGTGAAGGTGGGAAGTAACTTCTGTTAAATCTCTCCCTTTGATGGTGATTGGTACTGGTTGTTGTTGCTGTCAGTTGGTTGGTTATCTTCATAACCTCCGTCTTCTTCTGTATGTTTACTTGGAGTCCTGTCTTCGCTGCTAGCCACTTCAGCCAGTCTGTAGGTGTTCGCCTGTAAGTGGTGAGAGATGGTTGCTAGCCAAATTGGTTGGCAGTAATTGAGGTCAATGTTAGTCATGTGAAAACACGGTCAAGATGGACAGGCGGATACAGTTAACATATAGATGAACTGACACAGCCACAAGAGATGCAAGGTTAACTTTGTGTGAGAAACAACCCACCAACAGACTGCATTTTCTACTAACATTAACCTACAATAATGTACATCAAAATATATAAATATGTGTTGATTTTCCGTAATAAACGTACTGTTGCCTGGCCCTTGTCTTCTGTTGTTACAATGTGACATCAGACACATATCATCAGCGAAACTCAAACCATCTAGAGTTTTCTCATAGGTGGTCCAACGTACTCCTGTCTCGTCGCTCACAAAGCACAGTCTGACGCATAATCCAGTCCACCACAATTAAGAATATCATCGGTGATAACAGACAGCCCTGTCTTACTTCTGTGTTCACTTCGAACGAATCGCTGAATTACCCGTTGTGGATCACCTGACACATGGCATTGTCATATAGCTGTTGAATGAGGTTGATAAACACTTGGGCACTGCACACCGTAGTGTTGCAGTAGTTTATAAATATTGATAACGAATGCTGCTCAGAATTTAAGATATCGATTTAACCCCAAAAAACTGTCTAAAAAATAATCTTAATCGCTACACCTCTGAACAAAATAACTTACAACCTCAATCCCAAAATCCTAAACTGTAACGCCCAAACCCTAGCAACTGACTATTTTTTAAAATGTAGTCATTTAGATGAATGCTAACAGAGTTCCAACGCATTAAAGAAAGGCATTGTGATTAATACTTTTACATTCTTTTAAACGTTTTCTTTTCATAAAATACCCTCCTTTGTAATTTCGATTTGCCTGGTTGGCTCTCTGACTGAACATTTCAACGTCATTCATTCGCCCTATTCTCCTTGGAACACCATTCCTTAGCTTCACCGAAAAAAGTTACACTTTAGTAGGTGAGTATTAATGGTTCAGTAGTAGAATACTCGCCGCCAACCACGCCACATATGGTTCACAGTTCGATTCGCCGCCAACAGACTCCTTAACCTTGCCTAGCCAGAAGTAAGCCTAGTAAAAAGGGAGGGAATGTTGAGGGCGTGAGACTAGTAATCCCACCCAATAGAAATTAAACAACCCTTGCTACTGGGACTTCAAAGCTTAAGCTTGAAGCTCCATATTCCACTGGAAATGCAAAGGAATAAAAACAAAATAATGACTACAAGTGAGTCAAATTCTAGGTAATCAATATGAAAAAATGTCCTAGAAGTATGGAATACATACGAATCCGATAAAGGAATATGAATCTCTTTCATACACATGACAAAAAAACTTGATGATTAGTGTTGACAGTCCCAAACATTTGACGTATGTTTGCTGCAAAAATATGTTAAATGACTAAGGTAATCTAAGAACTACAGATATGCATTTTAAACGCTAAATTTAGTACAAATGCCTACTAATCTCAAAGCCACTGATTGATTGATCTCCTAAAGTCAAAATAAATGTGAGGCTGTGGTTTACACTGGGGATGTACGTACATCCGGCTAAAGACTCTCAAACAGGGACATACTCCATTCTACAGTTAACTACCATCAACAACTACATCAAATCAAATCAAATCCTATCAATGAAACGCACTACATGATTATTCACTCAGATTATTCACAAGGATTACAGCATGTTAAAGTGTACTTCAAGAATCTGGAGATGTGATTCACTGGCTTAAGTACTCGACATTCATCTAATTGGCCCTTAGTTCGAATCCCGTTGTACCTGGATAGTGTCATTAGTCCTCATATACAGCAAGTGAGGCTTATGGCCTGTTACATGAAAATCTAATCCTGGTAACTGAGTACTGAGAATTCAAGGATACGGGTCACTCACAACTATAAGAAGTAATTACTTGTTGTTATTAGATGGTTGGAGGCAATCGACAGGAAACCTCGCCTGACCTAGTTTTTATGCTTGTTGGCATTCGTCAACAGGGTGTATCTGCAATCTGGGAGGAACTCATGTCCCTTCTGAGATTCGAACCTGCGCCATCCAGCGAGTGCTGCAGTCAGAGACGTTACCACTGAGCTATTACTTACTTTACTTTACTTCGGCTATCTCCTACGAGAGGATGAGCCGGCTTCATGAACATCTCGAATCATCGCTGCCCAGGCGCGGCGATCTGATGCAAGGTTTTGCGACAGGGTTATCCAATTCTTCTTCCACAGACGGAGTCCGTAGACGGTTTGTAGCCCCAGGCACTCCATATCGGCCTTGACTGTACCAAGCCATGTTTTCAGCTGTCCACCCCTGCGACATCGCCAAGATGGTAATGGCGAGGGATTTAGAACTGATTTGAGCAGATCATCATCTGGTCAGCGCAGAACATGGCCAAACCACCGAAGGCGACGTTGTTGGACCAGTACTGGAATTTGGTTGGTGTTGTAGCAACGACGACGCACTTCTTCGTTGGAGAGTTTGTCCTGCCAACGAACATGCAGAATGTACCTGAGGCACCAATGGTCTACTACCTCAAGTCTGCGTACATCTTCCGCGCGAAGAGGCCAGGTTTCACAGCCATACAGGAGAACGGATCGTATGGAGGCTTGGTAAACCCGAATTTTAGTCCTGAGACTGATTTCCCTCTTGCTCCATAGAACGCTTCTCAGCTGAAGAAACGCATTCCGGGCGTTGGAGATCCGCGCATTCACTTCGTTTTTCGCTTGACCGTTGGGAAGCATTATGGATCCCAGATATCTGAAGGATGGCACAATTTCAATAGGTACTCCATTCAGGTATAAGATTTCATCATTGCTGGTGGATGTGTTCGAAAACATTTTGGTTTTGGAAGTGTTGATTTCCAAACCGATGGTAGACGCGAGGTGGTTTATCTGATCGAGCGCCTGTTGCATATCGGGGAAGTTTTCAGCTAGTAACACGACGTCGTCGGCGAATTCGAGGTCGGTTATGTGAATATCGGGCGAAAGTTGGACGCCATGGTGCTCGGTTAGGGCGTGCCGCAAAATCCAATCAATTGTGAAATTGAACAGAATGGGGGATGCTGGACAACCTTCCCGGACACCGCTGGTTACCTCAAAAGTGCGAGACTCTTCACCGTTCACTCGGACTCGAGCTTTGGTGTTGGAGTAGTATGACCTGAGCAGGTTGATTAGCTTGGTCGGAACTCCGTCGAGCTCCATTAGATACCAGAGTGCTCCTCGATCAACTGAGTCGAATGCAGCTCGGAAGTCGATGAAACAAGCAACCGTCGGCTGTTGATATTTGTCCCTGTGTTCCAAAATTCTTCGCAGTGTGAATAATTGATCAATACAGCCTCTTCCAGGTCGAAATCCGGCTTGATTTGGCCTTGTTCGCACGTGGCGTTCGGCAGCGAAGCGGTTCAGGAGAATGGAAACAAAAACCTTAGCAGCGATATCAATCAGACTTATGCCTCGGTAGTTCTCACATATTGACCTGTCTCCCTTTTTGTGGAACGGTAGCAAAACTGAGGTGCTCCAATCGGAAGGAATGGTTTCGGAATCCCAAATTGAGCAGAACAGCGAGTGCAGCGAATCGATTAGCGCTGGAGTGCAGGCCTTGTATATTTCTGGAGGTAGACCATCTTCGCCCGGAGCTTTCTTGTTCCTGAGTCTGTTAATTGTTTTAGCTATTTCGGTTGGAGTGGGTGGATCGCAGTCAACTACGTAGGGTGTTGGTATGTGTTGTATCGGTCGATGAGGCGGTTGACCAGCGTTGCGATTGAGTAGTTGCTTGAAATGTTCGGCCCATCGTTCCATCTTACCATTGGTGTCCGAAATAATTTCTCCAGATGCTGTGCGTAACACAGCATGGCTGTTAAGGCGTTTGCCAGATGATAGGCGTATGAGGCGATAAAGTTTTCCGAAATCGCCTACATTTGATGCTCCTTCCATGTTAGTCGCCACATTAGACCAATAGCGATTTCTATCATTCCTAGCAGACTGTGTAGCTTTGCGCCTGAGGGAGCGATAAACTGGAGACTTTGCTAGGCGAGCGTCTCTGGCTTGCGAGGATAGATGCATAGTGTGCTCTGAAATCCAATCTTTCTGTTTGTTGGATGTGGTACCCAAATGCGACATTGAAGCTTTAGAGACTACTTCTTTGAAATGATTCCATCGTGTCTCAGGTGTATTAGAAGATATGGATGTTGGCTCATCTGCGGCGCTTAGTTCGGCCTGGATTTGTTTGGACAAGGCTTGTCGCTTTATCGAACATTGAAGCGGGGCAACATTGATACGCTTCGGAGGTCGCACCTTCTGGCGTGTTGTTAAACGAAGTTTGAATTTCGCCCGAACTAGAGTATGGTCTGATCCCCCTTTGTTTCCGGCCTCTGCGCCACTATAGGATCGGCAGTCCTCCACCGAGGAGATCCAGCGTGAGCGCACTAGGATGTAGTCAATCTGATGTGCAGTGCGACCGTCGTTCGAATACCAGGTGAGAAGATGTTTTCTAGGGTGTTGAAATCGAGTGTTGGTGATATATAATCGATTGTAATCAGAAAAAGCTAAAAGTCTATCACCGTTACGGCATTGCTGATCGAGACCGTGTTTGCCTAGTATATGTTTTGTCGTGTCGTCTGAAGGGCCAGTGCGGGCGTTCCAATCGCCGGCTACTATGAGAACGTCACGCTTTGGGATTTTGTTGATTGCCTCTTGAAGATTGTCATAGAATTCGCCTTTGATACTTTCATCAGAGTCGAGAGTTGGGGCATAGACAGCGAAAACAGAAATGTCGAGTGGGGAACCCTTGAACCTAGCGATTGCAACTCTGGAGTTGACCGGTTCGAACGATATTAGGGCATTATTGGCTTTGTTACTGAGAGCAAATGCTACCCCATGTTGTCCCGAATTATTCTGGGGTCCACTATGAAGCAACCAGAATGAAGAATCTGTTCCAGGTACGGCTGTAACAGCAGAAGACAAGGGCCAGGCAACAGATCAGTTTTATTACGAAAACCAACAGGCATTTATATGTATTTTACGTACATTAATAGGCTTCTGCCCGCAGAAAGAAGGCGGTCTTCTGATTGGTTGTTTGCAAACAAACGCAGTCTTCTGCTTTCTCGTTTTCGATATTTCTCGGAAATGCGAGCCACTTGTCTGCGAATCATATTTGTCCACGTCTAGGTCAGTTGTGATCGGTTGTTGAATCAGCCTAGATTAATTTCCACCAATCAGCGTAGATCAATGTCTACCAATTGGCTAGCAGCTTGCTCTCACCACACTCGTCCCCCCGTCAAATAGCTTGGACTGAATTCGGCTCGGTCTTCTCGGTTCTTGGTGCTTTGCTCTGTTGTCTTGCTGTCTGGAATCTCGGCGCTTGCGGATGTTCGCCTGTTTCTCTGTGTTTACCATTGCGATTGTATCTGCGTAACTCCATCTCAACGTGACCATATATGGTCCTTCCCACTTTGGAAACTGTTTGCCTGACCCTGTCGCACATTCGTAGGTATTTCGCCTCACACTTCCATATGCTGCTTTCTCCCGACCTCCCAGCAGCGTCCCAAGTAGCAGCCTCATCGCTGACAGATCTTGAACGCCACTCGACTGCGAAGAAGCCTCGAAGTCCTGCCCGAAGATCCATATGTCTCCATCAAAAACTGCAGGGCATAGGCTTTCCATTTGTCGGTAGGCAGCGACACCAAATGTAACAACAGAAGACAAGGGCCAGGCAACAGATCAGTTTTATTACGAAAACCAACAGGCATTTATATGTATTTTACGTACATTAATAGGCTTCTGCCCGCAGAAAGAAGGCGGTCTTCTGATTGGTTGTTTGCAAACAAACGCAGTCTTCTGCTTTCTCGTTTTCGATATTTCTCGGAAATGCGAGCCACTTGTCTGCGAATCATATTTGTCCACGTCTAGGTCAGTTGTGATCGGTTGTTGAATCAGCCTAGATTAATTTCCACCAATCAGCGTAGATCAATGTCTACCAATTGGCTAGCAGCTTGCTCTCACCACACGGCTATTCGGCGGGAGCCATGATCGGGCAACCTCACTTCAGATAGACACGCTATGTCCACCTTGTAGTCGTATAAAGAACGCATGGTGATAGACCGGCTACCAGGGTCCAACAGCGTCCTAACATTCCAGCAGCCAACAAATAGTTGGTTCCTAAGTGTTAATTTCCCAGCTGGCTTACTTTTCACACTGGCCACCGGGTGAGCACAGGGCGCGTCGCTTACCGGGAACGCCGTAGCATGGTGAGAGTCGTTTGTAAGAGAGTTCATGAAGTTTCGTGGGAATTTGGTACGAGTGAAGTCCCCAGAATCGCTCGGCCTTTTGTTCGAGAGTGCAGCTCTAGCCTTTACACAACCAAGTGTGACCTACAAGGCAGTAGGAGTGGAGTAGGGAGTCCACTATCCATTGGCAGCCGGTGACCGGAGTTCGGTTCATACGCCTTTTTGAATGGGGCCAGACATCCAGGACATTCAACACGCCCTTTGTCCATACGTCTCCCGGTGAGCTCCAGTGAGCTTCATACGCCAGTCGTTGGAGGTTTGGAATCAGGGTTTAGCCATCTCCCCTAGACTGCCATCCAATGGACAGCCAACCCGGTGAAGAGCGCCGGGCATCCGCTTTCGCCCTCTCACTTTGGTGAAAAACACCTCCGCCACGTGAAGGCAGTGAGTAGGACTTCCTCAGGAGAGGCTATGTAAGACGCCCGGTCATATGGGAGCATTTCAAGAGGTGGGAGGAGGGGTGGCCAACCCGCAGCGCAAGGCACCCACCCCCGACCATCCTGAGGCTTTTGGAGGCTATTCGGGCTCGCGATTGACCTCCTGTAGGACTGTAGTGGGTATTTGGATTGGACACTAGTCACTAGTATGACGTGTCTAGTCCTTTCTTTGGTGCAGACTGAATTCTCTCAGTCAAGTTTCTTTTTCCTTCACATTCCCCAGTGGAACATAGGGCCTCAAGCTAGTGGCTTGAAGTTTCTGTAGCAGTGTTTATTTTACAGGATAAGGTTGCTAGCCTCATGCCCAACCTTTCCTCTTCGCCAACATTATTTCTGGCTTAGTGAGGTAAAGGAGCTCGTCGGCCGGGGATCGAACCCCGGACCATATGCATGGTCGACGAGCGTCCTAACCGCTATGCCACCGACGCATCAGTCAAGTTTCCAACCATCTAATAATAACAACCCTGAGTGTAGCACGACGGCGAGCCACCTAGTGGCATGGTGGTTACATTGCCAACTTGACTGATAGAACTCAGTCTGCAATAAAGAAAAGGACTAGACACACGACACCAGTTACAAGTGTTCAATCAAAAGTAACTACTTGTTACTAACATATTAGCGTATATATTTAAATTTCTTTTCTAAAAGTTCCAAAGCATTCACAGTTGAGCATAAAAAGTAGAGCATATTTATCAGTCGAAAAACCCAGCAAGATCACTCCAAGAAGACAATGAATATTGACTAGTTTTACTTGATATATGATTAACGAAATCAGAGTGTAGTTAAACAAGGATTCACAAACAGCCAGCTAAGACAAAGAAGACTATGAACCAATCATAGAACAAAACCCACCTTAATATAAGTGTGCCGATAGCGTGTATCCATTTTGAATTCTAAACACTTTCCATCAGACCAATTCCAAACAGCCATTTCGCTGAAGAAGAAGAAGAAGAAAAACAACAACAACAGGATAAGAAAAACTATATTCAAGCATAATAAATGATAAAACGAACAAAATCTAACGATTGACTGATATTTCAACTTATAACTTTGTACAGAGATCCACCACTTCAAGTTGCCATACTATACGTACAACACGAAGGTAGATGAAAGAAAACAACTATAATGAGCGAAGATGTACGGGAGGAAGAATAATTACACGGAAAAAAATAAGGACTTAATTTATTTGGGAGATTACACAGAGTGAGAAAGATTTTGAGCCATATCCCCAACAGTCCCCAAACATTGAATCTTACCTCCCCGAGGACCCCAACCAGATAGTCTACATCCCCCTACATAGATCAAAACAACATTTAAAGACCTCAGAGACTGATATCCCCCTTTACTCTTCCCCAACCTAATCCTATATCAGCTCCTCCACACAGAAGGCAGTGGCTTAACATGAGTAATATATATCCCAGCCATCACAATTGATTTCATTTTACAACTTCACCGATTGACTTTTCCTTCTTACCTCACACTATACCCAGGCACGATATTACTCATCATGAACCATTTAACACAAGAGGTAAAGACTGCAAACACCAACGGTCAAAAAAAGCCAACCCTTTCCGGTTTACCACTTTCGACGGTTATGATTTGCAGCCATAAAGAAGGACACAGAGATAACTGGATATCACGTCTACACCAGAGATGATGTAAGCTGGAAAATATCACACTAGCCATTTTGTATCTGTGCTTAGATTTCGTTAGAAAGCAGTCCATTTGGGCTGATGGAACTTCTTGAATAAGTTTAATGGTCAACAAACCTAACCATTTCACTGCCTGTCGTTAAACTAGGGAGTCAGTGAAGGACAGTTCTGAAGCATTATCTTATATGCCAAACACAATAAGATTTCTGTCCCCAAGGTGCTCAGAAGATTGTGTTTTGTCAGGATATTCGCCTAAAGGAGAATTATACCATCATCGACGATACTGTACTCTGGTAACAAAATCTCATAAAATGTTAAATTGTTTAACTTAATGACTCTTTTAGTTGAGTGACTTCCTTTAAAATTCAAGATGTTCTACAAATAGACAAAGTTTCTTTGTTATTAAATATGTGTTTCTTGTTTTGCAGAGCTGCATTAAAAAAGCACAGTGAATAGAGAAAATTGTAACTTTTAATGTACACATAATAAACACCGTTACAATTTCAGTAGAATTGTTTTAAAAACAATGTAACGATTTTGCATATTGTATAACAAACTAAAAAGTTGTATGTACTCATAGTCACATGATCGAATACGGCCTGTCTATCTGTTTTCGATATAGAACTTTGCACCGATGTGCGGCAGTTCGAGTCGCCACACTCCCTCCATGTAGCACACAAAGCAAGAGAAGAAATTAGAAGAAATGCATAATAGAGACAGTAAGTTGAGGTGTGAGACAAAGGAGTAGTAATAACGAAGAACAATATAGTTTTATTGAAAATTATAAGTCATAAGGAGTGGATGCATCTTCGGCATTATCGAGAACGATTTTGAGCCATATCAATGATTGTTTCCAGCCATTGGTTTTTACCGTCCCGAGGACCCCAACCAGGAGGTCAGTCTACACCTTTCTACGTGGCTTAAACTAACTGTTGTAGATTTGTTACAGGATTTCATTATGAGCTGACATTGGTTAGAGAACCACTGGAAAACCTGAGAGTACTGGACAGCTGTTTCGTCCTAATTTGGGACTCCTCATCAGTACGCACCCACCGGGGTTCGAACCCAGGACCTTCTGGTTACAAGGCGAGCTCGCAAACCATTAAGCCACTGGGACCCGATCCAATGGCCTATGAATTCTAACTTTCGCCAATTCGGTGTTGTAGATTTCATCGACTGGTGCCATGTTTTGGTTTGACTGCGGCAAGCTCTTTTCCAGCCTGACCCTATGTCAGCTAACATTGCCCATTGTCGAGAAAGGTGATGACTAGGCATACGTAACACATGTCCTAACCATCTCAGTCGGTGTAATTTCACAGTCTCGTCTATTAATTTCCCCTCCTTACCTAGCACTCGACGCCTAACCTCAATATTGCTCACCTTATTATACCAATTCACACGGGAGATAGAACACAGGCACCTATGATCAAAGACAGCTAGCCTGCCTTTTCATATCTTCCACTTCCAATAGCCATGTCTCGCTCACAACCATGAAGGAGGACGGAGCGGACTGATAAGCAGTACACACGCCTTTTGGTCGATAGCCGGATGTCACGTTTACTTAGCCAGAGACGGAGTAAACTGGCATATACGAAACTAGCCTTCTGTATCCGTGCTGAGATTTCGTCAGAGATCAACCCGTTGGGGCTGATGGTACTTCCCAAATAAGTGAAGTGGTCAACGTGCTCTACCACTCCACTCCCTATTTCTAAACTAGGAGTCAATGTAGTCCAGTCTTGTAACATCATCTTACATTTGGCGGGAGCGAATCGCATGCCAAACATTCGTAGATTGCAGCTCAAGGTGTTCAGAAGACTCTGCATTTTGTCAGCGTCCTCACCTAGAATGACTATATGATCTGCATATTCTAAGTCAACGAGATTATTCCCTGGTAGCAAGTCAATCCCTGAGTCTTTGAAGTGAGTTAGGGTTAAGTCCATTAGTGCATCTATGATGAAACTGAATAGAAATGGGGATAATGGGCATCCCTGACGGACACCACTAGTCGTCACCACTTCAGATGACAACTCGCCATAAGCCCTCACCTGGCTGCATGAGTTCGAGTAGAGTGCCTTGATCAGTGCAATGTATTTTCTCGGCATTGCCTTTACAGCCAAACATCGTCAGAGTACCTCTCGGTCGACTAAATCGAATGCCGCCTTTAGGTCAAGAAATATAATGATTGTTGGACGCCGGTAAGAATGCCTATGTTCTAGAATCCGTCGAAGGGTGAAGATATGATCAATACACCCTCTTCCCGGTCTAAAGCCTGCCTGGTTCTCTCGTGTTTGTGCCTCCCGAGCACCAATTAGTCTACGCAATTTTATTGAGCCTAGAACTTTAGATACTGTATTAGTCAAGCAATACGAATACGGCCTATGAAAATAATGCAATTATTTAGCATAATCTGTCCATTCCATTCATTGAGGTGGTAGAGGAATTTCTACCTGTAATCTCTGTACATAGTCAATTAATGTAAGAAACTAAATGTTTACAAAGATAATCTAATTCCACAACTGAAATTAAGGTATAATTGTTGATGCATGTATCAGTGTAACTATGAATCTTCATCGAGATGTACTACGCGGATGGTCACAACAAGACATGATCCTATTAAATGAAGCCATAAATTACTGTTCTAATGTGTGCATAAGAATGCATATTTCCTGCTTAGTGTCTCTGATACTATCGAGACTAGTCAGTAGAAAGTTTATATACAATGACATAGGAAGCAACAATGCAAGTTATAAAGATTTTGTGTTTTAAACCTTTCTTTTCTACAACCCACTCTCGCTTCTTTTTAATTCTTTTTTTTTCATGGATTACCGTTTCGTTTTGTTTGCTTTCCCTTTCGTCGACATTCATTCAAAAATCTACTGTCTTAACAAGTAAAACAAAGAATTCCATGAAGATTAAATAGAAGTAAAGTATGAACGGGGAATATTCTCTATAATAAACTCTTATAACAATAGCTGTGTTGGTGAAAAATACATTTTAAGTGGATAACAGGGATAGTTAGTTCAGGTATATCAAATCCGTACTAAAGATGGTCACTTATGACCTGAATACCACGGTGTTTAATTCTCAGACATCACGAATAAGTGAATCATTTAAATCTTCCGATATATGAATCTTCTTAGCGATGCAAATATGAACAAACTAGATGGCTCTAATACAAAAAATAGTAGATGAAAGATACAAAACAAAAATAATGGTTGAACTGCCTAATGTTAAAAAGGTGATAAAACTGAGAGATAATAAGCTAAAATTTATTAGCATTTATGCACATATAACTACCAAACAAGAAAATATTAGTTTATTTCAGAAGACAGTTCTAACTTTTCAAATGATAATCTGAGATTCCTATTAGTTTAATCAAAACGACAGTATAAAAAATACGTACGTCATATAAAACAAAGGAATCATTTAACGTCTGCACAATATACGGACGAGAAATACTACGCAAAGTGGCAGTCAGACTGAAATCCGACAATTCACATGTTAATGCATGAAACATACAGTAACAGCAAAATGTCATCTGGTTTCCCGAATAAAGTGATTGAGACACTTGATCACCCCATTCTATATAAGGATATTGATTTGTCAGTCTTTAAGTTGAGAATGACATTTACCTAACAAAACTCTCCATGGAGATGCAGAGACAAAGTGCAAAGGAGAGTGGGATAATAGAGGAAGATGCCAAACTTCAATGCCTCACAAGATAACAGCACAACGACTTTAAGAGTAGACCTAGTTATAAAATAACTATGTCAGACTATTGTAAAGTGAAAATATCAGCAAATTTTGGTTTGTTTGAAAGAAAAACCCATGGTCACAAATTATAGTTCTGCTGAAAGACACAAAATTATGAAGAGGAGGTCTACAGTATTGCCTTCAGTCGATAAAAGCCATATTCATAGCGCATAGCTATTTTTCTTTTAAATCCCTCTAACCATGCAAGTGTTGATACATAAGGGCATGTTTTTAAACCAGCAAACGGTGACTTAGGTCTATGAAATAAGTGGTGCGATATATTGCTCCATTCCACACCAAACAAAATATAACTTGATATCATTTTCGAGGTACTAAAAAGATAAAAGTAAAAAAAGTGGACGAAAAAATTTGTTCGAAACGAGCTATGTTCAAGATATAAGTCGTACGAAAACCAAATCTCAACACTAAGTATCAACATCCAATGTGGCCTGGAATGCCAGTCAAATTTTTACCTAAGCCTCATAGACATGAGACGGTCTTCGAAAGCATAGAATATGAAGCAATCTAGCTAACGCCGACGGGAAAAACAGAACACTGCACATAATGAAGATGTGCCGCGTAGGCTCGATGTTCCAATAAGAAACAAACGGACGAAAAATACACACATAATGTGGACCAACACCTCAACCCTGGGCCGGAAACAACGATTCAATCTACAAAGACTATGTGTAATATATTGTTAGTTTATAAACACATAAACCAATATAACTAAAACTAACAATCTAAACAACTCACCCATTTATAGAGTAACTGAAGAAAAACTGGTTATTACTCATAGGAGACCGCCCAGCATTGCACAGATTGGAAACCAAAGACTTGTGACCCGTGAGCATCCATCTGGGTGTGCAAATGCAGGAATTTCCTAGATCCCAAATGATAATATTTCCATCAGCTGATCCTGTAGCAACATATTCTGCATCCTCTGACACCAAAATGGAGGTTATTTGATGGTGAGGAGGGGTATTAGCCCATGTAACAATAGGGATTACAGTATTTCCACTTATTCTGATCATTTTTAATAGTAAAAATAACACTATTATGGTCTCAATAAGGGAGACAAGTAGTGTAACGAAAGCATTTCAATAATGCGCTAGATTTCGTGGCCTTACCATGAACATCCAATATCCAATATCGTTTTTACGAGCTAGTCTAAACCAATTTGATTTCTTCGTGCTCGCCTCTTGATTGTGAGGTAGAGGTTCCTGATCTTCGGCAAACGTCTGCGTAGCTCGTCCCGCCACTCGACTGTCATAGATTTGGTTGACTCCAAAAGGAGTAGTGCAGGGATTAAATATATGTGGTTTTTAGTATGAGGTGTGTTAAGACTGTTACTACTGTGAATAGAGTTGACCCTTTCACCAGTTAGTCCTCCGGTATTGTCATCAAAAGAAAAGCGATAATAATCACAGATATAATTAGTGTAGGTTATTAAGACTAAAAGACAGAAAAAGCAATAAAGAAAACGTTATAACAGATGGCCAATTAAATTTGAAGTTGAAATATATATACACATATACGTATATAATATCAGAAATAATAGTAATGTGCAAGTTTAGTAGTTGGAGTAGTCAGGAGAGTAAGACGGGAGAGGATGCAAAGAAGTAAAACGACGAACTTAGTTGTCTACCCCTAAATGGTGTATGCGATTTTAAGGGGATAGGCCATTTGGACTAAGTATTTTTGTCGCTGAGTGATTCTCCAGCCTTCGCTTAAAGGTGTCCACAGACGGTGCCGTAGCTACATCTGCCAGCGAGGAGTTCCAGGAATGGCAAACTTGCAGTAAAAAGAAGTGGGAGAGCACCCGAGTCCTCACCCTCTGGTGAGCTATCCTTCTGGGGTTTCCACGAGGAAGCCTATACCTGCTCAATGGATTATTGTGTCATTTGTTATCTTAGAGACAGTAATCAAATCCCTCCCTAGGCCGACGGTAGCTAAGTGTGAATAGGCCTAATTTCTTTAGCCTCTCATCATACGGTGTATTTCGGAGACCAACAAAGATTTAGATCTGCCTGCAGCCTATCTGAGTCTTCCGAACACTTCATTGCCCTGAATATTTTTATGTCCTCAGTGTATAGAAGAGTCGGGCAGCTTATACGGTATGGTAATTCATTGATAAAAATCAAAGACATCAGTGGTCCTAGGATATACGCCTGTCACACTCCTGATGACCAATCACGTCAAGATGATCGGACTAGACTAACCTTAGTGCAAAGACTTTTTCAGCTAGGTAATCCCTGAACCATGACAGAAGCGGCTCACCAATACCTTCCTGACTTGTTCTGTGTAGGCCTTGGTGAACTGTGTCAAACGCCTTATCAAAGCCTAGGAAGACCACATAGACTAGAACATTCAAATCTTAGCATGATGTCCAATCGTCCCAAGCTGATAGTAGGTTTGTTACATAGGATCTGCCTTTCCTGAAACCGTGCTGGGCCTCATGGAGTCTGTTAGTCCCATCGAGGTGCTCCCTGATGCGATCATAAATAATGCTTTCCGGTACTTTTGATATCAGTGGGAGTAGGGTTACTAATCCACAGCTAATGCCATTTTGCCTATCTTCACGTTTGAAGATCGGAGAAAGGATGGCTCTTTTCCACTCCCTTGGCAGTATCCCCGAATCCATCGAGTGTTGGAACAAGTCTCATAAAGGCCTATAGAGAGCTTCGGCGCACTGTTTCCGAACAAATAGTCTGAAACCGCCACAACCTGGGTCTATCGAAATGTGAGTCCCTGTAGCTTCCCTAGTGTTATTTGGAGGAGGTAGCCACTTGGTTTTCCTCCGGTGAAATAGTAGTGTCACCATTTTGGTCCATACTAGTAAAACCCACATTGCTGCTTAACTGTTTAAACCGAATGTTCCAGCCATCTCCAGACTAGTAAGGTATTGACCGTTTGGGTCTACTAAAGTGCATACCCCCTAGTTAGTTGGTTTTCTTTCCGACATGAATCAATACAAGCTTTTGGGGTTCGCCAGGAGGTTTTGGCATGGTCAGCCTGAAATGACCTCCTGTCACTCATGACTCTCACACTGCACCGGTTCCTGAGTCCCAGGTATCCGTCGTGGTCGGTTGAACTCTTGGATACGCACCACGTAAACCAAGTCTTCCACTTTGCTTACAGAATACGTTGCGTACCTCTCTTCAACCACGGTGACCTATTTCTGGCTGTGTTGTGACTAAAGGGGGGGAGTCCGAGAATGCTGTGTGAATAATCTCTTCAACCACTCCCCTGTGTTCATCCTCAGATAACTCATCCCATGCTAAGGGCCATTCTGGGTCGGACAAAAGCCTCCGCACTTCAGCATTGTCCGCCTTGTTATAGAACAGATAATGTCGCGTAGCGTTTCACTGCAAGTGCCCAAGGAGAACAAGATCGAATCCTATGACCGCAGGGTCACTACTTAATAACAATAATAATGTATATTTTCGTATGAACACAAATTTACATGAAAATGCATGCCATTTTTACAGGCACGATCAACTATGATATAATGTCAAATCGCACGTTTCAACAGCTAAATATTTGATATATATATATAAATACCGTCATTGTCTGAACCAGGCCGTATGATTATTGAATTGTACAGTAGTTCTCCAGGCTGCACGGGAAAATCGACTTCGTTTCGTTTTCAACCCGTGGTTGTAGGCATACAATAACCAACCAATATTGAGGTAAGTACAACGTTTACAAGGGATAGTAAGCTGTTTTAGAAAAGCAAAGGTGCCAAGGTGACGCGTTAAAGTGCAATGAAATAGGTAAGTGCGATGTGGAGTCATGATCTGGACCTTATAGACTAGCAGTTGGTCACTAGTTAGAATGTAGTCTAGTTTTGATGACTTCCCACTAGGGCCCCAACTAGTGTCGTCTCCAACATTCTCAGTCAGTCCTGTATTTCAAATGGTTTGCAGTAGATTTTGGCCGAATTTTCCGTTAGCATACCCTGAGCCAAGGTTCAGTGATGGGGCATTTAAATCTTCAGCCATGGTGATTTGGTCACAGCCCAAGTCTCGTATCCCTGCAATGGTGCTGAGCAGTAGCTGATTGTGCTTTACCCCACAGGTGGGTGATCGGTAGATGCCACCCAGTAAGTGCTTGGTGTGGCCTACGGTGAAATGACGCCATATGGAGTCTGGGAGTTCAGTAAGTGATGGGTCCATTGCACATACAAATTTAAGTTGCTTGTCAAAGTATATGGCAGCCCCTCTCCTTCCTTGTTACCCCTGTCTCTCCTGACCAGAACCATATCACTTATACTGATTTCGTTGTCAGCGATAGTGGGGGTCAGCCAAGTTTCAGTGAGGATTATTATATTAAGTTCAGGTGTGACTGGAGGTTCTTGAGTTCACCTACTTTCCCTCTCAGCCCTCTAACATTGCTATATAGGCAGCTGACAGTGAGTCTCAGTGTGTTGTGGGGTAGTTGACGTTACGTTGTCTGCCAGTAGGGGACATAATATTTGTACTAGTTGGCGGATTCCTACGGAACCAGTCCGTTGTCGTTTTTTCCTTGGATTCGGGAAGGACACTTGGGTGACACTGATTGTCATTCTCAGTAACGCATCGCTCTAGTTTCACGGAGGCTAGGGGACGTATTGAGGCCTCAGTTTGCTGTCTCCTTATTGTTCGAGGTCTGCTTTCGCAGCATCGGATGTTTCCTCTCGATTTACCCTTGGTCTTGTACCACCGTTGAAGTACTAGAGCTAAGTGATTCTGGGAGTTGAATTTGACGCTTAGCAGTCTTGGGTAGTTAATCAGTGTGAGATGAGCTGGGCGAGGTGGTCAGAAAATCGAGATTGCTCCAGAAGAACCAAGGGCCATCTAAGATGACAGCCATCTTCATTGCTGTACGTCATGCATGTGTTTTCCCAAGCAGTGTCAGTTTCCAGCTCCGGAACACCACGTATAACCACAGAGTTAGAAGGCATCAGTTCCGGTGACTCCCTCTCCATTTGCATGTTAGCCCATGGTCTATCATGTCTCACTCTTATGCTGCAATTCCTGTCGATAGCTAGTACCTGAGGTGTTATCAGGTGGAGAGGTGCATGGGGCTGTGTCGAGACATAAAAGTGGCGTGCTGTTTATGCTATGCGCAGACATGCTGTGTGGGGCTGTGTCAGAGTGACAAAGTGAGCAGATGTAACAACACCATGGGCATGCGTCATTCAGCGTATACTCATAATATGGTTTTGGCACTCCTTTGTCACAACTGCAGTGTAGCCATCGTTTGCAAAACCGTATTCTAATGCCGAATCAGTTTAAGAAACGGTAACACTACAGGCCTGACATTCGTCTCCTTTTCTAGGTGACACTTTCAAGGTCTTATGACATCTCGAGTGTTTCTTTTTTGTTTTGCCGTGTGTAATGCACTGGCTTCTAATTAATACAGCTGTAATTTCATGTCCGCCTGGTATCGCCTGTGCTGTTTCAGTGCTATACTGTGGCAATGTAGGCGTAGTATTGGGACGGGCGAGATGTGCACGGGTCTTTAGAATCATTATGCGAGATGGGATTAATATCTCTGGGTTATTGCCTCCTCTGGCTGAAGCCCTTGTGACTTCAGAATATGGTGTTTTAGTGCTTTTTCGAAGACTACTTTCAACCGCTATATTAGCAATAACTATAACTTGCGCTACAATGAGTAAGAGAGCAACATTACCTACCTAATAGAACAAGAATAAGCCTGATAAAGTACAAGATAAAGGAAAGAATAAGCTTTCAACCTCACCTAGTACATTTTGGTTAATCGGCTCACAGCAATCACGTGGTAGACCGACAAGTCTTGTTTATCTGAACGAGTGGAAAAGATGCTGCTGCAGAAGTAGCGCCTAAAACTTTGACGGAGGTCTGAGACAGCTAGACTTACAAAACAGAGATTGACATGTAAGCGATAGTTGAATTAAATTCACCGGCTAGGAAGATCAGGTTTCCCATTAGAATAATTCACAAAATAGGTATTTTCTGGTTGGAGAGGAGAAGTACGTCGTATTTCAGGGACGCGCTACCTTGAATGTTAGATTTTCCTTGGCGTAAACGTCGCAGGTGATACGTATTACACGCTACTGAGGCGGACTTTGAAATAGGAATAAAAAGTTTAAATAGACATATTTCTCAGATTAAGGGAACGGATGTGTATGTATGCATGCTGAGATATTTCTCAACGCGGCCAAAGGTAGTTGAAGGAACGCATTCTCAATCGTTGCTTGGAAAGACCATACGTACTCGCTCCGAACGGTCAGTCAGACCTGATTTATCTCTTGAAGACAGACAGCATAAACAAACAGCAAAAAACTGTGGAGCTGCAGCCAGTAAGGGTTTTCGAATATTATGGGCCATACGCAAGGCTTTTGCGAGCTTTGACGCTGATATATTTCGTATATCATATCCGACTTATATCAGACTTCATTTGGAATATGGGATCCAGGCAGCGAGCCCGTGTTTCAAATACGAAATAAACTTACTGGAAAGGGTGCAAAGAGTAGGAACTAAGCTAATAAAGGGTTTCTCAACCCTCTCATATGAGGAGAGGTTAAGTCGACTGGGTTTATTTCCACTGTCATACAGACGACTTAGGGGTGACCTAATACTAGTATACCCTATACTAAGAAATGATTTTAGAGCAAATTTATCTAATTTATTTCTTCCTTCTAGCACCAACCAATTGCGGGGACATCGCCTCAAGGTTCAAAAACCACTGTCAAATCGTCTGCGTCTGGAGATGCGTTTTTCGCATCGAATTGTGAACCATAGGAACTTCCTACGGGAACACGTCGTATCAGCGCCATCCGTTGATTCATTCAAGGCGAGATTGGACCTCCTGTGTGCAACAAATCGAAAGGGTTAACACAGGCATGTAGCCTACTATCCTAAATAAATTGTAAAGTGCAAACTAGATATGTTGGTGCAACAGCTGGAAAAACTGTTCCAATGTCAATACTGAATGAGTTAAACTGATCTAGCTTTTGTGGACTGAGTGATTAGTAGACTTTGCGATGACTTTGACACGGCTATAAAAAGTCTACAACAGTTTTTCTCTCAATGAGTTGTTATAAACTCTTTTTAATGCAAATATATTATAATAATGATAACATTGGTATGGACAATTAACGAAAAATTAGGGTTTTACTGATCTAAATTATCAATGTAGAGAAAGCTCTTGTGCCTACTATCTATAAGCCTGTTTAGCTTTTTCTCAAAATGCCACTCCATGGGCACTACAGAAATTCCTGAGACATCTGACATGTCAGATTGTCCTACAGGTTTTCATCTTCCAGATCTTTGAATTCACTTCTCGCTGAAATATAACTTATCTACAGCATGATAATCTTCTCGTTTACGCACTATTATGCCCTACTTTATCTTAACTACCTAGGCCTCTCTTAAAGCAAAAGCTTGCTCTTTGTTAATATTTGTTGCTTCCTTAAAGTCTGGTTGCTTTGATTAAAAACACAACAGCAACAATGTTTGAACAAAGCTATATTTTCATCGAAAACCTCAAAGTTTCAACGCTTAGACCAATATGGTTAGCATTAAACACTGAAAATGTATACTATCATTCCAAGGAGTCTCCACCTCCTTCCTGTATATACCTTCTAACTGCACTTCCAATGGTATATTATCCATAATTGTATTTGATACATTTTGCATCTTCCCAGGACGTTCTACTCTTCCTGAAACAGCGTTCAGTCACGTGTTGGCATAGCGCTCATCCAAATATACGCTGTTCACTGGTTGACCATAACTATCAGCAGGAAACGGAACGAAGTATGGGTTGTCGCTCAACTTTGATGGTGACCTTAGTAAACGGTTTACAATTTAACACTTATAAGAGCCTTAATAATATGTGTAAAACTAAAACAACTTAGTTTATCTAATATCCTGCAATGATTGTCAGGTCAAATACATAGGCCAAAGTAGTAGAGCAGGGGCAGTCAGACTAGCTGAACATAAAAACTTAGCAAAATTTAGATTGGTTGACCCAAATAAGATAAGAAATCTAGAGAATAGTTCAGCTATAGCACTCACTACATGCAATTACACACAACCATACAATAGGATGGATGGGATAGGATATCAGTTTTAAAATCTAATGTCACAGGGTGAATGGAGGGAGAGATTGATAACAGAAGCTTTGTTTATCGAATCAACTGCAAATACATGTAATAGGAATGATTCATCACCTGTCCCCGATATCTGGAAAATTCTACTACCCCTAAGACAAGAAAACTATAAAACTCAAGTTTCGAAGTCGTGTGATTACAATTGATATGATTATGAACAATAAATTTTTTTCGAAACGTCATCCAGTAAATAATACTATTTCACTGTTTGATATATCTAATAAACAAACTAATATGGAATTTATAAGAGCCTGTTCTGATTGCTTGTACAGAACTTGAACAATTTAAGCTTTTGAAAAAGTTTAGTTTATGATGCTTTGAAACTGCAATTTATAACATAACTGACCGTACCTGTAAAAATGGTATGCATTTTTTGTAAACTTAACTGTTCATACAAAATATAGATTATTATTAATGTGAAACCTATTACTACTGACAAAGGAGTTAGATGGGCTGAACCCCTAACTTCTGAAAAATTTCTAGCAAAGCTAAGGTACGAATAACTGGCAGGCTAATTACCTAAATTAATTTTTTTCTCTCATAAAACCACACAGATTAATATATATTCCAAGAAATGGCATATGTAAAATAATTGTTTGAAAAGTATGAGTAAGGGTCTCATGCATTTTTCAGATAAAAACAGGCAAAAAGACAGCTCTTATTATTTTTTGTTGGAAACCAGTTTGAATTGTAACATTTTAAGTGCTAAATAATAAAACATAGTGAAACCACACTTACTAACAAATAATCCGATGCTGAACCTAGCGAACAAGCGTAGTGGAAATATATTATTTTCACTGCGAGGTGGGTGAGTTGGTTCTTCTGTTAAGCAAACCAAACCCCATGAAGTACAACCCAAATTCACCCATTTCTCCCCACAATCAATTATCTTTTAAAGCATGCTTCAAAGAAAGAAACAAAACAAGATAGTAGAACATTACACCATAGATGGGGTGACTATAACTAAGTCTGCTAAATTTAAGGCTAGTTTTAATCACGTAGTAGTGGTAATATGGTACAATGCGCTAAGCTTATTATTATATATGCGTTTAGCGTTACCATCATAATGAGTGGTAGGTTGAGTGTCTGAAACACACAGAGACGCTTTGTGTTTGAAAGTTTAATGAAAACAGGATTGCAACTTGCTAGGTGTTTTACTCTGCACGTTGTCTTAGCTTGGTATGAAGCTCGTTTTAGAGCCTGGCAATCTCTGCTCAGGATTCTTAATTTGGTGATGATTACTTGTTGTTAGCTGTATTCATTTATGTCAAATACAGTTGGACTTCCATATTCTTTTTATTTTAATAAACCAGACTTCAAGTGTGCAGAATACTGGTTTGAGAACAAATATAGTAGACTATAGGGTGCTTATCTGCGAAGTAGTATTTATGCAAAATATCTATTCATTACAAATATATGCAGCACTACCATTTCAAATTAGTCCTAGAGAAGAAAGGGAATATTTCCTATGATAATGCTTTATATTTTGTATAAACGAGTAAGTTCACGTTAAATTTAAATTACTATTATGTAACTTAATAGCGGCAGATCTGACAACTGCTCCGTCAAATGAGGCTAGAACATCATGTGAAATTCATGGATTTGCACATATCTACTAGATTTGTACTGGTACTAAAAGACATTACCTATTCCCATATAGCTGACTGTAACATTATAATGTTTGTACTGGCTCTTTTATTATTCCTCAACTACACTGTGCGTGTAATTCCACTGTCTTACCTGTCATATATCCAATAATTTTGTACTAATTTCCACTTGTCCATACCACCTACACTCTCGATGAACTTTTTATTCGTTTAGTACCTCTTCCTTCTAATTGTTTGTCGATCTTACTGAAGGATTGCCTGGGAAAACGAAAGTACTGGACATACGACTGCTCTGTAAAAAACATGAGTTCGTTCCAGAATTATAGTAATGCACTTCCTCTTACTGCTTTCAGAAAACCTGCAGCAGTAAGAAATATATATTTTCCGTAAATCTACCAAAAATCTAGAACCATACAAAAGAATGGGTAACAAAAGATTACCAGTTTTATACATGCCTCTTAAATAAAAAATCGAATATTGTAAACGAAGCACTTGTTTTAATCAATGAGTGTAGCTACATTTTCGTAAGCGTAACATATTATCGCGTCAATAAAAATGGCGACGGCTGTGGCAGTTAGGCAGAATATTGGGAATGTAAGGTTCTGATGACATTTGTATTTTACAAATAGTGGTCAAAAGTGTTTCCAAATGAACTAGGTACCGAACTACGGTCCTTAGTCTTTATCAAGAAATTGCTCGCAGTGGCGGCGTCTTATGTTTTATACTTCAGAGATATTTTCCCTGAATCAGCATTCCACGACAAACAACTAGAAGGTATTACTTATCGTCACCTCGTTTTGAAATACAGGAATTGAACTGAAGATACTGAAAGAAAGCTCTGAATTTCCAGAATCTTCGAAGATAATCTACTGGCTTAAGGGTTGCTTTGATGCAATTGATCGAAAATTCGTAAGTCTTTGCAGTATTTTACCTAATTCATTCAGCTAAAATCAGCGACTATTGCACTTTATACCCCCTCTGATAAAGATGATGAATGCAATGTGATTGAATCATATTGCTTTCGTCTGTCGTATGGACAGAGCAACTTCTCACTAAGTGTAACTTCTGAAAACGAAAGGTTTGTGCCACTTTAGAGCTAATAAATTATAAACCATCTGGTAGTCTATGTGATCTATCTTACACTTCTGATAAAGAAATTAAATCAGCCACCCTAAACCTTTTAAAGAACATAGAGACAGCTGGGAAGAGATTATCAAAACTACCATCAGAGCTAATGATAACAATGAAACTGCAGTATTATGACGAAGGTAACCTGTTTCTGCTTAAAATTTTCCAGTTAACTTTTAAAACCTACTATTTTACAGTGTTTTTTATTTTCCAAAAAATTTGGGAGTTTATTTACTAGTATAATCTTCTATCCCATAAGTGACTGTGCAGTATCCGACACAACCAATTAGCAGGTTAAAGTTAAATTAACAACTTCTTAATTCCAAATGGATTTGTTGTTCTTAAGTTAGAATGTGCATTTAGGTAGCTATTGTTTATGTCTTGAAACCTTCAAATTTGTGTAACATTAGAAGAATTATCTGAGAAGTCTGTTTTATGCTCATCTCGCCCTAAACAGTGTGTTGCATGATCCAGTCCAAAACAATCGGGGATATCATAGATGATAGTAGACAGTCTTATCGTACTCCTGTCTTTACTTCAGAAGCTTCACTGATTTTTCCATTGTGAATCACTTTTTATGTGGAGTGATTATGTGTTTCTTGAATGAGGTTAATAAAGTTTTGTAGCTCTTCACTCAGAAGTGAAGTGGCCGTCAAAGCAATTGATGACCGATGCTGTCGAAGACATTTATTAAGTCAATATAGCTCAAGTAGAGAGACTTCCGTTTTGTCGGAGGATTGGTGTTCACTGGCAGTTTTGTGCCTACTGTTGGTGAGGTTTCTAGATTATTTGCAGGCGATGATCGGCTCAAGAGTCCTTTGAAGTGGTCAGACCATTTTTTTTCTTTGCTCCACCTTTTTGGTAAATAATTCCCCCATTACTATCTTTCATTGGTTTCATCCATATTAGTCTGTTCCCATATTTCTTGTTTCGCACTCCTCTTCAAATATGCATTAAGTGCGTAGTAGATCGAACTTGGGTTCTTCTTCTGTTATCTAAATTTGCACTGGTTCATTTCCTGCTTCACCATACATCTCAACTCTGTTTGTCTCCACGTAGACAGCCATTCCTTATCTTGACTTTTTTCTAAAACGGCTAAACAGGCTTCCTTCAACGTCACTTTCACAGAGTTTAAATATTATTCCACACTTGTTCTGTCGGTGGTACTACCGATTTGCTCTGATGGTGGCAGTGAATGAGTCTTTTACAGTCTCTCTTTTCATTTTCATGGGTTTCAAACTTGAACTGCGGTCTATATCCAGCCTCTTTGAAGGCATTCAACTTGATCTCAATGTTTTCTTGTACTAGATAATGATCTGAGCCCACATCTGCCCTCTTCTAGATTTGGTGTCCAGCAGGCTGAGTCTCCAATTTCTTGAGAACTAAATGAATTCTATCTAATTTTTGTGTGTCCAGCAGGTGAAACCCACGTCACCTTTTGAATATCTTTGTGCCTGCACATACTAGCCCAAATCAACAAGCGGTTAGAATTCTGATTACCATTTCCATCAGTTTAGCTAGGAGTCTCCCGACACGTGATGAGTCTACTTCCTATGTTCTCTACTAACAGTTTGGCATTCACATAACCTATTAGGATTTTGTTATCACTGTATGGGGTCTTGTCCATTACTGTTTGCAGTTTTCTTTGAAAGTCTTCCTTCTTCTCTAACGCATCTTAACCTTACTGTCATTTTTCTGAGGGAGATTGGTTCCCACTGTATGAGAGCCTTCGATGCTGTTCGTGATATCATCATAACCACTCAGTGTGTTCATGGTTGTCATCTGGCTGAGTCGGGTAGGTCATTGGCTCTCCAGCTAACTATTTCAGGGGTCCACTTCCATTTTTCTGCTTTTACAAATTCCAAGCATTTCTATGCCAAATCTTTCTTATTTCAGTATGATCAGCTCTAACAGTCCCTATCCCCACGCCCAACCTTCCCTCTTTTTCCGACCTTAGGATAGGCTAGGGTTGCTGCTAAATCTCACTGTTGCAAAGCAGCCTACTGTAACAAAAGGGAGTCTGGTAATATTCTAGACCCTGTCGACGGAGACTTTCGCATTTTGTCAGCCTTCGGAAATCAGGGTCTGGCAGTAAAGGTTTCATAGTAGGCAGTACCCATATCCTCAACTTGTCATCAAGATGACTCAGCTTCTGGTAGTGTAGGCAATGGAAGCTGGAAAACTGGTTCCGTATCTTCGGAAGAAGTACTGGTTGGGGGACGAGTCGGTCAGGCCAAGATCAAATAGGTGCTACTCCAAATGAGAGCTGGTGTTTTCGTTACTTTGTGTGCTTTAGTGCACATTTCTGCGAAGTTACTGGAATCTGGCTGTAACCTGTGGTGAGTGGTTCCAGCCGTTAATTCTGTATGACTAGCAAGAAAACGAATTGAGGTTGTTTGAAAGACAAATTTATTGGTGATTCTGACTTTCAGAAAACCCATTATTATGCAAATAGCCTGTATCCCAATATTACAGGCGTACTTTTAGTAACTCATATTATATCTCCGAACAGTTATATAATACCTTCTCTCTCATAAAGTATTCACCAGAAATCTAGATCTCAGTAAATATAAGGAATTATGGAACTCGAATTGGAACTGACTGTTATAAAATAAGTTAAATTACAAAGTACAGCGACTGGTGTCTGAACATGTATTAAACTTTGTTTCTAAGCCAGAACAACAACTACAACCCCACTCAGACGGCTAGTACTCATATTTCTTTTCAACTTTCAACAATCTCTTTTCAATGCATCAGACAGGACCATCTCGTATAATTTCATTATAAACTGCAAAACTTATTTTAAAACGCTTGATACTGTTTAGTTGAATCCTTTTTGTAACTATATAGTGATAGACTTTTTTGACACATTTTTAGCTATTTCGGTGTACTTTCCCCCTTCTGAAAGTTACATGCTTGACGTTTTTGTGGAGTACGTTAAGTTCTAACAATTAACAACATAAGTCAACAAGTCACTTAATGTAATACAGTAATATTAACTGATATTACTGTTAATATTACTGTATAACACTGTGTGATTTATTAGAATAAAATTTTATCTATAATGGAGTTATACTGTACCACAGCGCCTAGGTTTCATACTTATATCGATAAGTTAACAAGATCTAAAAGAAAACAACTAAATTTAGATATTTGAAATTCTGCAGTGCTTCGCAGCATGTTATATTTTGCTTTGAAGCCCATAACCGTCAAGAGGAGATATACAGTCCCGTTCTATCCCTTGCTTCCAGTGGTCACATTCTCACCTACGAAAAGAGCTAACACGAATTCGTGATAAGTTCTTTATCAAATAGGACTTAGTTTTGAAGTAATGACATCATAACGAGAACTGATAAAAACTCTTAAGTATTCGCCTTCATTCACGTAATTATATTTTCAAGCCATCTGATGTTTTCAGTATTTTAAAAATAATTCTGTCTTTATATTTCAACTATTTGTGTACGGCGATATTATAGTTGCTAACGTTCGTACTTACGGAGACACTCAAAGTGGTTTATGGTCTTTTGAAGTGATATCCAGTTTGCGACTTCATTGGTACTTTAAAAATACTCCATTTTTGATTCAAGATATACCATCATCTTACTGCTCACAATATTGGGCTTTACTTTGTATTGACAGCATCTCCTCATATGGAAGTCTGGTTAGGTTACTACTACAGTAAAAATACTGTTTATTACCTAAGGGGAGAATTTTCGAAGACTTAGTTCACATTTTGTTCTGGACATTAAAACCTAGAGCAAAGCAGGTAACAATGCTAGTTGCCATCAAACTTCTTCTTCCTAGATTTGAAGTATTTCCAACTGCTGTCGTCCATAATATGAGAAACCCAGTGCTGACTTAATTAAGAGATTATTAAACTTAAAGTACATGAAATCAATTAGATTACAGTAGATCACTAAATGCTGCAACAAAGAAGTGATTAGGTTACCTGACCTCATAAAATAATTGATGTTATACATTTCAAGATGATTTTATGTGTTTCGTTGACACCGTTGAGGGAAGCCATGATATACTTAAATCCTTGGCATATAGTGACAGGCAAAAAAGGAGTACTCTCAACTGATTTTACTTACCTACATGTGGACAGATAGCCAGGGGGACGGTGACATGCTACATGCTACACATCAGTTGAACAACAGGAATTTAGAAAATATTCCCTACCGATAGGATTGAATCGGAAAGAATGAGGTGAATTTACCTGGATAATATGAGTATATTTGGATATTATTTTCATACTATTCACGCATACAAAACCAAAATAGAGGAAAATATCAAGCTTCATTCCTTTTTAACCTTTCTAACTTTAGTAACACCAGAAGATTATATGACACCGGGATTCAAGCGCGCGGATGACACGACTTTTGTCTATGAAGAAGATAATATCAATGTACGACTGGGTAACGTGAGAACGGTATGTCTACCTTAGCTTCTTCTCTAATATACATATTTATTTTTATTAGGCTCACCACAGGTTAGTACCATTATGTAAAGTTAAACTTTCTTAGCATTAAAATGCACGTACAGACGAGTCGAAGATTATTTTCTGGATCTGTGAAGTCTACTGAGTCAACACAAGAAGAATGTGTCCATGAAATTTCGGTTAGTTTCAAAAGTTCATCTACATTTTCTCTAAGATTTATGTAACTATTTTGGTATTTGTTTTTATCAGAACATTCAGGTTTATGTGAATGTCAAAAGCTTGTGATTCAAATATCTTATAATCTTATTGTTTGATTATTAATAGAATCAATACATAACTGCGTAACAGCTGAAAATTTTCTTGGATGTACAAGTAATATAACTCGTATTTACGAGTCAACGGATTCAGGCAAACTAATCTACACTTGTAACGGTAGAAGACGAGAGACTTAGTACCTCCATATAGCCAAATTATCTACACTTTATCTTCAACGCACCATTTACACAGATCTTCCGTGTTGTGCTACTTCTTCCTGGCCTTCCTTCACATTGTCTTTCTTTGTGTTCCTGTCACGTCTCCCATGTATCTTCAAAACGCTGTATCATTTACTTTCTCTGAGATCAAATCTATCTCTCTGCTATTTGATACTTTTGTGCAGACGAACACCTCTTTATATACTACTGATAAATCTTATCAATAGAAAACTATACACACAATAAACTAAGCATTTTCCTACAAGTACGCAAAAAGTTCAGCTATAATTGCAATTGGTAGATTCTTCTCATATGAAAAACCATGATTTTATTGCACGAAAGTAAATTGCATGTCTTTTTTATTCTGAGAAGGTCTTAAGTTCTACTATGAAATTATGTAATATGCGTTAAAATGGGAGAGTAATTAGATACATCAAACAATATATGTCAAATTATTTCCTTAGCACAAGTAGACCTCAAAATAAAGTTAGCAGAGGTACACACTTTGATTAGAAACTAGTAACTAGTGTGATGTGTATCTAGTCCTTCCTTTGGTGCAGACTGAATTCTATCAGTCAGGTTTACAATGTGGCCACTATTCCAGGTAGCAGGCCATTACGGTTGACTTTGAATTGTTGGTGTTAGATGGTTGGAGGCGATCAGCAGGACGACTGAACCTAGGCTTCCTGCCGATTGCCTCCAACCATCTAACATCATCAGAGCTACTCACTTTTAATGATATTTATTCCAACGAGTAATAAACAAAGGATTATTTGTAAAAATACAAAGTCAGAGTGTGTACCAGTGAACGTCTTGAATATATAGTTGAATAGATGGCAGTAGCCCCTTTTTTGAACATATACAGTTGATAATAGAAACGCTTGAAAGAAAGTAGACACTAAGAGGCCATTTGAATAAAAACTTGTGTATGCAACGAAAATTGTCTTCAGGAATTTTCAGACATCCAGAGTTGTAAAAATGTTAATTTGAGACGCATATGCATTTATGTGTCTGAATAAATAATCTGGTAGACAGCTGGTGAGTTCCTATAGTGCCAGGCTACTGAACCAAGATAATTCACATAGTAAAATGTTCAAAACAAACACTGCAATTATTTTTTGAAAAACTTAAAACCTTACCAAGTATCCCAAAACCACAGATATAATCAAATATATGTATCTAGAAAAGTTGATTTCTTACATAGACATCATAAGTGTACACTGGCAAATGAATACCTTATATTTTTACAGTCACACAAGTATTTTTCTGAATCATTTTATGCTCTATTTGAGTTAGGATTTTTTACATACTATGTATTATATCTTCAACAAAGCAGAGTTAGAGTTGGTCTGAAGATTATAAAGCGTAGGACGCGAATAAAGTGTGTTTCCTGTTCCCAGCAATTCTTTTGGTTTTAATTAACTGCATTTACTAGAGATAAATACAAGACTGATCACGAGCTGACATCAGTGCTGGAGTACTGGACAGCCAGCTATTTCGTCCTAGTTTGGGACTTTATATTAGCATTACGCACCCACCGGCGTACGAAACAGATGTTAAGTAATCCCAAGTTTTCCAGTGGTTATCTAACTGGTATCAACTCGTGATCAATCCTGTAAACAATCAATCAAATGCCTACAAACCAACACTTGATTAAAAGAAATACACTTTTTTGTTATCTTTATTGATATGAAACAGATTTTATGAAAAGTAGATTTCTGAAAGTCAAATTATAAAGAGGTAAAAATCTTATCTTCAAACATTTAAGGCAAAAAATGTTTTATCAATTGAATTCACTGATGAATAAAGAAAGAATTAAAAATAAATGAGATAATATGTCATCTGCCATACAGTGAATTATGATATTAAGAAATTTGATTCCAGGCAATTTCACTTTCAAAGCGTAAGTAGTAATTTTGTAGCATAGAGAGGAGTTTGATTAATGCACTTGAATGATGTCAGTGTATAATCAGGTTTGTAAAATTTATGAATAGAAATCTTTCCCTATAAATGTAAAGTGGAGACAGGTCAGTGTAATTCAAGTTCAACATTCAGAAACTGAAGGAGAAAAAACTATAAGGGATCCCTTCACCACAGACTAGATCAGAACAAGGTGGGAGACACTATAAGGCATAACTGAGGAAATCTATGTGGAAATACACTGGAACTAACCCTTTGAAGGTGATGTTCAAGGAAACATGTACAACTGTTTTAGGAAGAAAGAAGAGACATGATAAGGAGTGGCTCTCAACGGACGCCTACCTGGAAACTAATAGAAGAGAGGAGAGGAGGATGGTGAACGAGATGACTCAATGCAAAGATGGACAACTGAAGAAGAAGAAGAAGCTGAGCTCAATGTACACTGCACGGAATAAAGCAGTAAAGAAGAGTGCTAGAAAAGACAAAAGACAATTCTACGAAACCCTGGCCAGCAACTGAAGCAGAACAAGCAGATTAACCGCAAGCAAAAGAGAACTCAGGACATTACGTCAGATAGACACCAGATCTCTATCCTGGAAGAGATCAACCCAGATGATAAAACCAATAAAAGATGTTCGAGAGAACCCAATTACCAAGGAGGAGAAACAAATAAAACAATGAATTGGTTGATTACTTCAAAGGACTCTTGAATCGATCGTCATCTGCAGCTCGCCCAGAAATACACCACCACCAACAGCACGCACAGAACTGCCTGCCAGTGGACACCAATCCTCCAATCAAAGCAGAAACTCTGAATGTGATCAAGCTACTGAAGTCCGAGAAGGCAGCAGGACCAGGCTGAATTCCTCCCGAAGCACTGAAAAAGGACAAAGAGAATGTGGTGGATGCGCTTACGCCATTATTGCTAAAGGTTTGGAAAGAAGGAAAAGTACCTACCGATTGGAAGAAAGGCTACCTCGTCAAGCTGCAAAAGAAGAGGGACTTACGCATCTGCAAGAACTAGCGTAGAATCATGCTCTTTTCCACGCCAAGTAAAATACTAAGTCGCATCATCCTGGGGAGAATAGAGGATGCACTGGATACAGAACTCCACCAGCCCCACTATAACAAGCTGGACTTAGGAAGGCAAATCGTGTGCTGATCAAACTGCAACTGTCCGCATCGTCATTGAACAAAGCATAGAATGGCAGTCAAACCTTCACCTCAACTTCATCGACTTTGAAAAGTCTCTCACAAGAAAGCGTTGACCGAGAAGTAATTTGAAAACTACTTCAACACTACGCGTGCAGAGCCCAAGTCTTTATCAACCTCATCCAACAGCTGGCTACATGACAATTCCACGTGTCAGGTGACCCACAACGGGAAACTCAGCGAGGCGTTTGAAGTGCACACAGGACCGATGATATTCTTAATTGTGGTGGACTGGATTACGCGTCAGACTGTTGGGAGCGAGGAGTTAGGAATACGCTGGACGACTGATAAGAAGACTTTAGAAGATCTGGATTTCGCAGACGATATATGTCTAATGTCACACAAACTCGAAGACTTACAGGCAGGTGAACACCAACAAAATGGCTGGAGAAATTGCGAAAACAGGACTTCAGATGAACACAGAGAAGACGGAGGTGATGAAGATAACCAATCAATAGCAAAAACAACCCACACTAATCACCATCAACGGGCAAGATTCAGCAGAGGTTGTCTCCTGCACTTATCTGGGAAGCATCTTTTCAACTACAGGCCAGTGGAACGGACGAAGATGTCAAAATCAGAATCGGAAAGGCAAGATAAGCCTTCATCAACCTGAAAACAAAATGGAAATCTTCTGCTTCACTCAGCCAGAATTAAGAATAAGATTCGCTTTTTCAACACAAATGTGAAGTCAGCCAGTGCTTCTATATGGGTCAGAAACTTGGCCAGCGTGCCACGTAAAGGACTTCTGACAGGCTACTTCAGCCTTTTATCAACAGCTGCCTCCGCTGGCCCCATATTGAAGATCAAATGGCCTGCCAGAAAGAATAAATAACAAGAAACTCTGGCTGGGAACAAACCGACCAAGAGCCTATTGGTCAGCAAATAAGGTGGAGTTAACGGAGATGGATGAATCGGGCATACGTTGAGGAGACCATCGAAAGACATAGCGCGCCAAACAGACCATTGCTCGAGTAGAACCCCAATAGAAAGCGATGTCAGTGTGAGGGTGATATGGAGGAGGTCCTGTGGCGAGGAGGAGATGAGAGATTATGGGCAATAGTGGAGCCAGCTGAATAGGATGGTATAAAATAGAAGAATGTGGAGAAGTGTTGTTGAAGCTGTATGTTCCACTCAGAACCCAAGGTAATAATAATAAAAGTAAAATTGTTTTCAGGATTCCTAAACATTTTAGGATACATGTAGCTGTATATTTTTCGAATACAGTTTGTATAATGGAGCAATAACCTCGTAGTTTATCAGAATCAATAAAATTGTTTTTTCAAAAAATTGTGTTTTATAACAACTAAGAGTGACTCAAATAGTATATTTGATATTATTAAGAAAAAGACAACTTTGAAAATACTTTTCAGTCTAACTATAAATACATTTCATAGGAATTTTAAAAATAAACGAATTTAAATATATTTATTGGTTGCAATGTTGTTTGGTATTTTTTTTATAGTCAGGTTCACAAATTAAAAGTAAACTGAGCGAAGAAGAGGAACTCAGTTTATCGTTTCAACAACAAACTTTAGCATCGGATGAAAGTGAATCACAAATCTATAAAGTTCGTTGTCCTTGTGGTGTAAACAAAGTAAGACATTCACAAAATGTATTTTTAAAATTTTCATATCCTGTTTTTAGTCATACATTTCAACATACTTGAACTGAATTTACTAATTATTAAAAATTCGAATAAATCTCAAAAACTAGTCATTAATCTTCATTCGGGATCATTTGGTATAAATGAATTTCAGAAACAGTTTAAGCTATTGTTGGCCAGAGATGGCTGTACTATGAATTCATGCGATATTTGATTTTTATTCCTTTACGTTCCCAGTAGGACTTCAACCTAGAGCTTCGAAGTTTCAGTAGCAGTGGTGTTTATTGTTACGGGATGGGGTTGCTATCCTCATGCCCATTTTTCCCTCATTACAAGTCTTATCACTGGCTTAGTGAGGTAAGGGAGTGTATCGGCCAGAGATCGAACCCGAGCCACATGAAGCGTGGTCGGCGAGATTTTACCACTACGCCATCGACGCCATGAGATATTTAATACGGACAATTATGATCCCTTCATCCCAATTAAACGAATAAGTCTATTAGGAAACTTTTGTGCCATCTTAGTGAAACGATGATGAAATTCACTATCGCCTATCAAATCAAATTTCTTTCCCTATCATAGATTTAAGATATCATTATTTGAGTCGAGAGTTCTTCATTTATAGGTCAGAAGCACTGTTATACTAACTATAAAACATCACTTAAACTCATCATTTCTACTAATTATTAAAATTACTACTGTTTCAATGGTCTTAAAAATTTATTTTATTGTAATAACTAAAGATTTATGCGTTCATGTTCTAGGACATAATTTTTTTTAAATACCACTGAATTATTTATATACTTCAGAACTGTAATACTTTGCCGGTGTGTGCAATATGAAATTAAACCAATCTGATAAGCAATTTTAGTTATGAAACGAAAAATTAAGTCAAATAAATATTCGGAAAATGATGAATGTGTACTTGATAATGATATGTAGATGGATGAGTTGTCTGGCAAATGGATTTATCAGTTATCTCCTACGGATTATTGTTTCTCACGCCTACGTCATCGTCCATATATATATATATCATTGTCCCTTTTATAAACATATTTATACTTTCCGTCTCACCTGGTGGTATGTTCTCGCTCAAGCATTTGGTGTAGAAATCAGGTAGCTGTTGTATACTTTGATTGAACACTAGTAACTAGTGTGGTGTGCCTAGTCCTTGGTATTGGTGCAGACTGAATTCTATCACGTACGTTGGCAATGTGGCCACCATGCCACTTAGGTGGCTCTTCATCACGATGCACATTGATTTGATGATATTAGATACTTCAAGGCAGTCGGTTACAGGAAGCCTTGGACCTAGGTTTCGTGCTAGTTGGCACTTACCAGTCAGAGAGGCGTATCTGCAACTGCCTTGAAGGAACTCATGTCCCTTCTGAGCTGTTGTATACGTTGCTGGCGTAGACAAGCGATATATGTGATCACATCTGTACCAGCTTATGCATTCATTCCAATTCCAACCCAACGTTATGCAAAATATAAAAGATAATGACTAAGTTCAAAGTTCATAGCATGGGTTCGAATCTCGGTGGATGCGTACTGTGAAGAGTCCCAAACTGGGAAGAAACAGTTGTCCAGTACTCCCAGGTTTTCCAGTGGTTCTCTAACAGATGTCAGCTCATGATGAAATCCTCCATGCAATCGAAGAAAATATCAACTGTTAGAAATAAGTTTTTTTAATTACTGTAAACTAATACAAATTACTGTTATTATAGCATAAGATAATGAAAATTAACTGATCAAGTGACATGGAAGTTAAAAAGAATGATCTATAACAACACGCAAAATGTTAGCAAGTTACATAGAAGCAAAACTAAGTATTCCACTTAGGCGTAATGGTTAGAGCCCGTGTTACTCCATCCCATTTTGAAACTTTTAAGCACCAATCGCTGATCGTATTAAAGGGGTCAAACTTAGAGTTCTCATTTTTTAGGGCGAGTTTGTTAGTTTTCAACCACTGAATCGTAATTCAGTGAATTCATGTTACTAAACAATTCCAAACGAGAACGAATCAACTGTCCAGTGTACTTTCTGTTTCTCAAAGATTTTTTAACTGATGTCGGTTCATGAGGAAGTATGTTTTAACAGTAAAGAAACGGCAAAAGTCGAATGTTTTTCCTTACTGATTTCAATTCTAAGCATTATCCAACAATGTCTTGGGTTACCGAGTCTCGTTTATCTGTTGAGCACGATATAGAAAGAAAGAAAACTGGACTAGCATTTATCCTACAGTATGACAGCGTAAAGTGAATATGTCGCCACTCTTAATGAAAAGATTTCCAATTTTGTCAACAGAGATTTTATTTTGGAATACTATGAGGAGTCACTTGTAGTATATTATCAAACATACAAAGGTACTTTCTCAGATTGATGTCACTTAAATAATACAATTAATAATTCTTGTTGTGCACAGAATAATCGAATCATACATGTAATGATAATTTTTTTTAAATGACCACTATATGCAAAATGGCACCACCACTCCACAACTTCAGTAATCTAAGTATCATAGACATAATAAAGATTATAAGTACAAATTTCCTAGAATAATTTGAGCCTTGAGTCAAATCGAATCATTATAAATTATTTCAAATAGCACGGATTGCCTAAAATAAAGTACCATTAAGTCAATTCGTTACACTTAAAAAGCCCTATGACCTGAGTGGTTTTGGCTTCCCCAAAGGAATAGTTTGCAAATAAATAATTACGTTAAACATGTTAGCAGTTAGCTCAAGTAACAAGCATGAATCCTAGTTGTTCGAAGGAGCTGAGTCAGTCATTTACACCACTGAACAGCTTTGCCACAGACCAGTGTCAAACAGCAATGAACCTTTGAATGAAAGAAATTTTAGTCTATAGTACGACCTTTTCTCTTGATTCATTGCTCCTGAATGCTTAAACTATACTTCCATATGACGACTTATTTGAACGGTAGTTTATTTATTGAACCTTCTTATCACAAAATTAAAGAGGAAAATCCTCTAAACCTTTGTAAGTACAAATTTTATGTAAAATGAAGTAGACAAAAGTTAATTATTGATTGTACCAAGGTATTTCGGTACAATTTTATTTTTCCCCTACTCATTTTGTGCATCCTAATCCACTAGAAACTGGTTAAATGGGTCAGAGTTTTAGTTTTGAAATCATTGGGTGAAAATTCGAGTAGGCATCCCGACAAACTGTAGCTCCACATGCAGACCAGCTGATCGGAAACCTGATGTTGAATAAATCTTACAGAAGTAAGTATATTTCAGCATAGTGACTTATTTCTGATTGGTGGTGAAAGGCATATTCTCTCCAGATATCTGGAGATAACACTAAACGCTTTCTTTTTATATCCACAACTTACTTATATCTTTGGAAATGGCCAAAAGTCAAATCAAAAATAAATGTCTCTTCGTGAGTTTCCTACTTTAATCTTGTTAAATGTTTCGCTAATGGCACTATGATTTCTTGGGACACTGAATGCATTTTTAAAATAAGTCGAAAAGAATAGAAAGCAGATATAACTATCACCAATAATACTGCAATTAATCATTGAGTGTATTTTCAAGGTTTATTTTAAAATATTTGATATATCACTAAAGTTTTTTATTTCAAAATATTTTTTGTTTTTGTTTTAGGATGATGGTGTTATGATTTTATGTGATGGATGTGGTAGATGGCAACATGCAATTTGCTTTCGAATTTCGGAGGAGTACAACGTTCCAGTTTCCCATGTCTGTGAGATTTGCGCAAAACATAAGGTATTTACTATTCAAATTTTAAAAAAATGTATATGTTCAATTATATTTTCTATTCCCTTGTAAGGTGAATATATATATATATATATATCTGTGTTGCTGAGGCTTGTGAAATCCCTATTGAATGTCTTTCCTTTTTGTAATAAGGAAGACAATTACAAAAATCCCCTACTTGATGCTCTTCAAGTAACAGTTCATCTCAACTTTACTTTCAATGAAAGTAACCAGAGTAACTCATGATACGTACAGAATTCTTAGCGTAATTTATTGCATCACATTTTCTCCTTATCTAGAAGATCTCAGTGCTTTTAAATCTGAAGCATAGACTAATCCCCTTATGATATTTTCCCTTTTGTCTCTCAACAAAACGCTCACCAATAGTTTAAAAGCCATTTGAAAATGTACGTGGATACATTTTGTGACTCAAGGACATAATTGAATGGTTAACACTATAAGATATAAAGAAAATATCATGCATTGTGTGTGTGTTAGGTTGCCCGCTTAGGGAGTCAAGCGGGCCCACCAGCCTCTTCAGGTTGTAATATCCATACTTAATGTAATAATAATGCTCACCTGTCCTAGGACCCTGGTTATAGTTATCACATAAAAAGTCTATGAAACAAAATAATCATTTTACACTTACAAGAAGTATTAGAGAGTTTGTTAAATCGTATTCTGATCAAAATTACCAAAGCATCAAGTTGTAGTAACAACTGCCAACTTTAAGTGAAAAATTTCAGCATGTTCTGTACTCATTTATAAGACCAGAATGAATCGATGAAGTCGAAACATTACATGGTGTTCAGTTCGAGACAAGTTGTCATTAAAATCGTTCTAGATCTATTTCTTACTAAGGAAATTTTCAAGATGATGCCTAGATTTACACTGTGAACTTTACCACCCCCAGAAATAATTTCTACACAATGAATATTTGATAAATTGTAACCTTGTAAAGGAAAACATGCCAATGAAAGTGAAGTCAATGCAGACATCCTGATATTTAATAAACGAACTTCAAGACTTTACAATGAGCTGATATTTGCAAATCAGCCAAGAAATTGTTTAGTGGTGTGTGAAAAAAAATACTAAAGAGTAGGAATTTCAATGAAGAAATGACAAAGTAACAATGTAATGATTCACACTGCATGGAAATTGTTTCTCTAGATGATAAAATACATAGAAGTGATAAGTGATTCAGTATTTAAATGCTTGATATATTATGAATCTTTTATTTGCATAAGGAAGGAGTTGTTAGGCGATAATGAATTTCCATTGTTGGCTTACACAGATTTAACTGGTGACAGGATTTCATCATGAGCTAACATCAGTCAGAGAACCATTGGAAAACTACCTGGGAGTACTGGACAGCAAGCCATTTCGTTTTAGTTTGGGACTCTTCATCAGTCTGTACCAACCACCAGTGGTTCGAGCCCAGGACCTCCCGGTTATAAGGAGAGCTCGTAGATCGTTTCGCCAGTGGGTTCTAATGGGAATCCGTGACCTGTGGGGTACAGCAGGTTAAGTATGAGGACAAATACTCTCCAGCAATGACATTGGATAGTCGTTGCGCTATATCGTAAAATTGGCTGGCGGAAGTTGGAATTTACAGGCTGGTTATTGGATAGGGCCGCAGTGTGATTGGTCTACTAGCTAGCTAGCCTTGTAACTGGAAGGTCCTGGGTTCGGACTCCCTGTGGTGGATGCGTACTCATGAATAGTCTCAAACTAGGACGAAACGGCTGTCCAGTACACTCGGATAATGAATTGTCAGGAAAAGTTTTATTTTACAAAAGATTTCTGGTGATGTTTTCGATTTATGTTTGTTTAACATTGAGGTTAGCATCAGTTTACGTCAAAGTGATAAATGGTTGAATTTCTTGTTATAATCATTCTAGAACCATCAATTCCAAATAGGTAAAAAATAAAATTACCACAGCCAATATAATTTTTTAGAAATATATGTATTCTGTGCAATTCATCTTCTTATGCTTGCAGATTTTTTTATGTTGAATACGTTTAAAATGTATATAACCATTATATGATTCTAATATGAAGAAAAAGAAATTTTCTTGGATCTTTTAGCCTGAACTTCTTCAAAATGGAGGTACTACAGATGAAACTATTCAAAATATGACTGAGGATGCCAGAAAGGTACGTTCGTGGAGTAATTAACCTGTGTCCTTTTTCTCTCGATGTAGTTAGTATAAGTGCTATTTGAATAGAAAATAACTAGTTAGTTTATTAACATTTGCAATGATAATATAAAACACGCTGTCTTTTTTGTTGCCTGAACATCGATTTGACTGATCCTACATTTCCTTCAGAATGATATATTCACATAAATTGTTGCTTGTGTTTCTGTGATGTGTGATTGACCTATGGTTAGTCTAATTATAAACTGACTTTTCCAAGGTATATTTATAACAACGTTTGAAAACTGTACAATAATTTCTAACTCTCCGTGTTACTGATCTAATCTCCTTTTTTTTGAGTGACACTCGTGAGCTCTAGATAGTCTGAGTTTCTTAATCTGAAATTTTTACAAAAGCATAACTATATCTCAAAGTGTAATCATTACTAAAAGCCTTGACCAACGAAATTCACTTGGTTGGGGTCGCGCTAAATCACGAATCGGTAGAAGTTAGAATTCATGAGCCATTGAATTGGGTCCCAGTGGCTGAATGGTATACCAGCTAGCTTGCCTTGTAACCGGAAGGTCCTGGGTTCGAACCTCAGTGGGCGCGTACTGCCGATGATTCCCAAACCGGGATGAAACAGCTATCCAGTACTCCCTGCTAGTTTTCAATGGTTCTCAAACTTATATCAATCCGTGGTCAAACTCGTAAAAACAAAACTAACCCTTACAAACCAAACTATAGAAAATAGACTTATAATCCGCTTTCTTAAGGAAGTCAAAGTCATTTAAATATTTCAAAGATATTGAATCGAGCAAAGAATTATTTAGTATTCATCAGATCTGATTCGATTGTTCTGTAACAATATACATCTGTTTTCAAAATGGTGCGTCATTAACTAGTCTAGTGGAGAAAAGTTAACTAACAATAATTTATCAATATCAGTGTATCAGAGAAAACTATTAGCCGAAAAATTCTCTTGTAAAAATTCTGAATGTGCTTTCCGCATGCTGGTTCTGTCAAATTGTTATGATGTCAAGGAGTAGTGAGTACGAATGATAATTTACGATATGAACGCTTGATAATTTTTCCTGGTCGACTATTCCCTGACCCAGACTAATAAAATCTAGAAGACTCATACAGTAGGGTTGGAGACATGCATTTCCAGAACAAGTGAGAGAAATAGTGACCAGGATTGCAAAATAAGCGGCATATATATTGATCTAGCCACTAAGCTCGAATTGTAGGCTTTGACTGTATGCTGGATTCTGATTAGTTGACGCTTATCATGTAACCACATGTGATTTGTTTTTATCTGACTAATAGACCAATGAGGTAAATTGTAGGTACATATCACAATATTAACATGAATTTTACACAATAATGTGCAAAAGTACTTCTTTAAGGGATAGAGATTGCATAAACTTGCTTGAAAGTAAATTGTTAGAAGTCTACATTATGAAGTTAGTGTTTGTGGTGGTTGAAAACTAACTTTATTGATAAATGTGGATTTAACCTCATCCTTGAACATCTGACTGACTGACTGGTTTCAACATAGAACTTTGCACAGATATGCAGCAGTTCGAGTTTCCACACTCCTACCTTAGAGTACACAAAGCGGGCGAAGACAGTAAGTAAAGGTAGATTCAGAAGAGAGACAATAAACAGAAGTGTGAGGGAAAAACAATAGTAATATGGAAGAATACTAGAGTTTCATTGGATCTGACTGGCAAATCACAAAGAGTGAATGCATCTGCGTCAACCAATGACAATGACGATTTTGAGCCATATCACCAATTGTCTTCAGCCGTCATTGGTTTTTACCATATCAAGGACACCAACCACGAAGCCAGTTTACACTTCCCTACGTGGCTGGCTGGCATAAACTAACTGTTGTGGGTTTTGTTGACTGATGAAGCAATGTTTTGCTTTGACCACCATTAGCTCTTCTGCAATCTAATTCATCCTATGTCAGTCAGCTGACACTGACTGTTGAAGAAACCGATGAATGTCTAGGCATGTGTAACACATGTTCTCACCATCTCTCGCAATCTATGTAACTTCACAACCTCGTCGATTGGTCTTCCTTCCTTACCTAGCACTCAACGCCTAACCTTAATATTACTCACCTTATTATGCCACCTAACAGGAGAGATAGAACGCAGACAACTATGATCATAGATATCTAGGCTGCCTTTTCATGTCTCCCACTTTCAATGGCCAAATCTCACAGCCATAAAGGAGAACGGAGAGAACTGCTGAGCAGTATACACTTTCATTTCATTACTTTCCATTCAGTTACTCGCATCTCATTCATAGCTGACTATTCTTCCTATCTGTACCACTTCGAAGTAATGTCGGTGATTCAGTGGTAGAGTACTAACCAGCTATGCAAGAAGTCCAGGTTCCATCCCCAACCGGTGGGCTCCCAACAACATCACCACTACTGAAATAGCAATGCTTGAAACCTTATTTACTGCTTTGTGTCACGCTGCTTGATATTCATATTGTACAAAGCTCATGTTGTATACAATACCAAAAGTAGATTAAATCTCATTATTACCTATATAGATACTCCCAACAAATAAACTAATTCACGTTAAGCAGAGATACTTTCTATAAAACTTATGGTTGTTTATTACAAATGCTATATGAATCTACGTAATCATACTAAATGTCTATACGATGAAATATTTCTAGGCAACTTGTCTCTTTCGACGTGCAATAAGTCTATGTATGTATGTTGATTCAGTATCACCTGCTGTCTTAGCCAGAGCCCTTGCAGTAGAGTATACTGTCGCTCGTGGAATTTTTAACCGTTTAGTTAAAGAGCAAGTTGTTAAACGTCCAGGACCAAAAAGGTGAGTGAATTCTTGAGTGTTTAGTTTAAATTTAAAAATTAACTTTTTTAAACAATAGTAATTAAAACACTATCCTGAGTGCATAATGTTGGTGTACAATTTCGAATAATGTTTGACGAATAACAATAAGATGAATATCTGTGATAGTAAATGAATTTAAGTTGAGTGCGAAGCAAATTTTCGTTTTTTATATTTTGTCATTTCTAATGGTTATCCCTTTACCTCTTAAAAAGGAAATCAATACATATGTTGTATCCCTTTCATCTTAAGAAATTTAATAACCTTTAACAATTAATGAATAGGAAAATGTAATATCTAATAAATAAAATAAATCACAGATTCAATTATCTAAATGAAGTTCACAAGCTCAACAACTAAAAGACAGATTCAACGAAGAAAATTTTCTTTATCGACGAAATCATCTTCACAGGCGGCTGTGCAGTCGTATTTATACTTACAAAAATATATAGTGGTCTATTAGTGAGTAATAGGGGGTGACATAATTAATATAATTACTCAGAAGTGGCTTTAGAAGTGAAAATTAAAAGTTGTAAATTACGTGATACTCAACGGAACAAAGATAGAAATTTGATAAGGTTAAAACTGCTATTGAGTGAGAATAAAGGTATTTGAGTGTCAATTTAACAAGTGTGAAGAGGGCGTGAAAATATACAAAAGGAGCATATGAGAGTGATAATAGTGAATCAGTTATTAAAGCAAAAGCAAACTAAAAGTAAGATTAAAAATTACAAAAATAGAAAGAAAAAAATCAAAATGTTTTTACAGGGAACGATTAGTGAGAAGGTTAAGACCAAGATAGAATGAGCCCATCTTTTTTCTCAGTAAGTGAGACTGGTTGATTGATCAAGAGCGCCTATGAGGAGGATACAAGCTTTCTAAAAATGTATAACGTATGAAGCCCTTAATAAAATATCAGATAAAAATTTTCTTGGCCTTAAGTTTTATGTTACACTGCAATAATAAAATAAAGGAGAAAACGAATAAAGATGTTTTTCAATGAATAACTCATTCTTTGCAATAAATAGTGTTCTCTAAACTAGTTGGTTTAGTTGTGGAGCTTTCGCCATCCTTCTGGACAACATCTTCAACGCAATTTTTAGCATAAAGTGAAATGATTAAAATTTTTCATGAGTGATAGAATTGTGTCTCCCGGTAACCATCTTTACATATGTATTGATCATTTTTTTATTGACTTAGACTCATTCTCACGCTGTATAAGTAACTGTACGTATTAACTTTTTGCGTCGGTGGCACAGCGGTAGAATGCTCGCCTACCACGCCTCATGTGGTTTGGGGTTCAATCTCCAGCTGACACACTCCTTTATCTCACTAAGCAAGTAATAAGAATAGTAAAGAGGCAAGGTTGGGCATGAGACTAGCAACCATATCCCGTAAAAATAAACACCACTGCTACCGAAACTTCCAATCTCCAGCTTAAAGCTTAATGTTCCATTGGGAACTTAAAGGAATAAAATAATAAATATACCTATTAACTTGGCAAGAGAAAAAAACAATTTCAAATATATCTCAACAAAACTCATGTTTCACAGCGAAAGCTTCTCAAGACATTTGAAAGAAGTTTCAAAGTAATAATCACATTATAATCTGTCAAAATCAAAGCTATAAGTATAAAACTTGGGCACTTTGGTAGAGTATAACTCCATTATCGATAAGGTATGATATCAAGTAACTTGATATGATTATGAGCAATAGTTTGTGCTCGAAACGTCATCAGTTAATATAACAACAGTTAATATACAACACTGTGTGATTTATCAAAATAAAATCTTATCCATAATGGAGAAAATCAAAGCTATATTTAAAAAGTATATTTAAAACAGTTGACTGCATTTCACTAATGGAAAATTAGAACTAATGTATGAGGTGATGTAGAGGTAAGAAAATGTCAAATAATATTGTACTACTTTTGAAATCGATTTATGAGAAGCAATTTCCTTGAATTACTACTACTGTAACGGCAGAAGACAAGTGCCGGGCAACAGATCGTTCATTAAGGGAATCAATAGATATTTATTTTTTATGTACATTATTATTCATTATTACTAGCAGAGAAACAGCGTCTTCCGATTGGTTGTTTCTCGCTGAAAGTTAATCTATCATCGTTTTGTGGTCAATCTTTCAAAGTCAGACCAGATATCTGCAAATCGTATCTGCCTACATATTACTGTGGATAAGATTAGAAAGTGAATAAATATGTAAACCAGTGTGACTCATTGTTCTATGACTGAAATAGATGTGTGATTGTATGAATGTTTAGAATTCATCACAGTGGTATATAGCCCTAATTTCCTACATGTCATCTTTACATGTCTGTTTGCATAGCTCTCACCCCACTTATTGATTTACGATCTAATTTTCTCACCCTACTTGTGACCTTTGAAATCTTATTGGCTTAGATAAAGCAATAAGAAGACGTAATTTGTCTGAATCGTGTGATGTATTTGCGCAACACATTTAGAACAATCTGATCACACACGGACTTGTCATAGGAATATATATGAAATTAATAAAGAGGTAAGAGGTGAGAAAACAGACTTATGTCAAGTTAAAAGGACATACTCAAGGTCAAAATAACAGTAAAGACCACTAAACCAAATAGCAGGGGTTATAGTACATCTGTTATGGTAGCAAAACAAAATTCACCAAGGCAGGTTTAATGTGATGACGAATTGTTGCTTTGAAGAGAGAAAGAACGAACATATTTGCAGGATAATACGAGCTCGTTTTATTTCGTGGATTCTCATCAACTGCATACATCCTAAACAAAATCAAATTATAGGTTTCAAGAAAGTTGTGGAACATACTTTTTCATAAATACTTTGAGTTATAGATAGAAGGCATAAGGAACATTAATCTTTCACTACCTTGGTAACCCTAACTCTATTTTATTTTTGTTTTGCCTTTCTGTCAGTATGCCTGTGTGTTTGTCTTGTTACGTAACATTCTATTCAATTTTGACCTTTAAGTTTCTAAATCTACTTAATTGTTTGTGTGTTTAAGTTATAAATGTTACTTCACTATTCACCCCCACCCTCTTAAACTCTCCACCACAAGATGTGTAAATTTACTTTGTTCTCTGACCCTGACCCTGTAATATGCCTCTAACCAATCTGTGTTGTTTTCCAATAGAAATCTGAACTCTTACCCCTCTTATCCAATTCCACTATATATAATTAGTTGTTTTTTGACACCGAATAATCTGTCTACCTACATCAATTTCTGGAATTATGTTCCTTATGCCTTCTATCTATAACTCAAAGTATTTATGAAAAAGTATGTTCCACAACTTTCTTGAAACCTATAATTTGATTTTGTTTAGGATGTATGCAGTTGATGAGAATCCACGAAATAAAACGAGCTCGTATTATCCTGCAAATATGTTCGTTCTTTCTCTCTTCAAACTAATAAAGGGAACCGGTTGCATGGAATTGTTGCTTTGATCGCAAAAAGGTGGCTTAAACTTTCTAATTGCTAGGGCTTCCACAAACTTTAGGATACTTCCTGTCCTAGATACGTTTTATAGGTAGGTTTAAAAGATCTGTTAACGTCAATTTTATGTCCTGCCTCTATAATATGTTTCGCAATAGAGGAGCTAGGTTTCCTGTTCTCAAAATTAATGGGTTCTGAAGATTCTATTTGTTTCTGGAGCCATTTAGGAATATGCTGTGAAGCCAGCCCTCACTTGCATAGATCGATGAGTCCTCCCTTCTATGTATGTGTTCACACGTACATTCAAATTGGTAAATACAGTTGGATGTGACATCATTTTTCGCATGTTCAAAGGGCTTAGCTAGATATATTGGCTTCACATTCTCAATTATTATGATATTAGCTGCATAAAAAGTCTTTTTAACAGCAGCGTTCAGTCTTTGTCTAGTTATCAAGCTGCTGTGATGCCCCATATAGGGTAGCTTGACGTACAAGTCTTTCTTAGGGGCGAGTTGGAGAGTGGGTCTTGGTGTTCTGACTACTTTATATCTCCTGATGAACTTGTCTGGACAATTGTTATCAACCAGAGTTTGTGTCAACTTTCTTCATCAAGAGTGTCTTCAGTGCATATTCGTTGGATTCTACTGAAGAGGCATCTTACTAAGGCTCTTTTGTACCGAACAGGGCAGAAACTGTGTGAATTAAGATACTGTCCTGTCCAGGTAGGTTTTGTATAAATAGACCTTTTTATTGACCCATCAAGCCGTCGACTAAGCAATATGTCTTCCTCTTCTACAGATGTAAATGATATGCTATTCTGAACTTCATTCATTCGATTTAAAATTGAGGTGGCAGAACAAGACTTATCACTGATGATTACAATATCATCTACATACCTTCTATAAAGTGGCACATTTTCGATTGAATCCTCCGATAAATTCTCAATCTACGATATATATATATATCTGCTAAAAAGAGCCATAACGGACTTCCTATAGCAACACCATCAACTTGGCGGAAACAATCGCTTTCAAATGTAAAGCTAACATTGTTAGTACATAGAAGTAATAAATCCCTTAAATAAGATATAGGGAAAGGGATGAAAAAATTGTTTGTGGAAATATAATCACACAAAATGTCAACTGTTTTGAGCAAAGGCACATTAGTGAATAACGAGTTTACATCAAAAGAGTACATATTCTTATTCACATTATTAATATCGTCAAGGAAATCAACCAATTCAAATGTATCTTTTAACAACTACTTACAGAATTGTGTTTTGACTGGATCCAATAATTCTACTAACCATTTAGCAAGTTTACGTGTTGGGGATTTGCACATTGACAATATAGGACGTAGATGATTATTGGGTTTATGTATGTATTTTTGGCAAGCCATACATATGCGGGAATTTACATTCTGATGGCTTTAGAGAGTCAAATTTATTTTACTGATAGCATTTAGGCCATGAAGCTTCAGTAGATTAGCTGTCACTGTGCCCTGCAACAACTGAGTATCCTCTGAGGAGGGATCACGGCTAAATTTGCTTTTATCATCAAGAATAGACATCATTTTAGATTTGTAGTCACTTTTATTCATAATGACGACTCCAGATATTGTTGAGGTGCGAGTGGGACAGAATAGCCAGCGCATTAAAGTTAGTATACGCTCTACTAGGATGCAATTCCGGTCATAACACACAGATATCGATAGAATTGAAGAACAGATTTTCAGAGGTTGAATATTTATTAATTAGTAGACTAAGTTCACTAGAAAAAATTGCAAAGTTCAACAATAGCGTCCCTCGGGGTGCGAACGCTCCACTGACCTTGAATGCATGCTAGTCGTTCGCCAACGACACCTGTCATTATCATAACTGAAGTATCAACGCTATTCACCAACTAGGCAGCAAATTTCACCCAGATCACGTTTTTAAGTAGTGTTAATAGCTCGTTAGGGTTAGGATTAGGACCAGGGTCATAATTAGGACTAGGGTTAGGCTTACAGTTAGGATAAGGGTTGTAATTAGGGTTAGGATTAAGGTTGGGGTTGCGATTACAGATAGATTTAGAGTAGATATCATTTATTTTAATTTGTTTTATTATCCACATTTCCCTGGTAAGTAGTTGTCGATCCTCTTACTGGAAACCATAGTAATTTAAACGAAGGCTTTTGGGGAAGACTACACAGCAGGATAAGAGAGAGAAGCAATTTACAAAAACAGTTCATCTTCAGTCATCTCGGTGAATAGATGTACAGAAACTAGTCTAACTTAGCAACTGATACTCCTCTTTATAACTGGTATGTATTTCTATGTTATGTCAGAGCAAGATACCCTGTTTAATGTGTTTTCATGCATTTTCCTGTAAATATACGTTATTTTTCATTCAAAAATTCTTCTTTATTATGATTGGTCGGCTCAAGGACACTCGTGTGTTCCAATCCCTTGGGATGCTATTGTTGATCTCTGCCCACAAAATATGATGTGTAGACTTTCGTATTCATAGACTGGACTTTAAACTGTACGTAGATCATCATATTTATTTCATTTTAGGGGGGAAAAACTGGTTGAAAAAGAATTTCTGAAGAATACTGTATATCCATGTGTCTTTGGACGTGGCAGTCAGAATGAGAAAAAGGAAACTATGGTAAGACAGAAAAACAAACAAACGGATAAGTGGACGTTTCATTATTATAATCAAGAAATAAGAAACTCTAGAATTTTTTTTATTATATATGTGTTAACTAACGAATGTCAGTCACTAATTTCTTTTAAACTATATAAACAATCTTCCCGTAGGATGATTGATTCATTATTGTTATTATTATTACTATTATTATTGTATCCTTTAATTCCTACAGGAACATAGGGCTTCAACTGCACGTCTCCATTTGTTTCTGTCTTCTGCTGTACTTTTCACTTGAATCCATGTTAATCCATACTGTTTCAGCACCTCCTCATACGATCTACTCCATGTCACCCTTCGACGTCCGCACTTCCCTTTCGAGTTCCACTCGAGCACTGGACTGACGCGCGATGTCACCCAGCGGCCTCCTCAGCGAGTGTCCAATTCATCTCCACTTTCTCCTGCATATTTGTTGGGCGACTGGTTCTTGTTTTGTTTGTTCCCATAGTTTCTTGTTAGTGATTCTTTCCGGCCATCTGATTGATCTTCAGTATAGAGCGAAGACAGTTGTTGATAAAGGTCTGCAACAGGCTGTTGGAAATATTCTTTGTGACCCGCCAAGTTTCTGATCCGTATAGAAGAACTGACTGACTTGACGTTTGTATTGAAAATCCGAATTTTGTTGTTGATGTAGGCTGAGTGACGAAGATTTCCAGATTGGTTTCAGGTTGATGAATGTGTTTCTCGCCTTCCCGATTCTCGATTTGACATCCTCGTCCGTTCCTCCTGTAGTTGAGATAATGCTCCCTAGTTAAGTGAATGAAGTAACCTCTTTCAAATCCCTCCCGTTGATTGGCACTGGAAGTTGCTGCTGCTGTTGTTGTTGCTGGTTGGTTATTTTCATAGCCTCCGTCTTGTCTATGTTCACCTGGAGTCCTGTCTTTGCTGCTTCTTCGACCAGTTTGTCGGTTTTCGCTTGTGATACTTCGACTTTGTCTGACATCAAACATAAATCATCCACGCGCGAAATCCAGGTCTTCTAGGTTCTTCACGTTGGTCGGTCCAGGATATCCCTGTCTTCTCGTTTCCCACTGTCTGACGCATAATCCAGTCCACCACAATTAGGAATATCATTGGTGATAATAAGCACCCTTGTCTGACTCCTGTGTTTACTCCAAACGCCTCGCTGAGTTTTCCGTTGTGGATCACTTGACATGTGCCGTTGTCGTACAGCTGTTGAATAAGGTTGATGAATATTTGGGGTACGCCGTAGTACTTGAGTAGTTTCCAAATTACTTCGCGGTCAACGCTGTCGAAGGCCTTCTCAAAGTCTATAAAGTTGAGGTAGAGGTTTGATTGCCATTCCATGCTTTGTTCGATGATGATACGTAGAGTTGGAATTTGGTCAGAACATGATTTGCCTTTCCTGAATCCAGCTTGTTCTAGTCGGAGTTCTGTATCCAGTAGTAGTTCTGTATTACTACTACTACTGATTTATTTGATTTCTTTTCAAAAGTGTAAATATGTAATAATTTTACAAATCTAAACTTAAATTAGGTTAATAATAATAATTTTATGTTTCACCTGAATTTTCAACTACTCAAAAACCGACTACTATTCATTGTACACCTGGAATAAGTGTTATTTAATGTGAATAGATCATCTTTTTATGTGTTATAGATTTCTGGTCGTGCTGCTTCAAATGCACTTTCCTTTGTTTTCTTCGATGAATGAAAACTCTTTTGCATTGGTATACTTCCAGCTGAAGACAGATATGAAATCAGACAGACGAAATAGTGTTTTCACAATTCAAATAACTTTTTCTAACCTTCCCTAAATTATGCATTCATGGAATGCAAAAATGTTGGGATTGCTTCATAAAGCTAGTGTTTCATCACAGAAACCCTTGAAAAGAAAACACATCATAATTGTCTACTCAAAATTTATTCACAAAAATAAAGTGCTCTTTTTCCTTCATGGGGTACTTTAAAAGAAAATAATAGTACAACTATGCACTAATTCATCCAAGCACTACTCCGAAATCTCACTATTTTTACTGTACGCTTAAATCTGAAAAGTTTGAAACTTTACTATTACTACACACATTTTGATACTTGAACAAAAAATGTTTCCTCTTACAGAAAACAATAATCCTTTTTTGAGTGTTGTAACCACCTGATTATAGACAATGTTTTATGTTCTTGTATTAAATCTTATCAATGGACTACTTGCGTGTTTAGAGTATCAGAGGCCTAAATGCTAACAGTATACAACGCCATATATGTATAGCATAGTCGAGTCTTGAACTTGAAATCTAGATTACACATTTAACTACTATACTATCGTAAAATTTCTTATTTCGTCTCAACTAAAAACAGTTACAAACAGTGAAATTTATGCGGACGAAAGTAATAAACAAGTATATATTATAACTATATTATCTGTTGACTTCAGCTTCATCGTAGAGTTTCTTTTTTTGTCTTCTTCTAAATATTGTTAAATTAAATACTGTCTAGGCATAAATAGATGACATTTCACCCTAGACACAATCTGAATGGTATGAAGGAATCGATGATAAAGATTGAAACACAGCTATATCCATTAAAGGTAACAAATGTACAACTTTCTCTTGAATCGGATACAGAATTTCATCATGAGCAGACATCAGATAGAGAACCATTGGAAAACCTGCAGGGAGTACTAGACAGCCGGCTGTTTTGTCCTACCTAGTCCAAGACCCTTCCGTAGTACGCTTGTAGACCATTAAGTCAGTGGGTTCTAGTGGGGAGATGTGACCAGTGGGGTACAGCAGGTCACATGTGAGGACAAATACTCGCCAGCCGTGACACCGGCTAGTGGTCGCAGTATATCTTGAATTGGCTGTCATAAGTTGGAATTCGTTCATGGACTCGCCATCGGATCGAGTCCCGGTGGTTGAATGGTCTACGAGCTCGGTAGCCTTGTAACCGGGAGGTCCTAGGTTCAAACCCCTTGTGGTTGAATGCATACTGATGAAGAGTCCCAAACTACTCGCAGATTTCCTAAAGGTTCTCTAACCAATATCAGCTCATGATGAAATCCTGTAACCAATCAATCAAATCCCTGCGAAATAACACTTGAATATGTCATTATGTTACATTCTAGATCAGCTAGTGGCTGGATCACGTTAATTTATTCAAAAAAAACAATGAAAATATTTTTTCCGTTAAATTTTTACACCTTCTTTATGCTAATTTAATGTTGACTGTGTAACTTTTCTCCGTAAACTTGAATATTATTCATTTTTATGCTAAATTTAGTGCCTCGGTAGCTCAATAGTAGAATGCATGTAGTCCAAGTTTAATTATTCCTGGCCGACGAACTCCGAAACCTAATGTAGTCGATAGTAAACTCAGTAAGCAGAAAAGATTTGTCTTGGGATAAGCAAACCTCACTCGGCTGAAACAAATCTCAAGTTTGAGGCCCAAATGTTCCACTCGGAAAGCAAAAGAAAAAGAAAATTTCCGTATCTTATAGAAACTAAAATAACTTTTGTAAACATACACATTTTCACAGCTTCGTTCCTATCAAGTATAAAAGAAATTTAGTGAAGACCCTCAGCCATAGAGTTAGAGCTATATGCTCAGAAGAAGTAATTGAAGATGACTTAAGCATTGTATATGTTACTTCGATCGAAAATAGCTATCCCGAAAAATTTATCAAGAAACACATGACCAAGAAAGCGGCGGAAAAGGACTACTCACTCTCTGGAAACAAGAAGCCACTTTATATACGACTACAATTCAAGGACGATATACTAAATGAGATAATTACGAGGAAATTATGAAAATCAGTTCAAAGAACTTTTAATGCTGGCGAACTACACGCCTTATTCTCTACACGACCGATGGTGCTACCTCGACTGAAAGATGAAGTACCTAGACTAGCCACTTCAAATTGTATCTACCGATTCAACTGCGCTTGTGGGGCGAGTTATATTAGCCGTTGTTCTAGGAACTTGATTTTCCGTGCTCGAGAACATCTCCCACTATGGCTAAGTAAAGGTGTAGTGAAAACCATTAACAGTTGGATATTGGACCATCTGGTTCAAACCGGCCAAAAAGCCAGCGTGGAAGAATCCTTCTGTATCACCTACCGGGTGCCAAATAAATTGCCAAATACATCGAAGTACCGCATGCTTCAAACAGTAGAGGCTATTGCAATTCGCCTCAAACAACCAATGCTCTGTGTTCAAAAGAAGCATGTCCAGCTAGCCCCTACTACTACCCTGGCCATCAGTAGAGATTATAAATTTATGAATTTGTATTATTATCTTTCCAAATTTTTCTGATATTCATTTTATTGTTATGTTGATGCTATTGAGCTGTAATCTATCAATATTATTATTGATTCTATGTTAATTAAACAACATTAATGTTGTTCATAACACTAATTCATTCATTCACTATAATGTGCATATATAACTGTAGAGCCTGATGATGAAGTTACCGAAAAGAGTACTCTGTGTTCAGTATCCATCCTTTTGTAAAATTATAGAAATATTTATCTGTACTTTGTTTTTATCAGTTTTTGTTTTATTTTTAATTTTTAGAAACGTACACACGAAAGCATGATACAGTCAACGATTGAAAAGGAAAATGACGATGATGATGATGATGAGGTAAGTTTTAAAAATAGTTAAGCCATAGTTCTACAAGACGCCTAAGCAACTTCTCAACAGTTTTCCTAACTTACCAAACAATCATGTGTTTTCCATTTGAATAGTAAATGATATTGTTGACAAAGAAGTAACATACATTAGGAAGCAAACTCGACATATGTAGTATTGTAACAATAGAAGACAAGGGCCAGGAAAAGATCGTTTATTAAGGAAAATCAACACATATTTATAGATTTTAATGTACATTATTGTAGATTATCGTTAGTAGAAAATACAGTCTTTTGATTGGTTGCTTCTCACAGAAAGTTAACCTTGCATCTCTTTGTGGCTGTGTCAGATCATCCATATGCTAATTGTATCCGCCTACGCAAAGCCTTTGTTCTCATTTTCTCACCACCGATATTGGGGACATAAAAATTGACGTCAATTACTGTCTACCAACTTTGGCTAGCAGCCAGCTCTCACCACAGTATTATTACCATAAGACATTTTATGAATGCTGTAGTTTTACCCCATAAGATTTCTTTTGTTACTCTTTAAATATTTTTTTGGGGTGAGTGGGGGTCGGGGAAGTGTTGAATTAGAGGAATTAAAAGTACACATCCTATTAATTTATTCTAGGAAAAGATTTGAAATTACCTTGGAACAATCATGACAATAAAAATGATTTAGAAAAACAAGAAAATTGAGCAAAGAATATCTTTTTCGATGATTTCCTCTTCTGGCTCTACAATTATATATAAATATATTTATATACATAGAATATTCTAGAACAGTCGTTATTAACAACATTGATGCTCTTAAATATTATTTATTTCTTAAGTAAGCTGAATGAAATTACAGTTCAAGAAAGATGCATAAATTATAATAAGCATAAAAATGTAGTAGCAAATACAATATCAAATAAAGTTAAGGAAATTTCCACAACAAATTGGGGATCACTAAAAGCTTTGATGGCCAGGGTGGGGGTAAGGACAGTGTCTGAACCAACTTCTTTTGGATACATACATAAGTTAGGTTTCTTAATAGGTATCCCAACAGCCAGCCTCAGCAATCTGTAGCAGACGAACTCTTAAGGTAAAGCTAAGAATAGTTGGTTGGTGTGCGGTAGATGACTTGGAAAGCCGCCTCGTTAACATCAATCTTGTGTTCTGTATTTAGAATAAGTGTCATTAACAATATTGGTGTTCTTAAATACTATCGAACTTATTTAACAAATCGATAGTATTGAAAATGAACACCAATATTGTTAATGACGATTATTCTAGAATATTCAATGTATATAAACATATATGTATAACTACAGAGTCAGAAGAGGAAATTATCGAAGAGAATATTCTTTGCTCAATTTTTTTATATTCTCTAAATGTCTCGATGAATATTTTCGCCATATTAAAAATAATTTAATAAACCTATTCAGCATAAAGGATAAGATTCGGATTTTCAACACTAATGTGAAGCCAGTCAGTGCTTCTATACCGGTCAGAAACTTGGCCACCATGCCTCGAAAAGGATTTCTAACAGGCTACTGAAGACTTCTATCAACAGCTGCATACTAAAGATCAAATGGCCTGCCAGAAAGAATAAGTAGCAAGAAACTCTGGCAACAAATTAACCAAGAGTCGATTGCTCGACAAATATGGCGCAGAGAATGGAGATGGATGGATTGGACCTACGTTGAGAAGGCCGTCGAATGACATAGTGCACCAACCAGGTCATCGCTCGAGTAGAACCCCAATGGGAAGAGACGAATGGGTTGTCGATGCGAGGCTGACATGGAGATCGTGTGTCGAGGAGGAGATGAGAGATTATGGGCAATTGTGGACCCAGACGAAGAGGAGGGCAGAAAATAGAACAAAGTGGAGACGTGTTGTTGAAGCTTTATGTTCCACTCGGAACCCAAGGGAATAATAACATAATATACAGATTAGATGGGATAAATAATAATAATAAAAGACTAAAAAAACACATAATACTATTCGAAAGAATTCGTGGGTATGTGTTTTTATAGAAACCAGTTGAAGAAGCCCCACGAGATAATTATTGTTACACTGAATGTTTAGCAATAGGAAAGAAGAATCATCTTGTTAGTCTTTTAATCTATATACACTTTATTATCTACCTGTACAAAATAGCATTAGATTTTTTTATATTACTTCAGTAGTCATTAAGTTTAATTTTTCTATTTTTGTATACCCTTGTTGCCTTGAGAAAAAGTAAAAACCAATCCATATGAATTATTGCATATAATAATAATAATAATAATAATGTGCGTTTCTTTTTTTATTTACAGTTAATGAATAATTGTACTCAAGACTCTTTGTTCTCACCAGCAGTTGATAAGAAAAGACGAAAAATAGATTTGGCTAACACACCAATTAACATATTTCGTCCATAAAAACACCACCACTTGTGTTCTTGTTGTTGTGTTTTGTTGTTTAACTAGAAACTAATGTTGTTAACAACATTTTGCTTATTCAGTTGACAATTGTGAAATTTATAAATTCTTTTTTTAATAATAAATAAAACAATTATGATAATACAAAAAATGATTCATTAATCCAACTTATAGTGTTATTATTATTATCATTATTACAGTAAAGTTGAGACAGTTTTAGCACCTTAAACCCAATAGAACCTTTTTTTAAATACCATGTTACTACCAGTGTGAAAAGTGCGTGGGTGGTTGAGTGGTAGGACACTGACCAACCAAACAAGTGGTCCGGAGTTCGATTCCTGGTTGACGCACTCCTTTACCTTACTTACTTTTTTTACTTTACTTCGGCTATCTCCTACGGGAGGATGAGCCGGCTTCATGAACATCTCGAATCATCGCTGCCCAGGAGCGGCGATCTGATGAGAGAATTCATGAAGTTTCATGGGAATTCGGTACGAGTGATGTCCCTAGAATCGCTCGGCCTTTTGTTTGAGAGTGCAGCTCTAGCCTTTACACAACCAAGTGTGACCTACAAGGCAGTAGGAGTGGTGTAGGGAGTCCACTATCCATTGGCAGCCAGTGACCGGAGTTCGGTTCATACGCCTTTTTGAATGGGGCCAGACATCCAGAACATCCAACAAGCCCTTTGTCCATACGTCTCCCGGTGAGCTCCAGTGAGCTTCATACGCCAGTCGTTGGAGGTTTGGAATCAGGGTTTAGCCATCTCCCCTAGACTGTCATCCAATGGACAGTCAACCCGGTGAAGAGCGCCGGGCACCCGCTTTCGCACTCTCACTTTGGTGAAAAACACGTCCGCCACGTGAAGGCAGTGAGTAGGCTATGTAAGACGCCCGGTCATATGAGAGCATTTCACGAGGGGGGTGGCCAACCCGCAGCACAAGGCACCCACCCCCGACCATCCTGAGGCTTTGGAGGCTTAGCTGGGGTAATAAGTCCGGTGAAGACGGAAGGGTGGGTATGAGGCTAACCAAAACATCCCATAAAAAATAACCCCTGCTGTTGGAATTTCAAAGCTCTAGGTTGAAGGCCTGGGTACTCAAAAGAATGAAACTTTTAGAAAAAGTGAGAAATAAAAACAAGTGTGAAGGAATCATATTGTTGAATAAACTTTTCTTTTGTACAACAGTCATATCGATTGACTTTCATGATTTCGATTCAGATATAATGGTGACTGTGACCTATAGCCTTTGATTTCTTGGATAATAAGTCAAACTTTATATATCCTTTGATTTAGAGTTAGATGTATTAGGCCAGAATTTACAACAAGTTGACTGGTGATGTTAATGCGTAGTATTTTTCAACCATATGAACGTTTTTTTTTTACAAATTTTACACATTGTAACATTTTTAAGTCTGTGGAAGTATTTGAATGAATACAGTAAAAGGAGCGATAGCATATAACCATAAGATAAAGTCTGGAAAACGTTAAAAGTAAAAACAGCCGAAAAAAAACACTAGGTCTGTCTCTTCAGTATCTCTCTGAAACACCAACATTGAAATGAACAATTAGTTTCATTCATTTCCGAATTAGGCTATAACGCTTATTCGCACAACACGACAATTTACAATGTGAAAGTGATTAAAAGCCTCAATGGGAACTTTTAAATTTCAAATTCATTTGAGAATACACAGTGAAGCTTATTTATTGTATTTAACTTCGTTTTTAATCGAGAAACGCATAAAATGGGCCCATACAAAAAACTTGGAGAATCTGGACTTCGTCGATAATATATGTCTGATTTCCCACAAACTGGAAGATATGTAAATGAAAAGCGACCAGTTGGCGACAGCAGAAGCATCAAAGATAGGCCTTTAGGTGAAAATAGAGAAAACAAAGGTGATGAAGATTCCTGACCAACAGCAACAACAGACAACAATCGGCATAAATTGGAGAAATCTGAAAGAAGCAACCTCCGTGGAAGCTTGGAAGCATCGTTTCAACTACAGGCGAACGGAGCTGATGAGGATATCAAAGCAAAGATCTGGAAAGCAAAGTAAGCTTTCATTTCTCTCAAGTCTGTGTGGAGATCAGCAGCACTTAACATGTAAAATAAGATCTGGATTTTCAACTCCAATGTGAAGTCAGTGCTACTCACTATACGGGTCAGATACTTGGTGCGTCACGAAGGACACTACGAACAAACTACATACCTTCATCAACAGCTGTCTTACCTCAATACTACTCAAGATCAGATGGCCGGCCAGAAAAGATCAGAAAGAGAGGGATCTCTGGCAATGAAAAAACCAACTGTGCAACAAATATGCAGGAAGAAATAGAGGCGGATTGGTCATACTCTGAGAAAACAAACCACCATCAAGTGACAACACACACTAGGCCATCCCTCGAGTGGAATACGAATGGGAAGCGGCGAGTTGGTCGTCAATGCAATGGTGACATGGAGGAGGAGTTGAAGTGAAAGCATGTGAGCAGAAGTGGAGCCAGGTGAAGCCCTTTGTTCCTCTAGGAACTAAAGCAAGCAATAATAATGATGATAATAATCGTCTTTAACCTACGACTAACTGACGACTGAAATAATACTGATTTTAAATACTATTTTTCCCACAAAATTTACTGTATAGTTTGCAACCTGAACTTCCGAATTCGCTAGACTTATAACCATGCGCATAACACAACTGGTTTCAAACACACACACACACACGAAAACAACAGTACGCTACTTGCGACTACTAGTTGGTTCCTTAAACTTGTATTGCTACAAACATTTTTTTAAAATGAAGACAAGCAGAGCAAATAGATATATATTTTTTAAAGCAGGTTAGAAAAAACGAACTTGTAACATAAAAATAAAAATAATCTTTAATAAATAACAAGATGGTAATAAGTTTACAAACTATACAAGTTAGAAATCTGAGATTGAAACAATAAGTAATAAAGTCACCAACAAAGCACCATATTATCCAAATCTTGACCTACGCATAGTGTTGATGTTAGGTGAATATAAATGCTTCAAGTCACTCCTAAAAGAAGAAAAAGAAACAAAAAGAAAATTTTTCAAATAAATTAATAAAAGCTTTGAGCTCAATTAAAGACAGCTTTGATAAGTAGTAGATAAGAAATAATCTTCTTCTTCAGCAATGTTTCCAAACAGATTTTTTTATACTATAAGATTTTCACACCAGTTTAGTTGTTTTTCGGTGGTTCTTTAATAAAAATTATGAACAATAGAATGAACTGGCAGTTTAAAGAATAGTACACACTGTTGGTTCAATGGTAGAATTAGTCATCAACCACTCCCATGTGATCCGGCATCGACTGCCAACTGACGCTCTCCTAAACTTCATTGAGTTTAATAGCTAGCAGTACGTCTCGAAAAGAGGAAAGGTTGAAAATGAGGCTGGCAAGCCCATCCCCTACACAAGAAGCAACACCGCCGCTACTGAAACTGTGACAACAGAAGACAAGGGCCAGGTAACAGATCGTTCATTTAGGAAATCAACACATATTCATAGTACATTACTATAGATTATTGTAAGTAAACAAACACAGCCTTCTGATTGGTGGTTGTTTCTCACTCAAAGTTAATCTTTCATCTCTTTGTGGCTGTTTCTTGAAGTTCAGATTATCTATCTGCAGATTGTATCCGCCTACGCAAAGTCTGCTGTGATTGGTTGTTGAATCAGTCTTTGTTCTTATTTTTCTTATGACCAATATTGGGGACGTAAACATTGACGTAAATTACTGTCTACCGATTTTTGGCTAGCAGACAGCTCTCTCACCACAAAACTACTTAAAAGCTTGAAGCTGTATGTTCCACTCGGAAAACAAAGTGTTAACTAAGCATAAGTTTTCAATTTACAAAATTAGCATCTATCTTTAGTGAAAGTGTAGAACTTGGGCGTAGTGATAGAATGTTGTAAGTCCACATTAGATAATCTTATTTCAAATGTCACACAGTAATGCAGTATGAATAACTGGACGACATTACAGGCATAAATTTTTGCCACTCATAATCATATCAGTTTAATCACACACACACACCTGCGTAATTTACCATATGTATATATTTTGTATCTCTTCCCCGTGTCGCCTGTTGGTTGCCACTTTCCATATCTCCCATATAGGCGACACTGTGCCATTTTCATTGCATGTGTGCGGTGTTGAATCCATCGATAAAAAAAGATTCAGTGATTAACCTCTCTCTCTCTAAATGCTTTCACCCTGCTCCACTCTGTTTTGAGATTACATGCAAGTGAATGCAATGCAATGCAATGGCTGAGCTTTATTCTTGGTTATTTAACTTAGCAGAGTTAATCATTCTAGTTAATTGACCCGATCTACTAGTTTGACTGACCCGCCGTGTGATTGACCTCACTAACAGTCATTACATGGTATTTGGTAAATTGTATTATTTTTTTCTTAATTGGATCTATTGGAAGGCACCCTAAGCTGACAAAGTTTACCTCTGAGAGATTTGAGTATCCTACGTATAACCTCTGACGTTCCTTCTTTAGACAGCAGTAGTACGGAGACTTTGAATTTTTATATTATTTTTGTCATTTTTATTACTAATCTTATTTCTTCTATGGTTCTTCATATATATATATATATATATATATGAGTGGATATTCACTAGTAATAATTTCTCTATTTGTTTGATTTCATTATTTAAATCTTCAGGCTTACTAGTTAGGCTCCTGATCCTAGTTATTAATTTTTATAAGCGGAACTATGACCTAGTAGACTATGAGCGAATGCTAACTTAAAGCGCTGGCTAATCTGTCCTAATCGCATGTCAACAACAAGAATAACAATAATACTACCGGGCCACAAAAAGACAGAAGAGAAGACTGGACATTGGTAAGAGTCAAAAAAAGATTGACAGCGCTTGTCCACACACACGTTTACGATGACCTTGAGAAGCACTAATGTCGATGATAGGTTAAGACAGTGAACAACCAATAGGATTTCAAAGGTCACACAAGTAGGGTGAGAGAAAATTTGCTCACAAATCAATAAGTTGGAGTGAGGGAAACACAACAGACATGTAAAATTGACATGTAGAAAATTAGGTCTGTATATATATCATTAGTACTGCAACACTGTGTGATATTTGAAATAAACTTATCTATAACACACCATCCATCTTGTGAAGATTGATGATGACAATGACAGGATTTTACAAGCCTTGTTAGTTGTTGTTGTTGGGACCAACAAAAAAGAGGTTAGTGACAGTCGATTCGGTGACTTATATTGAGAGAAATTCATTCTCACTCAACTTGACGTTGAAGTTATGAGTGTACATATGTCGTATTTGTTCTTTAAATTATTTTAAATCACTCAAATAGTTGTTAAAAAACTATTTTCTTTCAAATTTTTACTGAATAAATAAACATTACTTTTCTACTTCAATTAATCAGTATCTATCTTAATGACATTCATCCTACTAGGCTACAAGTGTATACAATTCCATAGTACAGTAAGTAGTCAAAGACTTGCGACTGAAGTTGGTTCGGTTTTCTTGGTTCTTTGGGGTTTGTTCGTTTGTCTTACTGTCTGGAATCTTGGCGCTCCCTGATGTTCACCTGTTTCTCTTTGTTTACCATTGCGATTGGGTCTGTGTAACCCGTCTCAAAGTGACCATATATGGTCCTTCCCATTTTGGAAACTGTTTGCCTGACCCTGTCACACATTCGTCGGTATTTCGCCTCAGACTTTCATATGCTGCTTTCTCCCGACCTCCCAACGGGGTCCCAAGTAACAGTTTCATTGCTGACAGATCTTGAACGCCCCTCGACTGCGCAGAAGCCTCGAAGTCCTGCCCGAAGATCCATATGTCTCCGTCAAAAATTGCAGGGCATAGGCTTCCCATTTGTCGGTAGGCAGCGACACCAAATGTAACAACAGAAGACAAAGACCAGGCAACAGATCGTTTATTTACGAAATCAACAGATATTCATAGTACATTACTATAGATTATTGTAAGTAAACAAACACAGCCTTCTGATTGGTGGTTGTTTCTCACTCAAAGTTAATCTTTCATCTCTTTGTGGCTGTTTCTTGAAGTTCAGATTATCTATCTGCAGATTGTATCCGCCTACGCAAAGTCTGCTGTGATTGGTTGTTGAATCAGTCTTTGTTCTTATTTTTCTTATGACCAATATTGGGGACGTAAACATTGACGTGAATTGCTGTCTACCAATTTGGCTGGCAGCCAGCTCTCACCACAGTAGTAGTTAACATCTGTAAACATTATCTCATAAATGCAATCAGAACCTAGCAGTATAGCGATTGATTACAATCCGACTATCATTTTTTTTAAATGTATTGCAACCAATTATATACAAATAACGATAATAATAATAATAAAGCTTTATTTCAGACAATATGTGAACAAATAGTACAGATATCTTCAGGGCATTGGGTTCCACTGGAACTCGATCCAATGGCTAGTCCGTGAATGCATTTCATCTTCTGCCAGACAAATCACGATATATAGTGCGACCACAAGCGCCAATATGATCGTTGGCAAGTATCGGTCCTCTCTTAATCACTAAAACTAGAACAAGTAGTCTGTAGCCTACTGAAAGCTGAAGTCAATCTTCAATGTCATTTCGTTAGCATAAAGTGCACAGGAAGTAGTCGATCCACCGGGAGAGAAGCCTCTCGAGTGGTTGTGCCACAGGACATTACTGCATGCTGTTCTAATCTCAGAAGAGAGGGGTTGTAATTGGTATGAATGAGTTTAGTCCTCCTGCAAACCAATGTGAATGAAATTAATAAGCTTCATTTCAGACAATTTGCGAACACACACACACAGTACAGAAATATTGAGGGTATTTACTTCCAAAGTATTATTATCATTGCTCTTAAGGAATACTTTTCGGGTGGGGCGTGTGGAGGTATGTAGATGACAAATTCACTGTACTTAGAACACAAGATATGGATAGATTTTTCGAACACATTAACTCAATGGTGGAGGCAATTCAATTCACTTATGAATTGAAAAGTCAGGAAGCGGGGGAGCTTCCAATCTTAGGTTGCAACGTAAAAAAGAAAGAAGATGGGAAGTTAAACACCAGTGTGTTTACAGGAAACCCACACATTCAAACAGATATTTGATCATCCCCTTCTATGTCAGTAAAAATAAGATTGGTGAAATGTTTAAATTATAGTGTACAAAAACTAAGTAGTACCAAAAAAAAAAAATCTAAAACAGGAAGTGAACCATATAAGAGAACCTTTGAAACTTAATAATTACCCTGATAAATTAGTCAGAAAGTATGTAGGAAAATGCAAAAATAAAATAAATAATGATAGTAGTGATAATAATTGTAATAATGACGACATGCATGTCAAATATGCGCAAGACAACACGGATAATAAGGAATCTAAATCATCAGTAGTAATTTCATACAAGGAAGGAACCTCAGAAACCACTTTACGGAGAATTTCTAACAATACAGGAATAAAAGTGACTGGCATTCGATTACCTACAAACTCAATTAGAAACAAGCTTTGTCGGTTAAAAGATCAATCGTGTGGAGCCTTTAAAACAAAACAATTTAGTTTATCTAATACCCTGCTGGAATGATTTTCAGGTCAAATATATAGGTCAAACTAGCCGAGCATAAAAATAAGATAAGAAATCTATAGAATAGTACAGTTATAGCACTCACTACATGTAACTACACACAACCATACCATAGGATGGGATAAGATGACAATTTTAAGATCTAATATCACAGGATGGAGGGAGAGATTGATAACAGAAGCTTTGTTTATCGAATCAACTGCAAACACATGTAATACGAATGATTCAACACCTGTCCACCCGGACATCTGGAAAATTCTACTACTCCAACGACGACAAATAGGAGAGGACAAAGAAAACTATAAAACTCAAGTTTCGAAGTTGTGTGGATATGATTGATATGATTATGAACAATACTAAATTGTGTTCGAAACTGTGCCATCCATTAAATAATACGACTGTTTCACTGTGTGATACATCTAACAAACAAACAAATATGAAAAAAATACTACTGCATGTGTAGGATAAACGACAACTTACACTATATCAGATGGTAAAACCTGAGCCAAAAATGATTCTTCAGTTGCATCAGATGTACTACGTAGACATAGATCATACAGACTAGTATCGAAATTGAAAACGTAGCAGTCAGAAAGTTCTTGAAGTTCTACAACAACAACAACAAAAAGTAGACACTATTTGATATTAAGTTGGTATTTGAGTTAAACAAATTGAAAATGTAAGCTTGATATTCCTTGTATAACTAACTACCTTTTGAGGCGGAGTGATTAACATACATATATATCTAAGCTAATTCGGTGGGAAACATATGTGTGTGTGTGTGTGTGTAAGTGGTGTACCAGTGTCTGTCACACTGATGAAACTTCCCAAAGAAACAAAACAGTCAGTCACTTTATATTGAGACAAAACAGAATATCAGTATACGCGAGTCCAGTGGTTCATTGTTTTACACCTTCATCTTCTAATCAGTCAGTCCCCAAGACTAATATTTCCATAAGTCAACTTGACGTCAGATTCAATGATAATAATAATTTATTAGGTTTACAATATGTGATGGTCTAGGTCTAAAATTGTGTACTCCAATCAGGGTTGTTCAGTTATATTATATCATTCATTACTATTCCTTTGGGTTCCAAATGGAACCTGTGGCATCATCAGTAGTACCAAATCGACATTTCACCCTCTTCTCTGCAGTATTCTGGAGCTGGTCCCGCGACAGCACATAAGCTTACATTTCCTCCTCCTCACACGATCTCCTCCCTCCATATCACTCACAGAGTGACGCCTAATTTATCGTTTCCTTTTCGACCTCTTCTTGAGGGCCTACCTGGTGTGCGATATCATTAAACGGTCTCCTTATTGTGTGTGTGTCTAATCCATCTCCATTTCCTCCTGCATATGCGTTGGTTCGTTGCCAGAGTTCCTTGTGGCTAATCCTCTCTGATCAGCAATCTGATCTTCAATATCGAACCGAAGAAGCCAACTGTCGGTAAAATTCTGCAGTAGCCTGTTGAAAATGCTTTTGGTAACGCCCGTGCCAAGTCTCCGAATCATAAAGAAGCACTGAATTAACATTAGTGTTGAAATTCCGAATCGTGATCCACATGTTAAGTGTAGTAGATCAGGGGTTTACTAATGTTAACTAATTATAATAGTAATGATTCTTTTAATAAAATAATTGTAACAAGATTTCATCATGAAATGACATTGGTTGGAGAACCATTGGAAAACCATCAAGTAGTACTGGACAGCCAGCTATTCCGTCCTAGTTTGGGACGGACGCACCCACGGGGGTTTGAACCCAGGACCAGTATGGTGCAGCAGGTCGGGTGTTGTGAGGACAAATACTCACCGAAGACATTGGCTACCGGTCGCACTATGTCATGAATTGGCAGAAGTTAGAATTCATGGACTGGCCGTTGGATCGGTTGGGTCCCAATGGTTGCTGATGAATGGTCTACGAGTTAGCTGGCCTTGTAACCAGAATGTCCTGGGTTTGAAACCCCGTGGTGGTGGATGCATACTAATGGAGAGTTCCAAACAAGGACGGAATAGCTGGCTATCAAGTACTCCATGGTGGCTTTTCAATGGTTCTCTAACTGATGTCAACTAATGATGAAATCCTGTAACCAATCAATCAAATCCCTACAAGCCAACACTTGAAAATAATTGTAAGGTTTAAGTATACACGGATGTACACAATATAATAATTGACATACTATTGACCATATAAGATATCTGTGATACTACCCCCACTTTCTTTTCTGCTTAAATATGCACTAAGTATTTTTTTAATACCTGATAAGGCAATAATATGAACACTGTCATGACCACCCTACAGCCACACATGTTGTCCATGTTCGACTCCCGGTAGACACCCTTTTAAACCACGTCTAACCAATAGTAATTCCGAATAAAGAGGATGATTAGGAGTGAGGATACCAACCTTACCTACTCCGTATTAACAGTTCCACCGCCACTGGAATCTCTAAAGCTTACAGCTTGAAGCCCTATATTCTATTCGGAACGCAAGAGAATCGGAAAAATCATGACTACTATATGGTAATGCGGACTTATTCCGAAATTCAACAGAAACAGAGTGTGTATTCAGATACCCTAGCTTTATTATTGTCTGAACACCTACCATTGTCTCAGTATTTCTGCGTGTGTGAATAAAATATGCATAGATCTTACAAGGCGATTATCATTCTGATGTAACTTTTGTCACTGACTGTATAAGCTACACCAAATTGCTAGAAATCAGAGAATGATGGAAACACTTTTGTGACTTGTTTGTACACTACACACAGAAAAGTTCACATTAGTATATCATGTAACAAGATGAGAAAATCACTTTTTTTAGTCTTTTGAACTGAAATCTTGTGGTCTACGATATCTAACTAGTGTTTCTTTTTTGTGATTACTACAATAAAGTTCTGGAATGGTGGGACACCCCTTGCAAAATTACACTTGTACACTAGAGTAGTAAAGAGTACCAGTTTTGTTCTAGCTAGTAGTTCTTTAACTGATTATTTTGAGGAGCTCCTATTAACGACCCGGTACTACCTGCTGACGGTAGTGGGTAAACTGCCGGTCCTTCTCATATATGACCACGCGTGCATAGCCTCACTCTACCAGGTAAGTCCTTTATATTCATTGCCTTCAAGAAGCAGAAGTGTTCCTCACAAAAGTGAAATGGTGAATGTGAACTGTTTGTCTGTCTGGATTCAACATAGAACTTGGCAACGAAGTGCAACAGTTCCAGTTGCCACGTTCCAAATACCACACAAAGGTAGGCAAGAAAATGAGTGAAGACAATCAACAGAGTTTTGACAAGTATAAGAGTGAAACAGAATGACTAATGGTAGAAAGGAATATGAGAGATTACAGAGACTGAATACATCTGCGTAAGCCATTGACACTGACAACGATTTTGAGCCATGTCACCTATTGTCTGTCTCCAGCCATTAATTCTTAGAGTCCCAAGGGCGGGCCCCAACCCGGAAGTCTGCATCTCCCTCCTTTCCTAACTCAGTTTAACTGTCAGAGATTTCATGGATTGATAAGGCCATGTTTTTGTTTGGCCACCACTAGCTTACTCTTTTCCAACCTGCACATATATCAGCTAGTAGTGCCCGTCGGGGGGAGGCGATGGCTAGGCATGCGCAGCACGTCACCTAACCATGTCAACTTGTGTAACTTTATAGCCTCGTCGATTGATTTTCCCTCTTTGCCCAACACTCTACGCCTAACGTCAACATTACTTACTTTATTATTATACCACCTAACGTGAGAAAGAGATCGTAGACATCTGTGATCAAAAACAGTCAACTTTTCCATGTCTTCAACTTGTATTGGCCATATTTCAGAGCCACAGAGAAGGATGGAGCGAACTTCTGAGCAGTACACACGTCCCCTGGTTGATAGTCGGATGTCACGCCCACCCCAGAGATGGTGTAAGTTAGCGAAAGCAGCCTGAGCTTTTTGGATCCATGCTGAGACTTCGTCGCCAATCAATCCGTTGGTGCTGATACAACTTCCCAAATAGGTGAAGTGGTCAACATGTTCTATCACTTCACTCCCTATCACTAAGCTAGGAGTTGACGTAGTCCAGTCAGTCCTGTAGCAGCATCTTACATTTCACAGGGGCGAATTGCATGCCAAACATATGAAGATTGCTGCTCAAGTTGTTCAGAAGACTCTGCTTTATTTTGTCAGCATCCTCCCCCAACAGGACTATGTCATCTGCATATTCTAAGTCCATAAGACTATTCCCTGGTAACAAGTCGATTCTTAAGTCGTTAAGTTCAGTTAAGGATACTTCCATTAGCATATATATGATGAAGTAAAACAGAAAAGGGGAAAGTGGACATCCTTGACGGACACTGTACTTTCTTGGCACTCCCTTCACAGTCAAACATTGCCATAGTACCTCTCGATCCACGGAGTCGAAGGTCGCCTTCAAGTCAAGAAAAATGGCAATTGTTGGATGCCTAAAAGTGTGTCTATGTTCTAGGATCTGTCGGAGAGTGAAGATATGATCTATGCACCCTCTACCTGGCCTAAAGCCTGCTTGATTTTCCCTCGTTTGTAACTCCCGACTTCGGCTTAGTCTGTGCATGATTACTGAGCCTAGGATTTTAGAGACTATGTTCGTCAGGCTAATTCCTCTATGATTATCACATGAGGACTTGTCTCCCTTTTTGAATATTGGTATAATAAGTGACTTACCCCAGTCTGATGGAACCGTCTCTGATTCCCAGACGTTACCTAGTACCTTAGTTAAACTATATACTAGTATGTCACCCCCATATTTAAACACCTCCGGAATAATTCCGTCGGGTCCTGCCGCTTTGCCTTGTTTCAAATTACAGATTGCTTTGGTGACCTCACTTACAGACGGCGGGCCAGTGTCTATGTCCCATTCGGGTGTGTGCTGGATGGCGGGGAGGCTCAGTGTGGCTGTAGGCAAGTTAAATTGCTCCTCAAAGTGTTCCTTCCAGCGTTCAAGGCGTCTATCCTGTGAGCTAATTAAGGAGCCATTTTTCTCACAAATAGTCTCACCTATGATTTGCATTCTCCCACCCGTTTCCCTGATGAGTCTAAAGAGTCTCCTAGTGTTGCCTATCGCCGATGCTTTTTCCATCTCTTTCGCCTTTGTCAACCACCACTGTTCACGGTCCTTGCGGAGACTTTTCGTAAGTTTCCTTTTGTGCAGCTTTCGCTCCTCATTGAATTCGGAGCTCGCCGGAATAAGTCTTCTAGCATCTATCAGTTCGGATGAGGCAGTCGAAATCCAATGGTTTTTACTCACCTTTGGATTTACCTTATTCACAGCTTTTATAGCTGTATCTATGGCTGATTTAATATTCTTCCAGGCTTCTTCAGGGTAAGCGCAGCTATCGAACTCAGATATGTGTTTAGCTAGTTCTTCCTCAAATAGGGACTTAGTTTCCTGATCGAGTTGGAGACGTGATGGGTTTACCGCCAACTGTTTCCTACGTCCGTTCAGTCGTAAGCACACATAAACGCGGACCAGTGGGTGATCGGTCTCTACACACGTGTTCCAGAAGGAGCGACAATCTCCCACCGACCCACGCCAACGATAGCTTATTGCTATGTGGTCTATTTGTGTCCAGCGTTGATTTGATGATGGGGGTCGCGAGGTCAAACAGTGTCTCTCCTTGTGTTTGAAGTTAGTGCTTACAAGAAACAAATGATTATCTGAACAGAACTGTAGGAGACGGTCACCGTTGTCGGTTCTCTGGCACGGAATTCCGTATGTGCCGCCGACATTCTTCTCAGATTGACACAATTTCCCCACTTGAGCATTAAAGTCACCAGCTAAAACGACTATATCTGAGCGTTTAGCCTTTCGCAGCAAACTAGACAGCTTTTGGTAGAACTTATCCTTCTTTTCATCCGAACTGCAGTCAGTGGGGGCGTAGGCGGAGATTACGAAAAGGCATCGGCGAGTAGTGCAATCCTTTCTCCTTCTCACTGATCCGTTCAGACGGACAGCACACATCCGGCTATCTACCGGGATCCAGTCAAGTCATGTATTTTCTGCCCTAGTACTCAAAGCTATCCCAACACCAGCTAATCCTCGTGAGCTAGCCGTCTCATCTCCTGACACCCTCAAGGTGAATTTTGCAGATTCATCCTGTTGGCCAGGTGGGGTTAGGTGAATAACCACACTTGGGTCTTGTATGCGTGTTCCTGAAACACAACATACATCAATGGCTCGGGATGCCAGAGTCTTGGCTAGTGATGCTTGTTGTCCTACTTGGCAAAGTGTCCTAACATTAAATGCTCCTATATGAAATTGGTGGCGTGGCTTTAGGAGACTATCGATGGTGGTTTTTTGGCTTCCGTCGTTATCAGTGCACACATAGTGAAGAGCCATTAAGTAGAGGAGTTGCATTAGTAGAAGGAAGGCAAGATAATAGAGATGAAGATGGAGACAAAGATGAGTGAGGATTAGAGAGGTTTCGCGTGCACTTCGGATTGTGAGGGCGATTGTTACTTCCCGGCTGCCCACACCATGGAAGTTGGTTGCGTGACCGCAGAGCCCAGGGGACAACTGCTTGAGGCCGGTCACACACGGCCTGTTTTTGTTTGTTCTTTTTTATTTGATGTGTCTCAGTAGCATATTTATCACTTCTGCCCTGTGACACGGCAGCAGGAAGCGCGGTCGTTGTTAATCCGGGCCCCGACCGATCCGGCATGATATTTTGTGATTTTGTTTGAGTCATGGCATTGGATTGGGTAGCTGCTTTTTGTCTAACCGCTATCCAAACAACCTTTCTGGCATGGTAGGACCTACAGGAACATAAGTTCCAGCCAGTGTAGCTCGTTGGGTCATTGCGATATGCAAGCCCGACCACCACGTCAAGGTAGCAGCTTTCGGTCGGTCTGCTGTGATTGGTTGTTGAGTCAGTCAGTCTTTTTTCTTACTTTTCTAACGACCAATATTGGGGACATAAACATTGACGTAAATTACTGTCTACCAATTTTAGGCTAGCAGCCAGCTTTCAGCAAATCATGACACACTTGGTTGGAAATCAAGCACCTAAACCAATAGGCCACACACACAGGTCAATGAGTGACTATAAACAAAAGTCAAATTTTTATCTTGCATAATTTAAGCGTTAAGCCATCAATACTCACTTACCTTCAACACCCTTTGAAATGACACCAATATTAGGTATCAAGTGAATTTCAGTATCTTTCGAATCTGTTAACTGTTCACTATCCTCGTCGCTGTCATCATCATCATCACCATCAGTATCATCAAAATGATTTTCACCGCTAGGCATACCATTATTTCCTAATAAGTTGAACAGATGATGATTCATATTGGGAAGTCGTCTTTCAATATTAGAATATTGTAAAGGTCCTGATAATCTTGGCGCAATCATATTTATGCTTGATGAATCTAAATAGGCTAAAGGAGAGAGACAAGAGAGAGAGAGAGGGAGACAATAATAACTTTTTATCGAAATATACACAACTGTAATAGTAGAATAGCTAAAGTTAAAAAGTTAACACTTACACATCATCAACATGATCATAAACAGTTAATCCCTAGTGAAGTTTTTTCTTTTAGCTCAGCTCAGTTCCTGATCAGATCTTAAAGGTATTATTCAACCAGCTGTTATGTGATTGATTAACCAATACACATTTTCAAGGGCTGTGAAATTACATCGACTGAGATGGTTAGGATATGTGTTACGTATGTCTAGCCTAGTCATCGCCTTCCTTGACAACAGGCAATGTTAGCTGACATAGGGTCAGGCTGGAAAAGAGTTAGCGGCAGTCAAACGAAAACATGGCACCAGTCAATGAAATCTACAACAGTTAATCTGAGCCACGTAGGAAGGTGTAGACTTTCTGACTGGTTGGGGTCCTCGGGACGGTAAAAACCAATGGTTGGAAACAATTGGTGATATGGCTCAAAATCGTTCTCCATGGCTAGTGCAGATGCATCCACTCCTTGGGACTTGTGATTTCCAATGAAACTGTTTTGTTCTTCGTTATTACCATTCCTTTGTCTCACACCTCTGTTTACTGTCTCTTATATCCATTTCTCCTACTTTCTTCTCTTGTTTTTTGTGCTACATGGAGGGAGTATGGCGACTTGAACTGCCACACACATATGAGCAAAGTTCTATGTCGAAAACAGACAGACATATTTTCAAGTATTTAGTTTTGTAGGGAATTTGTTTTCATTGATTGGTTACAGGATTTCATTATGAGTTGACATCAGTTAGAGAACCATTGGAAAACCAGTCCTGGAGTTCTGGACAGCCAGCTATTCCGTCCTAGTTTGAAACTCTCCATTAGTATGCATCCACCACCACGGGGGTTCAAACCCAGGGCATTCTGGTTCCAGCGCCAGCTAATTCGTAGACCATTCATCAGCCACTTGGACCCAACCGATCCAACGGCCAGTCCATGAATTCTAACTTCTGCCAATTCACGAGGTAGCGCTACCGCTAGCCAATGTCTTCTTCGATGAGTTACTGCCTCATCTTCAACCTGCTGTACCCTCCTGGTCATGGCTTTCCACTAGAGTCTCAGGTAAATGCCGAATGGGGCCAGTTGCCAGTGAGCATCAGGTCAATTTTCAAGTAGACCAGAACAGTTACTCATCGAAGAAGACATTGCAAAGTGGTCACGCTATGTTGTGAATCGCGCAGAAGTTAGAATTCATGGACAAATGAATCGGGTCCCACTTGGTGAATCGTCTAGCAGCTCGCTAGGCTTGTAACCGGAAAGTCCTGGGTTCGAACCCCAGCAGTGAATGCGTACTAATGAAGAGTCCCGAACTATGCTGAAGGAACAGCTGTCCAGTACTCCCAGCTGGTTTTCCAGTGGTTCTCTAACTGATGTCAGTTCATGATGAAATCCACCAACTAATACACATTTGCTTGTTCATAGTCAGAATAGTTGTTCACAGTTATTTATTTCTATCCGAAATAACCTAATTAAGAATCGAAAAATAGAATTTTTTTCGAAGAACTACCCTGTATTCGAGAAACTAACTGGATTACTCACCCTGAAGAATTAGTGTTGATGAAATATTATTATATTCAGTTTATACTGGAGAACTCTCATTCACCACTGAAGTTATTTATTTACCCGCTGAGGATTTTATCAATATATACAAGCCATCATAAATACCATAAAACATTCTAATCAACAATAAATAGCTGGCTGGCTGGATTCAACATAGAACTTGGAACCGAAGTGCACCAGTTCGAGCTGCCACGTTCCAAATACCACACAAAGGTAGACAAGAAGATGAGTGAAGAGAATCAATAGAGTTTTGACAAGTATAAGAGTGAAACAGAATGAGTAATGGTAGAAAGGAATATGAAAGATTACAGAAACTGAATACATCTGCATAAGCCATTGACAACGATTTTGAGCCATGTCACCTATTGTCTGTCTCCAGCCATTAATTCTTAGAGTCCCGAGGGCGGGCCCCAACCCGGAAGTCTGCATCTCCCTCCTTTCCTGACTCAGTTTAACTGTCAAGGATTTCATGGATTGATGGCATGTTTTTGTTTGGCCACCACTAGCTTACTCTTTTCCAACCTGCACCTACCTATATCAGCTAGTAATGCCCGTCCGTCGGGGGAGGCGATGGTTAGGCATGCGCACCACGTGACCTAGCCATCTCAATCTATGTAACTTTATAGCCTCGTCGATTGATTTCTTCCCTCTTTGCCCAACACTCTACGCCTAACGTCAACATTACTTACTTTATTATTATACCACCTAACGTGAGAAAGAGATCGTAAACATCTGTGGTCAAAAACAGACAACCTTTTCATGTCTTCAACTCGTATTGGCCATGTTTCAGAGGCATAGAGAAGGACGGAGCGAACTGCTGAGCAGCAATAAACAATAAAAAGAGAATCTGCGAGAGTGTTTTCACTCCCTTTAACGCCTTTGAAATTCTGAATGTCTTCATCAAAGCTCATTAGTGTATTTTATGTAGATTAATTTCTGTACCTATTCTCTTGCTTTACATATAGCTAAGTTCAAAATGAGATAACTTGGACTGGGGGACTTCTTGAAATACCGGTTCTAAGTTCACTGCCTATGTTTGCCTAATAATACTCTGCTAACAAGCGTCAACAAGCATACAATCCATAATCTAAGGCATCTTATCAATTTTACTCCTCAAGACAGTTAACATCACACATTTAAAAAAACGAAAGAGATACTAGATGAGGATTGCCAAAACCAGCCAGAATCGGAACCGGTGAGATACAAACGAACGCTGGTGAAAACGCTTTTCTCTAGAGCGAAGAGAATATGTTCACCAAACAAACTAGACAGTGAACTAATGTTTCATGAAAAATGCTTGAAAGAAAATGGTTACCCACAAGGTTTCATTAACAAATATGGCAAGAAGGAACTCAAGAAGCTTGATGCTGCTACAGTCAGTAAGAAGCCTATTTTCATCAAACTCGACTACAAGGGCGACGACATTATGAGAATGATAAATAAAAGATTAAGCGGAGCCCTGTCTAGGACATATCCTGCAGCGTTATTAGTCTCTCTCTCCCGAACAACCTCTTCACTGGTGCAGTCAAAGATTGACAAGTACCCCTCACATGTTACCTCCAACTGTGTATACCAATTCACATGTATCTGCGGGAGCAGTTACATTGGAAAAACAGAGAGGAGGGCCTACGTCAGATTCTGTGAACATGTACCAAAGAGCCTCCGGTTAAAGGGACCGAATTATTTAAGCTCTTCAATCGGCAAACACCTGATTGACACAGGACACCGAGTAGATGTGCTGAAATCATTCAAAATAATTAACAAACAAAGTACCTCAAGTCTTCTCAGGTTTGCTGAAGCTATAGCAATAAAACGATTTAAGCCTGACTTGTGTCCAAAAAGAATCCGTCGTTGGACTTCAATTACCCTGGTAACTGACTTCTTAGTAACTCTTTGTTTTCTAATTTTGTTAACTTATCTTTTCACTCCACCCCTCCCCTTTATGTTGCGTTTGACTCTCTTAAGAGATAATTTTTCTTGATCTTCTGAGTTCTGCTCACTGTATTACATCATCAACTTCTCAACTGACCTCATGTGCACCGTAATTTTAAAAAAAATTTTTGATCTTCTCTTATCTAATTACGTAACTATTGCTAATTGTCTTTTGTTACCGCCCTAACAACACAACTGTTAACTAATTTTTCTCACGAAACTTCTCTCTACCAAATATATATATATATATATACATGTCGTGACACTTCAGACACCCTATTAATCTCAATGCCTTATTTTACGATGACGCTCTGACACTATGCTTGCTAATTGACAAAGGTTTGTTTAAAAAAAATTGTACACTATTTATTTTCAATAACAAAAATTCAGGTTGTACGCAGCTGATGAGAACCAACGAAATAAAATGGATCCAGATTATTCTGCGCCAATGTTTCTTCTCTCTTTGTTCAAATTTATAAAAGGAAATCATTGTATGAGAATTGGAAAGGCAAGATACAACACTTTCATCAGTCTGAAATTGGTTTGGAAATCTTCTGCACTCACAGTCAGCCAGCAAGAAGAAAAAGATTCGGATTCTGTTTTCAACACAAATGTTTAGCCAGTCAGCTGTTCTATATGGGTCAGAGACTTGCACTGCGGGTCACGGTCACGAGAAGTATTTCCAACAGGCCACTGCAGATTTTTATCAACAGCTGCCTTCGCTGGCTGACTCTATATTGAAGATCAGATTGCTTACTAGAATGAATCAGCAAAAGAAGAAACCAAAGGGAACAAACTAACCAAGAGCCGATTGCTCAACAAATATGTGGGAGAAAGTGGAGATGAGCAGATTGGGCATACGCTGAGGAGACCGTCGAATAACACCGTGCACTAGGCATAACCCCTCTTGTGGAACCCGAATGGGTCGTTACTTTTAGAGTAACATGGAAATGAAAGATTATGGGCGATCGTGGGCGCAGCTACAGGGGATAGCAGAAAGTAGAACAAAGCGGAGATGTGTTGCTGGAACCCTATTTTCCACTTGGAAAGTAAACGAATAAAGTAAAAATAATAACGTATGATAATAATGTTGACGTACTCTGTGACTAATGTCAGAGATGATTTTCCTTAACTCAGACTTTATAAGTATGAATCACACTTATATTATTATTATTATTATTATTATTATTATTATTATTATTATTATTATAGAAAGCAAGAATATTGCAAGAGTATACCACTAAGAAAGCCCATACTCTCTTGGAATATATATATATATATATTTATTGGTTTGAAAGGATTTTGTTTTGATTGGTTGGAGGATTTCATCATGAGCTGACATCGGTTAAAGAACCATTGGAAAACCATCACGGAGTACTGGACACTTACTTTACTTTACTTCGGCTATCTCCTACGGGAGGATGAGCCGGCTTCATGAACATCTCGAATCAAGAGAGTTCATGAAGTTTCATGGGAATTCGGTACGAGTGATGTCCCCAGAATCGCTCGGCCTTTTGTTTGAGAGTGCAGCTCTAGCCTTTACACAACCAAGTGTGACCTACAAGGCAGTAGGGGTGGAGTAGGGAGTCCACTATCCATTGGCAGCCGGTGACCGGAGTTCGGTTCATACGCCTTTTTGAATGGGGCCAGACATCCAGAACATCCAACAAGCCCTTTGTCCATACGTCTCCCGGTGAGCTCCAGTGAGCTTCATACGCCAGTCGTTGGAGGTTTGGAATCAGGGTTTAGCCATCTCCCCTAGACTGTCATCCAATGGACAGTCAACCCGGTGAAGAGCGCCGGGCATCCGCTTTCACCCTCTCACTTTGGTGAAAAACACCTCCGCCACGTGAAGGCAGTGAGTAGGACTTCCTCAGGAGAGGCTATGTAAGACGCCCGGTCATATGGGAGCATTTCAAGAGGTGTGAGGAGGGGTGGCCAACCCGTAGCGCAAGGCACCCACCCCCGACCATCCTGAGGCTTTGGAGGCTATTCTGTCCTAGTTTGAAACTCTCCATTAGTATGCATCCACCACCACGGGGGTTCGAACCCAGAGCATTCTGGTTACAAGGCCAGCTAACTCGTAGGCCATTCATCATCAACCACTGGGACCCACCCGATCCAACGGCCAGTCCATGAATTGAAACTTCTGCCAATTCATGACACAGTGCGACCGGTAGCCAATGTCTTCGGTGAGTATTTGTCCTCACACCTGACCTGCTGCACCCTACTGGTCACGACTTCTCACCAGAACCTCAGGAAACTACCTGAATAGGGCAATTCGCCAGTGAGCATCTCATCGATATTCAAGTATTGGTTTGCAGGGATTTGATGGATTGGTTACAGGATTTCATCATGAACTAACTGACATTGATTAGAGAACCATTGGAAAACCACCTGGGAGTACTGGACATATATACATATACATATATATATATATATATACTCATTCTAGTAAAAACTTACGTCTTCTATTATCACCAAACCATCCGACAGGATTTGTGCCTGAAAGATAACTTGTCCCTTCCGGTTGATGATCCCAATGATGGTGATACGATGTTCTACTCTCTTCTAATAATAATATATAAATTATATTTGGAATGGAGCTGATATGTTTAATTAATATTGAGGCAACAGTTCCTTGTAGATTGACATCATTGGTTTGAGAGAAGATTAATGCTTTTAAGGTATGATATTTACAACGACAACAACCACGACGAGAAGGAGGAGCAGGAGCAGGAGAAGAGGAAGACGACGGCGACAGTGATGATGACGATGAAGGCATAGCAGCAGCGGCATTAGAAGATAACGGAGATGTGATGTTCGCAGTGTTATTATTATTATTATATGTGACTATACGCCTCATCAGCTGATCAACATCAATATATACATGAGTAGTTGTAGAGCTACTTTCTATCTCTTCATTAGGATGAGCATCATTAGAAAATATAAAATCTGTTTTATAAGCCAATAAGTTAAAACGACTATGATTATTATTATTATCATGATTATGATTAGTCAGTGAATAATTAGATGATCTATTCTTCAAGCAACTATGATGTAATGCGCGTTCAATTGCTTCTAACAGGATGGAAACAAACGGTTTTAAATATATAATGATTGCATGCGGTATAGTCGACAGGTCATATTGTTTTTTCAAAATCAATTCTGAATTCTCAGAGAATATATACTCTTCTAATATATTTGGTTCATAGATTTTATGAATTACTCCACTGAAATTTTTTGAGAGAAAAAAGAGAAAAAAACAATATATATATATATATTTATACATATCATCGAAATAATAAAGAAATTAAAATGTGTGATTAATAATCAAAGTTGTAACTAAGTGGGGTGAAGATTGGTAAGATGTGAGTAGGGTTACGTAATATAGACATGTTTAGAAAGATTAGATTCTAGTGAAGGAGTATGGAGACAATTATGAAAATAAACTAGATAATAGGTGAAAAGATTGAATGGGTTAGTCAATAGTTGCCACCCCGCCATCAAATTTACAATCGAAGTAGAAACCAATGAGACAATCTCCTTTTTGGACGTTCGTTTAAGTAAGAAGACCGATGGTACCTTGAACAGATCAGTGCACAGAAAACCTACATGGAACGTCAGTTGACAAACTTCTACAGTTGGGCACCAATTAGTCGCAAGTGAAACTTGATAATATCTCTGGCGACTAGAATCCGAAAAATCTGTAGTCCCGAATCAATAGAGGAAGAGATCGCCCTCTTAAGGAAGACACTGCTCGAGAATGGCTACCCACCCCGTTTTATAGACAAACATATTAAGCCTAAGACGCACAAAGAACAACCCATTACAGTGCAGAAGAAGATGGTCTACATGAATGTACCCTTCAAAGGTGACCTTCTGGCTGACACCTTGAAGAAGAGGATATCTACTACTCTCAGAAGGACATTCTTCGCTGCCACACTACGACTGACATTTTCCTCCCGCTCATTGTTCTTCAACTACCCTAAAGATAAACTATCGCATTTGACCACTTCCATGTGTATCTACCAATTCACCTGCTCTTGCGGAGCGAGGTATATAGGTCGTTCGATGCGAGTTTTATCTAAAAGAATTCAAGAACATTATCCCGCCTGGCTACGGAAAGGTAACAATGGAGCGATAAGGAGCGCCATTATTGAGCATATACTCAACACTGGTCATTCGATTTGCAAGGAGAAGTCGTTCAAAGTCATCTATAAAGTCAAAAGAAGCCTTCCAAAATCGACAAGCTTTCGTATACTTTGTATTGCTGAAGCCTTAGCGATTTGGATGGAAAAGCCTGAGTTATGCACACAGAAGAAACTTCTCCACCCCCTCCTACTACCGTGAGTTTAATTTCAAGTTTATCTGTCATCAACATTTTGTTATCAATTTTTTTTGCAACCTTCGTATAATAATTTTTAGTAACTAACCCATTCAATCTTTTCACCTATTATCTAGTTTATTTTCATAATTGTCTCCATACTCCTTCACTAGAATCTAATCTTTCTAAACATGTCTATATTACGTAACCCTACTCACATCTTACCAATCTTCACCCCACTTAGTTACAACTTTGATTATTAATCACATATTTATACATAAACAGAATCATTCATTTTGAGCAGTCAAAGCGAAACTGGAGAATGAATGGTCCTCTTTTAAAGTGTCTTATTTTGGATAGATAACTCTAGCCCGGTAAACCAGAAATCTATCTAAACAGATCACGTTTATACTTTTTTTTAAGAGGTACGAAGCTGAGGGAAAGTGAGTATGTTGTCCCCAGTGGAGGAAAGATTTTCGATGCAAACATCTACATATCGTTCCGTCTATTCGTGTTTCTAGAGTTATTAGGACGTCCAAAATGGAGATAGCGGCATTTTCTCCTTTTTTTCCTTCTTTTTTAGTGAAGCTTATGCCAGGATGTGCTTTGTTGAATTAATCCAATACAGTCCTACAGGAGGTCACTCGCGAGCCTGAATAGCTCAGTGGTAACGTCTCTGACTGTAGGCAGCACTGGGTGACGCGGGTTCAAATCTTAGAAGAGACATGAGCACGAAACCTAGGTCCAAGGCTTCCTGCCGATTGCCTCGAACTATGTAATACCATCAAATCTAAGTGCACCGTAACGAAGAGCCACCTAGGCGGCATGGTGGCCACATTGCCAACGTGAGTGATAGAATTAAGTCTGCACCAAAAACAGGACTAGACACGTCACACTAGTTACTAGTGTCCAATCAAAGCATCCACTACAGTCCTACAGGAGGTCGATCGCGAGCCCGAATAGCTCAGTAGTAACGTCTCAGACTGTAGGCAGCACTGGGTGACGCGGGTTCGAATCTTAGAAGGGACATGAGTTCCTTCAAGGTTGCACAGACGCCTTGCTGACTGACTGACTGGTGAGTACCAACTAGGACGAAACCTAGGCCAAGCAAGGCTTCCGGTGGCCGATTGCCTCCAACTATCTAATATCATCAAATTATATATTACATCTTTAAGAGGCAAAGATAGAATAATTTTCTATAGTTTGGTTTGTAAGGATTAGTTATGTTTTACGAGTTGATCACGGACTGATATCAGTTAGAGAACCATTGAAAACCAAGGAGTACTGGACAGCTACTGTTTCATCCTAGTTTGGGAATCATCGCCAGTACGCACCCACTGGGATTCGAACCCAGGACCTTCCGGTTACAAGGCAAGCTGGCTCGTATACCGTTCAGCCACTGGGACCCGATTCAATGGCTCATGAATTCTAACTTCTACCAATTCGTGATTTTAGCGCGACCCCAACTGTTGTCGTTGGTGGGAAATCCATCCACACACGTGACTTCTAATTGGACCTCACTGGTCACGACTTCTCACTAGAACTCCAGGAAGCTCCAACCTGTAGCAAGTCACTAGCGAGCATCAGAATAATTTTCTTTAGTTTGGTTTGTAAGGATTACTTGCTACAGGATGGAGCTTCCTGGAGTTCTAGTGAGAAGTCGTGACCAGTGAGGTCCAATTAGAAGTCATGTGTGTGGATGGATTTCCCACCAACGACAACAGTTGGGGTCGCGCTAAAATCTCGAATTGGTAGAAGTTAGAATTCATGAGCCATTGAATCGGGTCCCAGTGGCTGAACGGTATACGAGCCAGCTTGCCTTGTAACCGGAAGGTCCTGGGTTCGAATCCCAGTGGGTGCGTACTGGCGATGATTCCCAAACTAGGATGAAACAGTAGCTGTCCAGTACTCCTTGGTTTTCAATGGTTCTCTAACTGATATCAGTCCGTGATCAACTCGTAAAAGATAGAATAGATAATCTTGATTTCTACAGTCGATATGTCGATAATACATTTCTAGTTGTGAGAAAAGTGACACTAAGGACATATTGGGTAAACTCAATAGAGCACATCCTGGTATAAGCTTCACTAAAGAAGAAAAAAGTTGAAGGTGCCTGCACTGTTCCCCCCAAAAAATCAGTATTCACGGTTGATTTCAACAGTAAGATCATATTACAACGTTTGAAAAGGGTCTCCACAAAAGGACTTTCAACGCAACTAAGCTATACTGTATATTCTCACCAGCGTCGATCGAGAGGTGATTTGGAAACTACTTCGCCACTACGGGGTGCCACCGACAATTATACATCTCATCCAACAGCTGTACGACAATGCTGCATGCCAAGTAATCCACAACGGGAAACTTACGGAACCCTTCGAAGTGAGGACAGGAGTAAGACAAGGCTGCCTACTATCACCAATGATTTTCCTGATTGCAGTAGACTGGATAATGTGACAAACAGTGGGCAATGAGGAAACAGGCATAAAATGGACTCACACAAAAAAATTGGAGGATCTGGACTTCGCCGATGATATATGTCTGATTTCCCACAAACTGGAAGATATGCAAGCGAAAATCAACAAGTTGGCGTTAGAGGAAGCATCAAAGATAGGACTTCAGGTGAACATAGAGAAAACAGAGGTGATGAAGATTCCTGCACAAGAACAACAACAGCAGACAACGATCAGCATAAATGGAAGGAACCTGAAAGAAACAACCTCCTTCACCCACCTACCTGGGAAGCATCGTTTCAACTACAGGCGGGACTGACGAGGATATCAAAGCAAGGGTCAGGAAAGCAAGACAAGCTTTTACTGCTCTCAAGTCTGTGTGGAGGTCAACAACAACACTCAGCATCAAAAATAAGATCCGGATTTTCAACTCCAAAGTGAAGTCAGTCAGTGCTACTATACGGATCAGAGACTTGGCCAGCGCGTCATAAAGAGCATCTCAAACAAACTACAGACCTTCATTAACAGTTGTCTTCGCTCAAGATCAGATGGCCGGCCAGGAGAGATCAGCAACAGGCAGGGATCTCTGGCAATGAGCGGACCAACCAGGAACCGATCGTGAAACAAACAGGCAGAAAGAAATGGGGATGGATTGGCCTTACTCTGAGGAAACCATCAAGTGACATCACTAGACAGGCCATTGCTCGAGTGTAACCCGAAAGGGAAGCGGCGAGTTGGTCGTCAATGCGAGGGTGACTTGGAGGAGGTCATGTGAAGAGGAGATGAAAACGTGTGGGCAGACTTGGAGCCAGGTGAAGATTCTAGCAGAGAACAGAACTCAATGGAGACGCACGGCTGAAGCCCTATGTTCCTGTAGGAATTAAAGGGAACAATAATAATAATAATAATTCATCAATTGCTGATAAGGAAATCATTAAAATCACTTTGAAATATACACAAAATAAAAACAAAGCACAACACAAAAGATAAACATACTCTAATAAAATCTCCTCCTTTATTAATAGATCACTGCGAATCAAATATATGTGGAGTTGCGATGACGATGTTGGTGACGAGGAGGAGGAGGCGGCGGAGGTGGAAGAGGATTTAATATTACCACCAGTCGTATCAACACCATCCACCCAATCATCATCATCATGAAGACCTATTCGACATACAGAACTATCATCACGTTTTGTGAATAAAGTTAACCAGGCTAATTTAAAAAAACCGATCATTGAATCAGGATATTGATTGGAACAACTGTTGTCATTCATTGCACCATTATTATTATTATTATTGTTATTATTATTATTATTACTATCTTCATCAATTGGGGAAGAAGAATAACGGAAAGCTGATGATAGAAGATGTTTAATAAGTGATGAATGATCTGCATTGCTAGTTGGATGATTAACATGACTTGGAGTAGTAGTAGAAGTGGTACTATTACTGTTGTTACTACTACTACTGCTGTTGTCATTGAACAAGACAGACAATTCATCATAATTAATAATAAATAAATTCGATAATACAGTGAAATCATCTCCTCTTACAGGAGAATTATCAGGTGGAATAATAATCATAAGATGAAATTTAGTTATGTTTGTGTTTGAGGACGATGCATTCGGTTTGGAAGCGCCACCGCCACCACCACTACCACCGCTAATATCACCACAGTTCATTGTACTGTCATTATCATCAGATGAATTGGATTGAATGCATAAAATTGCAGTAAATCGATTGTATTTATGTAGCATTCCTTGTAGACCGAGAATTTCATTCTGAGTTCGATTATTACCTTGGGAAAAAACCAAAAAAAAACAAAAAGAATTTGAAAAAAAGAAGGAAAAAAAACAGTGAGGAAGAATGCAATTCAGGTAATCGACAGTGAAATGTAAGAGAAATCTATCAAGGGGGGGGGGACATTGAATCGGGTTGGGTTCCAGTGGCTGAATGGTATACTCTAGCTGACTTGCCTTGTCACCGGAAGGTCTTGGGTTCGGACCACACTGTGGTGGATGAAACAGCTGTCCAGTAGTCCCTGCTGGTTTTCAATGGTGCTGGTTCTTTAACTGATATCAATCCGTCGTCAAACTCGTAAAAACAAATCTAATCCTTACAAACCAACTCTTGATGCTCGCTAGTGACTGATTGACTGACTACATGACGGAGTTTCCTGGAGTCGTGACCAGTGAGGTCCATCCAGTCAAGTGTGAGGATGGATTTCCTACCGATGACATTGGTTGGTGCCAGTCGCGCTAAATGCATCACGAATTGGTAGAAGTTAGAATTCATGGGCTGGCTGGCCATCGAATCGTCTCCCAGTGGCTGAACGGTATACGAGCCAGCTTGCCTTGTGACCGGAAGGTCCTGGGTTCGAACCCTACTGTGATGGGTGCGTACTGCCGATGATTCTCTGATTTTTAATGGTTCTCTAACTGATATCAATCCACGGTCAAACTTGTTAAAGCAAATCCATTGTTATTGTTGTTTTTTCCTTAGGTTCCTAGTGGAAAATAGGACTTGGACAACACATCTCCACTTTCTTCTATTTTCTGATGTCCTCTTTAGCTGGCCCCATGATTGCACATAGTCTCTCATCTCCTCCTCGCCACACGATCTCCTCCATGTCACCCAAGAAGCGACTTAACGACTTAGGAATCGACTTATTACGAGGGAATAGTCTTATGGACTTAGAATATGAAGATGACACAGTCCTGTTAGGCGAGGATGCTGACAAAATAGAGCAGAGTCTTCTGAACACCTTGACCAGCAATCTTCGTATGTTTGGCATGCGATTCGCTCCTGCTCTCAAATGTAAGATGCTGCTACAGGACTGACTGGACTACGTCAACTCCTAGCTTAGTGATAGGGAGTGAAGTGATAGAACATGTTGACTACTTCATCTATTTGGGAACTTGTATCACCACCAACTGATTGATTGGTGACGAAATCTCACCACGGATCCAAAATGCTCGGGCTGCTTTTGCTAACTTACACCGTCTCTGGGGTGGGCGTGACATCCGGCTATCAACCAAGGGACGTGTGTACTGCTCACCAGTTCGCTCCGTCCTTCTCTATGGCTCTGAAACATGGCCAATACGAGTTGAAGACAAGAAAAGGTTCACTGTTTTTGATCATAGATGTCTACGATCTCTTTCTCACGTTAGGTGGTATAATAAGGTAAGTAATGTTGACATTAGGCGTAGAGTGTTGGGCAAAGAGGGAAGGAAAATCAATCGAAGAGGCTATAAAGTTACATAGATTGAGATGGCTAGGTGACGTGCTGCGCATGCCTAGCCATCGCCTCCCCCGACGGGCATTACTAGCTGATAAGGTAGGTGCAGGTTGGAAAAGAGTAAGTGGTGGCCAAACAAAAACATGGCCTCATCAATCCATGAAATCCTTGATAGTTAAACTGAGTCAGGTAGGGCGATGAAGACTTCCGGGTTGGGGCCCTCGGGACTCTAAGAATCAATGGCTAGAGACAGTAGGTGACATGGCTCAAAATCGTTGTCAATGGCTTACGCAGATGTATTCAGTTTCTGTAATCTCTCATATTCCTTTCTACCATTACTCATTGATTCTCTTCACTCATCTTCTTGTCTACCTTTGTGTGGTATTTGAAACGTGGCAACTGGAACTGCTGCACTTCGGTGCCAAGTTCTATGTTGAACCCAGACAGACAGACAGACAGACAAGAAGCGACGCCCAACTCATTGTTTCCCATTCGGATCCCACTCGACTTCATACCTGGCGCACGATGTCACATTCGACGGTCTCCTCCTCCTTCTTCTTCGACTCCTCTTCTAACTACCTGAAAATCTAAGTTACTTCAATCAGGTATACACTAATAATAATGATGAATAATCTTCATTACTTAGAATCAAAGCCTAGTGTACAGCCTTCTCTCTCTCTTACTTACTTACTTCTATATAATTCATTCTTTTATATCTAATTTTTTCTGTGTCAAAAGTATACATCGATAAACACTCAAAATCATATCCTCTCACAAACACAAGAAAATTTAAAAAGAATAAAAGTATAAATAACATATATATTAACACACATATATTCAGTCCTACGGAAATAAGTGTATTAGAAAAGGGAATAAATTTCAATGTATCTGTAGACAAGCTGAAACCTGAGGATGTCATCCCTAAAATAGAAATAGCACTAAGTGGGATAGACAAAACTACGGCTGATGAAGTACATGCACAATGTGCACTAACATTAAAACGACAAAAATGTGGAAAGCCTAACCTGACAAAACAAGAGATAGAAGCCCTGAAACACCTTCAAAATAACAAGGATATAGTTATCACAAAGTCAGACAAAGGAAATGCAACAGTAGTATTAGACAAATCAGACTATTTGGACAAGGTAAATACTCACATACAAACAGGACCATATGAGGAAATTAATAAACCAATAGATATAGTTATGAATAAAGTTAAGAAATCCACAGCGGATCTTATACGCCGAATGAAGCCGTTTCTAGGTGAGTTTAAGTGGTCTGATTTAATGCCCAAAACTGATAACCCCAGTAGGATGTATGGTGTTATAAAAAGTTCACAAGTATGGATACCCTATTAGGCCTATAGTTGATTTTAGAAATTCACCTACTTATGAATTATCTAAATATTTGTGGTGAGAGCCGTCTACTAGCCAAATCGGTAGACAGTAATTTACGTCAATATTTACGTTCCCGAGATTTGTCGTGAGAAAATGTGAACATAGATTGATTCGAAACCGACCACAACCAACTTTTCGTAGGCGGATACAGTTAACATATAGATGATGTGACATTCAAAAAACAGTCACAAATAGATGAGAGATTAACTTTACGTGAGAAACAACCAATCGGAAGACTGTGTTTGTTTGTTTAAATAACCATGAAATATATAAATATGCGTTGATTTCCTTAATAAATGATCTGTTGCCTGACTCTTGCCTTCTGTCGTTACAATTTAGCCATGGTATTAAATCCTCTAAAAATCCACTCGAAATCTAGACTAACTAATTCTTATGAACTAAAACACAGATTAGAAAATGAAGAAAAAATGGTTAGTTTTGATATTGTCAGTTTATATACACGCATACCAATAAATATGGCTATAGAGGCAATCAGAAATGAACTCATTTCTGACCAAGAACTCGAACTTAGGACAAAAGTGCCACTTGAGGACATAATGCTGGGAGTACAGCTATACCTGACTTCCATAGTATTTAAATTTCAGGGGAAAATATACAAACAAACTGAGAGAGTTGCCATGTGGGGTCACCAATATTCCCGGTTGTGTTAGATATATTTATGGATAGGTAGGAAAACACATAGCGATTGGTGGAGGTATGTAGATGACACATTCACTGTACTTAGAACACAAGATATAGATAGATTTTTCGAACACATTAACTCGAAGGTGGAGGCAGTTCAACTCACTTATGAATTGGAAATTCAGGAAGGGGACCTTCCAATGTTAGATTGCAACGTAAAAAGGAAAGAAGACGGGAAGTTAAACACTAGTGTTTACAGGAAACCAACACATTCAAACAGATATTTGGACTTCCGATCATCCTATCTTATGTCAGTAAAAATAGGATTGATGAAATGTTTAAATAAGTGTACAAAAACTAAGTAGTACCAAGGAAAATCTAAGACAGGAAGTAATACACATAAAAGAAGCCTTGAAACTTAATAATTACCCGGATAAATTAGTCGGCAAATATGTAAGGAAACGTAAAAATAAAATAAATAATGATAATAGTGATAGTGATAACAAAAGTAATAAAAATAATAATATTAATAGTAATATTAATGACGACACGCATGTCAAACATGCGCAAGACAACACCAACAATAAGGAATCTAAATCATCAGTAGTAATTCCATACAAGGAAGGAACCTCAGAAACCACTTTACGGAGAATTCTTCACAAGGCAGGAATAAAAGTGGCTGGCATTCAATAACCCACAAATTCAATTAGAAACAAGCTTTGTCGGTTAAAAGATCAATCCTGTGGAGTCTAATTAAACAAACTACTATGGAATAACTTACTACCACAGTGCCCAAGTTTTACACATATATATAAGTAATACTAAAAAACAGAAGAAGAGGAGTAATGATAATGATACTACTTACGCCAGTTTAAATTAATTGAACTTCTATGTAGAGGAAATAAACTATACGAAGAAGCAGCAGCAGAGAAAGTTGACATACGATGCATAGTTTGTGAATCATTATTAATTTTCTCATTCAGTACCCTTGGTTGTGTACCACCGAATACATAAACACGTGGCCTTTGTTTCACTGACACACTATTATTACTATTATTATCATTGTTATATGAAATACTTGGAGCAGCTATATGTAGACAAGCTATAGCACGTCGACGAGCTGAAGGCAGGTGTATTTGGAAACTGGATGAGGAGGATGATGATGATGGTGATGATGAATTCAAGTTGGATGTTGTACATACTTGTGTCCAAGTATAAGTGAATAGATTAAACCGCCAAACATCTTGATAATGCAGTTGTACACTTTGACCTGTTTGAGATCGAATAGCTCCAAAAGCGATATACAAATTACCGTTGTATAACCCTAAAATGGTTTAGATAAAATTAGTCAATATAAAACCAACGATAATAGAATAACAACAACAACAACAACAACAACAATTCTACAAAAATATAAACTAAAAACAACTGTATTCTATTACGTAATCGAATTTGTAATTCAACTTAGAAAACTGGAAAATACATGGCTTTGTGCTAGATAGACAGGATTATGACTAACTGATTCAATTTAGACATAGAATTTTGCACAGTGAAACAACATTCCAGCTCGCCATACTTCATATAACAGCATATTGTGGTGAGAGCTGGCTGCTAGCCAAAGTTGGTAGACAGTAATTTACGTCAATTTTTATGTCCCCAATATTGGTCGTGAGAAAAATGCGAACAAAGACTTTGCGTAGGCGGATACAGTTAGCATATAGATAATCTGAACTTCAAGAAACAGCCACAAAGAGATGAAAGATTAACTTTCAGTGAGAAACAACCACCGATCAGAAGACTGTGTTTGTCTGCTTAAAATAATCTATAATAATGTACATGCAAATCTATACATATGTGTTGATTTCCTTAATAAACGATCTGTTGCCTGGCCCTTGTCTATAGTTGTTGCAATATATAACGTAGAAAAAGGGAAAGAAAATCCCAGAACAACCATAATGAGCAGAAATGTATGGGAGAAAGAATGACCGACTGGTTTCAACGTAGAACTTTCCTGCACCGATGTGCAGCAGTTCGAGTCGCCTCACTGCCTCCATGTGGCGCACAAAGCAACAGAAGAAAGTAAAAATAAATGCACAACAGAGACAGTAAACAGATATAAGGTAAAAAGAATAGTAGTATCGAAGAACAATATAGTTTTATTGAAAATTATAAGTCACAAGGAGTGGATGCATCTAAGCCATTATCGAGAACGATTTTGAGCCATATCACCTATTGTCTCCAGCCTTCATTGGTTTTTACCGTCCCGAGGACGCCAACCACACTGGCAGTTCAAACCTCCCTACGTGGCTTAAACTAACTCTTGTGGATTTCGTTTACTGATGAAGCCATGTTATCATTTGACCACCACTAGTTAACTCCTTTCCAACCTGATCAAGCCCTCTGTCAGCTAACATTGCCTATTTCTGAGGAAGGCGATAGATGCCTAGGCATACGTAACACATGTCTTAATATCTCTCTCAATCGATGTAACTTCACAACCTTGTCTATTGATTTCCCCCTCCTTACCTAGCACTCGACCGATGCCTAATCTCAATATTGCTCACTCTAATATACCAAATCATACAGGAGATCAAACGCAGGCACCTATGATGAAAGACAGCTAGCCTGCCTTTTCATGTCTCCCATTTTCAATGGCCATGTATCACAGCCATAAAGGAGGACATAGAGAACTGCCGAGCAGTAACACACGCCCTTCGGACGACGGCCAGCCCGATATCAAGTCTACGCCAGAGACGGCGTAAACTGGTATATGCGAACCAAGCCTTCTGTGTCCGAGCTGAGATTTCGTCAGCGATCAACCTGTTGGCACTGGCTGATGCAACTTCCCAAATAAGTAAAGTGGTCAACGCGCTCTACCACTTCGCTTCCTATTTCCAAGCTAGGAGCCAATGTGAACCAGTCCTGTAGCATCATCTTACATTTGGTGGGAGCGAGTCGCATGCCAAACATTCGCAGATTGCATCTCAAGGTGTTAAGAAGACTCGGCAGACTCTGGAAGAAGGAATATTAAACATAGAACAATATGAGGATTTACCAGGAGTCAATGCATTTGTGTCACTGAGAACGATTTTGAGTCATACCACCAATAGTCTCCAGCCGTCATTGGTTCTTAGCATCCTGAGGATGCCAAACAGGCAGTCGCGACACCTTCCTACATGACTGACTTCAACCAACTGTCTACATGTCTTGGTTTTGCCTCCCCGCCCCCTATAACTCCTTTCTAACCTAATCTTACGTCAACTAACACTGCTTGATGATGCACAATACGTGTCCAAGCCATCTCAACCTATGCAGCTCACCACGCTGTCATCTATCATCGACCTTGCCATTCTTATCTAACACTCAACACCTGACATCAAATACTACTCATGATATAATATCACTTAACACAGGAGATGGAACGCAAACAATCGTGATTGAAGATTTCTAATAAAGCAAACTAGATACTTATTGCATAAACTGGGATAAATTTCACTAGTAGTATGGCTGTCCTCTTTCATAGATCCAATGAATATGACTGATCATCTGTGTCAAAATACATCAAAACAAAACTGATGAGCTCGACGGCGCACGTTTTATTGCCATTCAAGAATTATTATATTGTACATTGAATATTTGAGAGAGAGAAAAAGAAAAGGGAACACAATTCTTGAGCAGCACACCTGAAATCCCACTGTCTTTTCAACTCAACGCCCCCACCCCCACCATAATTTAGTCCATAATTCCGATCACGACATGATTAACTTATTGATCAAGAATAAACAAACGACCCGTATCAATGCAATTGAGCAATCCAGTACAAGTTTATGTAATAAGAGTATTGAGCTACCCTTGATGGGGAAAGCCTATGATACTATGGCGTGTAACACTGACAGGATTTATCGGCAGTGTATAAAGAGACATTCCATCGCAGCACAAAAATATCAAATAGCGGAGAGACATAGATTTGACGTCAAAGAAAGCTAATGAACCAGTATTGCGGCAAAATATGAGGGAGACGAAAAGAAGACAAAAAAAAAACACAATACGAACCGCGGGAGTGGCACAATATGGAAGATCAGAGCGAATGACGATTTTACTATCAGGTGTACAACATTATTTTCCTATATGTGTAGACCAAATTGCAAATAAACATTCCGTTACCGAGTTTTTTTTACCTTCTGCCCCGTTGCAATACTACTACTAAGCCCTTCAAGCCAAAGTAATTGGAGTGCGGCTTTAACTCATCAGCTGAAACTCGGGTATTTCATTCGACAGATCATAATGTACGTGATAAAAACCAATGAACGCTTACTAAATGGAGCGAACAATAATCGTATTAGGTATGTAGGACATTGTTACTTCCACTACAAGAGAAAAAAGACATTCAAGCGTTGGTTTGTAGGGATTTGATTGGTTACAGGATTTCATCATGAGTTGACATCGGTTAGAGAACAGTTGGAAAACCGGTGCTGGAGTAATGGGCAGCTGTTTCGTCCTCGTCTGGGACACTTCATCAGTATGCACCCACGGACAGGAGGTTCGAACACGGGACCTTCCGTTCACAAGGCTAGCGAGCTCGTAGTGTAACAACAGAAGACAAGGGCCATGCAACAGATCGTTTACTAAGGAAAATCAACACATATTTATAGATTTTAATGTACATTATTGTAGATTATTCTTAGTAGAAAATACAGTCTTTTGATTGGTTGTTTCTCACAGAAAGTCAACCTTGCATCTCTTTGTGGCTGTGTCAGATCATCCACAAGCTAACTGTATCCGCCTACGCAAAGCCTTTGTTCCCACTAATTAAGGGACGAGGAAACCATCAAGTGACATCACTAGACAAGCCAATGCTCGAGTGGAACCCGAAAGGAAAGCGGCGAGTTGGTCGTCAGTGCGAGGGTGACTTGGAGGAGGTCATATGAAGAGGGGATGAAAACGTGTGGGCAGACATGGAGCCAGGTGAAGACTTTAGCAGAGAACCGAACGCAATGGAGACGCACGGCTGAAGCCCTATTTTCCTCTAGGAATAAAAGGATACAATAATAATAATATAATAATATTGGGGACATAAACAATGACGTAAATTACTGTATACCAACTTTGGCTAGCAGCCAGCTCTCACCACAGTAGACCATTCACCCACTGGAACCCAGTCCATGAATGAATTCCAACTTCTGTCATCCAACTCACGATATAGCGCGATGACTAGCCAATATAATCGCTGGTGAGTATTTGTCATCACACCTAAACTGCTTGTAACCCACAGGTGAGAGATTACAGTTGAAGAGCCCCAAACTAGGACAAAACAGCCGCCCAGTACTCCAGCACTGGTTTACCAATGGTTCTCTTAATGATGTCAGCTTATGATGAAAAAAGGATATTATTGACAAAAACATTAGATATATAATACACTTTCTAGATTTACAAAAACCGTAGGAACTAGATTTGATTCTTCCCAAATTTTTCAAGCATACATAACTAAACTATACATATAAAAAGTGGAATGCAGCTGAAAATATCATCAACTTACAATGTGAAAGACTTCTACGCCCATAAGGTGAATTTAATTTAAAGGATGGCTGTACAAATGGCAATTTTGCATCAAGTGTTGCTGCTGCTCCTGCTACTTCTGCTGATGATGATGACGACGTATTGATTTTATTGAGTAATTCTGGTATTAAAATTTCTGGTGTTTGTAAACCATGACCTGAATGACGAACAACCCAAACTGCACTACCACTAGACCAACGAGATTTATATTGTGAAGGTAACTTGTGATTGTGACGCCTGTTCGACTTCTTTTTTTTAGCTTTACGATTAAGAAATTTCCATAAACAACACGGTCGAGGAGGACAAGTCGCCCAGAATTCAGGTCTAAGAAACGAATGAAAAAGGGAGAAAAGAAGGATAACGATACAACAAGGAAAAACGGGAGACAAAATTAAAGAAATGCTACTCTATAATCATTTACGTTTACACGTAACTAGCATAGAGCCACTCCAATTGCGTTTTATTATTGTTATTCTGATACATAAACCTAATTTCCAACATATCTGTTTGCATTTCTCTCACTCCACTTATTGATTTATGACGAAATTTTCTCTCACCCTACTTGTGACCTTTGAAATCCTATTGGTTGTTCACTGTCTTAATTTATCATCGACATTAGTGCTTCTCAAGGTCATTTAAACATGTGTGTGGGCAAGCGCTGTCAACCCCTTTTCGACTGTTGTTTTGAGACAGTAAAAGTTCTCTTACCAGTGTTCAGTCTTCTCCTCTGTCTTTTTGTGGCCCGGCAGTATTATTGTTATTTTTGTTGTTGACGTGCGATTACGAGGGATTCGCCAGCGCATTAAGTAAGTATTCGCTCATAGTCTATTGGGTCTAAGTTCCGGTCATAACATATTCCCATGGGTTCCCAGTGGAACATACGGCTTCAGCAGCACATCTCCATTCCACTCTGTTGCATGCAGTCATTTTAGCTGGTCCCCCTCCTCACAAGACCTACTGCATGTCAACCACGAAGTGATGCCCAACTTATCGCGTTCCTCGTTCGTGTTCCACTCGAAGTTATGCTTGGTGCGCAATGTTACTCTGCGGTCTCTTCAGAGTGTATCTAGTCCATCTCCATTTCCTTCTGCATATTCCTCGCGCAATAGGTTCTTGGTTGCTTCTTTCCCAGACTTTCGTGTTGCTTATCCTTTCTGGTCAGCCATCTGACCTTTAGTATTGAGCCAACCAAGGCAGCTATTGACAAAAGTGTACAGCAGCCTGTCCGAAATGCTCTTCGTGACGCGCACGCCAAGTCTCTGAACCATATAGTAGCATTGACTGACTTGAAATTAGAGTTGAAAATCCAAATATTGTTCTTTATTCTTAGTGCAGTAAGATTTCCAGACTGATTTCAGGTCAACGAATGTCTTTTTTACCTTTATGATCCTGACTGGCTTTGACATATTCATCTGTGCCGCCTGCGGCTGAAAAGATCATTATTATGATTATAATTATTCCAAGTTGCCACCCAAATCATGATAAGTGACATCGCTTTGGAACTCATTACTCGGGCGCTTAAACCACAAGGATAAAATTTCTTTTAAAAGTAAATCATTGTTCAGAAAGACCAGAAATCTTTCGTACATACAAAACGACTGAAAATTTAAAGGGATAAAATGGTAAGGAAGACGAGATTCCAAGTAAATTTTCAGCATGCATGAGTAATTATGCATGACAGATCTACCTTGAGATGTGCGACCATGGTTCACCAGTCCAGACACTCGACTTCTAACCACCAGAGTCACGGATTCGAATCCCCCCCCTAAAAACCATCAAGGTTTGAGCAGTTAGGTAGTATCACCATCCATCATGATGATAGGCGTACCTCATCGCATAGCATAACATTACAACCTTGGACAGCTTCGTAGTTTGAATGATTTGTCTAGTGAAGCTTGTGCATTCAAGTTTGATTTATATACCAAGGTAGGGGTCGCTAGCCCCACACCAAACCAACCCTCCTTTCTTGGGTTTGGAACCAGCTAGAAAACCAGCGACCTAGTAAGTTAGATGAGTTGATAAAGATAACCAACCAACAGCAAAAACAGCTGGCTTCAACCACTATCAGACGGATAGACCTAACAGACGTTACCTCCTTCACTTATCTAGGAAGCATCGTTACAACTACTGGCGGTCGGCACGAATGAGGCTGTCAAAACAAGAATCAGGAAGGCAAGATACATCTTCATCAATCTGAAATCGATTTAGAAATCTTCTGCACTCACTCAGCCAGCAAAAAGAACAAGATTTGGATTCTGTTCCACATAGATGAGAAACTTGCCCTGCTTGTGTGTCACGAAAAGCATTTCCAACAAGCCGCCGCAGACTTTTATCAACAGTTGTCTTCGTTGACACTATAGTGAAGATCAAATGGCAAGCCAGAAAGAATTAGCAACAAGAAACTCTAGGAACGAAGCAACCAAGAACCTACTGGTCAAAAAATGTGCTGAAGAAAATGGAGATGGATAGAACACACGCTGAGAAGACCACCGAGTAACATTGCACGCTAGGCATAACTTCGAGTGGAACCCGAACGGGGAAAGACAATTTGGACATCCCTTCGTGGATGACATGGAAGAGATCTTATGAGGAGGAGGAGATGATAGAACGTACGGGCAATCGTGGGACCAGCTAAAAAGGACTGCGGAGAACATAGTGAAATGGAGATGTGCTACTGAAGCCGCATGTTCCACTCGGAACACCAGGGAATAATAATGGTAATGAAAATCTAATGAAACTATAACACTTTTGTGAAGAAGTGAATATGTTTACATCACTGGTGATCAATTTCAACAGTTGGATGTTTTAATATGATTTATCCGCAGTAATAAAAAACAACTTTGAGAAGGTCTTCGACAGCGTTGACCGCGAAGTAATTTGGAAACTACTCGAGTACTACTACAGCGTACCCCAAATATTCATCAACCTTATTCAACAGCTGTACGACAACGCCACATGTCAAGTGATTCACAACGGAAAACTCAGCGAGGCGTTTGGAGTAAACACAGGAGTCAGACAAGGGTGCTTATTATCACCAATGATATTCCTTATTGTGGTGGACTGGATTATGCGTCAAACAGTGGGAAACGAGAAGACAGGGATATCCTGGACCGACGTGAAGAACCTAGAAGACCTGGATTTCGCGCGTGGATGATTTATGTTTGATGTCAGACAAAGTCGAAGTATCACAAGCGAAAACCGACAAACTGGTCGAAGAAGCAGCAAAGACAGGACTCCAGGTGAACATAGACAAGACGGAGGTCATGAAAATAACCAACCAGCAACAACAACAACAACAACAACAGCAACATCCAACGCCAATCACCATCAATGAGAGGGATTTGAAAGAGGTTACTTCATTCACTTATCTAAGGAGCATTGTCTCAACTACAGGAGGAACGGACGAGGATGTCAAATCGAGAATCGGGAAGGCGAGAAACACATTCATCAACCTGAAACCAATCTGGAAATCTTCGTCACTCAGCCTGCATCAACAACAAAATTCGGATTTTCAATACAAACGTCAAGTCAGTCAGTTCTTCTATACGGATCAGAAACTTGGCGGGTCACAAAGAATATTTCCAACAGCCTGTTGCAGACCTTTATCAACAACTGTCTTCGCTCTATACTGAAGATCAATCAGATGGCCGGAAAGAATCACTAACAAGAAACTATGGGAACAAACAAAACAAGAACCAGTCGCCCAACAAATATGCAGGAGAAAGTGGAGATGAATTGGACACTCGCTGAGGAGGCCGTTGGGTGACATCGCGCGTCAGGCCATAGCTCGAGTGGAACCCGAAAGGGAAGCGGCTAGTGGGAGGTCCAAGGGTGACATGGAGGAGATCGTGTGAAGAGGAGTTGAAACAGTATGGAATAACATGGATGCAGATGAAAAGTACAGCAGAAGACAGAAACAAATGGAGACGTGCAGTTGAAGCCCTATGTTCCACTAGGAACCCAAGGGAACAATAATAATATAATAATAAAAAACAACCATTTTCCTACTTTTTAAAGACGGTTGTGAAGACTGTTTACAATGCATCACCTTCTAACGTTAACGAACAAGATTCATTGTTAACATTAACAATATATCAGAAAACAGAGTTCAATATCCCCGTCCCCACATGCTTCATATGTCGAAATTTTCTATGAGTAATCTTTACAAGTTACGAATATCAGCAGCAATTAAACACTTGTGGAGTGTATTACTGACAGGATCTATCAGTAGTATATATAAAAGCAGATTGATAGGAAGTAGTCGAAATTGAAAATAACATTTTAAGTCAGTGGCTACAGAGGGAGAAGCGTTTACTTCTCGAATCTGGATCTAGCCTAAGTTGTGGTCAAGAAATAATCTCGAGGTTTAACCTTCAGAAAATCAAAATACCAATCAGAACCGTTTAATAAAAACAGCTGATCATAAATATGGCTAAAAATGTATAAGTATGGTGTGCTTTTCCTTGATAAAAAAGTCCATTACCAAGTTTGTTGGCTGCTTCCGTTACATTTGGTGCCGCTGCCCCTCCAGACATTGAAGATTCCATGGCCCACTGCTCTCAAAGAAGGAGACATAAGGAGCTTCTTGAGGGACTTTGATACCGTTGCTGAGTTGGTGGGAGACAAGGCAGTTGTTTTGGGGACGCTGCTAAGAGGTCAGCAAGCGCGGTGTACAAGAGCGCGAAGCGGTCAGGTGATAAACAGACCTAGAAGGTATTGGCTGAACGACTGGTAGTGGAGTTCGAGAGCCTGACGAGCAGTCAGCTGGCAATACAGAAGTTCCGCGCCGTAAAGCTCTGACCTAACGGAGATCCATTAGTTTTGGCAAAGAAGCTGACGAGTCTACTAAATCGCGCACTCCCCACACTAAATGGAGAGTCGGAATCACAGTTATTGACTTCCCACTTCATCGAGAGTGTTCCAGACCACATTTCTCAACAACTAAAATGGGTTAACGCTGCACAACCCATAGACATTAGTGACCTAGCAAAGGTGACCAGACAGCAGTTGATCACAACGGTAGTTGCAGTAGAGCCACAGAAACCAAACGAGTGGAAACACGAAATTGAAGATTTGAAGAGCTCTTGTCTGCTTCCGTTACACACCAGCTGTAGAGCATATGCAGTGGAACACTCAGCCCCAACCTTGGGGACTTCAGTGAATTTGGTGCGCTGTATTTACGGGGTGCTAGCCTCACGTTCAAACTTCTCTCATCTCCTGGCTTACTACTACTGGCTGGTAGACTAGGTGAGGCTTAGGAGTGTGTCGGTCACGAGTCGAACCCAGGTTCTCCCACATGGCTAGCGAACATTCTTCCATTGAATCATCAGCACACTTTTTTACTGATAAAAATCTACTAATTCGGCTGCTGCCGCATCAGTAGCAACAATCAATATCTGATGAGCATTTTTTTTAAGTTTTATTTTAACGCTAACATTTGAAATGGATACTGGATTTAAGTTCCATTGGAAACTAAGTGTTAAATACAATTTTTTTTAAACATAGAGGGAAGGCAACAGTTCTAATGAAGACAAAAGATACTACTTGGTCAGTAGAGTGAGAGTAATATTTGAGGCAGTATGCTTCACTCGCGTCGGTGGCACAGCGGTAGAGTGCTCGCCGATCACGCAGGTGGTCCGGGGATCGATCCCCGGCCACAGACGCACTCCTTTACCTCGCTGAGCCAGCAACAATACTGGTAAAGAGGGAAGGTTGGGCATGAGGCTAGCAATCCCATCCTGTAAAATTAATCACCACTGCTACAGAAACTTCAGGCCTCTAGCTTGAAGCCACCCTATGTTCCACTGGGAACGTAAAGGAATAAAAAAAATGCTTCACTAAATCTAACCAAAACCTCCGAATTTATCTTAACACAAGTGCATATAGGTGAAGATAGTAATCGATAGAAAATTCACTGTTAATTAATTGAGTTCTTCAGCACTTACCCAAACCAGTTACCAGTTTCTTCTTCCCACGAAATGCGAAATAAACGACTCGGTGTAGTATCCAAGCAATCAATCATTTCTGCATTACATGCAGTACATCTGGCTGGAATTAATCTCTCCTTTTTTGAAATATTTACTGAATCACAGGAAGAAGTATCTGATGTATAAACAAGAGGAATAAGTTCCCATACAGCTGAATCGTATACATCATATGCTGCTTGATCAGGTGATTTACTTCGACCACCGAATAGAAATATACGACCTTGATAACTGGCAAGACAGGCAAAATCTCGTGGTAAAGGAATTTGTGAGTATGGCGATGATGATGTTTGATTTGCTGATATTCTCTGTTCGTAAGTAGAATTCATATCATTATGTGTATCCATATTAAAGTATTCAGTGGGAAAGTATGAAGGTGAAAGTGTCATCTCTTCTCGAATTTCTATCCGTGTCCAATTCCAGGTAATGAAGTCCAAGCGATAAACTGAGTTATCGTAATTATCAAACTATAATTTTTTTCACAAAATTGCAGTGGGAAAAGTCAATAAATTAATTAAATGAAATATTAAGGAATAACATTATTCTCGTTTAAAACTAACTTCCAGTTGACAACAAGAAAGGTAACTGAAAGCTAGACGTATCAGGCAATAAAAGCTTAGAAGATACTTCCCGGGTTATGGATAAGATTTTATTTTCATAAATCACAGTGTTACACAGTAATAGTAACTGATGATGTTTCGAGCACAAATTATTGCCACTCATAATCATATCAAGTTACTCACACAACTTTTTCCTTGTTTTATATATATGTATGGAATTGACTAGATATTTGAATAAAAATCAATATGAGTGTTGTTGATCGATTACAATCAGATGGAAAATAAGACGAATGTTCTTATAGTTGTAATAAGTAATTTGTTGGATGTTGTGATTTGCTTGAACTGAAATAGAATTTTGAGATTATTTATTATCCTCTTCTGATTTGACTGGTGGTAATAATATCTTCCATATTTCTGGTATTTGCGTTGAGTCATTTCTGTTGCATGTGTTGGGTGTAGATTCAATGAACCAGGATTCAGTAATCAATCTCTCTATCCACCTACATAGATTATTTCTTAGAATCTTAACCCTCTCCCACCCTATTGTGTGGTTGTGTGTTATTGCATGTAGTGCAATTGCTGAGCATTTTTCTAAATTACTTATCTTCTCGGGGTCAACCATTCTTACCTTGGCTAAATTCTTATGTTCCGACAATCTGATTACCCCCCGATCTACTAGTTTGACCTATATAGTTGACCTCACAGTCATTACAAGGTATTTTGTAAATTATATTATTTTGTCCACCGGGTCTTTTAGCCTACAATATCCTAACAAGCTACTTATTATGACTATAAAAACACTCGTCTTATTTTCCATCTGATTGTAATCGATCAACAACACTCATATTGATTTTTATTCAAATATCTAGTCAATTCCATACATATGTATAAAACAAGGAAAAAGTTGTGTGAGTAACTTGATATGATTATGAGTGGCAATAATTTGTGCTCGAAACGTCATCAGTTACTATTACTGTGTAACACTGTGTGATTTATGAAAATAAAATCTTATCCATAATGGAGTTACACTCTACCACAGTGCCCAAGTTTTATACTTATATCAACTTCCCGGGTTAGTATGCATATCTAGAACAACAGATATTTTCTCCCTTGTTCAACATGTGTTTCAAGCAAAATTGTGATTCATTCCAGATGAATATGATAAAAAGTAAGGTGGCAAGAGTATCAGTAGTTCAATGGTAGAGTGTTCGCCAACCCCACACACACACAGTCAAGGGGTTCGATTCTCCGCCGAGGCAGAGGCACTCTCCGAAGCCTCATCCAGTGGGGCTAGCAATCCCACCCCATTGCTACTGAAACTTTAAAGCTCAAGCATACAGCCCTATTTTTTCTCGACTTGAAACGCAAAAGAGTGATAAAGGTTGTTATCCAAATTGTAACCTACTCGGCTAAGTGGTAGATAGATGTGGGGTAAAATTTCAATGAAACTTATGCAGATAAATGCAACCTCGAAACATTCCATAGATATGCATCAAACTGGATCAATCCACATTTCTATCGTTTTGTTTGCCACCACAATACTCTGCTGCTAGTGAATGTACCACTAACCAAAGATTCATAGAAAATAAATACTATAGGATACCAAAACAAAATTCACTAAGGCATAACACCATGCTAAACTAAAACAATGTTGCTTCATTTATGATAACTAGAACAATCTGCTTTTAGTCAGTGTCACAAGTTTAAACGCTGTTATCCCTAGCACAGTCCTGCGAGCTTTCAAATAAATGTGAGTCACTGGCTTCTGCACACAAAAAATAAAAACCTACAACACATTGTTAATAGAACATTTCACAGAAAATTAAACTAGAACTGGAAAAAAAAGCACAGTTGGTTAAAGTTCACGCGAATCTAAAAATCATGCTAGAAAGGTACTCTATGCAACGAACGCTTTAGGTGCCTATAAATTGTTTCACTGAGAGAAGCATAGTTGCTCTTGGTGGGTTTGTGTTTTCATTTCAGTTGCGTCATTCAATCACTGAAACTCGATATCCATCATAACTTTTGTGTGATTACCATATATGACATTTATGAAGATTATACGCTATCTAAAGGAAATTTAATATCCAGTTTTGATTAGTGAGAGTTATCCGATAAGCATAAATTAGTCAAAGCCCATTAAAATGAAATGCTCAATGAATTTATAACGGAAAAATATAATATAAGTATATGATTGACCATAAATACGAAGCAACTTACAACACTGTCATAGCCACCAAATATAAACATTGCATTCTCTGAAACAGTGGCTGAATGACCATCTCGAGCACTTGGTATACTGCCAACCATACCTCTAACTTCAGCCCAACATGGAGGTCTCAACTTTCTGGTAGAGAATTTACAACCCCGCTGTTGACCATTTAACCATGTAGTAGACTGGCAGTGAGACAGTGAACCAGGATCGAACATGTATAATTGATTGGGGCATACCTGATGCTTCATTCTGCCACCAAAAAGCCAACCACGACCACGCCAAGCAACAACAGTATGACCGAATCGAAGACTTGGTTGAATACACCCATTAGGCTGAAAGAAAATTCACAGAGAAGATTAGCAATTGGTGTGAAAATAAACAGATCATAGAGAGAAAATTACGCGTTATATGGCGTGATGGTATAATAATGATAAGAATATATTTGCTTCAATTTGAACTAGCCATTGTTCTATAGAAAAAGATGCCCACTATGAACAAAACAATCCCGTTAGTTAACTTAGTTCCATCACATAAACACATACATACACAACACATTTTGACTTATGAGGTAAGGTTTCACCTTCACATTAAAATAGAGTAGTTTTCGGGTCAATACTGCAGTACCATGTATCTCCATTTGATGATAAGCGAATACCTCATTTATGCCCACTGTATAAATATGGACAGAATTAACCCGGCGCTTCGTGCAATACGTAATATACGATTCAACCTCGTCCAATGTAAGATAATGTCGAAGGACTAGTCTTCACTGACCTTTATTGAAGTAGTTGGGTGTGTTGAACACCTTACTTATTGGGAAAGTCATATGAGCTAGAGTGGACTGATTACTGGAGGAAATCTTGCTAAGCATACAAAAGGCTCGTGTGGTATTTACCAACTTGCATTATCTTTGAAACAGGTGTGACGTCCAACTTTACAGCAATTCGCAATGGCCTTCTTTACTGCTGTTAATCGTGAAACACGAAGACTGTATCTGTCTTTGACTATAGATGCGTGTTCTATTTCTCATTTTAGGCGGAATAATCCGTTTAGTAATGACAAGATTAGGTTTAGTGTGTTATGTGAAGAGGGAAAGCCAGCCGATGATATTGTGAATTAGCACCGATTGAGGTAGCTGGGACATGTGTCACGTTTATTGAGACATCACTTTACTCGATAAGCAATCTTAACTTTATATAGGATTAGGTTGGAATAAAGTCAGGGAGCGACGTTAGAGCGAAACACGTTACCAAGCACGAAGTCAGACTGTTGTTCTGAGTCATGTAGAGAAGTACAGACTGTCCGGGTGAGGTCGTCAATAGGCTAAAAACCAACAATGGGAGGCTGTTGATGATATGGCTTAGAAATTTTCTCAATGCAACAGATGTGTTCACTCCGTGTGATGTCTCTGATTATTCGCCGACATATTCCCACCTATTACATTTTTGGCCACCTTCATGCACCCTCATTCAATATGGCAGCTAACACTGTGACATTTGTTTGCAGGATCCTACGTCGAAAATTCAGTTCAGGTGCTTTCAGTAATAGCTGGTGCTGCCTAAATAATCGATTTCTTTGGAAGACTGCCATGTTAAATTAAACTAACCCATAGATACATCTGCTCAAAATGTAGGTTTCGAACCAAACGAATAACACTTTATATACAACTGTTTTATTAACTCTAAAAGCTGTATTGCTCATTATGATGCATCCAAAAAATATACGAAATGACGCCGCACAGAAGAAAAGAGAAGTGATGACGATGACCTATTCCAGGAAACCACATTTCAAATTCTCTTCTTGAAGTCAGATTGCTTCAAACTATGACATCACGTGTAAAGTTATTTACAACTCAATAAGCACTAAAAAGCTACCTTATCCTGATATGAGGCCTTGTAGCGGTATCACTGTGAGTAGAGGAGTATTAGGACCACGGACACCAGGTTACAACGCTAAAACATGTCCCTAACTACTGCGTCAGTATTTAATGGTCGGAGATTTCTAAATTCACCAATTTACAACTGTATTGCCACATTTTATCGCGAAACAAAAGTGACACTAATAAATACAAAATACTACTGTAAAGAAGTTGTATCATTTATAAACAGTAACCAGGAGCATAAATTTTTTTGATTGCAGCTTGATTCCACACAGTACTTTTTTAAGTAGAAGTAAGGAATTTTCAGCATGTGATACTGGTAGCCCAAATTGTGCAGACCGACCATTGATATCGGCAGGAGATCGAACCCCGGACCAGGTGCATGGTCGGCGAGAGTCTTAACCACTGTGCAACCGACGCACAGAAAGAGTTTCGTTATGTTTCGCAAGGAATTTAATATCTACGCTGCTTTATTTGTTCATTCTACTTTCAATATCTATCAAAATTTTTACAGCAAACAACAACTGTCACTTAACTAAATGGGATCTGAGCTCGTCACACGTTGATCAAAACCAACAGCAAGAACTCCCTGCAAGCATAGGTATTATATGCAGAGTTTTTATGCACAATACGCCTCATACATATGGTCCCCGGCACACTGCAGCACTTGAACTATCAATACTACACAATGAGTATAAAAGAGCATATGTACAGGTAACTTGGTATGGCAGACATAAACAAGCACCAATCAGAATAATGTGAAAGCTGCTTCTGCGACACCACTTAAATGCATCGCCCTATCTTACACAGGAAACAATTTGAAAAGTGATTTTGCTGTTACAAAGACAAATTTATGTAGCCTTTATTTATGGATACCTGTATGAACTTAACCGACCAGGTTAAAACAAATAACTAACGGTGTATTCGTAAACGGAACCACTGCAATGATTAGCCGCTTGAACAAGTTTTCGTTTACTGAGGTCGAAAATGTTAGGCAAATAGACCAGAAACGTGTCTTACTTGTTGTGAAGTTTTTGTTTCGACTGGCAATTGTATTATAGCACTTAACTACTAATGTTTCAATAACATCCTATTTGAATTAGAAATCATTACGACAACCATTCACTCAAGACTAGACCGGTTATTATAAGACATCTGGAACGGAATTAAAATTTACTAGAACTTGGCTACGAGGAATAGATTGATTGCATACCACATTAAAAACCACAGTTACTGAGTAAGGGCTGAAACTACCCAGTTGTCCAAGTTTATGAAGTGGAGTACGGCCCTCAACCGAAATCCACCAGCTGGAAAGCGATTATATACGCTAACTATCCACTAGTTAGAGTCTGCGGTAACCCTCGTGCAAATATTTATTGGCCAGGCGGATCATTATAACCATACAAAAATATACTTCTTAGAAGTAAGATCACGAAAAGAAACTACTATTCTCAAAATCCAGCCATAAAAAACTATCACATTCATTATTATTCATTATTAAGTCTCATATACCAATGAAAAAGGTGAGATATAATGGACCCAAATCATTCATGGTGAACATGAGGTATTTCAAATTATTTAAAAAGGTTGCGGTAGATCAGCTGCTCACAAATATTCTTCTTTACCTTACCTCCAAAATAGGATCAGCCCCCCAAGTCTTACGAGTACAATCCCAAGATTTGAGAAGAAGAGGATATGGAAGTTGCCTCCATTTATTCTTACCTACAAATTAATCGAACAAAAACTACGCCTTACGTATGTCCCACATATAGGTATCTATCTGACTCTTATTATACTCTACATCATGCATCTGTGAATTAAATCCTCCAAATACATATATGCATTCTCCCAAACACACTGCTTGATGGTTCACTCTAGATAAAGGAGAATCTCCCAGTCTATGCCAGGATTCCATCGTGTGTCAAACTACCCTCGTCTCATTTTCAGGGACACTTGGTAGCTCATGAACAGAACTAAACAACGCAGATTGTAAGTTTCTAACTGGCTTGTATAATGCAGTATTGCATTGTATAAAGCAGTCAGTTCCACAACGCTGTACTTTTTATGCTGGTTTATTGCCTAATGGCAGTGTATAAAATCAATTAATAACTGCCTGGCCTACAAATAAATTGGTTATCAATATCCAATATCTTTGTGAAAATTTCGTATAAGCAGACTGAATTCTTTTCCTCAAACTATGAATAATGTGAACATTCTGATGTTTTGGTGGGTTTTAGCACTGTTTATCTACCTACTTCTCTGTGCTGTATCTCTGGTGAATGCAATGAGCGAAGGCTGAACTTATCAGGAATGTTGGTTGAAATGTCGCTTTGTGTTACTTATTTCCAGAGGATTCTCACCGCGTGAATGGAAAAATGAGAATGTAACTCTAATCCACAAGTGAACACCCAGCCATTTTCTCAATAACTACAGACTTATTAGTTTTACCCGCACATTAATCTAGGTACTAGAAAGTAGACGAAGAAATCTATCATAGCACATCCGGAAAGCAACAGTATTTTACCCAATGTGAAGCACGTTTCTTTGAGAAGCCTCCCGCTCCTTCTAAAACTTCTTACAGCAAGTGAAAGCTGGTTCGGGTCCAGACGCCAAAAGAAAACTGTTGACGTTATTCTCGTAGATTTCACAAAGCTTTGGACAAATTTCTTAAAACAAGACTGTTCAGGGAGTTGGAAAGTTTTACAATCAAGTGTGCCCTGCTGAAGTTGATGGAGCGATTCCCTGTGTGTAGGCGACAGAAATTCATAAGCACCCCAAATCTCTCTTTTTGAGTAACTGTACATATTGGTGTGCCATAAGGTGCCGTACTCTGTCACTTCCTATATATCTTGCAAATCGACAAACTACCCGGACACGCCGACTCTACGAGGCCTACCTAGAAATTTCAAGACCACATAAAGATAACAAACACATGTCCACGGTGCAAGATTTGGACAAACTTTTACAGTGGTCCGAAGAACTGGTGATCCCAACAAGCATAGATAAGTGAGCAAACACGCACACTGGGTAGGTATTTTACATTCACGGGATATCCGCAATGACATGCTGACGACTGTATAGACTTATCTCTGCCGAAATCAGCATCCAGGAAGTCAGAATTTTTCTACAGGAGGACTAATATATTCTAGTTCAAAGGATCTCCACATGTATTATTCCTTGTATAACCAATTAATCACCCAACTATTCTACTAATCACACCGTTATTACGACGCTAAAAATTCCAAGAAATGACTACGGGCGTGACCTACATTCTCCCACTCCACCAGGTTGCTTTGCCTTCGTGGAAGTTTCAAGAAATTTCGAAAGACTGCAAGGGACCGTACAGCTGCGTAGTACTGATCCCCCACCAAGACGGCAGAAATTAAACGCCATGTACAAGGTCATTGATGGAGTGAGACGCTCCAAGGTCATTTTCGTCCATGTTAGTCGGCCATGTTGGATTGCAGTTCCGTTGCTGTTCGTTTACACATCGATTTTTCCGTTTATCCAGCACTTATTCACCACGTATCTTGATGCACATTGTTTACAAATGTTGCGTTTCACCTCATTATTGTTTCCGTTTCAGTTAAAATTAGTTATTTCGTTTGTTTCAAAAGTTTTTACCAGCACGTCAGTGCATTCATTTCATTGTAATTGTTTCATACGTTGCATTCATGCATAGTTTCAGGTTTTTAGTTGTTTTTCCGCTAATACTGAACTAGTACTGTCTAGAAGTTTTGGAAATTATGCGCATGAGCATGTTTGGATGGCGGAAGCGGTTGTTTCCAGTTCATTCGTTGGTTGCCGTTATTGTTGCTGGCTCAGTTGCTTACTTAACATGTAGAAATCTGGAAAAAACAATGTCTGTCACATTCATGTTTACAGCATGCAGCAATATACGAGTCAGTCTGATGAGGAAAATACAATCAGAGTTGATATTAGCAAAGTTTTCGAAGAGCAAATTAAACCTGAAGAATTTAGAACCTGGGATGACGTTGAAAAAGCTTTGAAGCTTTTTGAGAAGGTAAGCACAGTATCAGTGTGTCTATTATCAGTTAACAAACACCCGGTATATTGTGAAAGAATCGAAATTAAATAAGGATGAGCCACATGTGAAGTATGACTATGCGGTGTATGTATGTACTTTTGGATACAAAAGGAAATCCGTAAGCAATCACATCCGCCTTAGAGGGTAAGTTTCCTGTGGTTATTAATGTCTTACGGAGTAGATCTAAATACTGTGGTTGCCCATCAATGATACGAATCCGATATCATTGCAATGAATTCATTATACCATCTGTATATATGATTCATAATCACTATTGCACTCGTGATTATTTAATGAAGGATGCTAGAGCACGCAAATTAGATGAGTCTGAACTTTCTATAGTTAAGCCGATGCTGTCTGTTTCATCCGATCCTGAGAAGGTTATTGATTACGTTGCAGAACGATTCCAAAAAAGGATGACGTACAATGATCTACGAAATATAAGAGCTACTGTAGTTGAAGGTGAGACTTTGATGTACAAGAATAACCTTTCAGATTGTGATTTACAGTCAGTGGTTTTTTCCAGATTACACCAAGCTGGCAAATTGGTTATAATTCGGGGTGAAAACGATGGAAGAATAAAAATAGCATGTTTTAGTTCAAATAGGCAAATCGAAATTTACCACAAATTCCCTGAGGTCGTGAGTTTCGATTCCACCTACAACACTAATAGAGGAAAGTAGGTGTAAATGTTTTCTACATCAAATATTTGAAGCTATAAACTGTTTCAATTTGTTGTTACAGACTCTCATGGAAAAGGTCTACCGGTTATGTTTGCATGGAGTAGGCAGGAAAGGCTGGATGATTTAACAACGATTCTGGATAAATTTAAATGTGTAATGGGTACGACTTCCAACACAGAAACGTTTGTCATGGATTGCGCAAAACCATTGAGAGGTGCCGTTGAGACAACGCATCCACTTTGCAATATAATATTGTGTGCATTCCATGTTTCTCGTGCAATGCGTAAAAAGGTAAGTTTTGTAAATTTCAAAGATTTTGTAGACAAAAAGTAGGCTTGTTAGGCAGTACCTGTCGAGTATGATTCGCGAGGAATCAATTCATGGGTAAATTTTTGAAACTGATCATAAATTTATTTACAGATTCTACACATACCTCGGTCTCATACGGCATCTGGATCCCCGTTTTGCGAGGTATGTACACAGACACTGGCTGCCTTTGAAGAAACTTTGGGCAGCAGCATTCAACCGTAGTGTTTTGTCACTTGGCAATAACACTAACAATCGTGTTGAAAGTTTACACAGATGGATGAAACGAAATTTATCAAGAAGTATTACACTACATAAATGTATGTGGGAGGTGTACCGCTGGAGTGACAGGAGGTTGCGGAGGATTGATGGCGAACGAGATGTGAACATAAGAGTGCTAGACAACAGGATACCTGGTTTGCAACCCTTACTGTCAAAATTAACAGAGTATGCCGGGAAAAAGGTTATTGCAAATTTCAGAAGAGTAAGAAGAGCCCGCATTGAAAACCGTATTTCCCACAACGTATTTTTCGTCGACGGATTCACACACCCAATAGTTGATATGGCTAGAGGTACATGTACTTGCAGTGTGTTCACCACCTGCAAGTATCCTTGTCGTCATATGGTAATCGCTCATCTGACTTATCCCCATTTTGAAGGTAAGTGAGACGCACATTGATCTTACAATACAGTTGATCGCGTTCTGAGGAATTGTCGACGATGGATGCTCGCTAACAGAAATCCACTACCCGTATTAAATGCTGCACCGGTAACACGAAACAGTGACATCGAAAACTATCAAAAGTTGAAGCGGAAGTTTTGTAGGTTTCTTGACGAACGGGTAAATGCAGGTTATGTGGAAAAAGCAACTGCCTATTTATTGTCTTCGTATAACCGGTTAATGGAAGGAAAGGAGGATGTATGAGACATCAGTGAGAACGTGGAATGGCCCTCTTTAGGGCCACCAAATACTGATTTCATTGACTTCATCAGTTTTACTTTAAATTATGAAATCGGATAAGTAGGGTAGGAAGAAATTAATCCGCAATGTCAGTAATGATTGTGAAGATGGTTTCCGAGTAATTATGAATAGTGAATCTGTTGCGGAGATAGGATATACATTTTTTACCGAAAAAATCATCTGAATGTCCTATCTAACCTTATAATTCTAAGGCAGTGTTAAGTTGGTTAATAAGGTTGTAGCTGTAGGAGATCATGCAAATAAGGTTGCATCTGACTATGAATGACTTGTTGGCTTTGTACTGGGTAACTTCTACACCCAAGAAGCACGATTATATATATATATGTATATATATATATATATATATAGAACATGTATCCGCCCCAAACTTGAATATTGTGCACTCGTGTATAGTAGCCTAAGGTCTGCAGACTGAAAAAAATCGAAGGTGTTCAGAGAATCCTAAGAATATCCTCAGGTATCGATGTATCTAGTGACCTAATGGGTTCCAACTTTCCAGATCTCCGAATTCACTACTCACTTAATTATCATTTACCTACCTCAGAATAATCTTTTTGTTTACGCACTGTTATACTCTATGTTAACTACCTATGCCATTATTAAAGCTAAAACTTTCTCTTTGTTCAGAAGAAAACGAAACGAAGTTTGGGTTGTCGCTCAACTTTGCCGGTGACCTTAATGGAGGGTTCACAATTTGACATTTATAAGAACCTGTTCTGATTGAACAATTCAAACATTTGAAAAAGTGTAAATTAATGATACTTACGGATTGTAATTTATAACATAACTGATCGTGCCTGTGAAAGTGGCATGCATTTCTTGTAAACATATCCGTTTCTACGAAATATAAATTATTATTATTATTATCCCCATGAATGGTATTGAGACGATTAGGTAGCAAAGTCGAATGTTTTGCTATTGAGAATCGTAGTCGTTGTGTTTCAGATTCATATCGCGAATCCGATTGTTAGAACCCTATGGATAAAGCTTTTTCCTCATTATGATATATACAAACCGTAAGCAGGCTGTCTTCGGTAAATTTATTTTTACTTTTTAAGTGACAGAAAACAGTGAGTCATTTGAAGCGATAGGATAAATACCTCTAAACGCTTTCGCGAAGAGATTAGGATATGTTTATTTTTCCGACTGGGAGACGATCTTTTTACCCAGAAAACTCTCAGGATGTCCGCTTTTACTTTGTAATTCAAATATAACGTTGCGTTGCTCACTTAGGTAGTAGCAACAGGAGATTACCTTCAGGGGGAACTACGTTAAGGTAGCTTTAGATAATGCCTCATAGAAGTAAGCAGTGTATGTTTATTGTGTCTAAATATATTGAACGTTGTAAAGCTCGTCTAATCGCAGTTCTCACATATGAGTTAGTTTTTTAAATAACGAGTTTACCGTAAAAGCGTTTACCTTGATTTGCATACCTAGCTCATAAACATTATGCATGCGTATAGTATGCACTTAAGGCTAAGACGCTGTGTGATGAATTGATCGTAGATACTTAACGTCAGACTTGTTTTCTGTACCACTCTCATCAATTCTGCACCGGTCATAGGAATCAACATCGGAAATTGACAGTCTGACATTTGGAAGGATTTAGTTTAAAAGCATTTTCTGACTCCTGATAGAGAGCTGTTCATCTTAGTACAGTGTAGATGCGAATTAAATGACACTAGAATAGTTAGTACGCGCACTTGACTTATTTCATTTCGTATGCATATGTACATTAAGTTCGTCATACAAATATACAATTGGTAGTGGACGACTATAATGGAGAAAATGTTGTGATGCAAGACTGCAGGTGCATCCAAAGTACCTCTACTGTGTTTATACGCGAATTATTTGAGATCGTTAAAGTATTTAAGTGAAGGTTGACGATTAAGTAAGAGTAACTTTTCTACCTGCATATTAACAGATTAGTGAAGTAGCTATCCAGCCTAAGTTATTACATTTACTTGTACTTCATACTTGGCGTTTAACAGTATGCGGACTTGCAATTGGCTACATAAGGCGAATTTAGCTTATCGAACAGTAAAGAATCATTATTCAACTTGCTAAATCCTACTTAGTTTTTACAATGTGCTAATGTATAGAAACAAACACGAAATCTTACGAAGGGCTAAAGTAAGTCTCATAATACTATAGTAAATCTCCATCCCACTAACTAAGCTTAACATGCATTGATCCGAATTCACTTATTACAAAAGCACATAGTACTGCGATGCACTGGAAAAGTCTACATGAAGTAGAATTAAAGAGTATATTAAATATTTCAATTATTTACAAAAGAAAATCCCGATGAAGAGTATTAACGTTAGTTTGACCGAATGATATTTCTGCTGGTTTCATATTCCACAACTTCCGTATACTTGAAAAAAAAATAGAGCACATGTAAGGACTAGCGTAACATGAAGTTATGAAAGATATTTCTACATATTATCACACACTATGAATACACTGATTCTGTTAATACTAGGTAACATCTCATGCAAATGAAGGTATTTGTAGTCCACAGCTGGTTTTTACGTTGACGCCGTTTCGATAAATAGACCTCATATGTTTTCCAGTATTAAAGGATTATACGCAAATAACAAGACAATCTTTGCAGCTTCCATACTGTTGAGGCGTCATACTCTCATTAACCTTAGTGGCAGATCAACTTCACACTGAATACATTTACATTAAATGAAGTATTGCAAGTGTGTAACTTAGAAATTGATCCATAATCTCAGTAATGTCTAATGAGCATAGTTTTATGAATCCTACAGAAATTACATTCTCATATTTAGGAATCTACAGCCATCAAATATAAGCTGAACATGCTTCAACTCTAAGCAACTATGCACAGTGTTAGCAGCATAGAGAAACACTTAAAATATTGTAGGATACGCAGACCTGTTGCGTCGATGAGGATAACAATGACATATAATGCAACCTAGACATTCGATCGTGACACTGCATCTGTACTGCTTCATGTTAATGGAAAATTCAGGAAGAATTCATCACCACTACTGGTGATCAAAAACAGTGCAGCATTAAGTTTACAGTGCCAGTGAGAATGGCATAACAGACAGTAGATTGATAGTAATAGAGCTGACTAGATTCAGTTCTCATAATCGACACAATCCATGTGTATAATGATACTATACACTGAATTAATGCACTAAGTGGCACAGTAAGGAAATTTAAACGAGTGATTGCCTTCTCCACTGCACTGCACTTACAATAATCATGACAACCACCTACGTTTGCCAGCCAAGCAGTCAGCTTAGCAATGGCACAATATAAATAAAGTTGAGGTATTTTTTATACATTGAGTCCACATAACTCATATTACACTACACTAAACAGTGCAAATATACATGAAATCCACTTAGAAATAACCTCTCAACTTACGATAATTCCTGTCCAAACACACACGGTGCGACACATCTACATGATTACTTCTATTCCCACAGAAGGTTCTGTTAGCATTTACAGGTGATTTCGAAGTACTGATAGAATTCTTTTGTCAAAAAGGACTGTTCTTCACACGAAAATAGGCTGAATTAATATCCTGAGACATGAAGTCTCCATTGAATGATACCATGACGAAAGGTGCAGCATCTAAATGAAGTAGACTATTTGTGTAGATGGAATTACCCTTCAACTATCCTATCTTTCTCACTATAGCGATATTTTGCTACAGTTCGCCTGAAACACTGATCGTTGCAACCAATATGCTGTT